AAAAAAAAAAAAAAAAAAAAAAAAAAAAAAAAAAAAAAGATAGTAGTAAGGTAGGGAGGCAAGGTACTAACTACTAGTACGCAAAGGGAGAAAAAAATGAAGACGATTGCACCCGATGGGGATTGAACCCATGACCTTCGCATTACAAGTGCGACGCTACTACCACTGAGCCACGAGTGCATCCGTGGCAAATTTTGCGCCGAGGGAGCCTCATACCGCCAGTCACGCAGCACGATAACAAAAATGGACAATAAAAAGGAGACCCGCGACTGTTCAGAGAACTCGGCATGATCGTCTGAGTTGCACCGGATGGGGATTGAACCCACGACCTTCGCATTACGAGTGCGACGCTCTACCACTGAGCCACCGGTGCTTGTATGACTAATACACTTTTTGCTGTTTTTATGACTGGACGGATCCGGAGAGGGGGAAAGATGTCGACGAGCAAAAAGAAACTGAAGTGTTGCATCTGATGGGGATTGAACCCACGACCTTCGCATTACGAGTGCGACGCTCTACCACTGAGCCACAAATGCTTCAGTTGTTGTTTATTAGTGGGCGTGATACCTATGTATTGTTACCAGTTGTGGGCAGACCGTGGTAGACTTGCTCTCTGACGTCTCGACTCTGTCATGAAGCATACATATGTCTGGGTTTATTTGTTTACGGGCTTGCCGGTTAATTCCTTTGAATGGTGATGCTTTCTGTTTGATGCCATACCTGCTCCTGGTGCCTCAAGCGCAGTACCTTATCATGTCTGCTGCTCTGCGATATATATGCAGCCCAGTCGGGAGAATTCTCCACATGGTCTATGTCAGGTAACCAGTTGAATTGGTTACTAGACTACCAGTACACCCTGCTGACCAGCGCAAGTAACATGCAGTATCGACAGCTAGTATCAACGCATATCCAACATACTACCCCGGTCGCATGCACCCGATACCCTCCGAGCAGGAGTCCCCCGCAGATCCCACCTGCAACGACTCTGCAAGGCTGCAACACCCGCCAAATCGATAGATCCCATCGCCACACCCCGGTCAATACCCCATCCGGATCTGAGACCACCTGCACACTGAGACACGGCTATCGATCATCCCAGTGCCCACCCACCGCGACAGACGCCCGACGATGCCGTCGACGGTCGCTAACAGTCGCTAGCTCCGCCCATGTACTATATCCCCTACAAGCCAAGACTTCTCGAATCTCGGCCGGACCGCCACCTGAGATCAAGATGGACTGGGGAAGACCGTAGCCTGATTCCACCCCGTGAGACTAGACTCTAGGCCATGGGTACGATATGCTATTGATGCCAGGCGGGTTGGGTGATTCTTCATTAACCCACGGATAGAATGATCTCCCCGCCAACGGGATGGTTCGATGCGCGAGTGAACCACCGCGGACGCAAGGGCCGGCCCTGATGTGAGGGTCTCTGTCAATTGACTCAGAACTGTCGATAAGACACCTCGCTGGATAAACGTGTGTGTACGAGTCTTCTCGAATGGGTTCTCGTTGAGAAATTGATGAGGCCGAGACCCCCGCCAAAGATGATAAGGCATACTCACTACCGGCGATCTTAATCTCCGTCATTTAGGCGACTGCGTACTGGTAATCTCAACAGGGCGAAACAGCAGCATCCCCGTGCGTTTGGTTGATTGCTGCTATAGAGGATGTAGGCACCGCCATGAAGGCATACTCTAGGGCTGGTAATTTCGCTGCGACAAGGTGGTAAGCTTTTTTTGTTATTCGTTGGTTTATACAGGTAAAGGGACAAGATATAGAGTGGCTATATGCTAAAAGTCTATGTGAATAGTATCTGTATTCGACGCGCTTAGCTTCATGTCCATCTAGGAATGCCCATGCAGCAAATAGAGGGGTTTGTTGCCCATGTAGAAGAGTCCAGCAGGAACGATATTGATACAGAAGCCTTGCGCGAGGTCAGACCCCATGACATCGCAACCAACACCACAACCCACAGTTCCATTGGTGCACAAGGCTTGCTCAGATACATTGCCCGACAGATCATCACGAAAACAGTAGATAACCAATGTCTACGCCTTCAGATCGAGTCTGTCATCTCAAACGAGCCAAGAAAGGCTCCCAAAGAACTTACACTTTCAAATGCCGTGAGCCAAGGTGTCAACTCTCTTAGTCCATCCCGTCATATCCATACTCAAGCGACCAGGGGCTGTCATTACGGGATCGACCATGTTTGATGCAGCATGTTAAACCTCCCGATATAGAAGTGTATACTCGACATGTACGGAGTAGCGTCGAACACAAAACAGATGCCAGGTTGATCGATGATGACATGCGTCGTGATGTAGCACAACTGACCGATTACACAAAACACCGTTGCCCAGCAGACCGGACCGGGACCTGAAGCATCCCCTGATACACACGTGTGCGCCAGACGGGCCTGGATCGCAGGTGGCGGTGTCGACTCATTGGCATACTGGTATTGAAGTCTATCCATGGATGCGCCCTGATGTTTCATGGGCTGGCCATACCGAAAAAGTAAGATGCCAGAACCTCAGTTGACTGGTAGAGTGTTCCATGGGTCGCGTGCCCATGGCATACTGTGCAAAGATTCGGCTATCTGCGATAGATCGATGTTGCGAAGAAAAAATCTTCATAGCTGTCCATACTTTTGGGAGTCTAAGACCGACATCTCGGCTGTTGTAGCTGGCGCCCAGAACCGAGCGTAGACAGGACACGCAGTACGCAGAGTGTGAGTGAGCTTGGAACCACGGGTAAGACGGCCGACCCCAACTTCGGGGGGAAATTAATTGAAATGAAATGAAATGATGGCACGACTCACAGACCGGACCGAACGAACGGGACTGACGCACGCTGACTCCATAACTAGGCACTGGCGTTTTTCTGCTTTGCTTCTTTTTCTTGTTCTTGTTCTTCTTCTTCTTCTTCATGACCTTCTTTTTGCCCGAGTTCTAGACTCGAGTCACTCGACTCCATTCTCCAAAGGCAGACAAAGGGGAAGGTCAGCGAGGTGATCCACCAATTTCCACGACCGTGTGCTGAGACAATCTCGCTGGGGGTGAAAGTGGACGGGCGTCTCGTCTCGATCACCCAATCTCCGCGTTCCAGTTGGGGGATTTGGCCCAAGGTGAAACATTAGCGGGCGCCAGCCGGGCTCCAGATAGTCTGCCGAGTTGCCAAGTTTTTAAGTGGTCAATCATTTTTACTGTCGGGTCGTGGACTATCCTTGCGAGCTGGCGCCCAATGAGTATTCTTTGTTTTTCTTTTTACTTATTTTTTTCTCTCTAAATTGATATTTGTGAGTGTGAGCGCAGGCGTCGCTTTGATCCTTGACATTGGAGTGGATTATATTCTGTCTGAGTGGTTAATCTCCCCGAGTTTCGATGGCTGAAGTTTAAGGTAGACTCGGATAGTTAGTTAGTCAGATACCTAGTCAGCAAGTAGTTATTGCTTAGTCCCAGTTCGGAGATTAAGGCAAAAAACTTACTGAGTGACTTGCCTTGAACCTCAAGTCCTTTGACAGCTTTGTTCTCTGTTCAGTTCAGTTGACTTGACTTATTATTGGGATAAAGCAGACGGTGTGTGCAGTGGACAGACCATGGCTACAAAGCATCACTCCATGGCTGAGTCCATCACTTCATTCAATCATTTAATCATTCAGTCCACTCATCCATCAGCAATCAAGAAAATAATAAATTCCGCAATGTAAAGATGGCCCAAGTGGAGACAACACCACCACCAATCAATCTGGGGATCGGCTCTGATTTGCCCGATGAGGAACGGTACCTGAAACGGGCGGCGGCATCAACGCTGTGACTGTCCCTCATCGGGTTTAGTGGCAGTCAGGGGGAAAAGAGAAAAAGCACGGGAAACGGTTCAATGTGCAATCAATCAATCAATCAATCAATCATAGTGTTAGTTGTTGGCTTTGCGAGCGATCCCGACCCAGGGGTTGGAAACATGGTCTGCAACAAGGAAATCCCGACTCAGTCCTCTTTGGCGAGGTTTCCGAATTCTGGACCCTGGCGCATACAAAACTGATTCCTTGTCTGCCCTTCCTTGTGTTGCCCTTGTGTTCCCTTGTGTATCAGATGGATGGATGGCCCTGAGTAGGAATGTATCAGCGTGGAAGCATGGAGGAATCTAACCGATCTTCTCCGGTATGTGGTTGGGAGATAGCTCAGGGGACAATCATCACTCCCACGAGGAGGCGTCATTCCGATGGACGCGTGAAGAGGCGCTTAGTCGACTAGACTAGATATCAATGACGAGCGGGGACCTACCGCTCAAGCTCTCTTTCGATTGAATTTCGAATGGATTTGAGCTGCACGACTTCTCTGGTCTGGACTGGAAGAGAAAAAGGCGATGCTGCCCACTGTGCCTCTCCTCTCCTTCTGCCTGGACTGTCGAGATCGGTCTATAGACCACAATTACTAACTGAAAAAGTCACTAAACACTCCCAGAGAATCCACTGGTCTGGTACTTCTGAGAAAAGCTTCCCCGTCCGAAACTAATTTACTTTTTAATTATCAACGATCGCCCGACCCCACCAGGGACACGCCGCCCGCTGGAGCCCTCTCTCTCTCCCCTTTCCGTCAGTAACTGTCCGCTCCAAAATCATCCCGCCGCCGCTCCAGACTATATTATCACTTCCTCCTCCGTCCTTCCTCCATCTCTTGCCTTTTCCTTCCTTACCGTTGGCCTCACCTCACATCCTTCCCCCCCAACTTTCACTTCTTTCACCACATTTTGCCGTCGGCACACTTTTTTTCACTCTTTCAAAAAGTGTTTCCCCCGGCTGTCACTCTTTTTACCCTGTCTATACGCACCCTGGTGATACGTACATACCTTCCCTCCAACCCAACCCAACCAATATCTCGCGCAGTCGATCTGCCTGTTACCCAACTTTGTTCAATCAGACCCCTCTTGTGCTTCGCGTCCTTGCTTGATCCATCGGTAGGATAACTTCCCGGAGAAGTCATTGCTTGCAAACGGACACAGTTGATCTGTGAAACACATCTCGCTATCTCAGAACAAACAAAAGAAAACAACATCAACCCCTCAACATGCGTTACTCCCTCGCTCTGAGCGCTCTCTGCGCTGCTGGTGCCTTGGCCCATAACATCGACAAGCGTGCCTACGTGACTGACTGGACGGTCGTGACCTTGACTACCACTATCACCGAAACCCCCGCCGCTGCCGCTACCACTGCTGCCGCGGTCACCACCACCGCTGCCACGAGCGCTGAGCCTGCCGTCAAGGTTGCCAATGTTGCCGCTGTTGCCGACGTCGCCGCCGAGGCTTCGACTGTTGCTCCCGCCCCCGCTGTCGAGACCAGCTCTACCGTGGTCGTCCCCGTTGTCGAGTCGACCTCAACATCCTCTACGAGCATCGAGGCTGCCACCACCATCGCTCCCACCACCGAGGCTGCCACCACTGCCGCCCCGACCACTGAGGTGGTTGCCACGACCCCTGTCGTGCAGGTGGCTGCGGCTAACGGTGCCTGGACTACGGCCTGGACCTCTTACTGGACTTCGGCCTGGACCTCTGCCGCTCAACCGACTACCCTTGCTACCTCGACCTCGACTTCGGCGAGCAGCACAGCGACCGCCAGCACTGCTTACCAGTCAACTGTTTTGTACAACCACAACGTCCACCGCAGCAACCACTCTGCTAGCTCCCTTGACTGGGACTCTGCCCTCGAGTCCAGCGCTTACACGCTTGCCGCCAAGTGTGTCTATGAGCACGATACGTAAGGATTACTCCGCTTCCACGCTTAAGTATGATTGCTAACAAAATCTCACAGTTCCATTGATGGCGGTGGTTACGGTCAGAACATCGGCTACGGTGTCGAGTCCAGCGCAATCGGCGAGATGATCACCAACTTGATGTACAACGACGAGATGGGCTACTACGCCGAATTGTACGGAGAGGCTGACCCCGATATGACCAACTTCGACCTCTGGGGCCACTTCTCTCAGATCGTCTGGAAGGGCACCACGAAGGTTGGCTGTGCCACTGTCACTTGCCCTAGCCTTGGTAATGTTGATGCCGCCGAGGCTTTGCCCTTCACTGTGTGCAACTACAGCCCCCCTGGTGAGTATTCCTCCGGGGAGTCCCACATGAAGTGCATGCGCTAATGAATTTTCGTCTAGGTAACTACGCCGGTGAATATGGTACCAACGTTGGCAAGCCTTTGGGCAACGCCATGTATGTTGCTTCTTGAAAATTGAGACGTGTTATCGTTGTTTCGCCGTGACTGTGTTCGGAACCGCCCGTCCTAGCACCCTCTCGCCGTGAAAGGTCCAGGCTCCCAACGGCTATGGCAATAGCCACCCCCTGACTGTCTGGAAAAGAGAGGTCGAGAGAGTTTAGTTATGCCTTGATGTTGATCTCGAACCTGGTGCCAAGGATATGGGACTACCCCGGATATTTGACCATACGCGAGCAAGCCAATCGAACAATAAGCGAGTCTGACACTTGTCAGTCCTTTTTTCTCTTTGCCCTCCGTTGCCATTTTCTTACCCGCTACTTCTTCATGCATCCACGAGTTTGACCATTTTAACTGTTGGTGTATGTGTGTTTTTTCTTGCATGCTGTCTTTCCACCTTGTGCTTGCTTAGCGCCTGCTCAACCCCGCCAAGCTTTCTTGCTTTTTATTTGACGTGGGACAAAGAGTGAACGATCTGCAACGCCTTCATTCCCAGCCAAGCCACCCATGGAGGCTCCACTCCGACAGAGCCAGACCAGCCTGCACGTGTTGCGAGACCCTATTTTCTCTTCTCTTGTGCATATTACTCATGTTGGTATACTTGATGAGGTCACTCATCTCAGTGCCATGAATTACTTTGATTGAATTCTCTTCTCTTGCTGTGTGATTAGCTTGCTATCTTTGAGCGTGTATCTTCTCATGTGGATATGGGCGCCCTGAATGCTATGTTCGATTTGAGACTTGATGAATGGATATGAAGAAGAAAAGCGCCTGGTTTATAGCACTGTACTCTATCTGACGACCTAAGTGTAGTTCCTTTACCACTAGAGGTACGCGAGGCTTACTTTGAAGTATGGAGTTCGCTACAACCGAAGTCACCCATCCCCGCCCGACCGGCTGGGATAACTATCCATGCCTGAGGCACAGACACCCCCTACCGCCTTGGGAGGGAAAATAAGGTTCAACTCTGGGGAAAGAATGAGCGCTTCGATCAGTTCCCCCGCAACCAACCAGACCACCGAACCTCCCTTCGCCCGAAACGTCATCAGCCACTGCTGGTGCTACCTGACTCCCTCCCCATCAGTCACTCATTGAATTGATCAATCAATCAATTTATCAATTAATTAATCAACCCCATCAACCCTGCTGCTTCGGCTCTGCTTCAACTCGTGGCCACATGCCGCTTCCCATGAACTAGCAGTCACTACTGTACCCAGGCAACGGACTATTATCTCGCCAACCCGCTCATCCTTGCCCTGTCATCTATCTCATAGCGTTCCGATTGGGTGTGCTGACTTCCGCCCCGTTCGTATTACGGTCAGCGTCATTGACACTGGTGCTCGGTGGTTCTTATCGCCTTTCACATGACGATCTGTGTCTCCGCCTGCTGACTTCGACGCCCATCGCGCCTCCATTTGCTTACGGCTGATATCTCAGATACACACATACACAACACCCAGTGGGAGGTGTATAGCTCTAGGCTCAAGAGCAGCGACTTTGAATGTGAGTCCTTGAGCTCTCGGGCGTATTAGACGTTGCATGCACGCGTTTTTTTTTTTTCTTTTTCGTTCTTGGCAGGCAGGCCAGGCAAGACCCTTTGCTATACCCTACGCCCTCTTTCCCATCCTGTGTGTCAGCCTTCCTCCGTTCCCCCGATCCAAACCCCATTACCTTAACCTTGGCCACGGCTGCGGATGGATCAGCCTGGTCTAAAGGCACAACCGTGGTTCGCTCATTTTGACTCGACCCTAGGCTGTGACCGTCCCTTCGGCGTCCGGTCAGTCTCCCATTTCCCCGCGCTGAGGCGCTACTTTCTCCCTTATTCCCGAGTGTACCTGGGGAAGTCATCCCGACGGCCTTGTTGCTGCTCGCCCTTCATAAGATGGACTGTTCTCGTCGCAAATTTAGCCGTCTCCCAATGACATCAATCTCACTCGTCTTCCCCTGATCTTTCTTTATCTCTCTCTCTCTCTCTCTCTCTCTCTCGTGGTCGAATTGCGACGTGCCTTGAGGTGACTGCCCTGTGAATTCGCTGCGGTCATGAGATAATTCTCCTCCATGCCCTCATACTGCCTCCAAGATTGTCATTACTTCAAACGCAGCGCCTTGCGCCTCTTGTCCATCCCTACTTTTCTGGCTTGTCGTTACGCCTAGTTGATTAGACACGCGGTCGGAAGAAGTCAACTTGCTGACATCATGTCTTACTCGTCTGTCGCAGTGCGTTATTTCACGGCTCCTAAGCCGCTGGGAAGCGCCATGGATCCTGCCCGCTCTCAGCCGTCCTCTGATGCCAAACAGAGACCGACCTCCACGCCCGTGATAGTGAATGGTTCGGCTAAACCGGGCTTGACGTTTGCCAACCAAGACTCCTTACCCAAACTGCCCATTCCAGAGTTGGAGCAGACGTGCAAGAAGTATCTCGAAGCTTTGTCTCCATTGCAGACCCCTAGAGAACAAGACGATACGAGAGCAGCTGTCCAGGACTTTCTCCGGTCGGAAGGACCTATTCTCCAAGAGAAGCTCAAAAATTACGCTTCGTCGAAGACAAGCTTCATTGAACAGTTCTGTATGTTGTGACCTACTGTCGATCAGTTGTTCAAGGCTGACGAAAGATTCAGGGTATGATTCATACTTGAACTATGACAGCCGTAAGACTCTTCCTATCCATCCAAAGGACAAAGAAGTACTGACCCACGATTAGCGGTCGTCCTGAACCTGAACCCTTTCTTCCTGCTGGAGGATGATCCAACACCAGCGAGAAACAACCAAGTGACTCGAGCAGCCTCTCTTGTCGTTTCTGCTCTGTCATTTGTGCGAGCTGTCAGACGGGAAGAGCTGCCCCCAGATACCGTCCGAGGCACTCCCTTGTGCATGTACCAGTACTCTCGTTTGTTCGGGACAGCACGTGTACCCACCGACAACGGTTGTGTCATCAGCGAGGATCCTCATGCGAAGCATATTGTTGTTATGTGTCGTGGCCAGTTTTACTGGTTCGATGTGTTGGATGAGAACAATGATCTGATCATGAATGAGAAGGATATTGCCGTCAACCTTCAGGTCATAATTGGCGATGCGGAGCAGACCCCTATTCAAGACGCCGCAAAGGGGGCCCTTGGAGTGCTCAGCACAGAGAACCGCAAAGTCTGGTCGGGTCTGAGGGACATCCTGACCAAAGACGAAGGCTCCAACAATGCGGAATGTCTCAACATTGTCGATACGGCCCTCTTTGTTCTCTGCCTGGACTACACCGAACCACACAACACCTCTGAGCTTTGCGCAAATATGCTCTGTGGAACGAGTGAAGTCATCCGAGGGGTGCAAGTCGGTACATGTACAAACCGCTGGTATGACAAGTTGCAAATCATTGTCTGCAAGAACGGCAGTGCCGGTATCAATTTTGAACATACTGGTGTGGACGGCCATACAGTGCTTCGGTTTGCCAGTGATGTCTACACCGACACCATACTCCGCTTTGCCCGCACCATCAACGGCCAAGCACCGAGCCTATGGGCGACTTCCAGTCCGGATCCTTCTAAGCGCGACCCCCGGAGCTTTGGAAATGTCAGCACCACCCCGCGCAAGCTGGAGTGGGATATGGCGCCCGAGCTTAGCATTGCGCTGCGGTTTGCCGAGTCACACTTATCGGATCTGCTGAAGCAGCATGAATTTCAGGTGCTCGACTTCACCGGCTTCGGCAAGAATTTCATCACGTCGATGGGATTCTCGCCCGATGCATTTGTACAGATGGCCTTCCAGGCAGCATACTACGGGCTTTACGGGCGACTGGAAAATACCTACGAACCAGCCATGACCAAGTCCTTCCTGCACGGCCGGACAGAGGCTATCCGGACCGTCACCAGCGAGTGTGCTGATTTCGTCACCACCTTCTGGGGAGATAATCCGGCGGAGCAAAAGATCAATGCGCTACGGAAAGCGACGGAGAAGCACACGGCTATCACGAAGGAATGTTCGAAGGCACAGGGACAAGATCGGCATCTCTATGCGCTGTACTGTCTCTGGCAACGATCCTTCGACGATGGGGCGTCGTCGGCAAGCAATAGTGTTTCGGAAGGTTCCAACGGTTACACCAGTCCCGTAGACGGTGAGTCGATCTCGTCACCCAAGTCTCCCGCGTCGATGTCGGACGATGGGCTTTCGTCGACCGGCTACAGCGTTCGTGGCGCGCGCACCATGCCGGCGATCTTCAGCGACGCTGGATGGGACAAGATCAACACCACAGTGCTGTCGACCTCGAACTGTGGGAATCCATGCCTGCGCCATTTCGGCTTCGGGCCGACCTCCGCGGACGGCTTTGGCATCGGCTACATCATCAAGGACGACACGATCTCCTTCTGTGCCTCGTCGAAGCACCGTCAGACCCAGCGTTTGATGTACACGCTGGAGTCGTATCTCCTCGAAATCCGGAAGCTGCTGCGCGCCATCAACCAGCGACCGGCCAGTCCGCGCACGAGCCGGGCGCGCGAGATGGAGATGATCGCCGAGCGGCTCCAGAGCGATCACCGCCGGGGCCGGATTGTCCGGAGCGACGCGAGCCATCGGGGAGCCGAGACGCCGACGACGGACAGCGGCGAGTTAGAGGATGATGGAATGGGCGGATGTAAGTTTTTTTTGCGCCCTCTCCTGTTGATCAAAACAAACCAGTTGCTGACAAGAGACAAATCAGATGGATTCTTCGACGCCGGGATGCTGCTCCATGCACTTAAGGGGATCAATGCAGACCGGGAGCGTGGCGCGGACAAGCCGGAGAAGCGGCGATTTGTCGGGAAGAAGCTGCGGCTGAATGACTATTGATTGTACCTTGTGTTTTCGTGCCTTCTCTTGCATTTTTAAGTCGGTTAGCCGTGCACTGGTGTTGGGCGTATATTTATGTGTCTTATTGATACCAATACTATATCAATTACTGGTAAAGAGGGTTGATGCAGTATCATTCAGAGAAGTGGAGTATAAGATAGAGCTCTACAGTTGAAGTAAGATATGAGACATAAATAGTGTGAGCGTATGTTCGGTATGCTCAATTGGTCCTAGTAATGTCATTTTGTCGGAGGCCTTGTTGTTTCCCTGCAACTGAGCTAGGAAGGATAATCATGCCACCACAGATACTCGAGAATAAATCGAATGCTTTTTAGATGGCCTACCAGACAAGCGACCGACCAAGAACATACAGTACAAACACGCCAACTCTAAATCTTTACGGAAAGTCGACGATTCCTGCCCAACGTATGGAATATGCATGACGCCAGCTTTGTAGTAGGTATATACCTGGTTAGTAGATTGGCAGGGTCTGTGTGTTGTTCTTTGAGATTGGGGGTGTAGGTGGCAAGGCGATTACAGCAATGATGGCTACAGTGTACTTTAAAAAGACGATCGACTGCTTATCAATGACGGAGTTATCGTTTCTTTCTTTACTCTGTTTCGAACCTTAAGGTCAAGGTGAATTATGGTGGCCTTGTTAGTCCGGTAGATTTACTTTACTCAGTGCAGTGCAGTGTATGCGATGGAAAGGGTCAGTGGTGCGGGAGCGGAGTCTAAACTGATGGACGGATGATACCTGCAATAGGCCTGTTTGGGAAAGAGGTGTGGTCCGGGCGGGCGTGGGCTTGGGCGCCGCGCTGTGTGGCGCTCGTGAGCGTTCGGCCGGTATCTATTCTGTTGTAAGTTGGGTCTGGGTGGTGGTTTGGTGGTATGGAGTGTTTTGTTGGATTCTATACCTGTGGCGGTCTTGTTTCAATTCTATACTTGAGCGGCCTATCGTGGATCTGGGCGAATATCATGAATGTTTCTGTGGTTCTAGCAACTTCATGGACTGTAGATGTACTGGGAGGCTGAAAGGAAGGGGGGTCTGGGGGTTCTCCCCCGGGACGCTTATATTCTGATTATAAGGATTGAGATGCCTGGAAGGTTGAAAGTAAAAGGGAATCCTGGGGTTCTCCTATATTGGTTGTCGATGGAATGATGGCTGCAAGGATTCCGGTGGAATGTTCTTTGGCCTGTGGCTTTATCTTGCATTATATCTTGGGGAAGTATTAACATGAGTGAGTTGCGGACTGATTGTCCTGTTACTCTGGAGAAGATCGGAGATGGTCTTGGTTGTCTTCACTGGGAATTGGGTGTTGGTAGAAACGTCCGTAAGGGACTCGGTTGGTGAGTGGATTCATGGGTAGCTTCTACTTCGCATATCGTGGTGAAGCCCTCTATGTCAGACGGAACAGGAACTCCCTCCGTTGATAGACTCAATGCAGGCACTGTGTCAAACAGTGAGGAGCTTCCTACAGTGAGGACTTCCTACAGTGCATCCCTCAGCGGCTATCGCCGCCGCTGCCTCCACGGCCGCATCATGCATGCACCGATGCAGGTGTTTACCCCCTCGGATGACGGCAGCGGCCAATTGGACCCTCTCACCCCCATGCCATGTTGAGCTGGCCAGTGGGTGGGTTGCCATGCAGTCATTTCTATCGGGAATAAATTGCGCCGGGCGAATATCGTCCAATGTTCCCTGCATATCATGAGGAGTGCGTGGACATATGGAGTAAGATGTTGGTTGGATGGAGGTTCTGGAAAGATGCCTGGGAATAAAACCAGTCGAACCGCTTTAACCCCCGGCTAAATGCAGCCAGCAGCCTCCAATGGCACATGGGACTGGTGAGGTCATCCCGATCAGACCCTTGAATGTCACCATCATTGCTATCTGTGGAGGATACGACAGATTGTACGCTGTGTTGTCGGTATGAGTATGAGTAGCAGGATGAAAGGAAGGGCCGCTCGTGTAGATTGATTGTCTGTCTTGCCCAGATCCGAGGCTATCCGCCTGCTGCTGTGCTGATGTCTACCGCTTGGGCTAGTAGTCTGCGTCACTCCGTCTCGAAGGCCAACCAGTCATGTGCGGCACGTGATCTCCTGCGTCAAACCAGTCAAACTGCTGCTTCGGATTCGCTGGAAATGAAACAGTCTGACTTCAACGCACGTCTATCTACAAACTACACCTGCGACCTGACATACATGCTGGAAGACGATCTCCCTTCGGTGTTCCTCCTTTCCCTTCTTCTTTTATCTTGTCGCTCTTTCTCTCAACCATTGGTAAGTGATCAATTTCCTTCACTACTATCCACCCAGTCTTTGCTCTTTCCGACACCGGACATCCGATGCGTGCATGCGATCTGCTCGCGGCAGCAGCCTGGCAAGAGAAATCTCCCCCTGCGACGGACTAGCCACGCATACTTTACTGCTCCGAGTATCGCGTCGGTGCCTTAAACTGTCTTCGCTCTCAGGCGCTCAGGCTGCTCAGCCTTCTTACTCGTCCCATTATTATTCCATCATCATCTTCAACCACTTCCCAAGTCCCCCAAGGAAAAAAAAGGTCAGGCCATCGTGCTCTGGCCGGATCCACCCATCATCTCTTCCCACCCACCTCCCCTTCTTGACGCTGCTGCGCCTGGCATTGGCCCTGCCTGCCACCCCTGCCTATTTCCTCCTGCTGGCTGCTACTTGCTAGTCTGGTAGTGGTTCCATCCTCCTCGCGCTAGCTCAAAGTCTCAAACCCATTTTCTCTCCTTCTGCACCGCTGCTGAACTAGCGCCATCGTTGCTCCTGCTGCTTGGTCCTGCAACACTCACGACAAATCTGCTTTCTCCGTTCCATGAGCCCTCACACTGGAGGAGGGGCCTGCGTTGCGTGCTGGTCTGCTGCTACAGCCTACCGCTGCTGATACCGATCTCATCATCATCCACTTGGCTAATTCTACATCCACTGTTCCACTCGGTCCCTATCTTTATCTGACTCCTTCCCGGTGGTTCATGGGCTTCGCATGATCCCGGAATCTTTGGCAATTTGTCCCAACTGAGCTTGGATCATCCTAGCCGGGCACTTCATCAATTCACTGGTTTTTCCCCCCATCCACCCATACTTCCTCCCGACTATCTTCCCTTCATCTGTTGTCACTCCACCAAACTTTCTTTCGGCGTTTTCCCTCCAGACCACTACCTCCGCGATATTAACCGGCCTCCGCAGAACAGCGCCTGCTGAAAGTACCGCCTTTACGTCACGCTTCCTCCCCCGACCGCTGGGAATACCTATCCTGCCGTCGATCAGCGGTCGCTTCTTCCGACGACGGCATCCTGATCGATCTCTCCGACCAATTCTCCCACGTTCCGTTCTTTCCATCTTGAGATGATGGCGGCAGCGCTTGATCAACCCTTTTTCGAGCCGATCGCGGGCGGTCCGGCGACCCATGCGGCTTCAATCACGCCGCCTCAGAGCGCCAACGGCAAGAAGGAGGCCCCCGAGGGCGTGCCTTCCGAGCTATCCGATCTCGAACTGGACCACAATGTCGCCGGCGCCCAGGAGGAGATACCCTCGGTGGAGGCAGACGATGAAGAGATTGAGCCAGACCACTACTACGGTGGCGGCAAGATCCCGGTCTTCAAGCCGGTGAGTCGCTTTGTCTCCTGTTGACGGAGTTCGATCGACTAGCTCCTGCATTGGGCGCTTGGGCTAACTGGGAACTTGATAGACCATGAATCAGTTTCGAGACTTTCAGTCGTTCATCAACAAGGTTGAGGATTACGGCATGAGGTCGGGTATCATCAAGATCATCCCCCCAAAAGAGTGGTCAGTATGTGCGAATCATGCTACGAAACTAGCGCTGATGTGTTCTTAAAATAGGTCCGATGCCCTCCCACCCCTCGATGAAGCCGTGAAGAAAATTCGTGTGAAGAATCCGATCATGCAGGAGTTCCACGGTTCGCACGGAACGTACACGCAGGCCAACATCGAAAGACAAAGATCATACAACCTGCCCCAGTGGAAAGGCCTGTGTGAAGAAAGCAGTCACCAACCTCCCGCACGTAGAGGGGAACGACGTCGAAACCAAGAGCGAGTGAATCGCGCCCCTCCCGCGCCCCGGAATCAGACCCCTCGAGCAGACTCGCAAAAACGTCGTCCAGGCCCGGGCCGCCCGCCCAAACGATCCAACCAGGTCAAAGTCAAGGAGGAGCCTCAAGCCGAGGAAAGCCTCGACAAAATCAAGCAGGAAGGACCCCCGACTCCTGTATCTCCAGAGTCGAACCCGGTTGAGACAAAGACGGAAGAATTGAGCGACGGCGAATCCTTGCCCGGCCCCAAACCCAAAGGCCGGCAGCCCAAGTCGGTCACTGCGCGCAGAAAACACAACAAGGGTGGTGATGCAGTCGACTACGTGGACGAGGAAGCCTTCAAAGACTTCGATTACCGCATCCATGACAGCGAAGAATATACAGCAGAGAGATGCGAGGAACTCGAAACCGCCTATTGGAAGTCTTTGATGTTCAACAATCCGCTATACGGCGCAGATATGCCTGGTTCCCTCTTCGATGACAACATCACGACTTCCTGGAACGTCGCCAAGTTACCGAACTTGTTGGATGTGCTTGGACAGAAAGTACCGGGCGTCAATACTGCATATCTTTACCTGGGTATGTGGAAAGCTACGTTCGCCTGGCATCTAGAGGATGTCGACCTATACAGTATCAACTATATTCATTTCGGAGCCCCGAAACAATGGTACAGCATCTCTCAGGAGGATGCTCCACGGTTCGAACAGGCCATGAAGAGTAAGATGGCCAGCATCCCCACGGCCAGTTCTAGCGCTAACTCCAGATAAAGGTATTTGGCAAAGCGACGCCAAGAGCTGCGACCAGTTCCTCCGCCACAAGACCTATCTTGTCTCGCCCAGTCTCCTAAAATCGCAATATGGCATCACGGTCAACAGACTCGTGCATTATGAGGGCGAATTCGTCATCACCTATCCGTATGGCTACCATTCCGGCTACAACCTGGGTTATAACTGTGCCGAATCGGTCAACTTCGCAACGGAGAAGTGGCTGGACTACGGTCGAGTGGCCAAGAAGTGCCACTGCGAAGCCGACAGCGTCTGGATCGATGTCGACGAGATCGAACGAAAGCTTCGCGGCGAGGCGACCCCCGAGTACTACGGGGAATACGACAGCGACCTGGACGCGATGGAAGGTGCGTCGGATTTATTGACGCCGCCACGCAGTGTTCCCGAAAAGACATCTACTCGAGGGCGTAAACGGAAGCAGGATGGCGAATCTACAAAGGCGAAACGCATGCGGATGAATATGGAAGTCCCCCGCAAAATCCCCTGCGTCCTGTGTCCCAATGACCTCGGTTATGAGGACCTCCTCCCGACCGAAGATGGTAAGGCACATGCCCATCGGCGTTGTGCACTGTATACGGAGGAGACAACCATCCTTCGGGACGAAAGTGGTCGGGAGGTGGTTTGCGATGTGGATAAAATCCCTAAAGCACGCATGGGTCTCAAGTGTCTCTTCTGCCGGGAGGTGCGCGGGGCTTGCTTCCAGTGCAATTTTGGCAAGTGTACGCGGTCTTACCACGCCACTTGTGCGCTTTTGGCTGGCGTGCAAGTGGAGGAGGGGGTGATCGCCGTGATCGCCGACGATGGGGAACAGTACTCGATCCCTAGCGTGGATCTTAAATGCAAATACCACCGCCAGAAGAAACCGTCATGGATGGGCAACGGCGATTCGCTCGATTACGACCGGAAACTGATGCAGACTGCACGGCGATTGGTGGCTGGAAACCTGTTGCAGTTCCAGGCGGACAAGGAAATCAATGGGGCGGTCGTGCTCGAGAATCGACCCGAGGAGCGGACGTTGCTAGTTAAGGTGCTCCCTCGAGGGTAAGATAGCATCCCCCCCGCCTGTTTGGAAATTACCCGATTGGGCAATATCAAAAAGGTACTGTTGCAGTGATGGGAATGCCTGACTAACTGACGAGATCGACGCCCAGGGATGTAATCGAAATACCCTACCGATGGATGCTTGTCGTTCGACGGAGCAATTTCTCACCGCTGGCACCAGGAACCAAGCCTCTTCCTGCCCACTTGGCTCGGAAGCCCGAGAGCCGGAAAGAATTGGAGTCAGCCGTGCCGGTGGCAGGAAATCCGTTTGGTGATGGAGACTCCCCGTATCAGTGGGCCGAGTTCGAGACGGTGGACAGCACTAGTTACCATATTGCCCCACCATCGGCGCCCATCGACCTCCTGCAGCCGCAGGGCGAGAAGATCTGGTATTACCTGGGCGAATCCTCTACTGAATGTAGGGCTCAGTATACGCACAACCCTACTGTGCCTGTCCACAACCCGCGGGCGAATTTCCTGGACAGCGTTAAGTCCCTTGGCGCGGTGATGGCGCGGATCCCCTCTTACCCCCACCATCCTCTCCCTGCCACGACTCCGTATGCCCCTCACTTTGCTGGCGTTCCTCCTCACCACCTCCTGTCGCTTCCCACCGCCTCTACCGTCGCTGCTGCTGCTGCTGCTTCTGCCGCTGCCGCCAACACTACTACGCATCCCACCACTACCGCTGCCGCTGCTGCCGCTGTCGCTGCTGCTTCCCGCCCTTCATTGCTGCAGCGTTCTTCTCTTGCCCCTCCACGCCCTACGCTTTCTGCTGCTGCTGCTGCTGCTCCTCCGCCTCCTGCTGCGATGCCGTCTGCTTACCGTACCCTGCCAACGCAATCTGCCCGTCATGCTCCGTACCCGCACGTCACCAAGTCGCATTTGCAGCCCCATGCTCGTCAACACTCCCAGGCTCATTCCACCCATCAGTTCCCGCCGTCACAATTATTACAACAGCAGCAGCAGCAGAACAACAACAACAACCACAATCACCTCCCTGCGAATAATTTTGCTAATGTTCGAGAGCTGATTGCTCGCCGTCGCCTGGCGCAGATCACCGACCATGCCAACGTCTTCGCCGGTTATACCATTGTCAGCCCCGAGCTGGTTGTTGAGACACTGCTGGGTCCGCTGGGCTCCGTCCCGCCGTCCATGGGCTTGGAGAAGTTGGAACTGGCCATGGCCCAGCAGCGAGTACAACCTCGAGCCCCGGATGGCTCTCTCCTCCCGCTGCAGCCCTTGAACATGCGATCGGAAGAGGTGACTCGGCTGTTGCAGATGCTCCGCTTCTCACTGGTGAGTCATCGGGACCGGCTAGACGTGCTGCAAAAGAAGGAGCCGGCACCCATCAAGCAAGAGGCGGTGAACGGCAGTGGCTTGGCAATCTCCAAACTGCCACGCACCTACGCTTATCTCGAGCAGCAGCGTGAGCAGGCCCCGACCGTGTACCAGTCCCCCTACGACATGCCATCCGGCTTTACGGAATATGCCCAGAAGACATTCGGCCTGACTCGCGTTGAGCCTGAACTGCCCCGGCCCTCTCTCGCCAACGACTTCTTTGCCAGCCTTTCTCCTGCCGACCAAGAGAAGATCCTGAAGACATGTGGCAGTTTCGTGCAACGGGCCATCGAACGGTCGGCCAGCCATAGCCGTCAAAGTTCCGCTTCCAATCTCCGCCTGGCATCAGTGCTCGCTCGGCAGACGGAGAATCCGACCATTGATATCACAACGGTGGAAGATATGCATTTCCCCAACTTGGACCTCCCGTTGCACGCCGACTCGCCCTGCTCGAACTTCAGCCGATCGCATCTGCGATTCCAGTCTCCAAATGAGTTCGCTCATCATGGACCGGAAAATCATCATGATCATCATGATCTGTTCGGCGACCAACAGGCGAACACGAGGTTCTGGCAACATGGGCCCTGGGCCGCCGGCGATGGGAATACCCCCAATGAAGAGAGTCGACCCTTCTTTGGCCCCCACGAACGACTGAAGCATGACTATGCGTCATCGGACATATCTCTAGGCCGCGGGGGTCCTGGTTCTCTGCACTCAGTCGACATGGCTGGGTTTGGCATGGACGGAACGGAAGACATTGGCGCGGTGCTGAGCCCCTAATTCAGGTACAGCTTAGCCGTGACCTGACGTATATGCCTGCGATGATACTTGCATCCTCATCTTTCACCCTCATCATTATCATCATGTAACGACTTATCTGGATTGACGACTGCATGACTGGGCGTTTGCGATTCTTTCGATTGTGCTTTTTCTTCTTTTCTTTTCCCCTGGGACGAGGATCATTCACCATGAAGTCAATACTAGCTGGCTAGCAGCGACTCAGCTTGGGGCCCCTTTTCGATCAGGCTTTTGATCTTCCCCCATTTTTTTCATCCTCCGGGGTATGAAGGGTAGATGTCTTCTATCTACCCTCAAGAAGCGATCAACTGAAGGGCCCAAATGGCGGTGGGCCAAGGCGTTGTCCCGGTGCCCATCCGCCCAACGCGGGGCGTCTTGATGCCCGGACTGGTTCCCTTCCCACCGTTGCTCTAACAGATCTCGCTTCGACTATTCTTCTACCCTGGTCTCTTTTTACACCTTTATTTATCCAGCACGTTTCCCCTTTGCCCCGTTGTTCCCGACACCTGGACTTTCTTCCACCCAAGCGTTGGAAGAAGTATTGGGGCCTACTGCCGCCCCAAGACAGGTTTACCACATACACTAGAGATGCGACATTACCCTCAAAAACCCCCAGAAAAAAGCATCTATTACCCATACTCGATGAACAGAAAATGCCTCGAGCAGAGGCGAATGAAATGTCTCTAATCGTGAGCCCCGTGTTTGATACCCCCTTGTACCCCCCTCACCCAACTCCGAACCCTCCTCCCCTTATCCGTTGTTATCCTCGTTTTCGGTCCGTCTGTTGTTTTCCCCTCTTCGTCGGGACCTACCTCTCTTTCTGGATCTGTTTGGCGCTCATCCTCCCGGCCGGACCTGCCCAGGTCCGTGCTGACAATGGATGTGGCAGCCGTCACTGGAACAGTGACAATTCACCGCGCTGTATGTACCTAGCGAAAGGATAGCCGTGAATCACTGATACGTTAGAGACCCATGTGTACTCTTCGTGTAGCTGTAGTTGTAACTTGTTGTACAGTATGTACTTATGTTGCCGTGGTGGGATTAGGCAGCGACCTCGGACTGGGTCATACTTACCCGGCGGGGGAGCCAAAGTCAACAACGCCATGGTTGAGGCAGGCTTGAGGCAGGCTTGAGGCACGAGCGAGAGTTCGGGCCTTCAGTCAGTCATCCGGATTTACCATCCGCGTAAACTGCTGTTGTCCTTTGATCATATATGAATCTTATTTGAAGTGGTCAGGTCAAGAAAAAGGGCCACGATAAGAGTCGTATCCTTATCCACTTGATATCAGGCTTGAATCATCCAGTTCACTGAACTATTCACTATCGTCGTCTTATCAGCGCGGTCTCGGACCGCGCCCCTTTAGGGTCTTTAGCCCGACAGCGGAGTCTTTTAGTGAAGGAGTTTATCGAGCCTGCCGGCCGTTGATTGGTAAATCCCCCGCTTAGACGATGGGTCCGGGTTTAGTCTTGTCTGGAGAGAAAGAGAGAGGGAGAGAGAGGGTGATTGTGGTCACAAGTGGATGGGGAAGAAAGTGGTGAAAAGTTGAGGAGTGGTGGAAGACGTGCGGGGGAATAAGCATTGAGTTCCAGTTCCATTCAACGACTACATCACTTTACTGTTGTTGTTGTTACTATCAACAGCCACCACTTCACTGTTTCACTTGTCTGTCTGTCTGTCTGTCTGTGACATCCCATCCCATCCCATTTATACGGTCCCCCTCCCTCTCACCTTCCTCGCTCAGCAATCTGGTCGGGTTCATTAATTTACCTTTCAGCTTTACCTGACCTGCAATGACAAGCTCCAATTAACGTCTCTCAACCTTTATCACCAACATGCGTCGGGCCTCTGTGGATGCCACCGCCGACGAGGCGTTGGCTCGCATGGGCTACAAGAGCGAATTGCCGCGCAATCTGAGCATGCTCAGTATTCTGGGCCTGTATGTCGACCGTCATATTGCACCACCAACTATGTGAATCCCTGCTGATGAGAATAGGTCCTTTGCGATCATGGCCGCACCCTTCGGACTCAGCACCACCCTCTACATCACACTCACCGATGGCCAGTCCGTCAGTATCATCTGGGGCTGGGTGCTCGTTACGCTCATCTCCATCGCCATCGCCGCGTCGCTCGCCGAAATCTGCGCCGTCTATCCCACTGCCGGTGGCGTATACTACTGGAGTGCCATGCTCTCGACCCGACGCTGGGCCCCAATGATGTCCTTTATTGATGGCTGGCTGACCCTGGTCGGCAACTGGACCGTCACCCTCAGCATCACCTTCTCCGGTGGCCAGCTGATCCTGAGCGCCATCTCCCTCTGGAATGAGGACTTCGTGGCCAATGCGTGGCAGACGATCCTCACCTTCTGGGCTGTTATCCTCTTCTGCGCTCTGGTCAATATATTCTTCTCCAAGTATCTCGATCTGATCAACAAGGTGTGCATCTATTGGACGGCTGCCAGCGTGGTTATCATCCTGGTTACCCTCTTGACGATGGCGGACCAGCGCCGGGATGCGAAGTTTGTGTTTGCTCATTATGACGCATCGCAGAGCGGCTGGTGAGTCTTACCTTCTTTTCGTCTGGATGTGGTTCGGACCCCTGCTGACCTGAGAAACAAGGCCATCCGGCTGGGCCTTCTTCGTGGGACTGTTACAGGCTGCGTATACCTTGACCGGATACGGAATGGTGGCGTCGATGTGCGAGGAGGTGCAAAACCCGCATCGCGAAGTGCCCAAGGCGATTGTCTTGTCGGTAGCAGCCGCCGGAGTTACGGGTCTGATGTACTTGATCCCGATCCTGTTCGTCCTGCCCTCAGTGCAGTCCCTGCTGGATGTCGCCAGCGGCCAGCCGATCGGGCTGATCTTCAAGACGGCGACCGGGTCCGCAGGCGGCGGATTCGGACTCTTGTTCTTGATCCTAGGGATCCTGATGTTCGCGGGCATCGGCGCGCTCACGGCCGCCAGCCGCTGCACGTACGCCTTCGCGCGCGACGGGGCCATTCCGGGTTTCCGGCTCTGGCGGCGGGTCAACCAGCGTCTCGACGTGCCCGTGTGGGCGATCGTGCTGTCGACCGCCGTGGACTGTCTGCTGGGGCTGATCTACTTCGGGTCCAGCGCCGCCTTCAACTCGTTCACCGGTGTCGCCACCATCTGCCTATCGACCTCGTACGGGCTGCCGATTCTGATCCTGATGTGTCGCGGTCGCCGGGCGGTGCGCGACTCGAGCTTCTCGCTCGGCCGCTTCGGGTACGCGATCAATATCCTGGCCGTTTGCTGGATCGTGTTGGCGGTGGTGCTCTTCTGTATGCCTGTGTCGCTGCCCGTGGATGCCAGCAGCATGAACTACGCCAGTGTGGTCTTCGCTGGCTTCGCGGCCATCAGTATCGCGTGGTATGTGGTCTATGCCCGCAAGCATTTCACCGGCCCGCCCGTGGCCGAAGAGGTCGATGGCATGCCCGGCGTGATGACGGGGAAACCGGTCGATCCGGAAAATGTCCTTGCGGAAGAGGAGAAGGGCCGAAGTAATAGTACGGGCAAGATTTGAGGGGTTGTCTTTGTTTTTGGTACTGCACATATTTATACTATGATGATGTGGGGTTCTTGGTGATCCGCTCGAGCTATTACTGTATAGTCCATACGAATATGATGAGATGTCTATTTGATCGGCCTAATACTCTGTTGCCTATTGTAATCATGCAAATGAAATAGAGCAGCTACGCATATGAGAAATCTCATGTGAGTATCTAGTGAGGACTGGGTCATAATCTGATGCCCGTGGCAGTCACAGTAGCCGACCATCGCAACAATCACAAGGGCGGGCGGTCGTCGAGCAGCGGCAGCCCAGGCTGAGCCGCGGTTGACCCGATCCGTCAATCAGTCCATTCCACTCCAATCAATCAATCCAGTCTATTCCAGCATCTCTTCAATCCTGCATGCTCCCTCATTTAGCCCTCCGACACGCTTCTTCATTTCAATTCAGTTTCCTTGTTGATCACTCCAATCCAAACCCAACTCCAGGGACAATCCCCCCCTCGCGCCGCGCAAATCTACTTAATCAGTCAATCAAGCACCTGCCCCCTCGACTCCGAAATCCGGGGAAGCTCGTCCACGGCTTCGCGGCCAACCTCTACCTCGCGACATTCACAGCAGCACCATAACGAAAAATCCCAACCCCAGAGCCCAATCGCCCTCCCTACGCATCCACGAGCCAACGGCCGAAATACGATTTAATCTTCCGATGCGGTATTCCCGCTGCAACACCTCATACCTACCGCCATCGCCGCCTCCGCCTCCGCACCGCCCGCATCCACTGCGCTCATGAAGCCATCCTCGACCGTACAACCGGGTTCAGGTCTGTTGTGGCTGTTGTTTGAATCATGTCGGATTCAGTGGGTGCGTTATATCTTCTACTGGGGTGATCTTGGTTTTCGGTTATGGTTTTGGGACAGGAGGGAGGGAGCTAGCTGCACCGCTGCCTCCATTCGTTCCTGGCGGCCATAGCATGCCTCTACGTATAACACTCAGAAAGCGAGGGATAGAGGCTGACAGACTTTCGAACCCTATGCAGATCGCGTCTTCGTCCACGCGCTCAACACGGTGAAACGCATCCCCCGCACGGGGACGGCGCGCCCGCCTGCGTCTGAGCGGTTGAAGTTATATGGATTGTATAAGCAGAGTATGGGTACGTTTCTCCCGTTCTTTTCTCTCTCTGGAAATGCGCAACCAGGCCAGGTAAGATACCTACCGGATGGAACAACCGACTGACCTTTTCCCTGGTTGTCGAGTGTAGAAGGCGATGTCGAAGGCGTCATGGACCGGCCGGTGGGGAATACCTCGGATGTGTTTATGGAGTGTGAGAAGTGGTACGTTCATTGTTTCTTGTTTCTGGCCTGGGCTACTTGTCGCTTGTTTCTCGAATGGCTCAGTGCTCAGTCCTCGCTTGGGAGTGTCATGCATGCTGATAGGAAGCACAGGGACACTTGGTACGCCCAGCGCGGCCTCTCCCGCACCGAGGCTAAACGCCGCTATATCTCTACCTTGATCGAGACGATGCACCAGTATGCGTCGCAGACGGCTGAGGCCCGTGAGCTCGTCGCTGAGTTAGAGTTCGTTTGGGATCAGATTAAATCTAATACTGCTTCGTTGTCTTCTTCTTCATCTAGTGAGGAGGCTGTGCGGAGGAGGGCGGGGTTGGGGGGTGAAGGGGATGCTGGGGTTGGGGCTGGTAGCAGTGCGTCAGCGACGGGGCGTCGGTTGTCGCGCGAGGAGTATGCGAGGTTACTTCTTGCAGCGTCGGTGTCGGAAAGGGCCGAGTCGCCTCGTGGAGGTGGATATGTCCGGGATGATCATGGGGGTTCCGGCTTGAGAGTGCTCAGTCCTGTGAGTCAACCCGGCGTGTATTCACGGCGTGGTGAGGAGGGTGATGGTGTTGAGAGACACAAGGAAAACGACGACGATGAAGAAGACGAGGAAGAAGTCTACGCCGAGGCCCAAGATAATCTCTACAATGACGACGATAATCGCGACGAGGACCCCAACAACTACCCGCGACAGCAACAACCACATAACTATAACTACAAGGTCGAAACAGAAGACCCCCCCGATCCCCCGTCGAGGGGCCGCCCGCAATCCTGGCGTCGCCGAGTCGAGCAGGCCTTGACCACGATGACGGCCGAGATCGCCGCCGTGCGCGAGCAGATGGAGGCGCGCGCCCGCGCCCAGCGCCGCCGCTCCGGCCTCTGGGCCTGGATCCGCTGGTTCCTGTGGGTGTGTCTCCGCCAGATGATGGTTGATCTCGCCCTCCTTGGGGTGCTGTTACTGTGGCTGCGCCTCCGGGGGGATCGACGGCTGGAGGTCGTGCTGAAGGTTGGTTGGGCAGAGGTTAAGAGTCGCTTAGCGAGGACAAGTAGACTCTTGCTCGCGCGTCCGAGACCTCGAGGGGATTCTTGAGGTATTTCCCTGGGGGTAGAACCTTCGAGGTATTGCCCTTGAAGCATTCCCCTCAAAGTAATCCCCTCAAGGTCTGGTGTTTGATACGATCTCTCTTTAGATCCCTTTTGGGCTCCCGTTTCTTTTGTTTCACGTACATATCTATATATCTCTTATCTTTCTCTGCATGTATGCGTGACATCTTGATGGTGGATACGTTTTCTTTCTTCGGTGAGTTTTCCTTGTTATGAGTGAGTGGTTGAGAGCGCTCTGCATTCCGAGTGCGTCTGGATCTGTGTCAATTGGTCGGTCATACCATGTACTTGTACTATATACTACCCTCAATATAAATTAAACATCTAGCGCTGTTTCCCGCTAGGCAATTGCGATAGCCCCAAAGACATCAATCCCAGTTGTCCTACGTCCGATACATCAAAAGCAACGAATCAGTCCCCAATAAACGTATTCCAGATGCTAATATATACACATACACACACTCAACGACGAGTCAAACACATTCCGATCGGATAAACTCTAGGAGAAAGAAACACACCTCCCCTCCCTCCTCGAAAGCAGGACCAGAGCGAGAATAAAAAAAGGAAAACACACGACCATAAGTTTGCTGCAGACAAGCATACACCACCACCGCCGAGGCTTAATCATCCAGGATGGGTGTCCCGTCGGGTTTGGCGTGCCACTGCTTGCCGGGATAGCGCGAGTAGATCTGTGTCGGGCGCAGGTGGACGGGGGTCTGGTCTTTGGGAGCGTCGGGGATGGTTTTTTTGAGGCCCTTGATATCTTTGTTAGTGATTGGTTTGCGGAGGGTAGGGTTGAGGATTACGACCAGGTTACTGGGGAATTGGGCAATGGACAAGGGGCAATAGAAGAGGAGGGGGGTTGACTGACCAGCTTCTCAAAAACACACGCATTCAAGCTCATCTCCGACTTACGGCAGTCCCACAGGCGGTGGTTGTTGTTCTCCAGGCATTCGTAGTGCGCGGTGAATTGCTTCAGACAGTGGGTGTTGATGTCCTTGATCCTGTTGTACATTGATCGAGGATTAGTAGAGATCGTAAGGATGTTTTGTGGGAAAAAGCTCAATCGACAGCTGCTCGAAGGGTCAACATACACACTCGCGGCGCAGCGCGTCACCTTCCGCCCTTCCTTCAGACACTCCAGCTCACCCCGGCCGTTGGACTCGGCCTTGCACTTCATGAAGTCGTCGTTGTACGCCCGGCACCGGTCGCCGATGAAGTACGCCGCGCTGAGCAGCGGTGCCGACGTCGCGCCGATCTCCTCCACCTTGGGGATGTGGTCGGGCATCGGCGTGGTGTCGATGAGCACCTGTTGGGAGAATCTGCATTGTTCGTGTTGTTAGTTCTGGAACTTTCTTTGGGGGATGCGGAAGCCGAGGATTAGGGAGTTCAATGGTGTGGGTTGAGTTGGGCGTGGGTTCGTAGGGTATATGCAATGGCAAGTAGACAGGTGGTGGTGGTGGTGGTGGTGGTGGATGTATCCGGATGTACAACGGCGGTTGGTTCAGTGCAATTGCCTCGCTGGTGGGCTAACGTACCTGCTCTCGCGGCGGGCCATGGTGACGGTTGTTCGGATTGAATCCGGGGTCTTGTTCTGTTGTAATTGGGGGGATATTCAATCCGGACGAGGAGAGGGGGAGGGTTGCGGGTTGGCGGGCTGTACAAGGTCGTCGATGAGTTGAAGCTGCGGCGGAGAGGTTTGGAAGGTCGGTTTTTGCTGCATGCTGATTGGTGGGAGACTTGCTGATTAGGTAACTGAGTCGACCTCAGGGCTGTCACGATGTAGCCTGAGGCAGGAGATTCGGGATGAGTGGTGGCCTGAGGGGGTATCGATGTGGAGGCAGAAACTGACCGCCCCGGGCTTATGCTGCGGTCTGCACGTGACCTGCGAAAAACAAAGCCGTTCCCCGAACAGAAGCGCTGAGTCGCAGCTCCGCATCTCTGTCCTGCGGCTTGTTTCTGTCCTTGTGCGCGATTGTTCTGGTTTCAAGAGCTGTGGTGCAGGTATCGCTCTGCTGTGACCACATATTACGAAAGGTGCCCGGTTGTCGTTCGCAGCTGCCGACTCCATCGCCGAACTTCCTTTCTATCTCGTACCAGCTCGGAGCTTGGATTCTCTCGTTCCTACTGCAACAATTCAACGAACCGGCCCTGACTTTCCCTTCTCACCACAACCACACATCATGTCATTCTTCAGTCAAGCGCCGGTCCAGATCTCTGGCGGTGGCTCTGTCTTCGGCTCCGATAACTCTAGAACCGCTGGTGGTCTCTGGGGAACTGCCGGCACCCAGCAACAATCGACCCCAGGAACTGGCGGTGGTCTTTTCGGAAACACGGCAGCTGGCACCCAGCAACAATCGAACACAGGTGGCCTGTTTGGCTCTACAGCCGCCAACCAGCAAAAGCCAGCCACCAATGCCTTCGGCGCTCTGGGCCAGACGGCGCAACAGTCGCAGACGCAGCCCGCAGGAGGGAGTTTGTTCGGAGGGTTGGGCCAGAAGCCTCAAGGCACCACCGGTCTATTTGGCCAGGCTGCACAACCGCAGCAGCAAGGAGGTCTGTTCGGAGGCTCTTTACTAGGCCAACAGCAACAGCAGCAGCAGCAGCAACAGCAACAGCAACAGCAACAATCCGCTTCGTTACTGGGACCGGGGTTGCAAATCGGCCAGCTTAATCCACCTTCGCAATTTTCGCAACAGCTGGGGTCGAGTCTATGGGAGCCCGGACGGGCCGTAACGGGAGGTTGGTGGTTGTATCTCATCACCTCTTACATGTACTGATCTTGTTTTCCACTAGTCCACCGCACCGTCCCCATGCAAATCCAGATCGTCAAGGACAAGTGGGATCCGAGCAGCCGCGCCTCCCCCTTCCGCACCTACTTGTACAACAACGTTGGCGAAGACGCGGCGCCCTTCTACCAGCCAGGTGTAGGCGATGACGAGACGAAATGGGAGGACGCGCTCCGGAAACGGCCCGACCCCGGCTATGTGCCTGTCCTGGTGCAGGGATTCTTCGACCTGGGCAAGCGCGCGCAGCGCCAGAAGGACTTCCTCACCATGCTGCAGGGCCGCCTGCACGAAATCAACAACTCGCTGACCGAGCTCCTGTCGAAGCATGACCTGAAGATCAGCGTGCGCATCGCCGACTGTCGCCGGAAACACCTCGTGCTCAGCAAGCGATGCCTGACGCTGGCGGCCAAGACCCAGGTGCTCCGCAACCGCGGCTACGCTATGGATGATGCGGAAGAGGAGCTGAAGAAAAAGTTGACGCAGCTGGAGCGGTCGGTCTTTGACCCGTCGCTGAACGGCCGTGGGGAGGAGATCTGGGCGCGCATGCTGGCTATCCGGGAGCACTCGCGTCGCTTGCAGCAGGAGTTGGAGCGGGCGGGGCCAAATGCCACGGCACAGGCGGAGGATGATCTGGATGAGCAGACATTGAAGACGGCGAAGAAGGTAGGCACACGTTGCAATCGAATGGGGAAATGCGTCTGCTAACCGATGACTAGATATTGGACGATTACCACATGCAGATCCAGCACCTACAGAAGGAACTGGAGTCGGTCAAGAAGGATTTCGAAGAGTCGCAGAAGCTCCCCAGCGGCGGGCTCCATTAATCGTAGTGTTTTATTCGTTTGCTTTCCTTTTGAATCGAATCTATTACGAACCGGGCCGTGTTTCCACTTACTGCTTGATTTTGATGACTTGATGGGGCAGCAGATCGTGATTTACCGGAGTTTCGAGGAGCTGGTTTCCGCAACATACCGTCGCCCGCATTTGCAATGGGAGAGGGTTTTCCTTTATCGTTAAGCGCAGAGTCGAGACAAATAGCAACACCCAAAAGATTTCTTCTAAGTTGATGGTTCCTTCAACGGATCTAGTGTACATAACAGTTTCGTGTCCATCCCGGCCTTGGTTTCAATACCATGTCCTTCAATCCGGTAGTAGTGGGAGCTGGAGTCATCGAAGCGGCTGGAAGATCGAAGGCGTGTGCGCGATTACAAAAACTTCTTGACGAAGTCGAGGGCGAAGGGGGCTGCGAGAGCATCACGGTTAGCTTTGAATTAGTGCAGTGATGAGCGAAACGTACAGAGGTAGAGGAGGACACCGCCAGTGACAGCCATGCGGATGGTCTGGTTAGCCTGGGCCTCACCAGCCTGTAGGTATTAGTTAGCATCAATGCTTATCCATTGTCCCATGAGCCATGGCCCATGTATGCTAGCATGGGCATGGATCATAGCGGTCGGGCAATCATCACCTTGATGTCCTCACGGGAGAGCTGTTCTTGGCCTGTATGAAAGAGAATTAAACGGCTTGTCTTCCTGCCTCTATATGAAGGCCGAACTCACCTGGAGCGAACATTGTAAAAGATTCTTTGCGAGAAGACGAGCAAGAGACGTGAGGATGAAGATCAGCGGATGGAGGATTGAGATCAACTATATGTGAATCAGCTTGCTTTGGCAGTCGCCGGAGCAATTGAAGGAAAAGAGATTCTGCCGAGCACGGACCAACCTGCGGAGGCGGAACCGATTCCTCCATCCTGCCTGCTTGCCTTCGCCGTCGTCTTCTTACTCTTCCTTTCTTTCATCCACGGTTTCATTTGTGTGGTCGTCTGTTCGTTACTTTCCGTGACTATCTGTGTTACTGACAAGGGGGGAAAGATCCGAGAGCGATATTTGGGAAAGAACACCTCCCTTCCACCTGAGCTGCCTCAGGGTCGAGACGAACACAACATCACTACACCATCACCATCACATCTCCTCCCTAAACTCCAACCAACAACAACACTTAAACTCCCCCACCGACCGCTATCACATCCATAACAGTCAAAATGTCCGAACTCAACAGCCCAGAACACCGACCCGCCTCGCCCGTCGTCGACGACGAACCCGCCCGGGCTCCCACCCCCGACGCTGGCGCCGGCTCCGACGAGCACATCCATAACGAAGCGGCGGCCGCCGAGGAGAGCGATGGCAACAACAACCAGAGCCGTGATGACGTCTCGGAGCAAGAAGACAACGACAACGACGGCGCCAACGACTCAGACGACGAGTCGATCCTCTCGGAAGTCGACGAGGCGCAGTTCGAGGACTTCGACCCGGAGAACGTCGACATCGAGGACCGCCCGCAGCTCGCCATTGACGAGGACAACCTGAAATTGATCGGACGGCACAAGCGCAAGCGCACCGACGGGGGCGAGGGCGAGGGGCGGTCGATGCGGAAGCGCGAGGGTCGGCGCGAGAAGAAGAGTCGGCGCATGCGGGAGCTGGAGGAGGGGGGTGGTGGGAGTGATGAGGAGGGGGGTGGGAAGGCTGGCGGTCGGCGGAGGGGCGCGACTAAGAAGAAAGAGGTTCCGCTTGAGGATGATGAGACGTTGGATCCGGCTACGAGTGAGTCTTTCCCTTTCTCCTTTGTGATGGGCTGGGGAGTATGCGGGGTTGATTGGGTTTACTAACTGGGTTGGTCGTATAGGACGGAGGAGAGCGCTCGATCGTGCTATGGATGAGGCGATGAAGAAGCCGACTAAAAGGCGGTTTCGCAAGGCGGATGGCATTGTATGTTCTCCGACCAGATCTCTTACGCTTGCTATGGTGGTTGGGTTTACTAATGATATGGTTTCTAGGATTTGGAACAAATGGCCGATGCTGAGATTGAAGATATGCGCAAACGCATGACCCACGCCGCGCAGTTGGATGCCATCAACCGTCGCGAAGGCAAGCCTGCGATGCACAAACTCAAGATGCTCCCCGAGGTCGTCTCGTTGCTGAACCGCAACCAATACGTCAACAGTCTGGTCGATCCCGAAATCAACCTGCTGGAAGCCGTCAAGTTCTTCCTCGAGCCGCTGGACGACGGGTCGCTGCCCGCTTACAACATCCAGCGCGATCTGATGACGGCGCTGGGTAAGCTGCCCATCAACAAGGAGGCATTGATCGCCAGCGGCGTCGGCAAAGTGGTCGTGTTCTACACGCGCAGCAAGCGGCCGGAGCCGGGCATCAAGCGCATGGCGGAGCGCTTGTTGGCTGAGTGGACGCGCCCGATCCTGCAGCGCAGCGACGATTACTCCAAGCGGGTGTACCAGGAGGCTGCTTTTGATCCTACGTATGTATCTTCCGTTTGTCTTTCTCCGGTCCATTCGCGATCGCTTGTTCTGGCGATCGCTGCGTTCTCCCTGTCGGGCTATCGAACTGACTTCCACCAGTCAACTGAGCACAACTCGCACCAAATCGGCGCAGACGACAGTGGCGGAGGCGCGCGCGCGCGAAATGCTGCCGCCGCGACTGGCGAACCGGGCGCGGGCGGACCTCACGCATACGAGTTACACGGTGGTGCCGCGACCGACGATGGTGCAAGAGAGCAAATTCGCGCGACCTTTGGGCGCCAGCGGCGAGGATCGGTTCCGGAAGATGCGGGCGCGACAGATTGCGGCGGCCAAGGGATCGCGGCGGTAGGCGAAAGTGGTTTATTTCGTAGTTGGCTGCATATCTTTTTTTTTTTTTTTTTTTCGCTTCATTCTTCGTATTCATTTATTTACGGACGGGACGGCGCAGGATTTGGGGAATGAATTGTAATCATTTGATTAAGCTTACGGAGTAAGAAGACGGAGAGAGGAAAAAAAAATCTGACATCCCGGCTGATCAGGCCATGTACTAAAATAAAAGGAAAGACGCGATCCGTTCCTACAACACCCGGTATACGCCCGGGGATCTCGCGCAAAAATGAAAACGCAAATAGAAGGGCCAGAGGCAAGGGTGAGTAATCGCCGACTCGGCAGCAGAGATCCGAAGTGATACTATGGTTAGAGCCTATGAGAGAGGCCAGAATTAACTCACCATGACAGGATGCAGTACCTAACGTGCAGCAAAGGCCGCCGAAACACCGAGTATGAGCCGCAGATCCCGTTGCGGGTTGCAAGACGTCACCGGGTTTTGCTCTGCCGGGGCGTCTTCCCTTATATTCCGCCGTCTGCCACAAAGTGCCACACTGCCTTTTTCCTGTTCCCTCTCTCTTACACCTACACAAATCATCATTCCTGCCCTCATTCACTTGCGCACTGCACCGCACATACTGTGTGTCCGATCTTGTGTGCACAATCCTTGTACCTACATCATTGAAGCAAATACATTGGTCATCACTGTACCGTCCCGAATCGCACCATGAAGCTCCTTACCAAGCAAGAAGAAGATGCCCACTACCGGTAAGTCATCTGCAGTGCTACCCCAGCATTCTACAATCTACAATCTACTATCTACCCACCCACCTCACCCCTTCAAATCACTTACTTCCAAGCTAACCTCCTTTTTTTTCCCCGGGGCAAACAGCTCAGTCGTGAAAGGCGGCACAATCGGCGGGATCCTCGGTCTAATCGGCGGAGTCGCCGGCGTCCTCGCCTTCAGCAAGCGCTCGAGCACAGTCCGCAACCTGACGCTGCCGATGAAATCCTTCCTGGTGACCTCGTCGGGTACGTTCGTGGGCATCGTCGCGGCGGACCACGCGTCGCGCGACTTCGAGGCTTCGCGCAACGCCAGCCAGATGTGGTACCAGAACCGCACGGAGCGGCTGCGGCAGGAGGAGCTGGCGCAGCTCTCGACCGTCGACCGCCTGACCGCGTGGGCCAAGCGCGAGAAGTACAAGATCGTCGGCGCCACCTGGGTGGCGTCCATGGTCGGCTCGTTCGCCATGGTCAGCCGCAATAAGTTCTTGAGTAGCTCGCAAAAGATCGTGCAGGCGCGTGTCTATGCGCAGGGTCTGACGCTCGCGGTGCTGGTCGCTAGTGCGGCGTTTGAGATCCATGATCAGCGCAAGGGCAAGGGCATCCTGGATAAGGCCAAGGCCGAGAAGGAGGAGGCCCAGAAGCAGAACTCTCAGGAGTTGGCCTCGCATGAGGAGACCGGTGATCTGTGGAAGGATATGGTTGCGGCTGAGGAGGAGCGCTTGAAGAGGAAGAAGCAGAGCTTGTATGAGCATGATTATCAGGAGGGACATGCTAAGGATGGCGAGAAGAAGCAGGAGCAGCAGCAGCAGGAGCAGCAGCAGGGAAAGAAGGAGCCCGAGGCTGAGAAGAAGGAGTAGAAGCCTTTTTACTTTTTGCTTTCTTTGCTTCTTTCTCTCTGGGCTGGCGGTCGTCGTTGGTGTCTGGATAGACTGTGATCTGCAGGTTTGGATCACTTGGTTTTTTATTTTTCTCTTTGTGTCAAAAGATTTATTGTGTGATTATGACGCTCCTCTTAATGCAGCCTTCACGAGACTACTTCTTCTACTCCTTGACGGACCCTTCATTTTAGTTCATATCAAATATCTGCAATGCTTCATTCCTCTTGGGATGTATGTACTGTACAGCCGGTCAAACAGTGAAATCCCATGACGTCATGATATCGTCGTCTGGCAGCGGCTCACTGTTTTGGTTGCTGGTCAACATTTCAGAGGCCGGAGTTTGCTATCCCATGCACAATCAAGGCCAATCCACTCCGTTAAGATGAACGATGCTTTGATGGTTGAGCATCGGCGAACCTGTATCTTGATCAGGTGACTTGGCGGCGTTGTGATGGCAGGGTCGGACTCCATGAGGGGTGCTTTCCCGTTTGGGAAGGCGGTTACCTTCCGTTTTTTTTTGGGGTTGGTGCCTAGGCACTTCAACTCCCTTCCTCGACTCGATCTTTGTTCCTCTCACGCCTGAGTTCTTATCATAAGCATCCTCAGTTAGTCGAGAATTCCTCGTTCCAGTTATTATCGAAATAGTCTTTCTCAGTGTCTAGTAGAGTTACCGACTTAGTGATTGCTTCAGAGGAGAATGTATTTGAAAACATTCATGTACAGAAAAGACACTGATTGGGAAAGCAGAGGACCGGTGCCTATACCCAAATCATCACAATACAAGCTGAAGGTACAGAACGGCCTAATAATTGAATCGGTTTTACCATATAGTCAGCAATCATCAGTCCTAGTTACTTCACATGACATCATAAGGCACATATATGTATCCATCAAATTAAGCCATGGTCTTCTCGGTTGCCACAGTCTCCTTCCCCACCCACTGTGATTCCTCCATGTTATTCAGCTCATCCTCCTCCTTATCCAACTTCAGATTACTAAGATAGAACAAGTTCCCACCAATGAAGGCCAACACCGCCACGAACCCATAGTTCCAGATCAACAGCGGGTCGGTCGACAGAGCGGTCAAGCCTTGCTGGATTGCCGAAGAGATGGCGTTCATGAACAGGTACAACGATTGGACTGAGAAGAACGCAAATCAGCCGCGCGAGATCTCTCTCACACATGCCATAAAACAAAAGCGGAGGAGACTCACCTAATGACTTCATGTTCTTCGGCGCCTTCGTGTACGCATACTCGTACCCCGTGATCGACGTGAAGATCTCCGAGAACGCAATCAGCACGTACGGCACCGTCTGCACCCACACGTTGATGGGCGCCGCCTCGGCGCATTCGCTCGGATGGTCACCGCAGGGACTTAGCTTGTAGATGTAGTACTGTGTCACGGCCGCCGCGATCATCGAGGCCGCTGCCAGCAGGTAGCCCACGTAGATCCGCTTGATCGGGGTGAAGTTGATGCCCAGCTTGCGTAGACCCGGGTACACGAATTGGTCCATGATCGGAATGAAGATGATCAGGGCCAGCGGGTCTAGGTTGTTGATGATGTCGTTGGGTACCCCGTGCAGCTGCATCGTGGCGGCTTGCGAGGTCAGATTGTTGGTCATTTGCCCGTAGGCCAGCCCTGTGTTCCGTTAGTGACGTTAATTTCGGGTTGGTTTTGGAAAGGGGTATTCTGTAGCAACTGACAGTAAAGAGGGTACCATGCGAAGACGGCACAGGCCTTCACGGCACGGCGCACCTCGTCTACCCACTGGTCGTCGAACGTCATCCATTGAGGCCTGTTCTCCAGCTGGCTGGGTTTGACGCTGTCCCAGAACTCGGTCGACCTGCATCGTTTAAAGCTGCGTTTGTCAGTCTTTGCCCGTGCACCGACACGATATATGTACTCACAATACGACCGGGTTCCAGGTCCATTGTCCCTTCAAGGCAAGGCCCCACAGTTTGAATGCCTTTGCCGCGACGGACCCCGTCGGAGGCGTCACATGGTACTTGTTGCGGCACATGAACAGTACCAACGGGCAAAACCCGAACATGATCGTCGGTAGGAGGTAGGCCAGCCAGTAGCCGACGTACTTCTCCGCGTACACCATGGCCACCGACCCGATCAGAGAACCGACGTTGATCATGAAGTAGAAGTATAGGAAAATGCGGGTGATGGTCTGCGCTGGATCGACGATGACCCGCTCCCCGGTCTTGGGAACAGTCTGGATGAAGAGCTTCGTCTCGCGGTGCTGCTCGGCAATCAGTGGTGAGATGTTTGACTTGAACCCGCCCACCCCAATTCCAAAGAATATCAGACCGACGCAGAAGCAGGCTAGGGCGCCGTTCGCATGCACAATAACTTGGGGGATGGAGGAGATGATGATAATGATATGACCCAGCATTGCGAAGGCGATGGCGACCTGGATGGTCTTCATCCGACCCCAGAATTCATCGGCAATCCAGGCGCCCAGAATGGGCATGACATAGCACCAGAACGTGTTGACTGCGTGGTTTGTTAGAGAGAGAAACGAGACAAACGGCGAATGCAACTTACAGGTGGTCAGCGCGGTGGACGTTCGCTGACCCTGACCCAGGGCGCCGGACTGCCCACTTCCTCCCGCCCCAGTATCCGAGCCCGCAGGCAGAGGCTGCTGAATGAAGTTGGTATCTGACGTGGTTAGCAGCGATCCATCAAGACGGCCTAGATGAACCTACAGACGGCAGTGGTTCCGTAGTAAGAGAACCGCTCGCACAGCTCGACAAAAGCGATGGTGTAGGCGGTCCACTGCACCTTGCCCGCCACGCGCCGGAGGCTTTGTTCCTCCTCCTCTGTCGGCACCTCGCGGCCTTCATCATCGTACCTGTTTGCGGTGACAACGACGTCTTCCTTCTCGGGCGTTGGGAGTTCCTTCTGAGGCACGTGGGCCTGGGCAATGTAGACGAGGTCGTCAGGACCGATGGGGTCGCTCATAGTGCCGGATGGTGCAGGGGAGCACACCCTATAAGGTCGGCAGAAACGTCGAAAAGAGAGATATGTGTAGGAACAGCAACAAAAAAGTTCCCGGGGCGGGAGGCTATGGGGCAGAAATAAAGAGAAAAGATGCCTCACCCCATTCTGATAAGAGTCGTCCACCGTCCAGCGGGGCTTGTCTTCGGATCAATCGCGTGAAGGCGATTATCAGCCGTCCAGTCAGACAGACATGGGGAGAATGGAGCCATAGAGATAGCTAACTCCTAGCGTCAGACCTTCGTGGGCACCAGTTTCCCACGGCTTGTTAGCATTGGGGATGTCTGGACTACGAGACACTGGACAGAGCAAGGGTGCATATCTTTCCCTAGCCGCTATAGCGTCTTTTGAGAACCTGGTTCCTCGTGGCGAGTAATGATAAAGAGGTGGACCAGAAACCATCGCTATACTATGGCAGTTGGACGGACCACGACAATTCCAGTAACCGAGGAAGCGCATATCTCCGGTAGATGAACGACCCCACGACCCAGATATCGTCCTGAGACCCATTGTTGCCGGATCCGAGCCCTGAGAGAAAGCATATCTAGTAGGGGAGCGTTTTTCGAGACCAATATCTCTCACCAATCGATTTTGAGCATCGCTTTCAAGGCCCCATGTGTGCGCCCCTTTCCAACCGTAGGTAAGATTGTCCCACTGCCCATCCAAGACAGCGAATTGGAGACATCGTCCAGTCAAATTGTGGAAAAGCTTCATAGGCGGGTGAAATATTAAGCACGTCGTCAAGCCTAAGGAACATTGATGGGGCCGGACTTGGCATGGGCCGCTAAACGGTGCTTAGAAGCCTAGTGTAGACTGTAGAGTAATAGGCAGCCAGAAACCATCTTAGACGATGGCGCAAGAATCCCCACATTTGCCGACGCGCTCTTGTCGGTTTCGCCTGAATCGTGTGCGCCGTTGACCAGAGCATAGCGACATTATTTGCGAGATTGCATCCGACCCGGGACAGCGGGGATAGCGGAGAGAAGTGACAATGCCTGCCCTGGACTATGAGACCGAGGGCGAAAAGTCCAGACCAGAAAGCCGATCATCAAGGCAACGCCACCTTGTCGACGCCAATGAAATCCGGTGAAAGCAGGCTGAGGTTGGATAGACCAGGAGAGAAATGACACCATCGCAACCACTGATAATGCTATATCCGATAGGCCAACCAAAGAAGCCTTAACAGCGGAGGGGGGGAGCAAAATGCGTCCTTGGCTGTGGAGCTTGCCTTTGAAGCTATTCAAGCTAGAGATAACGCCAGTGAAGTTGCGACCCTCACATTCCTCCGATCCAAGGGGATTCCGGTTCCCGAAGTGTATGGCTGGTCCTCCGCAACTGATAACCCAGTTGGTGTGGAGTACATTATCATGGAACGTGCCCTGGGGTTGGCGCTGATACGTGCTGGTTCAACAATACGAAACACCAGAAGCATACTTTGAAAGGCATCGTCAACATCGAGAAAAAGCTCTTTAGCATACCCTTTGGCGCCATTGGTAGCCTTACTTCAAGAGCGATCTTGCACCCCGGTTTCAAGGCCCGCTGTATGCGCCAGGCACGCCAGACGAAGCTGGGGACTCCGATACCTACTGCATCGGGCCGATCGCCGAATATAAGTTTTGGTATGGCCAACGGGCCGATTTGGACCTAGACAGAGGACCATGTATGGATTGTCTTTCCCTTTTTGAAACAGCTAAGTCTTGGACCCGTGATCACCAAGCTGATCCTACTCCCAGGGCGCGACCCAAAGAACTACCTGTCTGCAATTGCAGAGAAGGAAGTCAAATGGATTGGGAAATTCGGAAAGCCTCTTGAAAGTGACTTCCCATTCAACATGATCTTTCGCGGCATGGAATCCCATGTGGACTATCTGAGGCTCCTCAAGAAGTATTTGGCAACCGTGCCGTCTCTTCTCCCGAAAGAAAAAGGACCCAGGAGCAATCTGATCAGGCCGATTCTACGCCATCAAGGTACGTCTACCCCTGCAACCAGGCCGAATGTTGTTGCCTTGTGAACTTACTGTAAAGCCAGATCTCGCCCCTAGCAATGTCTTCGTCTGCCCAGACACATTCAAAGTCACGTCCGTCATCGACTGCAACATACTGTTATCACCCCTTAATTCTTGCTGCCGGGTATCCCAGGCTATTTGAGAATCCCGAGCCTGGGCCTTTCGCGGTTTTGACGCCCCCGAAGTACCTGCCGGACTACGGCATAATGACACCTGAACAGATAGCCCAAGTCGATGAACTCAGGCGAGGTTGGCCTTTCAGGACCACGAGGAATTCTTTTGATATCAGGTAGACTCAGTCAGTGGCTGGACTTACTGTCTATGGATAGCTATCCAGTCCCAGGCCCCGTACAGACAGGATTGTTCAAAATTAGATGTTGGGGCTACTGGCACCAAGCAGGCGCTTATCCACCGCTTGAACCCCTGTTCTCTTTTTTATGCCACCTTTCCACAGGGGAAATAGCGTCTGACCCAAGACTCGGACAGAACTGTTGAAGGACGGCGTCCGGTTGGACAATGATAGCAGGGACTATCATGCGTATCGGGAGCAGCCGGATGCCCGAAAAGTCCCTTCTTGTATCAAGCAGTGTTGTAATAAGAACGGCGGGATTCATGCTGCGATTACCACCCTATACATATCTACAGGGCTCGAATGTGAAGCGGACGTCTTCGAAGATGCGATGAAGGGATATATCACGAATATCCGTTGAGCATGATCAGTCACAAAGCTATACATTACATAAATCACAGACTGACGAATTTGTCTCCCACGGGGAAAAAAGTATTGTAGCTATTTGGGCTCTGGCTAGGTCGCAGAGAGAGCGAAATACTCCCTAGAGAGAAGATAATTCCCGCTCCCTAGGCTTTTCGCCTACTTGAGTCGATTTGCTCTGAAGCCAACGGTCGAGCTTCATGTTTCTGGGATGTACCATCCTAGGTCAAGCCGGCTGGATTGTCAGTATTGTAGATAAGAGCATCCTGACAGCATGCGACAATGTATGCGAACTGAAACAATGACTGGGGTGGCGACTATTTCCACTCGGAATCATAAGCAACAAGTGCATTCAGGAGGGCCAATCAGCATCCTACCCATGGAATTCTAACAAGCGGCAAATATCATCTCGCAAATATCCCGGTATCAGCACGACACGCCGCTCGAAGGCTCGAATAAGACGGGGTTCGAATGACACCATCGCGAGCACTGATAATGCTATATCCGATGAACCAACCAAATTGGTTCGACAGCAGAGGGTGGAGCATATTGCAAACATGGAAGTCGAGGTAGGTCTTGGCAGTGGAGCTTGCCTTGAAGCCAATTTGGAGCGGTTGGCCCAGAACGTTAGAGATAACACCTCTGTATCAATTGGTCACCACCGACCAGCAGCTGTGGTTCATGCTGCCGCAACTGATAAGCATCCTCGGAATTCAGGATGAGGTAAAACTGGTCTCGTCCGTAGCCGATGAGCTGAAATAGCATTAGGCTTCCGAGTCCTGAGAAGGATTGGTTCAATGGCGAGGGACGAGATACGCTGTGCTCCAGGCAGCCATCGTCTGCACTGTCAGTGTCACTATCAATGTTCACAGTCAGGTGATGTCTGTCAACACGGAATGTTCCGAAGCTTTTACGTACCTTGAATATGTCACTCTCAGGCACATTGCGGATCTCTCAAGACAAGATCACGTGTCAATGATGATATATTGGGGCAGCATTGGTTCCAACCGCACCGCGGACAAGAATCCAAGGGGAGAGGCTCCAATTTAACAGTTTCATGACGCTTGTAAAGTGCATCCGCGCAGGAATTATTGACATCTGCATGATTGCGGGGACGATCAGCTCGTCGTCCATCAGCATCACAAGTAGGTATTTGACTCTGATCCAAGTGCATCGTTATCATTATGGTTGGCTCCGATGTCGGACACAGATGAGCTAAAAGCGCGTCACGAACGCCATTGTACACGGTGCTCATCCTCATTCGCCAAGACCAGACTTAGGCTAAGCACGCCGAGTGGTATGGCATGACTTTACCTATTGTTGTCTAAACTGCCAGATGGGTGGAGTGATGCACACTTAGATAGCGGTATCATCGAGATCGACAAATGACGATCCGTGATTTTACCTATGCGTCAAAGAAGATGCTGAAACTCACACACTCCACCAAATGCCCACAAGCTCTGCTGACAGAGATCGTGTCGATGAGTTTAATCGTCTGCTGGAAAAGTGGCACGGGATTGGTTTATTTTTGGTGCCTCGCATACATTCCCACCAATAAGCGGCAGGATCAATATGCAGCTGCGGCTTACGGTCTGACACTAGTAAGGAGCAAATCCCTCAGGGCTGACCTCAATTTGATGGCCTCGTCAAAGATTATGACTATGCGAGCGCTGAAGTACGACCATGACTGCGACGAGTTCGTTTCTCCTTCCAGATGAAGAGCGGAAGGCGCAGCTCATGCAAGCCGCCCGACGCGGCTTGCTCAGAGAGGTACAATTCCTACTTTATGGAGCCTCGCCCGATGCGCGAGATCATACTGGCCGCACTGTCTTCTCCTGGGCGGCGTCCTATGACCTGACGCAGGCGAGAACAACCAATGATTGCGACCGTCCGAGTCAATTGATGCAATTGCTTCTCGACCGTGGAGCCGATCCGAATATCGCGGATATGCATGGCGAAACCCCGTTGCATTGGGCCGTGAAAGCCGGGAACAAGCAGATGGTGGATCTTCTCTTGCAGAAGGGCGTGCTAGCAGAGGTAGCCGATCTGCGGGGCCGCACGCCATTGTCTCGGGCCGCTGAATGGGGCTATGATGAGATCGTCGAGCTTCTCCTGGTTAAGGGCAAAGCAGACCCAGATAGCAAAGATGGGCGAGGGCGGACGCCCCTCTCCTGGGCGGCTGAGAATTGGCATCTTAAGGCTGCGAGCCTGTTGGTTAATCATGGAGCCAGTGGGGACATTCATGATCATGAAGGTCAAATCCCTCTCTGGTGGCTGGTCAGCAACACGACCAGAAGAAGTATGTTGGGCGAGCAACAAACTGTGTCGCCTGATGTGGATTTCCAAAGATGGCTGACGGTGCTGGCACCCAGCCCTGGTATAGAACCTATGACCAAGGCGCGGCGAACGTTCCTGGCCTGGGCAAGCGAGCGTGGTGATCGTGAACTTGTCAAGCAGCTGCTAAGGACCAAGTGGGCAGACCCTAATTCAATCGATCGCTATCGCAAGACGCCACTGATTTATGCATTGGAATGGAACCACTATGATGTGGCCGATATGCTCATGTTGGGCATGGGAGATGATGTAGAACGAAGGAAAGACGTCATGTCTTTGCGAGTAATGATCCAGGAGGGTCGTGCTCGACTGCTGAAGCCCTTCCTCGAGAGATACAAACCGAGTCTAGAGGGGGAAGATGAATATAATTCCATTCCCCTGATGAGGATGGCGCTCCAGCAGGCAGATCGATCTACTGTAGCCGTTCTCCTGGAGCACAAAGCTTGCATCAATGAGCTGGAAAATGGAGACTGGTTTGGCCCCTGTAGCGAAGGAAAGCCGACTGTGAATCTGATGCCGTCACGCAACATTCCCAGCCAAGCTCAGAGCTCAATCCCAGTGATGGATATGACTATCCCAGAACGCGACCGCGCAGCTTATTTTGCCTTGATGAACAATCGATTGAAAATACTAGATTATGATGAAGATTCGTCAGATCTGGCAGAGGGGCTAAACTTCGGTGCTTACAAGCGTGGAACTAAGCCCAGTGTGGTTGTGGATATTGTCTGCTTGCGTGACGGTAGCAGAAAGGCGCGATGGATAACAGCCGATACGTTACAAAAGGAGATCAGAGCCATGCCCAAGACGATCGAAGAAACTCATTTATTGTAGGTCGCACTCACCTCACCTTCCTCTTGCCGTGTTCTCACCGTCGATATCAGGCTCTTCCGAGAGAACTATGTCTGGACAACGTATTGCCCAGTGACAGAAACGACAAACGAGTTACGCTTCTCTTTAGGGCACAAGAGCCCCTGCAGAACATTCACTCTATTCATCCGAATGGATATTCAAATAGGCGATCTGCTCACCGGGTACAACAATGAGAAGAGCACGGCTCGGATTATCGAATGGGCAGTGCTGGAGGCGCCTCCAAAGGCAATTCACTACTATAGCAATCTGCCTTATGGATGGATTCCGCAAAGCGATCTCGAGCTAGTACAACTTTTCATGCAGACTTGGAAGGAGGACTGGCTAACGCTCTGCCGAGAGGCCAGAAGATATCTCGGACGACTGGTAAGTTCTGTCATGTATGTTCAGCGAATATAGACACTCATAGCCGCAGCGCACGCATCAGTTAACTGCCCGGGGCGAAGATGATCGACTCATTGACTCCATAGCCAAACATATGCAGCAATGGACTCAGATCCAGGGAATGTTGACGGAGCAGCTCAGTCAAATCCGAGACTTCGTTACCCAGTATCAGAGGTTTAGCGAGACGCGCAGATTTAGCGAACAGATGCAGGATATGATTACCGAGCTGGATCGAGACATCTCGGGGCAGATTGACAAGCTGGAACAAACAGTGCGCGATCTGCTTCAAATTGTAGGACAAGGAGTTTTCAGCCTCATACTCGCGGTCATCTCTGCTAATAGAAAGGTATAGGAATTTGCATGGGTGTCGATCAATGAAGCGCATCGGTCAACCAGTCTGGCGACTAGTATGAAACGACTCAGTTGGATCACGGTAGGATGCCGTTTCCAGGGAATCTCGGTTCAAAAACTGACAAGCTGGGCGAATTAGTTCATCTTTCTTCCTCTGACCTTCGCCTCCGTAAGCATTTTGTCTAGTGCGGCAGCGAAGGAAATCAGCTGACCTTGTTTAGAGCTTGTTTGGCATGAACGTGGATATCCTGGAGGATAATCCGTCTTGGCGTTGGTATCCCCTTGCTGGAGGTGTGCTACTGCTCCTGACAGTGGCCACATGGGTGTTTTTCAAATTCGTCAATGTGAGTCTTGATCTGTAGGCTCTGGTTCAAATCCACTGACCGACTGCTAGATGGAACAATGGATGGAGCGTAGAGTTGGAGACCTGGCTCGAAGAGCAGGTCATTTCGACAGGGACACTTTATTCAAGAGACGATAGACTAGGATAGATCAGTCTGTCGCAATATGCAATGATAAGACGAAGCTTATTGCCAGTGAAAGCAGGCCTGTGACGGATTGACATTGAGAGAGTGATGTAGTGATGTAGTTGAAGTAGTAGAGTGATTGCGGGCCTTCCCACTGACAACAAACAAACAGCACAAACAGACCCTGATAGATCAGATCCTTCGAGACACCACTGCATCTCATCGTTTCCTTCCTTCACCAGTTGACAGTGCTTTGATCTCTTCAGATTTCTGGTCTCAGAAGACCGAGTCCATATTTAATCTCTACTCCCGATAACCAACTTCATCTGAGCTCACTTGGAGAACCATGATAAGTATACCAAGCCCAGGCATTATAGATCGAAAGTGTTCGCGTCAGAAAATCAGAGAATCCAATCGTCATTTCCATCCAACTGTAGATTCGCGTCATGATCCGCTTCACTGATTTCTTCTTAACGCCATCCCTCTCATCACTTTCCTCCTTGGGGCTGCTACTATCGGCACCTGCATAAAGAGCCAGATCATTCCGGTCGATAGCCTTTGAACCACCTATTCTGGGCTTCTTCTTTCCATGACGGTCGAGCGCGAGGAAGCCATCAAGAAGACGAACTTCCCCATAAGGCGGCTCCCAGAGCAAGGTTCATCCCCCCTTTCCACTTAGCTCATCGCTCGTCAACGTATCGGAAGATGGCCAGAGCTGTCGAGCGTGTACCTACGACTGATCTGGGTCTGTAGCACTGATTCATGGTCGTGCTTCAAGCCGCTGTCTAGATAAAAAGTCCTGATGATGCCAGCTTGCAAACATCGGTCATCAGTCTCGTATCAAAGTCATTACGCTGGAATCTCGTATTTACTTCAAGAAAGATGTAAGATAAGCAAACAATTGATATTCTGTCTTAGTCCGGTATGACCAAGCAAACGCACAGCAACAGTTTTCCATGAGTAATAGTGGTCAGATATAGCAATTGGCAGTGATAACGAGTTGCTCGCTGATCATCAGTATTTCGAACGGACACTGCCGTAGGATGCTCCATTGAACTCCAGCTCAAACAACAACGAAGCTGACGTGGGGATCATCACTAAATCGAAGTGAACCTCAACATACTCGGCATCCTGAGAGTTGCGTTTTTTTACAAAGAGCTCTTGAGGAATATCGCGGAGATCAGCTTCCAAAGTGCATAGCCGCATGATTTCTGCATATGGTAAGCAAGGTGCGAGATTGTGCTGATTTCATGTAGGACACCAACCCTTGTTCTTTGTCTCAGGTGCATTATCGCTATTACAGAACAATAGGTCATCTGTGAATTGCAGTTTGTGCAGTTCAGTTGTCCGAATTGTACGATAGAATGGCATCTTGATTGGAAGATTTTCGGACAGCGTCGAGAACTAAGTTACTCGGTTCAGCGGAGCTCGAGGTTCAATACACAAATTGCGTGATGGGATGATTAGCACCTTCTTGATATACCACTCCATGCGGCTTTCCACCTGATATCTCTCTTCGAGTTCATCCCACACTTTGTCGTCAGGATTGTGCTTACCCTCGATATACCGCGTACGGTACCCAATGCCGTAGTTGCGACAAGCAATGCGAGACTCTACCTGGTTGCCATCACGCCCTCGATGAACCGCACCGCTACTCCTTCATTAGCTGGTGAACTTCTCTGGTTATTATTTGTCTAGAACTAACCTCACTACTGCTGACCAGCTGCATTGCTCGGTTAGCTGTGGCCTTCTAGGGGGAAAGAAGAACTTACGCGTTAGGTGGTTGCATTACAGTCACGGTAGGATTTGCTTCCTGCAAGCGGCGAAAAAGAAACTCGGAAGCGCCGAAGCCTCCGACAAGAATGATTGCCTGGTAGCCCGCTTGCTTAGAATCACGCCGCTCTTGACCTGAACGGAAATACTTCAGTGACCTTTGCGGGGAGTTCCTTCTTTCTAATGCCCTCCATCTGCTCGGCAACGAGCGACTCGACATCCTTGATGATAGGCTCGAGGATACTCGTAACATCCTCGCTGGTCTTAAGTTAGAGCGTTGAAAGAATGCTAGTAGTCTTTCTATTGTTGTAGGTATGTCCACAGACCTGGTAAGTTGAAAAAACCCATCTTCGATTGGCACTGAGGAGTCGTCATGTGCTCCTGGGACTTGGATAAAGTAGTCAATATCTGCATAGTCATCATCGTACTTGCCCGTAAAGTTAGGCTTGACTCGGTCCTGCCAATACTGTAGAGCAGTTTCTCTTGACTTCTCGGACAGGGAACCGTAGCTTTTGGAACCCATTCTCTCTTCGAGCATCCTCGCAAATCTTTGGTCCAACAATCGCGACCCGCAAATGCGACCTAATCAGTCATTATCCGTGCTACTCACCCGTGTTAATGGGCAAGTGATAAGTGGAGCTTAGCGTACCTTCCCCCTTCACTGCTTCTGTGAGGACAAGAGGCTCCAAGTTTCTGATCTGGTACGAGATGAGGTCCTGATACGTGATCAGCCATCGCCATAACCGAGCCGTCGCTTTACTGGCGCTCTTACTACTGTTCCACCACCGGCATCGCAGACGATGAATACATCGTTTTTCTGGCAGGGGTAAGATACCACGAAATCATTGAGCATGTTTGAGATGTACCGTACAGCGATTGTGTTGGGCTGGATGGCGCGTAATGAGTAAAGAGCAGCAGCCTCGGGCTCCGACACAAGCGAGATGTCTTGGGGGGCAATGCCTGCTTTCAGCGCGGCGCGTAAAGTGCCGTCTTTGGCCTTGTCAGACCATACAGCTGGAACCGTGAGTACGAATCGTAGATCCATGACTCGGGAAGGTACTCCCAGGCGCCGCTCTAGGGCCTCCTCCGCATATTTAACGATGAGCCTGAGGTAGTCCGCAATAACCTGGACGACATCTTTCCCATACTTGGTGGGCAACTTCTTGGAGGCCAAAGACGGCGGATATTTTGTCTCCTGGTCCTCATCAAGGAGTAGCTTGATGCCTCGAAAAGCCTCAGTGTAAAGACCGACCTGGTAGCCCCAGCTAGGGACTTTGTTCTTGTAGACTATCAACGAGGGGACTTTGACTGAAGTTCCTGTTTGAATGATCTGTGAGCGTGATGATCCGGTCAGTGTGTAGGTGTGGCAAGGATTCACGTACTGTTGCCTCCACCAGGCCAGGTGGATAGCACTTCAATCTCATCCTCAGAGTCCATGAGAGCCCATGCAATACTACTTTCCGGTTAGTGCACGCTTAGCAGTGTGTAGATACATACCACATACCCACTGAAGGTTGTCCCGAAAGTCCACGCCAACGACAACGGAGGGTCCTTGTGCCATGTTGCTAGTGTCCATGTTGCTACCGTTGCTCTCATAGAGGGAATCAGATAATCCAAGCTCGACATTTCAACGAAAGCAAAGAGAAGAAATGGGAGAGCGACCAGAAGCAGAACCCTGATTTTTGAGGGGGGCAGTTGCCCTGAGAGGTGTCATGCCCATGACACTATGATTGCCATTCCGGGACTGATGGAAGTCGCGTGGAAACGCGTCACTTGACGGAAATAGCTACCCACGTTGGATGGAACTCTGGGAATATAATGAACGAGATCCCCGCTCGGTCACTTGTCCTGTGTAGCAGCAAAAACAGTAAGGGGTGGGCAGGGATTTCTTTCCCTCGTTTGGGAAACAAGCGACAACAGGCGGGCTCAGATGCGACTAAAGTGAACGAACACATGCGCTTGGCGCAAGCTGCCGAAGAGGCAAGCAGACAGCACCAGGCAAGAGCAGATAAGGTCATGCAAGAAAATCAGCGGTTGCGGCAGGAGCTGAATAGACATAATTGGGCCAATACGGAGAGAATCAAACGACTGGAACATGAGCTGCAACAAGCGCACCAGTTTCATGAAGCTCTAACAAACAGCAGTTGGCGGACCGAGAAAGGATCCAACAACAAGACCGGTTACTGTGTCAGGCGCGCGAGGACGCATCGGCGAGTAGCAAGCGTCACCAGGAGGAGCTCAATCGACTATATAGTCAGCTAAACACGCTGCAGAATGGACCATCCAAAATGATGGGAGATGACCAGATCGTTGATCAGATGCGCAAACTGAGCCAGAACCTCGATAGTTGGGTCAAAGCCAATTTCAAAGACGTCAAGAAACTGACATCGTCGGCGGAAACCGATGGTAGGGCTCAGTTCCCGCACAGCTCCTCCCAGCGGCGGGCCTGCATCCATTTACCGTTACCAGCTTCATCCATGCCTTTATATTCTTGCCATATGCATTCGGAATCTGTGACGAACCATATGGGCGTTTTCTCTCCGGGCTCGAAGACCACGTTCGACACACTAGTATGTACTCTTCAGACTCTGACTCGTCTTCGATATGAATATTGATCCAGCTACAGGCTCAGAGCCAGTGCTCAGTAGTTGGAGGACAGCCACGAGTATCGCAATTGAGGCGACTGCAACCGAAGACTGCGAGGCCGTGTTCACCTACATCGTCAACTGCGTCGAGGACCAATTCAACTCTTTCTCCTCTACTAACCACGAGTCAAGAAGCCGCCAGCTCCGAGCACTGATGCAGAGATGTGTGGATTTCAAGATGGCTTTGAGCCGGCAGAAGCAATCATTCTTCTTCTGGTGTAGTCCGACGGGGACAAAATTTTTTCCTGGGTCTATGAGCTTTGGCGGAGGCGACGGACAGTTAGCCGGAAGAGTGAGATGGTCTCTGTGGCCAGCACTCATGAAGCACCTGGACGAGGGCAATGAGGTCTTAGAGCCAGAATTGGTTTGGAGTATGGAGTAGAGCATTGCAAACCAACTTGAATATTTGCTCAGTATAATTTAGCTCAGCCAGCCTATTAGCCCAGAATTCACATGACAGATAACTGCTCTTCACTTTCTAGCATCTAAGAAAAATCTCTACGAGACTACAAATCAAGCAAGGATTCCTCACCGAAACTGCACTTTACCGCACGGTACAAATGATCCAAACCTAACCTCAAAACCCCAGCTCCCTATCTAATCTGACCTGTCAAACACCCCCACTCGGCCTCGGCCCCTCTGCCCTTGCAGCTCTCGCCATCGCACAAAAAGACAAGGGCGGGCGGAGTGCAAACGACACTGTATGACAAGGGCGAGAACAGGGCAGAATAATTCGTACCCCTTGTTAACCCGAATTCTAGGCGCCGGATATCAGGTATCGGGTAGAAAAAGTTACACGGTAGCGATCTAGATCGAAATCCGACCGGGATTGAGGTCTAGAGTCTAGCGCCTAGAACCTTGGATCTAGGACTGCGTGCTCGACCGTTGAACTATTCCGAAAAATGCGACTTCGCGATGAAGGATTGAAGTATTTTGTATTTTGTCGGGCGGTTAGGTTCCTGGAATTGTAATCGCGGAAGGGGTGGGAAGAATCCAGGTGTTTTGGTTTGGTTTGCATACCGCCGCGCGCGCGGGCCGGGGCATAGTTGCAGGATTTTTGGTGCTGGAGGTGCAGCTTGTGCATTCATTCATTTGTGGACGGGTACGTCAGTTGGAATTTCAAGGGGAGATTGAGATGATGTTAGAAAGGTTTGTGGGAGGGGAAGAAGGATGGGGTTTTGTTTGTCAATTGGGCTTGTCTTCGTTTGGCTTGGTCTGTTTTGAATTGGTCGAGATGGGAATCAGAGACTAGGGTGTATTTGTGCTTATATGGTTTTTTTTCTTTCTTTCTTTCTTTTTTTTAGAAGGGAGGAAAATCAATTTCTTCCCTTTTTCTGTTTGGACATTTAGTTGTATCACATTAATACTTGGTATAGTATGTGTACCGGTAGATCCGACATAGTCATGGTAAGATACACAAAGAGGAAATGTCTTTATGATACCGGGAACAAGGAGAGATAATGTCTCAATGCAGATTATATGCAGAATGTATTTTACTCGAGTCGAAAACAGAATTATACCGAATATATGCAATTAAAATAGTAAGCATCCGTCTCCGTTGGCATCGATCCCACAGGATTCAGCAGTAGTGGTCGCGATCGAGATCGATTCCTGATTATTCGTCGAGAAAAAACGTCATGACGACGACCTGCCTTGTTCGGAGGGTCCATCAGAGACATCCATGATTCATTCTGGATCATGGATGAACGAACGGTGTTGATAACCGGTCGCCACTAATCCACATTCCCCCGGGATGTGGGAACGGAACTGAGATTGCGGATTACGAATCGGCAACAGTCGGCCACCCGTCTACCCACGTCAGGGTGTTCCAACCGAATTGGTATTGCGAGGTGTCCAGGCCGATGTTGGGGTTGGCGTAGTGGTAGTAGAGGACGATACCGTGGTTGGTGGTGTTGACAATGCCCCTGAGGCAAGGTCAGTCAGTACGTTGTTACTATGTATGGATATACGTGTGGGGTCTGATGTGGGGAATTTGAGCGCTCCAGGTCGAAAATCCTGGAGGCGGAAAAAAGGGGGGAAACGCACTGTCCGCCGGGTCCGTAGACGTAGTTATGACTTGCGAGAACGGTGGTTCCACCGCTGTTGGTGCATGCGACTCCATTCTTGTCGACCTGTTTTGAGGTGGATGTTGTTAGCAAGGATTAATCTGTGGAGGAGAAAGAGAAGCGTGCAGACGTACGAAGTTCCCAGTACCGGACTTCGAACGGCAGACGACGACGCGGTACTCCATACCCTGCGCGGGCAGACCATTGTTGTATCCCTGGGCCTGGCCAGAGGAGAAAGTGAGGTAGTAGTAGCCAGCGTACTCGTACAGGTACGCAGCCTCAATGGCATGGTTGCCCGAGGCGTTGTACGCCAGGTTTGTGGGGGTGGTGCTGCTGATCTTCAGCGAGCTGGTCATTGGTGCCTGGTAAAGGCCATGCCAGTACGATCCCCACTGGAGGTAGCCAGTGCCCCCGATGGAGATCCAGTTGGCGTCAATGGCATTGTACGAGTTCGCCGACGATGAAGTCAGCCCGATGGTGCCGTGGTCCGTCCAGGAGCCGGCCTCAAGCGTCGTGGAGGTTGCAACTCCAATCGTCGAGCTTTGGCTACCTAGCGTGGAGCTGGCATAGTACAGATAGTACCTCCCACTGTCGTAGTGCACGTCCGGGGCCTGGCCATGAGGGGGTTGGAATGTTAGAGCTTTGTTCGGCAAAGGGGAAGTATGCTGACAGTGTCTTACCCAGAGATTGGAGGCATTCCCCACCGTCACCGATGAGCCATTGGGTAGCACATAGCCCAAGTCAGTCCAGGGCCCGGTGATGGCACTTGCGGACGAGATCAAGATCCCTAGCCCCGTAGAAAAGCGAAAGAACTTGCCATCGGTCTTACGGCGGATGACGTTGGGGTCGTGAGCCCAGCAGGATCCTGAGCAAGCTCCCGGGTCTGCATAGGCATTGACGAGGGCTGCGAATAAAAGAAGAACAACGTATGGAAGCATGTTGGGCCAGGAAGAGGGTCGTGCAAAGAAGGATAAAAAAGAAGAAGCAACAAGGTATAGGCCTGCTTTCCTACCACTCAAGCCTCTGTCATCTGGTCGAGCAGATGGCCCTTTTTATGTACAATTGGGAGATTCGGTGCGCATGCATGCTTCGGCGATGTCACCCTTGTGACGATTCTACTTTCTTGTTTTTTTCCTCCTTTCAATTAATTTTCTTGTCATTCTGTCTCCTGCAGAAAGTGGCATGGCAGCTAAGCCTACGCATGCATTGACCTCCCGTCATTCTCACTCCAGATTAAAGGTCGAAAAGATGCTAAGGCTAACAGTTACTACTCCCTTGCTGCGCAGGCCGAGACCAATCATACCGGGTCCAAATAGCCTTAACTTAGTCCAGAGGCTATGTGCTAGTGCTGACCACCGCAGTGTTGTGGATCACTTACATTATAGACCGGGTTTACTTGGTAGAGTGCGGGTCATGGAAGGATGGATACACTGCCTGTCCAGCGTCAGTATGATAGTCAGGGTACTCCGTTAGTGGAAGACAACATAGCCGGCCGACAAGGCTAACTTTCCTTCTTCCTCTCTCCTCCCCCTAGATTGGAGTAAGCGAGAGAAGCAAAGAGATTCCCGGGAAATTTCACACTGCATAAACTATTGGAATAAGAAACGGGGAAGAAAAGGTTAAGCGAAAGGAAAGCTACACAAGAATTTAGGGTAAGAGTGCTAGGCAGCTGATCGATCGGGTGGCCCTCCATCACATTGCTCTTTTTGGCCCGCATGATTCTTTCACCCTTAAGCCCATGTCTCCCGAAGGGAGAGCGAGATGGGAGTGCTTGAAACTATAGAAGGCTCCTGGAAAGGAGGGGGCAAAGTTTGCGTCTAGCGGTCAGTCAGTCGGATTGTTTGTGGCTCAGTCTGGTTGGGTCTGGATATGGAATCCCACACAGGGAAGATTACGGTCGGATTATCTTGCCCCATCAGCGTCTTTGTTTGTTTGTTGTTGTTGCATTAGTTGCTTGATCGATCTGCCTTTCTCCCATGATTTCTTCGCACTCCGTCTTCTTCCCCTTTCTTCCCCTTCACCGTGCTTGGTTGGACGTGTGGACATGCCGGCATGGCAGTACGTGTCAAGCCATGCACGCGCGACATTTGGTGCAGGGGACAAGGCAGAGGTGCAAACCGCGGGGTGATTGGACGCGTCGATACAGATGACGGGCTGCTTCGTGTCTTCTAGTGTCCCCCAGAGCCGTGTCTAGTGCGCGCCGCCTGTTGAGGCCTTTCGGAAAGCCATCGGTCGATCATTGGGGCAGACCCGCCCAATGGGGTCGAGCCATCGCGTTGGACATCTTGATCTTGTTGCCATTTGCATCGGGATGTCGTGATTGGGATTGATTGATCGCCCAGATCTGCTGATTGATCGCTGGTCAGTGGGCTGCGAGAACATCCCTCACTGTACATTAGGTACAGTACTGTACATGTACGTACCTTGCGGAGGGAAGAATCGGCGATAACGCCCCCCTTTCTTTTTCCGAGGAAACCGTCCCTGACGGACCATCCAGCCGTCAGCGGCCAACAACGTTAATAACACCACGTCAGACTTCGAGTGCAGAGAAGACGGAGAGCCCTTGCATCTGGACTTGACAATTTGGGTACTTCTGCATCCTTTGGGGCGATCGAGGGATTGCACAGCCTTGTCGCTGACTTATGTAATCTTTCCCCTCATCGACTCTCTTGTTGATGCACTCGGTTCAAGCCGTGGCCAAGAAATCGCCCAGAAGTGTGGATCGGCTGATACCATGATCATCTCACGAGGTAAGGTTAAGTGCTGCTAGTTTCGTTTTTGAAGTTGACCTGGTGATGGTGCGACCTGCGCTAAGGATGTCGTTACTAGTGCAACTCACGGTGCGTGGGGGGACCATAGCATATACGAAGCAGTAGAAGATTAGGGCACAGGCTTAAGGTCTCCGAGAGGTCGACCTGGTGATGTTTAGTAGTTGACTGAATGTCAGCCTGATATTGATGCGGTGAGCTTACAGTAATCTCTAGCCATAGCTTATCAGACTCTGTGCGGCGAGTTGCAAGAACACATGTTAATGACGTCTGCGGTCTCTCTTGCTCTGACTTGTTCATTCCCTTATGCATCTAGTGGAGACTGCGTTGGCAACAAGGAATCCTCCGAACGCTCTGGACCGACAGTTCTCCGCACTGGAGGAGAGACAGCAAGGGGAGGTCAATTGGTTGGTTCGGTTGGCTCGATCGACACGATCTATTGATGGGTTATTATCTATCAGGTACGATGACAAAATGTCTTACCGTCTGGAGAGAATATCCGAGGTGGAAGCGTTGGGTACGACCATCGCATTTTATAGAAGTAACAATTCAATGTAATTATGAAAATACGAAGAAAATGTTGGACAATAATTGAGAGCCGACCGACCGCCTTAACAGAATTCATGTCATGTGTCGCTCTACGGGAAAGTACGAGTGCAACATACCTACCCCCAAGTAGCTGCCTAAGCTGATTGCCTAGTACAACAGATCATCCAAACTGAGCTCAGTGGATGTGATTTACCAGCCTGCAAAGCGAAACTCCATAACCTGAGTAAGCATGGCACCTTGTGCTTATGCCAATTCACTATATATCTATCTCAACTCAAGCACTCATATCCACAAACTCGGCCATCATCAAATCATCAACCCTTCAAATAATACGTATAAACAAGAAGTACATAGAAGACATCCTCCAATAGACCCAGCAAGCGAAAGTTAGACTACAAGACCAATTTCATGCATCTTGCAGCGGTCCTCTTCCCAGGAACTATACGGCAGAGCTCGCAACTCGACGCGCGTTCCCCATGCTGTGGCAAGTGGCAAACCTTTCGCTTTCCCCTGATGATCCCGAACTCAGCGTGTTCCTGCAGTAGCCTCTGCTCTTTTCGGAAATTGACTTGTTGATAGGGACGGAGGGTGAGGCGTTGTCGCTGATCGGTTGTGGCTTTGGGAGTGGTTCCTGGTAATGTCGGGAAGATGCAGGGTAACGGTTGTGGATGGGATATTTATAGTAATGATGTAGTTATTGCTTCTCTGGTAAGTTCGGGGGGACTTGTTTTTGTTGTAAAATGTGCTTTTGAATTTTTTTTTTTTTTTTCAATATGTTGATTAGTGGTTTATATGATCTTTGGTCTTTGATGGTTACGTGTGTCTGGTTTCCGACCGAGACGTGACTTTGGAAATTGAGGGCACAGAATGTTTCCCTTTCCCTTGAGGATTTTGGAAAGAGGAAAGTGCACAGGATAACTCAGAGGTCAGATGACGCAGTTGTACATGTCATATATAACATCCCATTCTACCTGATTCATGAAAAGGTAAAATAACTCCTAATAAGCAACGGCAGCCATCCTCTTTCTTCCTTAGTCGTCGGATGAGAAAGCTGATACCATGTTAAATCTGTACTATCATATAGGTGTGAAGCAGGATGATTGCATTGAGCGAATTTACTTGCTGGCCTGGACTTTTGTCAAGCCACAAGTCTAGCAGGGGCACGAAATATCAGCACTTGGTTATGGATCAGGTCAGACCTCATGTAGTGCCTATCTCAGCCAAAAGCCTTGAATAAAGCTTCATTGATCGAAGAGATAGAAAGTATCACAGTACAACCTACCACTCATGGAGTTCGAGCTCGAAGCATGTGTCAGAAGTTCGAGGTATGAATGAGCGCGATAGCCCCTCTAGATCGCACATCATGTCGTCTTCTCATTCAAATATCATGCGCTGACAGACAGAAATGGAGCGAACTTATGATAATCTTGCCCACTAGAATGCTATCATACTGATACTACCTTCCGGATCTTTCTGTAATGGAGACCGGCCATCCTTCTAGACTTTACCGCATCAGCTGGGACACAAAGTAAAAGCTTGAATTCGTACAAAGACACAAGATAAGGGTTTGCCAAGATGAACAAGAGCGCCACAGGCACTTGAGGTGCTTCTGATTTACCTTCTGCCGACTGCTAACCTCCTGCCCTGCACATTAATCCTCCATGAATCATGAATGACAATTTCCCCCTACACGCCAGCACTCTGACCATACCCAGACACAAGCTTAACCAATGAGCCAACAAACCCGCATAGAACGGCTATTGTTCCCCAAGCAAAACCCTGAACAATCCACCCAAACCTACCAGGTGAGTTCAGCCTTCAGCGCCACCAGCTCCCAGCCGCAACTCTCAAAATTTCATCATTACCGCAGCACCTCACAACCACATGAAACCTACCGACGCCCCTAAAAAGGCCAGGCATACCTCGAAATCGCGAGAATGACCGCAGCAGCCTCGGGCAGAAACGCCTTCACCCACGTCCTGGGCCGCCACCCCTCCTTCAAGGGCAACCGCTCCTCGCCAAACAACGCCTCCAGATACTCCTTAGGGATACCCTTGAAGACGCCCTCGCCAAACAAGCAGCGCAGCACAGCCAGCTCCCCGCATGCAATATAATGCTCGCGGCGCTCGAACTTCAAGTCCGGGTTCGCCTTGGCCTGCTCGGCATAGCGCACCTTGCGGTAGCGGCCGAGCTCGGGGACGCCAAAGCGGTGCGGCGTGCTGGCGAGAAACTGCTCGTAGAGGGCGGGGTCGAGGGCGATGGGGTCTCCCAGCGCGCGGTCCTGCCGCGTGACCGAGACATCGTGCTCGATGGCGTGCGGCCGCCCGACCTTGTCCAGGTGCAGCACTGGCACGCCGTCCGCCGTCACGTCCTCAGCGTCGCGGAGCCCGCCGATCGACCCGTGCGGCCCGAACTCGGCATCGTCGTTGTGAATGGTGAAGGCTCGCCAGACTAGGAGCGCTGAGAGGTCTGCGCCCAGCCCGATCGAGCCCAGCGCGGAGCGCAGCTGCGGCGCTGTGATGTTACGTCCGTCGTGGGGGAGGCGGTTGTGGTTGGCCAGGCTGTTGAGCACTGGGCATGGCGAGCGGGCGTCGCCTGCTGCGGCGGGCCGGAAGGTGTCGGTGTCCGTGGTAGTGTTGGTATCGGTGTTTTCTTTGCTGCGGACCATGGTGTCTTTGTGTGTATGTGTGAGGGAGGAGGGAGGGGGATGATGAAGAAGGAAGGAGGAAGGTTCTCAAGCAGAAGGGGATTGGTAATGTATAATGTAGCTGGTCAGACTGCTGTTGGTGAACAGCAGCTGACCGCTGCATCTGGAGCGGCGTGTGGCTGGTCACGAGGGTTTCAGCTTAGTACTGTGTATACGAGACACCGACGTAGTGGCAACTAACTGCATGGCTGCGTTCCTGCGACCTGTCTACTGCGTACCTCCTAAACCGGGAACATGTCAGCAATGGTGCTCTTTCATCGTCACTTTGTCATATGGGTCTAATGTACAGTATAATCATTAATGCAGTCATGTGGGGGAATGTCGTATGCGCTCGCGCTCAATAACGCCCTCTAATTGCATCGGGCCACCAAGTCCTCAATCAACTCGTGGATCTCGTTCTCACGTTCCCAGCCGAGCATGTGGCCGCTCCCTTCGAAGACCTTCCAGGTGATCCCGTCGCCGATCTCCTGCCGTAAGATCTCCCCGTGCCGAAATGTCAGCATCATGTCCTTTGTGCCATGAGTCACCGCGATCCGGTCTCTGCCTACTCGATCCCCTAAGGTCTTCAGCTGCGCCGCCGACTTGTGATGGAAGTAGCAGGCGACGATCTGCAGCATGAAGCCCTTCTTGGTGTACTCGTCTGTTTTGGTACGCTTCCGGATGACGCTCGCGGCGAAGCGATCGCGCTTGGTCGGAAAGTTCTTCTTCGGGTCCTCGTATTCGGTGTCTGGCTCCGCGAGAAAATCGTCGGCAAAAATGCTCTTCGCAAGCCGATCCAGCTCCACATCGATGTGGCGGGGAATGAACATGTTCGCCCGCTGTCGCAGGTTCTCCACGAACGGAGTCGTCCGAACCAGCCGCGGCGCTGTACAGTTAAGGGTCAGGCTCGCTAAGCGATCGGGGATGAGCATCGCGACCTCCTGGGCAATCATGCCGCCCATGCTGGCACCAATGACGTGGATTGATCGCTCGGGCGGTCCGGCCAGGTCGATCCATCCCAGCGAGTTGACCAGGTCGACGACGTCCTGGGCCATTTCGGAGGTCGAGTAGAAGCAGACCGGCTTGTCTGAAAGGCCAACGCCACGGTTGTCAAACACCAGGCAGGTGTATTCCGATGCGTGCTCGTGCCCGAAGTATCTGGTCTGGCGTCGCCAGTCCTTCAGCGTCCCGTTGAGGCCCATAATCCACTGCAAGGTCCGTGTCAGTACAACCATCGTTCTGCGATCGATTTGAAATCACACTCAACACTTACGACGAGCTTCACTGGTCCCGTCCCGTGAAGTTCATAGTACAGATTGATCGGCCCTCCCCGACGGTTTTGGGCCACTGCCTGTTTTCCGGACGTCGTTGGATGAAGTTCCCACTCGACTGTGCTATACGCAGGATGCTTAACGAGCTCCTCCGCTGTAAGAGGCGCCATGACTGCAGTAAATGGTATAAAATTCACCGGCGGGGGCAAAATGTGGTGATTTGCAAGAACGAGAGAAATGACGTGCCCGGGGAAAATATGTAGAGGCAATGGGGCAAGTGCGCACATGTCCTCATTGCTTGGCATTGGTCGAGGCCTTGTTTTTTGTGCGGCCGGCTCCACTTGAACCAGTTCCTGACATTCCGTTCTGGGCTTGGTGCCTGGCAATTTTTGAGTGCTGATGCCCGACTCTGCTTTTGTTGCGTTATCGCGATAACCACTTCACCTCTAAGTTCTGGATACCTCAGGAACCCGTCGACCGGCTACTTTACTAGGTCTCGTGACGGTTACACACGGGTAGGTCTTGTGAGACTTCCGCGTGCACAACACATCAATTGTTGCCGGTCGCTCAGTCTAGGATGGATGAATAGATTAAGTTGAAGGCAGCCCCTGGGAGCTGACGATTCGCCCTGAGATCTTTGCATCAGTCCAATCCACGACCGAGTCCAATCCTCAATCTCAAGTCGGATTAAACTCCTAGGGCGGGGAGCTTCTCCAGATTTGTGTAAGGACAATATGGCAGTTCGAAGCGAGAAGCTCTTAGGTCCGGACCTTTGATTCGCAATTGCGAAACGTTCCAGATGGTTCTAAAACAATTCGTGACATCGCGGGAATGGGCTTTCGATAATCAGGGTGCTGCCAGCACGCAACCGAGCTTTCCTGAGCCGGAAAGAAGCAACTGAAGGCGTACGAAGAGACCAGGAGGCAAGAATGGACTGTATCTTCAGTGATCTCTCCTATGAGGAACTGCGTTGCTCTGCTTTGCCTAGGATTGGAATGCAGACGGCTCAGTCGCTGGCTATCAGAGAAGCGCACAGCGCGACAAAAGCGCAAGCGGTCGAAGTCAAAGACACCATGCCGTGTACTGAGTAGACGAAAAGAGGGGTAATAACAATACCAAGCTGATCTTAACTTACAAAAATGATGGAAACCTGGAGCGTCGACAGGCTATTCAATGGGAGGCAGGGTCGGAGAATGTGAGTAGCTCCAAAATACTCGAACAATCGCACTCGAACGACGCAAACTGCTCACTCAATATGGGATGCATCAGGTCTGTCTTGCTTCGACAATAAGTCCGGCAGATCCTGTGCCTCCGAAATCAGCCAAAAAGGACGTACAGCATCAGCAGAAGCAGACACTCAACTCGTACTTCGAGTCCCTGACCAGCGGCTGTCGGAGAAATGTCAACAACAACTCGCCCAATCCTCTCCCGATGTCTGAGAGGCTTCAGCGAAACGTAGCAAAGCTCCACGAGGCACTTGTTACCGGACTCAGCAGCATTGTAGACACTTGGTGGACAGATGAGCAGGCTGCTTTCCCGCAGCGGATGCCACTGGAACCGCACGAGGAGGATCTTCTGCGCGTGAGCCTTTCTCAGACCTAGGGTTTCGCAAAGATGCTGACTTTTTTGGATCTCAGTGGTTGCATGAGCAATCACAAGCAAACAACCTGAGGCCGTTCGAGGATTGCCAAGGACATTGGCGATCTGACCTTCTGCTTCCTTCAGATCACCCTGGCACTGTCGCGATTTGCGAGATCAATGCACGCTACTCCATCAATGCACAGCTTCTTGCGGCCTATGGCTATCAGATATACGAGGAGATGGCATGGCATCTTAAAGAGGCTGCGTCTTTGCAGGTGCTGACGCGAAGAAGGTATGTAACGAGTCCATTATCGCTCCTAGCCACTGTTGACAAATCTGACGATGAACAGTTTGTCAAAAGTCAACTGGATCTCTTCGACCCCAAGTATCCGGTTCATATTGTCCGCGACCAATACCGAACACCCTTTATCGAAATGTTCGTCTCTTTCGCCAAACAGAACGGAGGAGTTGATGCGACAATCAACAAACCAACAGACCCCCGGTTGATCAAGAGCAAGGATTCGAAGGCGGGATATGTGCTTTACTGTCTGTCCGACCGGGACTGCTCCGACATGGTCAGCACTGACGGAGAGCGTCTGGACCGTGTATATCAAACTGGACTTCACCTATTCCAACATGAACTGCGCTCTATCCCGATTGACATTTTGCGACACCTTACGTTGCACTGCGTCAATGATATGCGGAGTGTTCCTCTGATTCACGATAAGCGAATTCTGGGAGTGCTCCTCCAAGAGCTCGATAGTCTTGTCGGCAAGAATGTCCTTACAGCAGAGCAAGCGGCAGTCCTTCGGCACGGCGTCGTACCTAACATCAACCCTGGTTCTCCAGAGCTAAATGAGTTGATCGGTCCGCACATTTAGTCTTTAATCAACAAGGATTCGTACATTATCAAGCCGGTCCGCAGCGGCCGTGGAGACGGGCTCTTGCTTGGCAAGGAGCTGTCAGTCTCTCAATGAGAGAGTCTCTTGCTCGACCTCCGCGACCCTGCGCTTGGACCAGAGCGGACGAAGTATATCATCCAGCCACTGATCAAGCAACCCTTGTTCGAGCTACTCGACCATCGCGGGAGGGTCCAACTCAGCCCCCTTGTGTGGTCATGCCACTTGGCAAACGGCAACTTCACCGGTCTTGGGTTCTGGAGATCTGGAGGAACGAAGATTTGCAATCTAAATAGTGGGGGGTTCTGGATGCTGGGGGTGGTTGCCCGTCCAAATTGATGGAGTAACGCGAAGGATCTTTGAACGCGGGTAGGAATCAGTTTTCATAGCCGGGTGTATCTGGTGAAAATCATAACTTTTCCAAATGTCCTTAGCTGCACGCCATAAGTATTTCAGTGCATGATAGTTTCTCAATGACGAGATAGTTGAAGTGAAGCGATGAGTTTTTGAAAATCGCCAAGGACGTGAAAAAAACTTTCCTCGATGCATGATAGCTACTCAAGGGTGAAAGCGCAAAAGAATTCCTGGTTACCTCAATCTTAATATCAGAATAATGCGTTCCGGAGGAGAACCCCCGGACCCCCCTTCCTTTCAGCTTCCTGGAAGGCTCGACCCTATGATATCAGGTTTAGGTGTTGATGGCATTACCTAATGTTATCGCCGAGACCTTCAGAACGCGGGGTGACTCCAACTTCTCCAACTCCATTCTCCCCGCGGCAATCCTGCTTGACTACCACGACTTCCTCACATTCTCGCATTCTACAGTCCTCGCTCCTCCTCTCATTCACATCTCTCAAGTCCCATATGCAATAATGGCACCCATCCGTCGAGTAGCCGTCATCCAATGGAACATCCAGGTACGAGCTCCCCACAATCCCCCTCCTCCCCCCATGCCCCGCGCAACAAACAACTGATAAGACCACCAGGACCTCGCCATCGAAGAAAACCACCGCAAAGCATGCACCTACATCCGTGAAGCGGCATCACAAGGCGCCGAGCTGGCCGTCCTCCCCGAGTACGCACCACACCCAACCAGCCCCTCGACCATCATCTTCGCAAACACCAACTAACCCAACCCCAAAACCAAAAGATACCACCTAAACGGCTGGGCACCCTCGGACCCCCTCTGGCTGTCCCACGCCGCCGACACAGCGCAATACCTAGCGGCCTACCAAACCCTCGCCCGCGATCTGCACATCTGCATCGTCCCGGGCACGATCGTCGAACGCCACGAAGCACCCCCGCCCTCCGCGGCTACGACCTCCACCACGGGGGAGAATGGGAAAAAGGACGCGCTGCTCTACAACACAGCGTACTTCATTTCCCACGATGGGAGCATCCTCGGCCACTATCGGAAGAAGAACATCTGGCACCCCGAGCGCGAGTATGTGACGTCATCGGGCGAGGAGCCGCACGAGGTGTTCGACACGCCGCTGGGGAAGGTCGGACTGCTGATCTGTTGGGATCTGGCATTTCCGGAGGCGTTCCGCGAGTTGATTTCGCGTGGTGCGGAAATTGTCGTTTTGCCGACTTTTTGTGCGTGGTTTCTTTCCTTTCTTTTTTGGGGATGGGTTGAGGGTGGTGGGGGCGGGAGGAGTTTCTCGCTCTCTTCTTCCTCTTCCCTCTGTGTCCGTGTGGGATAGCTTAGCTTACGTGGTTTGGGTTGATGCTAATAATTAATCGCAACGTAGGGAGCCGCTATGACGCCTCGCCCGCCATGCTCAAGCATAACCCGGACTCCGAGAAACTGTTCCTCGAGACGACGCTCACGGCACGGTGCTTCGAGAATACCTGCGGGATCATCTTTGCCAATGTGGCGCGCGGACAGGATCCGGAGGATAAGTTCATGGGTCTGTCGCGGGTGATCTTGCCGGTAGTGGGCCCGGTGGGGAAGATGGGCGATGAGGAGGGGGTGTTGGTGGTGGACATGGATATGGGGTTGGTGCGCATCGCGGAGGAGAACTACAAGGTCCGGGCGGATATGGAGAGGGAGGGGTGGCATTATACGTATCGTCATACCTCGGTTGCGGGAAGGACGTGATAGTTGGTTTGGCCCTTGTCGTTAGTCGTTCAGATCCGAATCTGTGTTAGGTAGACAGAAGTTAGACATGTATTTGTTGGATTTATTGGACGAGCTGGCTAGCTATGTAATTCCCTAGGGAACATACTAAGAGCCGTGGTACTGATATACCCCGTGCCCAAGTCCAACCAACCACAAGTGTGCTGAAGGGTCAGCATAGCCACGCTATGATTGAGCAAGATTGGTAGTGTACATGACCTGAAAGCAGAGTGCTCGTAGGACCAGAAAGTGCAAGTGAATCACTATGCGTTCCCTGCAACAAGGCAGGAGCCACAGCGATCCAAATACATTTCCGATCCTGAACCCACGCCGATCGACCGTAGTCTCGACGAACCCCGCTGAAAGACGAAAAAAAAAAAAGAAGAAAACAAACGTGGAAAGAACAGATCGGTCCGACCAACGTGCCGACTATGCGTACCCTACGACATGGTAGGAGCCATAGTAGCCGTATCCTGAGTTTCCCAAGTGCACAAGACCACCGAACAGACACCGTGCAAAACGAAGTCAAGTTGAGAAGTACAAAGAGATCGACAGAACTGGCTAATTGAGGCAAAGAGGAAGGTATTTGTTAGAACATAGATTAACGGCCCGAAAGGAAGGGGGAGAAGTGAACAAAACACAGAAACGACAGATGAGCAATGGATAGGAAAGTGGTCGCATGTCGACATCATGTCTCGCCGATGCTCGGATTTGTGAAGCCCGGGATGGTTCACACACATCAGCTTCCGGTGCCTCTACAAAAATTCGACGGCATCGATATCAGGCGCTGCACCTTCATTCGCATCATCCGCAGACTCTTCTTCATTGTCAGGAGCTTCAATGGAAAAGGTCTCCCAGAAGATGTCGTCGTCCGAAGCGACGACAGTCCCACCCTCCGAATCCACAGTCTGCCACGGCGCAATTGGGTGCACCTCGTAAAGCGGCTCGCAATAGATAGAGTTGACACGGGGATTCTGAGAGGTTGCCGCCCGGGGCAGCATGTTAGGACCAGGGACCATTTCTCTGATCCAATCCACCTCCCACCTATAAGGATGCTTGACAACCTAGTTTCATGTTGCGGTCAGTTATTGCGTGTTTCTCTTTGACAGGAGCCAAACGATGCCCGATGAATGGGACAGAACTCACCTCGATGATCTGACATCCAGCTCTCAAGGCCACGGCGGTGACAGAAGATAATTCGCAGAAAGGGCAGGATTGGTCGGGCAGATGGAAACTTCCAAACAACGCGATCTCCTGGCAATTGTAAGGTTCGCAGCGGGTAAGAGGTGGATTGTAGGGATCGGCGCCGTTGGCAACGAAGTTGAGGAGTGAGTACACAACGAAGTTGCTCGGAACCGGGTCGGAATGTGAGAGACATTGAAAGTAGACCCTCTTCTTGGTCATATGGGGAACCGCGTGGCTGCAATTTGCGTAACTGAAGCTGTAGTTGTAAAAGTAACACATCCTGGATACAATCAGTGCGAGCTTAGCGACTGCTTGGACAGATCTGCTTACTTGGCTTCTCTTTTCTTGGTCAAAGATTGAAGCGATTTTTGAGAGGGGGTTTCATGTGGTCAGGAGCGAGAGGGGAGGCGTGATGGTGAGAAGTGTGGTGAGATGGTAAGAGGTCTGCTCTGCTAAGTCCTACTAGCTGAGAGAAAGTGAGAGATGAAGGTGAAGGCGAAGGAAAGAGAATGTAGGATGAGGAGTCAAAAGAGGAGAGGAGGGAGGGAACGAGGGAAGCCAAAGGGTATCTGCTGTGTTAAGATCGCTGCCTACTTATGCATTCACTCACTACAGCGCTTCACCCCATCTATATCACTGCTACCCCACACACTTACTCCCGATCTTGTTCATGGTTTTGCGTGCTACTGTGCGTGGTGTGGTTATTCCTGTGACATCTAATTCATCCGACGATATAGTCTCTATGGTGGTGATATACTTCGGATCACTGGCCCGAACGGCTATTGGCCGCACGGGCCGCGCTAAACATGGGCTTATCTGGGAGTACCCCACTCTGCCGCACGCTAAACCTCTTTCAGGATACCATCCAGGTCCTCGGGCTGAGAAGATGGACTGCATGCCAGTCGGCCGGCAATACTCAACGGCTCCCAGGCTGTCAAGCATATTTTACGTGTAGAATGTTGGAACGAGATCAGTGTCCATTTCAGCGCTTTGTCGATAAACATCCTTAGACTGCCAGGTAATGGCCCATCTAGGGCGGGCGCCTCGTATGGCCCAGAGGAATTAGAGCTACAGTACACATACGAACATTCCCTTGAGTTACTGTACTGTACATTGCAACTGCTAGTCTGCAAAATAGTCTCAATTCTAAACAAGCCGCAATCATCCACAATCATTAGGCGATACAAATTCGTCAAATCTTGGCAACCGTTCATCCACCATGCGGCCGTGGAAGTCTTGCATCCGAGGAAATATAAACATAAGGCATAATCAACTCCGCGAGAGACTGAATCCGCCCAGTACCCCCCCCCTCCAAAAAACTGACTACCAGCACAACGGAAAGTGATCGGGTGTATAGATCAAAATCAACCATCCAACTCTGAGACTCACTGAACTTGGCTGACAATCTCGCTGGCGCGGGAAAGGCTCTCCACCATCTGCTGGCACTCCTTCCGCCGGCGGATGGTGTAATCACTCTCCTTCAGGAGCTCATCCAGCTCGTTGTTGCGGTACATCATCTCCAGAAGCTCGCGCTGCATTTCGTCCTTGGTGAATCTAGTTTTGTATTAGCATTTATCACTGCAGAGATCATGGACTGGACTCACTGAACAAGGGTGTACATAATGGCCTTGGGGACCATATCGATCATGGTGCGCTTGACGATATTGAAGTATGACGTGATGAGCAATTCTGTAGACTGTTAGCATCCGTGCAGCCTTGGAGGTCGACAGGACTTACTAATGACTTCGACCTCGCTGCTCTCCCGCTCGGACAGGGCCGCAGAGGCTTTCAGAGACGGCGGTGGCGGCTCCATAGCGGCCATCTTCTTCTTGTTCTTCGAGGCCCAGAAACTGCCGAAGAATCCGGAGCTGCCGGTGTCGGTAGGAGCCTCAACCGAGGGGCTATTTGCCCGCGGAGGAAGAGGCTTGCCCGTCTTCGGGTCCACTTGCGTAGGCTTGCTTCCAAGTTGACGTTCGTTGACGATAGCCATGGCCTAGTTGGTCAGTAGGGCTTGATTACGGGGGTTGTGCACAGAACTTACGCGGTGTCCGTTCAGGAAGTCGGGATGTCCAGTGTTGATGTAAACCGATTCCATTGCGATCAGGTCCCGCACAAGCTTGTTAGTCGGCTCCATACACTTCTTGAAGAATCCGATAACCACCGCATGGAACTTCTCCTTAAGCATAGGGTACCTCCGGAAGAGCTGCTTGTTCAGAAGCTGACCCAGGATGCGAACGAGTTCGTCGTACACCAAAGAGATACACTTCAAGCTGGGATCTTCCAATCGCTTGATCTGCTGCTTCACGATCAATTCAAACGCAGTCGTACCAACAAAAAGAGCTGGTGACGATCCAGAAGAATTGTAGAGGATGGTACGGATGTCAATATCCTTCACCTGATCAAATGGATCGACCGCCTTGACACCATTGGAGTAAAGCTCGTGGAACACGAAGCTGATACGGGCACCTCCCGACAATTCGATACTGGACAGCTCGGTGTTGTTACCCTCCAGCACAGTACGGTACTCGTTACTAAATTCGGTGATAATGTTCAACACGATGTTCGCGCTGTTGCCGAGCATCGAGTCACCAAGCTGCGAAAGTTCGGAGGAGTATTTCTGAAGGGAGGACGAGATGCGGGCCTTGATGTCGGGAAGAGTTTGCTTGATGTGCATCATAAGGATCTATGGTATAGTTAGCGCATACACAATCTTGTATCGAGAGTCTCAATACGCACCAGGTTCAACTTTCTAGCCAAATACGGCGTTCCGCAGTATGACGATTTGTTGCGGTAGGCTTTGTGGTTCTCGAAGAAGTTCTTCTCGTTCTCCAGGGCATAAGCAATGGGCCGCTTGTTCTCAATATCGCGCTGACCACGGTTGACCACTGGCACATAACCCAAGCGCAAGGGAATAATCCTGCCCGCAAGAATATCCACGACATCGGTGCCCTCGTCCATCAGATCCACCTTAGTCAACACACCGATCGTACGCTGACCCTCGGGATCCACCTCGCGCGCCAGCTTCAGACCATCCGAGTTAGCCAAGTCCTGGTTCGCAGAAGTGACAGCCAGAATGATAGCGTTGGGCTTGCTGATGTATTTCATGACCATGTCCCGAATCTGCTTCTCGATGTCCTTGGGCTGATCGCCCACCGGCACCTTGGTCAATCCGGGCAAGTCAACCAGCGTCAGGGTCAGGACATTAGGCGAGTAGATGCGGAGGTTGATAGGGGCGGGTGAGATGCCGGCGTTGCGACCGACTTTTTGTTCGGTTTCGCGCACAATTTCATCGCGGATCTTGTTGAAGTCGTAGAACTTTTGACCGGGGATGTGCAGGAACTCGCCATATTCGTCCAAGTTGGCCTCTTTGTCCGTGCCTTCCAACTCTCCTTCCTTCGCACCGTTGGTCTGCGCATTTGTAGCGGGCTTGTTGATCAGTTGCAGGATGAGGGGTCTGCGAGTGACAATTCCGGAACCACGGGGGAGGCTAAGGGGTGGTAGGGTTGACTGTCAGCGAATGCGATAGGAGTTGCGATGGCGACAATAAGAGTCACTCACAAATCGCGACCAACAATGTTTTCCAGAACTGAACTCTTTCCGCTGGACTGCGAACCAACGACAGCAATTTGAGGCAGGTCGATGGGGTTGTGAACCTAAACGGAACAAGCGGTGTCAGTCTGCGGAGGGGTTGCAGGAGAGCTCCGCGAAGAAGCAATCACTTACTCCGACAGTAGCGAAGACATCCTGCAGCTTGTTGACCAAGGAGATCAAGCTGGGATCGTTGACATTTATCCTGTCCGACAAGGGAGGTCAGTAAGTTGAACCGGTGTAAGGGGCACGAGGGCCTAAAGGGGAGGGGGAGTTGCGCACGAGAAGCCAGTTGGGCTTGCCATGGCTGGCAATGATGAGTAGGGGATCGCTCCAAATAAAAAAAGAAGAATTTGTGTTGTAAGTAAGCAGCGCTCAAGGTTATAAAATAGAGATAATCAATGACTGCCTGTTAGGCGTGGAAGCTGTGCGTGGTGACCTAGTTTTGTGGGGGAAAGTCGAGGGGGAAGAGTGTCGGAGCTGATCGAAGGCGGCGGCGGGAAGTGCCAAGTGTAGCCTTCTTCTGCTTCGGCCCAGATCAGTGAGATAAAGATTAGCAACTACAAAGCCACAAGGGCATACCCATGACAACGCTGAATGTCTCTGATTATTGAAAACTTCTTGCAACTGGTCTTGATTCTTGAATGAACTCATACTACAAAGCAATCCTTAGAATGCATACCTAGAGACCACAATGCAAAGCCACGAATACAGCAGGCCGCGTCATGTGCTTGTGGCCACCCAAAAAACAGTCAGCCAAACAATGATGCTGCCTGACGACCGACTCAAAGAGCTCGAAATCTGTCACCTTTGGGCAACAAGAATCTTCTGGAAAATTTCAAGGAAACTGCAATAACTACAGGTAATGGGAATTTGCTATGCTACAAATCTTGAAATTCAAAGAAACGACGACACGATTCCGGAGGACTTCCGGCCATCTGTATACCCTCTACTCCTCTACTCGTCCGACACTGAGGCAAACCGCTCCGACATGGTTTGGAGGATCTTCTCATACTAAGATGGAGTTAGAGAAGCTATATTCTGGGGATGGAAGAGGATCGAACTCACCTTCTCGGACACTTGGGCCTCGTTATCTGGCACTTCGAACTTCATGTTTCGCAGAGCAGTCTGGATATCACTTGTGGCGTCACGAACCTTGGCCCAGTTCTGACCCTGGGCAACGGCCTTCTGCGCTTCATCATGGTAGCCCATGAAAGCCTTCATCATGTACTCCGTCTTCCATAGGGGGCAGAACTGGTCGTAGTCACTGTAACCATTCTGCTGCAGGAAATCATCCTTGACCATGGCAGCCACATCCAGGGTAATCTTATCCGAGTCACCCAACGCCGCCTTACCAACCAACTGCACCACCTGGTCCAAATCCTCGGACTTGGTCAGGAGCTCTCGAATATGATCACGCAGACGAGGAAATTCGGGGTGGTGCTTCTCGTAATACCGGTCCAGGACAGTGGTGTACTTGCTGTAAGAGATCGACGTGTTGATCGAAGGGAAGTGCTTGCGCTGAGCAAGCTTTTTGTCCAGACCCCAGAAGACCTGGACGATACCGAGAGTGCTACTGGTAACAGGGTCGGAGAAATCACCACCCGGAGGGCTGACGGCACCGACAATGCTGACACTACCGGTTCTTTCAGGGCTTCCGAGTGCGACACTCCTTCCGGCACGTTCGTAGAAGGAGGCGAGCTTGGAACCCAGATAGGCGGGGAAACCCTGATCAGCAGGCATCTCTCCCAAGCGACCGGAGATTTCACGGAGAGCCTCGGCCCAACGAGAACTGGAATCGGCCATCATAGCCACATTTTTTCCCTGGTCACGGAAGTATTCGGCGATCGTAATACCGGTGTAGATAGAAGCTTCACGAGCGGCGACAGGCATATTGGAGGTGTTGGCGATCAGGCAAGTACGCTTCATGATGGGTTCTTTGCGGCCCTCGACGTCGATGGAGAGCTACGGATGCCATGTATCAGTAACAGATAGGGGCCCTGTGGGTAGCAGGATGACCAACCTCCGGGAAGTCCATCAAAACCTCAGCCATCTCATTGCCACGCTCACCACAACCGACGTAAACGATGATATCACTGTTAGAGAACTTGGACACACTCTGGGAGATGACAGTCTTTCCGCATCCGAAAGCACCAGGGATACAGACGGTACCACCCTGGACACTGGGGAAAAGGGAATCCAAGACTCTCTGGCCGACAATGAACGGAGCGTCGGAAGCCAGCTTCTCGTTCACCGGTCTGGGTACACGGACAGGCCAAGTGTGCATCATACTGTGCTCGGTCTTCACGCCGTTGAACTCGATCTCCAAAAGCTTCTCCTCAACCGTGTAGCTGCCGGCCTCGGCAATTCTGGTAATGGTACCTCTCGCACGGGGAGGGAGGATGATCTTGTGGTCGTTCACCAAGCTGTTCTCGAAAACGGTACCCCAGATATCACCACCAGTGATGTGATCGCCGACCTTGTACTTTCCTGGCTTGAAGTCCCATTTCCTCTCACGATCCAATGCATTGACTGCAATACCGCGGGGGATGTAGATGCCCTTGGACTGTTCGGAGATATCCTTCAGGGGGCGCTGAATACCGTCGTAGATTGTTTCCATCAAACCAGGGCCGAGTTCTACCGAAAGAGGCTTGCCTGTACGCAAGACGGGGTCGCCAACCGTCAAGCCAGCTGATCGTGAAAAATGTTAGATCTCGGGGACGGTAGGAAGCGGGAGATGAGATGGTGCTTGCAATACCGGTTTCTTCGTAGACCTGAATGATGGCCTTGTCTCCGTCGATGCGGATGACTTCTCCGACAAGCATATCATGACCGACTCGGCACTGGAGGAGTTGTCAGATACGGCTAAAGTGGGGATGTACGGGACACTGTCGATTCCACCCTGCATGGAATATGGGGAAGGAGGAGCTGCGGGGAGAACATACCAACTCGTACATAGCACAACCGATCATGTGCTCGGCCACGACGACGGGTCCGGAGATGGAGAAGACGGAACCATGTTGGTTCTCGCCATCGACAGCAGAAGGAGCCATGTTGCGAGAAGTATGGTCGTGGATGGAGGGAGTGGAGGAAGAGGGAGGGGGAGGGGGGTGGATGGAAGAGAGAGGGGAGGATGATGAAGTGGTGGGCGACACGGGGAGCGGTGGCAGTTGCTGGCCTTCTAGCTCAGGCGGTGATGACGACCTCGAACCGACCGACAACAACTTCCCTCCTCCTTCAACCACTGCTTGACTGGCGATCAGATTCAGCAACGAGGGCCGTGTACGAAGTCGAGGCACGCCTAATCCTAGCATTCGTTATAATCGCTATCATAATCTCAAGTGCAATGATAATTGGTTAGCCTCGTATTCGAGCTCTCCTGAGGCGATCTTGGGCGGTGTTGCCTGTTTACTCAGCCATTCTTGGAGACGGCACGGACCTATCCACCATCTAGTGGATTGGAACTGACTAGCTCGCCGTGGCCAAAGTCTCGTTCTAATGTATAAAAAATAGCATCCCAGCGATGCTCGATTCCCTCACCATCACATAAACTACGCTACAATCATCAAGAGACATCCATGACACATCCACTAATAATGTCTGTCATTCTGCGACCTGCTGAAGTATCGGTTGCCCACTTCACTAACTACATGCTGTACAAAAGTCGAAGTCCCAATAACATACATAACTACAATCGACAAGAGGACAGATATACTACAGCTGGAGATAGAACGTTGACGGGATTAAGGGCAGACGTCATATAAACTTAAGATACAAGTATGAGAAAAGCATCTCTTCGACTTTGAGGTTCCACAGTCTCATTCATTAATCATCCTCCGAGGTTCATCACTCATACGGCCACTTTCAATCCGGGCGCGATGGAAAGCGAGATTTTACTTCTGTAGAAACTGGTAAGACTCTCATCAATCTCGTAAAGGCAGAGGAATCAACATACGCCGCACTGCTTGCAAGTGCACGAGCTTCCGCAAGTGCAGCTGCTGGGTCCACTGCATCCGCAGGTGTTTCCGGAACCGCAATCGCAACCCATGTTGTTCGATATGTTGTGGTATAAATAGGTGATAATAAGGTCTTGTGTAGATCGATCGATAACGACAATTTTGACTTTATGGCGATTGAGAACCTTGGGGACGAGGAAGGTCGCCCAATTTATAGATGCTCATTGTTGGGAGAGCCTGGGCGTGAATCATGATGAGGTCAGTTGACAGATTATGTCATGGCTGCAACAGACAAAGACCCGAGTCGAACCGAACCGATCTCATGCGTCGTACACAGATCCGGGTATACTGTCCGATTGGGAGTTGTGGTTTTCCTAGAAGTTCCTGACAATCCTCACCATCTAGGCATTCACTGGGGTAATGGTTCTCTGAAGGTCCAGGCTCCGGATCGCAGCGGGTTGGAGCCTCCGACGAAATAACGTCGTCGGCCAAGACATCGGTCATGAATTACAATTTTGGATGACACTTCCCCAGACCTTTGCTTGTGGAAGCTCGGTTTGGCCAAAACCAGTGAGGGTAGGAATAAGCCTGGCACTTTAGAAATGTCATGCAAACATGATTCGTCGCAAGGTCAGGGGAATGATAGCTTTGACTGGCTTGACCATTGTTTGACTCACAGCTTTATAAATCGATCAAGTCATCGAAAGAAAGATTAGCTGTACAGTTTTCTTCAATAATTTCCAATGGAGCACCGTGTAATGAGTATAACTTCCAGAACATGAAGTTCGCCAGCTGTGATTGTGGACACGACACTTCTATCGTTGCTGTACCTTCGAGACGAGAGTCTTGACTGTAGTGAATCTCGAAATCGCCACAGTTCAGTATAGACTGATTATAATCCGTCAGAATGCTGAGACGACTAATCTGTGCTAAGAATCGTTCAGTCAATTTGCCAATCTGTGATGGTAGACGTTCAGGAAGCGCCAAATGAACATGCGTGAGTGAAGGACGTGCAGTAAAGCTGAGACCCATGTTTACTCGACAGCACGCATCGCCTTTATCATAACAACCATACAGCAAGAAATAAACCACTTGAACATGGCCACTTGTGAGCTAAGTGTCGAATCCAGGAGCTCCCGGCGGAACGATGCATGGAGGAAGCAGCGGTGAGGAATGTCGTGCCTTAGATACCGTCGACAAACGTTTTGTTTCGGGGGCTTTGCAAGGTCTCTTGCTTAATTTATTCTCCGGAGAATGACCCGATCGAATTTCTTCACAGCGATCCCATTGTCAATTACTGTACCGCTGCCTGAGCCGTTTCTCACTTTATCCCGTCAAAGGTGGGGTGCCTTTCGACTATCTAGTTATTTTCATCTGCAAGGAGTTGTGTGATTCGCTTGTAAGCAAGTCCCGTTATACCCAGAAGAACGAGCATTGCGTACCATGGATGTACTCCGACAACCTCCGTACGAGTACATCTCTCGAGCGATGACACTTGTGAGAAGGAGCTTGTGGGTCCGGAGTTGGCCAGCATACCTACCTCTCTCCACCTGGGTTGAGGTCTGTGGTACCAGATGTCCACTCTGCGTCTCTGCCACCCCAGGATGGGCGCGGTTGGGTACATCTACGGCGTGAAACTAAGCCAGATGAATCGTAGTGGCGGATTCGGGCTCCTGCATAGCACGCCTACTATTTCATACTCGCTAATTGATAGCCGTCAGGAAGGCAGATAGGCATCCGATTAGCGATTGATCCTGAGGGTAGGGGTACCGTGCCCCTGAGGAAACAGGCATGAGAACAACTCATTCCATGTGCCTAGACAGGTGTGCAGGTGATGTGTCTGGCTGCGGTTGATCGGTGGCCAATATCGGTTGCGGAACTGTGTTCGTGCCCCTCAGATTCGTGTTTCCTAAGGATAGATAAATGTCGGATGGTGTCATTTGAGAGTATTTTGAAACCGAGTTAACTGCGTGTCAGCTGCTTGCTCGATCGAGGGGGCTTTGTCGGTTCAGGTGACGCGGGCATTCTCTGCTCCACTCCGGCTGGGGACGAGCTAGCGGACATACAATACCTGAATTCTTCGATATATAGAACTCAGGAATAGTAGGTAGAAGCAGCAGAGGGCGTGAAGCGAATAAAAGCACCGGATAGAAAGGCTCCAGAGTATTGTGTTGATAAGTGATCAAGATACTACGGGAACGAGGTGTCCTTTGGCTAATGTATCGTCATACCCTCATAACCCCGTATGATGGATATTGCGGTCCATAGTTCTTGATATCGGCAGCAAACAGCTTCTATGAACCGTCTGTTTCGAGTCTTCCGACTGATCAGATAATTTTGAAACTCCAAACCAGCATTTAAATCTGGGGATCAGGTATAGTACAAATGCGGAGTAGACGAGCGAGTGCAGTGATTTATGTATCTAGTGGTTTGGGCAGGTGTGGGTAAAGAAAAGAGCACGGGGGGAGGGGACTGGGAATTGATAGGCATTCAATAAGCATTGATTGTCGGGGTTGCTTGGCCCCACGGAAGACAGACAGACGGTCAGTCAGTTAGTCCGTCACTCACTCGGTCACAGCCGCCGCCGATGTGCTCGACCTCAACCTCCGCTCCTCCAGTTGTTCCTCGTTCAATCAATCAATCAACCACCGAAACTTTCCCCCCCTCGTCCATAATATCCTTTCTCGCTCGCTGACAAGGCTGTTACTTATTTTCGGCTCGGTCACTCCGGCTTTTTCTAAACCTGATTTTGGCTCTCTTTTTCATCTTCCTAGCTCTCCCCATTCCCGACATCCGGTGACCTTTCCTTGGAGTGAGCCGTGCAAGCCCGATAAGACTTCTCCGCTTGTCTATCGTAAGGAGCACTCTCCGTCCACACTCATACACTACGCACAGCTAGACGCCATGTGATACAGATCATGCTAATATATACCCTCTGACAAGCAGATTGGCAGACTGCTGAGGCTCGTGACAAGGTTGACGACGTACCCTAACCATCGGCGAACATCAGTGAACCGCCACTGATAGAGGTCTGCTCCCCTGGTTCTCCAACAGAGCCAGGTGAAAGGGCAGATCCAGAAACATTCGAACTGGCAGACAATCCTTCACCATATATACCCTCCTCCGCCACTCCCGACCACCCTGATCCCCCTCCACCCCTCCAATCCCCGCCGCCACTTCGCACCACTTCCGCCACGAGCGGCCTATCCGCGTCGCCCCTCCGTAACTCGGTTGTCAGCGATCAGTCCGGTACGAGAAGCGCTCCTGGTATAGCATCCAGATCTTCTCGTCGACGTCGTCGTAGTACCACACCTACCACTCGCGGCCTGACACCAGAGGGGACGGGAGGTCTTGCGGGAGGTCATACGGCAAGCGAGACCGGCCATCAAGAAATTCAACCACAAGCTCCATCGGTGAGCTACGCACCGTTCTCCAAGCGCAGGCGCCTGGCAAATATGCGTCCCGATGGGATCTCTAGTACAAATGGCTCTTCCCATACACTGAATGGATCGCCTGCCTCCCCGTCCCAGAAGGCGGCTTTCCCCCTCTCACTGAATGGGCAAGCCTCGCACACAGCCTCTAATGGAGAAATACATACGAACGGACTACAGAAATCCAGGTTGAATTCCTCATCTTACTTCGGTCACGACCGTGAGGAGGTTACAAGAATCTTGATACAGAGTCTTTATGAGCTTGGTTACGATGGGTCAGCGTCGTTATTGAGTAAAGAGAGCGGCTATCAACTGGAAAGCTCGGCGGTCGCTACGTTCAGGGCCGCGATTCTTGAGGGACGATGGGCTGAAGCGGAACAGATCTTGCTTCAGTCGTTTCAGCATGAGCGGGACAACGGCAGAGGAGGGAGTCGCAGTGAGCAATTCGCGAACAAAGAGCGATTAGTGCTGGTTGAGCACGCTGAAAAGAATGAGATGCTTTTCTACCTTCGACAACAGAAGTTTCTGGAGCTGCTGGAGGCTCGGGACTTGGGCGCAGCTTTAATTGTCCTCCGGCATGAGCTAACACCCTTGAACTACGACATCAGTCGCTTACATGCTCTTTCGAGGTGAGATTCTCTTGAGAAACAAATCTAGTCTGACAACTGGAATTGTCTCGAACTAACTCTTAAATAGTCTCCTCATGTGCCCCCCAGAGCATCTTCATGACCAGGCTGGTTGGGATAGCCCTATAAGCTCTTCTCGAGAACGTCTGCTGTCCGAGTTATCGAGTACGTGGCACATCGTATCTCATCGGCATTTTTATACTGACAACTAATCAGAATTCATTTCGCCGTCTGTTATGATCCCGGACAACCGTCTTGCTATTCTCTTAGATCACGTCAAGCAAAATCAAATTAATCAGTGCTTGTATCACAATACCGCAAATCCTCCTTCTCTCTATTCGGACCACATGTGCGACCGAAAAGATTTCCCTCTGCGAACGGAGATCCAATTAAATGAGCAACGGGACGAAGTGTGGTGGTGCTCATTTTCACATGATGGTACCAGGCTGGTTACGGCCTGCAAGGATTCCACAGTGATACTTTACGACACAAACACCTTTACAGTACTTCACACGCTCAAGGAGCACACGGATGGTGTTGTGCACTGCGAATTCAGCCCAGACGATTCCAAGCTCATCACCTGCTCTCAGGACAAGACAGCTCGCGTGTGGAGCGTCGAAGTAGGTTTCCCCCTCGGGGTATCGCAATGCTTTTCGCATCACTGACAAAGAGTCCAGTCTGGTCGCTGTATCTTGACCATAAATCATCATCGGCAGCCCGTAACATCTGCAGCATGGGCTCCGGATGGGGAGACATTTGTCACGGCTTCTCTTGATCTTAGCTCGCAACTGTGCTATTGGAGCATGCGTGGGCTGAACCTGCACACCTGGAGTGGGGGATTCCGTGTACAGGACTGTACCATGACTCCCGACGGTCGGAGGTTGATCGCAGCAGATCTCGAGGGGAAGTTGCATGTTTATAACTTTGGGACACGTGATGAAGAATACTGCCTTACAACGAAAAGCAGACCAACATCTGTGGCTGTCAGCAAGGACTCTCGATATTTGCTTGTGAACTTGGCCGACAATCAACTGCAACTCATTGACCTCAATACGACCGATGTCGTACGGCGCTTTCAGGGGCAAAAGCAGGGCAATTTCGTTATCCGAAGCGTCTTTGGAGGCGCTGCTGACAATTTCATCGTTAGTGGAAGCGAAGGTAAGCGACGAATTCTTTTTTGGATGTCTCTTGCTAACCTCATGACAGATTCTCGTATTTATATTTGGCACAAAGAAAATGGAACTCTCGTCGAAGTCCTGGAAGCACACACACGTGGATGTGTGAACTCTTTATCATGGAACCCATCCAACTCGGGGATGTTCGCCTCAGCAGGCGATGATAACATGGTCAGAATGTGAGATATCTCTACCTATTTACCCCATGGTTTGTGTCTTCTAGACTGACTGTTCCCCTTCAAGATGGACCAGAGAACGCGATACACGACCGAGTACTGCAGCGGGTAAACACAGAACTGTGTCGGGAAATGGGTTTGCCCGCACGAGTGCCCTGCGTTCAACGTCTCGGTTTTAAAAAGGACTGCTTTTGGGGCAGCGTATCATGCTGCCTCTACGGATGTTGTTATCATACCTCAATGAAAGGTTATACTCAGACCTTCTGTAACCGGTTGAGCGACCTCCCACCTATTTCCACATTATCTTCACCAGATTCCCCACTATTGCTTCCCTCGCAATCCCTGCATATATGCATTCTCTGGCCATTCCAGTGATCTACATAATAAAGGTGTGCAGGCGCCACTTTCTTTTGGTACACATTCGTATATGTTGTGCATCGATTCCTTGAACTCACTTTCTCCCCACCCCCCTCCATCATTTCAGCATTGACCTGTTCCATTTCCTCCAGGCATTGCATCCTCATCCATACCTTGTGCCTTTTCTACATACACAGACTTACATGCCACAGCCCCTCGAGTCCGCCTTTTTGGCTTTTTTTTTTATTCCATCTCCGTGGTTTGGGTGACCAGGAAAGTTTGGGACAAATCGAGGAACTGGTTTAAGGGCGCCGGAGTGGAAACTTGGGCCTGTCTTATGTGTTTTCTCATTGTGGTCTACTTTATCATAGGTATCATTATCTTTACTTATCTTTTGTTCTTTGATGTCTTCGCATCCCCCCCCATATCCGGAATTCAGCACTCTTGCTTTGAGTATTGAGTGGTTCGCTGTCCAAGCTTGGAAAGCTCTAATGGTATGCTATTGCTGCTCCTGGGGTAGCCGCGGTGAGCATGATGGCTGACGGTGCAGTTGGTGTAGCTTGCTTTACTCTGTGGAGTCGTGCTATATTGCAGACTGAATTGAACAGTGCCTGGAATCAACTACAATGTATCAGGAAAACAGTTCGGTATGACAAAAGGCTTCACCAAGTAGCCAGGTGCTTTTATATGGTTTTCAAGTCGGAAGGAAAAGTAATGGTTTTGTGTATCTCCAGACCATAAGTAAAAAAGAAAAGAACCCCCAGATACAGCTTGATTTACTCCAGAAGATAAAACGAGATCGAACGCCACAGCAGATAGACAAAAACATGCAAAACGCTGGTCGGGTGTTGATATGAACCTCAGATCAGAGACAATCCTTGCAAAAGTATCATTTGAAGGTGATATAACTGGTAATTTGTTAGCATTTGCTCTTGTAAAAGTGACGGTAGGGGTGCATCGATGGTACTGACCAGACTAGTATTTTTCCCATTTCCTCCACACTATTTTGACTTCCGTCTTGCCTGCAAAGGATTGTCCAGGGCCTATATGCCCTCTCTCGGTCATGGTGGGAAGCGACTGGGGAGGGTGCCAGCTCGCAAAGAGTTGATTCGCAGGGCATCCCGTAGCTTGAGCACAACTTTGGCTTTGTGAACGGTAGCAAGAGCTTGTAGATTAAGAAAGAAGATCGGCAACTGTCATGATTGAGGTTAGAAGAGAACGTCAGGGGTGACTGATTTTAAACAGAAGCACTCACCATTCATAGGCATCTCATCAATCTGGGTAGAATAATACAATTCAATGTCGCGGAGGATTCGCACATCGTCGCTGGTGACGAAGTTGATGGCAACACCCTTTCTGCCGAAACGACCGCTACGACCGATGCGGTGGATGTAGTTCTCACGGTTGGTGGGGAGGTCGTAGTTGATGACCAAGGAGACTTGCTGCACATCGATACCACGCGCCCACACGTCGGTCGAGATCAGGACACGGGAGTTGCCCTGGCGGAAGTCTTGCATAATGCTATCACGTTCCTTCTGGGGCATCTCTCCGTGCATGCTGGAAACGGTGAAGTTGGCTTCGCGCATCTTATCGGTAAGCCAGTCGACCTTACGGCGAGTGTTGCAGAAGATGACGGCTTGCGTGATAGTCAAGGTATCGTAGAGATCGCAAAGGGTATCGAACTTCCACTCCTCCTTCTCGACAGCGATGAAGTACTGCTTGATTCCTTCGAGCGTCAACTCGTCACGCTTGACCAGAACGCGCACGGGGTCGGTCATGAACTTGGTAGTCATGTCGAGCACATCGTAGGGGAGGGTGGCGGAGACGACAACGACCTGGGTGGCAGGGGGGAGGTAACGGTAGACATCGTAGATCTGTTCACGGAAACCGCGGTTCAAGAGTTCGTCGGCTTCATCGAGGACCAGCATCTTGATGTGCCGGGTGCGCAGGTGGCGTCGGCGGATCATATCTGCAACGCGACCGGGCGTTCCTGACACAACGTGCTGGCCATAGTCAAGCTTCCGGATGTCCTCTCCAATGTTTGTACCTCCGATACAAGCGTGACATTGAACATTCATGTAATCGCCGAGGGCCATGATGACGGATTGAATCTGGGTGGCGAGTTCGCGCGTAGGGGAAAGGACAAGAGCTGATCTCTGTGAGCTTTGCGCATGCAATGAAGGTGGTGTACCACAGACCTTGGGTTTCGCGAACAACGGTATCGATGACCTGAAGGATACTGATCGAGAACGTAGCTGTTTTACCGGTACCGGATTGCGCCTGGGCAATGGTATCGCGACCTTTGCAAATTTGAACGATCGCGCGAGACTGAACAGCGGAGGGGGATTCATAGCCATAAGCATAGATACCACGGAGCAGGCTCTCCTTCAGGTGCATATCCTCGAAGGTAGGAGCAACAGTGACCTCCTTCGAGGTGTTGAACTCCATCCGGTCTGATTTTGTGTCGTCAGTACATGATAAGTCGATCTTGATGTCATTCATTGAGCCATACCATCAGCGCGTCTGTCAATACCGTCCGCCATGTTGAATCCACTGAGATCTGATATTATAATTTGATCAAACGGACAGAATATCGATTCTGGAATCGAGGGTGCTGGTCTGGTGGAGTGGCCGGAGCTCGCGACTTTTCGCTGCGATCGAGGGCTCACCGCCCGCACCACGTGACCGTGTTTCGCCCGCAAAGCTCTCATGAGTGGCGCCGATATGGCAGCGTAACATCCTCCAATCTGGGGTGAGCATTACATCGCATTCACGCAGCGGGACTTGGTGCGCACTTTCAACATGCTTCTTGAAGAACAGAGATTTATTCATGAGGATTTGGAGCGGCTGGAGCAGGCTATTGCCGACCGCGTTGCTGAAGAGCCCCGTAACGTACGTGCTCACCCGTTGTTGCAGTCATTTGCAGATGCTAACTATCGCCTTTCTGTTTAGTTACGGGATCGCCTCAATCGCGACCATGAAATCTCACACTTCCTCAACCGCATAGAAGAGCAGTCGAAGAGGCTGCTTGACATTTATAAAGATGCTGATGGCGCGCGCAACAAGGAAATTCAAGCTATCTCAACCGGCGACCAGTTCGAGGAGTTTTACCGACAGCTGGACGAAATCAAGGACTTTCACAAGCGCTATCCCAATGAACCGGTCGAGAATCTCGAGCGCGCTTACAAGCGCCGTCAGCTCGGCGACGGCGAAACGACGGGGATGGAAGTTGACAATCTGTTTACTGGAGAGGAGAGCTACGGACAGTTCCTGGATTTGACGACCTTACACGAGGAGTACCTCAATCTTCCTGGAGTCAAGCGACTTTCGTACATTCAGTATCTCGACATCTTCGATGCCTTCACGCCCCCGCAGCTTCCGATCAAGCGCAGCAACAAAATTTCGGATAAATACTTCAAGTACGTTGGCGGACTCGCGAGCTACCTGGAAAGCTTTATCAAGAAGGTCCGGCCACTGCAGGATCTTGGCAAGCTTTTTGCCAGCTTCGACGAGGAATTCGAGAAGCAATGGTCGGCTAACGAAGTTCCGGGATGGACGGAGGAGAAGGCCGAGAATGGGGCTCAGGGTCCTAAGACTGAAGGGACCGGCGAGGGTATCTGGTGTGCCGACTGCGAGAGGGAGTTCAAGAATGAGAATGTCTACAAGAATCATTTGACGGGCAAGAAGCACATCCGAGCTGCTGAGGCTCGTAAAGCTGCTGGAGACTCCGGCGACAGACCTGCACCATCTGCAGGTGCTGGGATTTCAGGTGCCCACAAACTCAAGGAACGCGCGGTAGCAGAGCGGGAACATCGCGTCCGGTCTCTTACACAAGTTCTCAGTTCAGAGCGTGAGGCGACAAAGATCAACGTCGAGCGCAAGCAGGGCATGACTGAAAGGGAACGTCAGATGGAGCTCGAGGCGCTCATGAACGAGTCGGAGTATCCCGGCGGAGATCGTGGAAACGATCAATCTGATGACGAAGGGGACGACCGAATCTACAACCCTCTGAAGCTGCCACTTGCTTGGGACGGGAAGCCCATTCCTTACTGGCTTTATAAGCTGCATGGTCTTGGTGTGGAATACCCATGCGAAATTTGCGGAAACTTCGTATACATGGGTCGCCGCGCCTTTGACAAGCACTTTTCTGAAGCTCTGCACATTTTCGGTCTGAAGTGCTTGGGCATCACATCGAACACCAACCTTTTCCGCGAGATCACTCGAATCGATGAGGCATTGCGGTTATGGGAGAAGCTCGAAAAGGACCGCAAGAAGGATAGAGACAACCGTGACAACGTCGTACAGATGGAGGATGCGGAAGGAAACGTCATGCCGGAGAGGATCTATCTTGAGTATGTAACCCCATCCGTGGTCTTGTTGAGGACATGATTGCTAACACTTCATCAGTCTCCAAAAACAGGGTATCTTGTAACCGGCAAACTTCCGTTATGCCCTTCAGCCGATCAGTCTCACCTATTTGTCTCGTTGCTTAATTTGAAAAGCCTGGAGTTTGGCGGTGTCATTGTTTCTCTAATTACTTATGGTTAACTGGACCACTGGGACCCTCGTTGGTTAGAATTGACTGGTTCTGTGCAGAAACTTATACACTCTCGCGCATTCTGTATTTTATACAAGAAATTCATGAGCATGATCAACACCTTCTCCTGTCTGCCACTACGTTGTTTCCATGGAGTAGATGAGTGAAACATACCGTAGACCTAAACCTGGTTCGGATCACGTGCCTTCGTGATCCATAGACGCGTCCCCCTGCAGGCTGGTGGGCTCTTCCCCGACCTTTTTCAGACTCCTGTCTTAAAATCAGGTTCAATTTAGAGGCCACCATAGCTCTTGGGCCGTCAATCCTCCTTGTCCCGATGTGCAGTCCGTATTCGTCAAGTTTCAGCATCTTGAGTAAGCGGTGCCTCGATGCTGGAAGCGGTAGACGCGTCCGGCACTCCCAGCGCGCCCTCTGCCCGGTCTAATTGATGGGTTTCAAGTTCACTCATCTGTGCGATTTGCTTTCCTCTCTGGAAGACAACAGGATTCTGAAGGCTACGCATGAGGCGAGAGCTTTCAATCCCGACGTGCGAGCTGTGACCCGATGGTTCGCTCAACATGGGAAACAAATCCGTGGCAATGGTACTGATCTTCTCGCCTTGTTGTCCTGCATGTTTCCGGAGAGAAGGTCAGACAGGGTATACTGGCTGCAGGAATCCTCACTGGCAAGGATAATAGCGCGATGTCTACTCCTTGGCTCTTCTCGACGAGAAGAGCTCGAGCGCTGGCGTGTCGCTGGAGGTGTCGATCTCGGACAATGCGTGGAGAATGTTATGCGACAGGCTGAGAATGGCCTTGTTCACGGCCGTGAGGTAACTGTAGAGGAGATTGATTCTGCATTGAACAGCATTGCTGCCCGTTGCAGATTCTCTGCTCCCCGAGTGCGAAAGCAGCATACTGCGGTTGATGTCGAGCAGGCCCTGGGTTCGCTCTACAAGCGACTGACGAGTAGAGACGCAAAATGGCTAACACGAATGATACTCAAAAGCTATTTTCCGGTCATGTTTCCTCTCCCGTCGACTCTGCGGAGCTTTCACTTTCTTCTTCCTCCTCTCCTTCTCTTCCAGGACACATTCGAGGGCGCTCTCAGCATGCTTCGTTCAGACCCAATAAGCCATTTCCCACCACATCCAGAGCCTGGGTTGGCCAAGGACCTGGCATATCTGGCGTTACAACACCTTAAACCTCGGACCGGTGTAAAAATCGGTCGACCGGATTACTATAAGGCTCGGAGCATCAAGCACTGCTGTCGCATGATCAATCATCGTCGAATGAGTATTGAAAGAAAGTATGATGGCGAGTACTGTCAGATTCATATCGACCTGGCGCTACACCCTAATTCCATTCAGATATTCTCTAAGAGTGGTAAAGACTCAACTGTGGATCGGGCAGGTATTCATCAAGTCATAAGAGATTCCTTGAAGATAGGGACACCTGGGTGCAAGGTTTCCCATCGATGCATACTGGAAGGCGAACTACTCGTGTGGAGTGACAAACACGGCAAGATCATGGATTTTCACAAGTTGCGTAAATTGATATCTCGGTCCGGCACCTTCATTGGTACTGAGAGCGATTCCCCGTGAGTCAAACAGAGGCTATAACCCAGGATTCCGTTTCTAATCGCAGCCAGACCGCAATCCCATGAGCATTTAATGATAGTTTTCTTTGATATCTTGCTTCTGGACGACAATATATGTCTGAAGCGGCCGCATCGGGAACGACGCCTAATTCTCAGAGACACCATACAAGTGATCCCTGGGCGTGCAGATATCGCTGAGCAACAAGTAATCGATTTCTCACGACATGACGGTCAATCTCGTCTAGAAAGCATTTTCTCTGCCGGAATCGCACAGCGGTGGGAGGGTTTTGTACTCAAAGGGTGTGAAGACCCTTACTTTACCATCTTCTCCAGCCACGAGAATAACACGTCCGGCCGCTGGATCAAGCTGAAAAAGGATTACATACCGGGGTTGGGCGATACCCTTGACCTCGCAATAATCGGCGCCAGGTACAATACCCAAGATGCTACAGCTCTTCACCAAGTTAAGAAATTGCTTTGGACCGAGTTCTATATCGGCTGTCTCACAAACAAAGATGCTGTTTTGCAATTCAATGTCTCCCCCAAATTCAAGGTTGTGGACGTCATTAACCGCAACTGCATGAGCTTAAAGAACATGCAAATACTGAATCAGTTCGGCGAGTTCTGTGCTTGCAAACCCGAATCAGGCCACGGGTTCTCGATTCAATATGGGGCCAATGTCACGTCCAGAATGGAAGCTGTGTTTAAGACGCCTTTCGTTGTTGAGGTATTGGGCAGTGGCTTCGAAAAGCCATCTAACGCCGGGTATTTCACGCTTCGCTTCCCAAGGATCACCAAGATTCACTGGGACAGGGCTTTTGAGGATGCAGCTTCATACGCTGAGCTACAGCAACTAGCCGAGGACGCCCGGGCTGCTCCTTCAGATGACCTGGACGAAGAGAGAAACGAATGGTCCAAGCGTGTAAAACTTGGTCCTGGATCAGCACATTATGTGGTAAACCGATCCGGAAGCATCTCTTCAACTCAAAATTCTACATTGAGGTCAGGAACCGACACCACCGCTGCAATTTCTTCGAGTGAGACTTCAAGTATTGCATCACCGGTTTCTAGAATCTTGCGAAGGCCAAACACGCCGGCCAGATCATACAATGATCCGAAGCTTCCGACCAACCGTACAATACCCATATACACTGATGGGGCTGTCGAGCGAGTCTCATCAACTTCAGACTATGCTTTTCAGCAAAATCCTTTGACCGATAATGAGAACCTCTCGGCTCATACCTCCCGCCAACGAGAATATGCAAACCAGATCATCGATGCTACACAAGCAGGGAAGCCGGACCCTCAGCATCGTGAGCTCGGTACAGTCAAGAGTCGAGCCCGCGCCGAGGCCGTCGAAGCCGGACAGTGCAGCAGCTCATCTCAAGCAAAGCGCAGAACTAGCTACGCCAAACCAATAGAAAGAACCCAGAAACTCAACAATTCCATCGCATTTCCACTCATGCAATTTCCCGTATACATTACCTCAACGTTGAGCCCCGAAAAACAAGCCGAGAAACCCCACCAATCGCTTGACGCCTTTCTAGATACCCTGACGATACACAACACCAAGACCAATGTATCGTCTCCGAGCATTGGACTCGTCATCCTCGCCGGCAGCAAATCCGCATTAGGAAAACTCCTCTTCGACCTGAGCAAACGCATCACCCAAGCCCTGCAATCCAGAAGCACAAGACTCCCTACAGCCGGCAAGATCTTCATCCTCGACCGAAGTGTCCTGAACCTCGACGACGCGAGGCTCCGCCTCCGTCAAACCTGGGAATCGATCGGCCGACGGGACTTCTACGCGTGCGTGAAGTGGGATCTCAACGGCCCTGGGACGATTGCTTCGAAACCACTGATTCATGCAGGCTCGAAGACCCTTATTGAGTGTCAGCGCGGATGTGCGGAGGATCGTGGGCGGATCGCACACCGAAATACCGAGCCCAAGGCCACGATCAGCTTCAACAGACGTGAGATGCTTCTGCTGGGCGAGTTGTTCCCGTTCACGGTGGGGTAATCCGTAGGTGCATCAGGGGGGTGAGGTTTTATTCTTTCCGTTCTATCACGCCCGTCTCGTTTTTGTGTGCCGGTGCCACACTTCTGGTCACCTTGTATAGTGGATGCGTGATGCAATGAGCATCGAGGCCTCTTTGTTGTCTTCTACACCTGGTCTTTTTAATTGCACAGCGTTATATAATAGACGAGTGACCGAAATACAGGTCCTTGGCAAGTTGGTATACATATTTAGAAGAGATACAATACAGCCTAACTTTCCATATAAAAACGCCTGGCTAATTCGAAAGGCACGAGGCACTGAACCGCGGATGTCTCAACCGCCCTCCCTTCTAGCACGAACATCCCTCATCAAAGCCTTCGCCTCCTCAACCTCCACGCCATCCTGACACAACTCGCCCGCCAACTGATCTGCGCGATCCAAGTCGCCGCCCCGAAGCGCCCACCGGGCGAGCCATAGCCGCGCCTTGGACGTGGTCGCAGTGACTCCCGTGCCGTGCCAGGTATCCTCCTCTTCTTCGTCCCTGGTCGACGATTTGCGCGCGCGTCGCGAGCTCGACGGGACATCGGTCCCGGATTGATCATCGTCGTTCTCGTTGTCGGAAGAGGCGTCTTCCTCGTCCTGGACCACCTGCCCTGACTCCTGCCGCAGGGTGAGTTCCATATACGTGGCGGCTTCCTCCTCGTCGCCCAGGCGTTCATAGAGGGTGGCGATCTGGTGAAGGGTTTCGGGGTCGAGGATCTTGCGTGCGGGGCCACCGCCCATGCCGCTGACCTGGGAGACATCCTCCGCGTAGTATGAGCCAGCAACAAGGGCCCGTTTCAGAGCCTTGATGCTCTGTTCGATGCGACCCATCTTCGCATAGCACGATCCCACAGCTTGCCACATCTTGGGGTCATAGGGACGCAGAGCGGCGGCGCGCTGGTAGTAGAACAGAGCATAAAACGACATGTCGAGGACTTCGTACGCTTGGCCTAATCCGTACCAGGCTCGGTAGTCTTTACGGTTCACATCCACGGCTCGGCGGTAGGATTCGATCGCGGCGTGTGTGTTTTTCATCTCGATGTATTCGTGGCCCATCAGGGTCCATGCAGACAGAAAATTTCGGTCGAGGGTCAGGGCGCGGCGGAAGTACATCACTGCTTTCTCGTGCTCGGATTTGAGGGAGTAATAGTTTCCTACTACGCAGCAGGTCTCGGGACGGAACTTGTCGGTCGCTGTTGCGACTTGCGCAACGAAGGCTAGCTGTGGGCGCTCGCCCATCACATAGAGAATGTTTGAATAGTGGTCTAGACTGTCGAGACGGTGGGGTGAGGTGATGAGTATGTCTGTGAATATATGTGATGCTGCTTCGAAATCTGTGATAACGGTTAGTCTCGGTGCGGATAGGCTCATGCAGACGATGTCACCTTTCGAGTGGTAGTAGAGGAGCGCTCTCTGCGTCTTGAGAAACGCGCTTGTGGGGAAGATTGTCTCCAGCTCGGAGAGAGCCTGATAAGTATCATCGGTGGCTTGATATAGTTCCTGGCTGCAGTAGACATGGAAAATGAGGGTCATGATGTTCTGTGGGAGAAGATCGACGACTTGTTTCAGCTGCAAGCCACCATTAGCGACCAACATGTCTGATGTTGCTGACGTATACGTACGTCTTCCGTGCTGGCCAGTAGGTCATTCAGTTCCTGCCATGAGCCCCAGTGGAATGGGTTTAAGTGCACGCTTCGAATCAACCATTTTTTGGCCTCATCCTCGTTCCGTCCCTTGAGGAGTATCACGGCGTACAGGTATTCCAACCAGCCCTGATTCCTACTTTCCAGCCCCTTCTCCCGTCGCTCGGCGAACCAGCCTTCTAGCCCTCGAGCCAGATCTGGCAATTCTCGATTGACCGTGGAGCCGCTATCAGCAGGACCCAGTACCATCTCCGTCTCCTCATCCTTGCGCTTCTCGCCTGCCAGGTATTTGGCATACAAGGCCAGGAAGAGAGATTTCTGGCTGAGCCTGGGGTATGGATTCCTGGTCACACCGTGTTCTTTTGACCCGGAGAACGGAGACGCCTTAGATTTACCTTTTTGCGGAGTCAACGACTGTCGATGTTTCGGGTTCGGCGACGCCGTCGCGAGAGGGATGGGAGATATAGTCGGGGGTAGGAAGACCGCCGCACAGCGGTCGTATTCGCGGGTGTCGAAGTATGACTTCGCAAGGAGAAATTTGTAAGACTCCTGCGCCTCGAGCGCAGCTTCTAAGGGATCTTGGGTTCGGAGGTAGGGATTCTGCGGAGTCGGCGGAGCATCGGGGAGGTCCATGGGCGAGTCGGGGTCTGTATCATATTGGTCAACGGGGACGAGCGAATCGAGCATCTCTGCAGCCCTACAAACGTCTGTCAGCTTTCCTACATGGTAGAGCTTGTGGAGAAGTCAGTTCGCGACAGTACCATTTGGCTGATTGGTAGAGACATCGTTCGGAGCACTTGATCGCCGCATCTTCGAGGCGGAACTTCAGCTCCTTGATATTTTCGTCTGTAAATTGAGCAGCCATCTAGCGGTCAGTCTCCTGCGCGCGAACGCAGATATATTGGTTGATGTATTGCGCGATTCGTCAAGAGATTTTGAGAAGGCTTCTGGCTTTCAGTAATGCGCAAGGGCCATTGCACGATACGAGCCTGATTGAGCGTCGGACCGCTTGATGGGGTCCGCGGTGAAAAGGTGGAAGCAATTGACACGCGTCCGAATAGCCACGTCGGCTGTAAATGGCTGGAGATAAAATAGAGAGTCGACAATCACGCGATAACAGCTTCCAGAAGGTCAAATGCTTGTACAACAACAAAGATACAGTAACTATGCGGCCGGAGCTGGAGTTTCCTGTTTGGGGGTGTTGTGACAAACAGGACAAACAGCGGGGCTCACCGCGCCAAATCAATAAAATATGGGCGGGATCGGATTGGATTGGATTGGACTTTGCCGGGCCTGCAGTGGCATTATTATTGATCGATCTTTAGCCTGCCCCGTCCTCTTTGTTCCCCTCCCCCCGGCGCCCCCCCACTAACTATTGTTCGGCCATTGTTGACCTTCCTCTCTCTCTCTCTTTTACTTCTCCTACGCTCCTCTCTTCGCTCTCCCTGCCTCTTGTGTTTGTTCTCATCGCAACATGGCTTCCACCACCAGCCGTGCCTCGTTCGAGGCTATCTTCCCCGCAATTCGTGAGGATCTCCTGAACTCTGCGAAGCAGTACAACCTGCCTCAGAATGCGCTCGAGTGGTTCGAAAAGGTAAGTCGCACGCGAGCAACGCCCCTTATCCATTCTAGAAGACGCGAGACTGACGAATACCCTCTCTCTCGTTACAATGCATAGAACCTCGATGTCAACGTCCCCGGTGGAAAACTCAACCGCGGTCTTTCCGTCCCCGATACCGGTCTGGCTCTCCTGAAGCAGCCCCTGAGCGACGAGCAGTTCAAGCACCTGAGCATGCTCGGCTGGCTCACGGAGCTGCTCCAGGCGTTCTTCCTGGTCAGCGACGACATCATGGACAGCTCGATCACGCGCCGCGGCCAGCCCTGCTGGTACCGACACCCCGGCGTGGGCCTGGTCGCCATTAACGACGCCTTCCTGCTCGAGTCGGGCATCTACATCATCCTGAAGAAGCACTTCCGCTCGCACCCCGCCTACATCGACCTCGTCGAGCTCTTCCACGAGATTACCTACCAGACCGAACTGGGCCAGCTGTGCGATCTGATCACCGCCCCCGAGGACAACGTCAACCTCGACAACTTCTCCATGGAGAAGTACATGTTCATCGTCACCTACAAGACAGCCTACTACAGCTTCTACCTGCCCGTGGCCCTGGCCCTGCACTACCTCCAGCTCGCGACCCCCGAGAACCTCCGCCAGGCCCACGACATCCTCATCCCGCTGGGCCAGTACTTCCAGGTCCAGGATGACTACCTCGACGCCTACGGCGACCCGGCCGTCATCGGCAAGATCGGCACCGACATCCAGGACAACAAGTGCTCGTGGCTGGTCAACCAGGCCATCCAGCGGTGCACGGCGGAGCAGCGCAAGGTCCTCGATGCTGCGTACGGTCGCAAGGACGGCGAGCAGGAGGCCAAGGTCAAGGCTCTGTACAAGGAGCTCGACCTGGAGAAGGTCTACAAGGAATACGAGGAGAAGGTCGTGGGCGAGCTTCGCACCAAGATCGACAGCATCAACGAGGCGGAGGGCTTGAAGAAGGAGGTGTTCGAGGCCTTCCTGTCCAAAATCTACAAGCGTAGCAAGTAAACGCTCGGATGACCGATACCGATTCCCTTTGTATTTATCGCGTCTCATCCGTCTCTCTGTTAAATAGTGCATACATACCCCCCTTCTGAGATAGATTATCTGGACTACCAGACGAAAATACAGCATACATTGAGTACTTAGCATTCGGTTTTGAACCCAACATAATGCCACGTGGTCAGCAGCTGACAGGACCGACCTTCCCTGATGAGGTCTAAAAACCGGGGATTCGATCCCTGCACTTGCACCAAGGGGGGGGGACTTCACAAACAGCCCGGTACCGACAAGCACCGACTGGCATACGCTAATCCCAGAAACCCCCACCAATTCAACAAACACTCCCATTCAATTGAGGGGCGCGCAAAAAGCAAATATAGATGTCCGAGAATCCAACCCTCAACCCACGAATCGTATCCCGACGTGAGCAGGGAGGATATTTTTATCCACAGGATTCGTCATCGCCTGTCCCGACCAGGTAATCAAGAGACGAGTCAGGCCCGTTGCTCAGCCAAAGGCGTCCGTCCACCCACCCCTCGCGTTTACGAGCATTGTCGACAATTACAGTACTCGTACTCCTACTTAATGCTCTCAGCTATCGATACCTCCGGCGAGAGGGTGGGCCCGGGGCACAGTGGATCTTCCGCCGTCGTGATGGAGATCATATATCCGCAGGCTACCTTTTCTTTTCTCGGTCAGGGAGGGAGCGTCATGGGCTTCTTTCCTTGATGATGCGACTTCATATAAGACTATGGCAATCGCTCTCTTGAAGGGCAAGCTCTCTTGAATGCGCAGCGACGCGACTAGATCCCAACACATGTCCCGCAAGCACGACAAGCCCGCACCATGACGCCAGTCCGGCTCCTCATTCTCGTCGTGGCGACAGTCCTCCTGGCATCGACACGCGCAGACGAAGGGCCATACTTTCAATCGCAGCTGTACGAGCAAGGCCGCATGGGGTCGTGGCCGACGGAACAGTTCCGGTCGACGACGACGGTAGGGCTGGCCGTCAACTGGGTGCAGGAGAGCGCGCGCTGCAAGGACGGACAGTACTACCTGCTGGCGCCACGCGGGGACAGCGTGCACCGGCCGGGGCCCATGATCCTCGACCAGCACGGCCACCTGGTCTGGACCAAGGAGTACGGGCAGACCTACAACCTCAACGTCCAGCGCTACCGTGGCCGCGACTATCTGACCTTCTGGGCTGGCAGCGACGCCGATGTCGGCCATGGTCGCGGCACTTACTACATGGTACGTTTTCCCCTTGCATGGAAGCGAAGCCGGTATACTGACAACCCGCGCCCCGGTGCAGCTCGACTCCTCCTACAACGAAGCGTACAAGATCTCCGCCGCGGGCGGCCTGTCGGGCGACCTGCACGAATTCCACATCACCCGCGACGACACGGCCCTGCTCACCAGCTACGACCTGCGGCGCGCGGACCTGTCCGCCGTGGAAGACGGGCCGACGGCCGGCTGGATCTGGGAGAGCACGTTCCAGGAGGTGGACATCGCGACGGGGACGCTGCGGTTCGAGTGGCACGCGTCGGAGCACATCGGGTTCGAGGAGGTGGAGCGCGGGCGCGAAGGCAACGGGGGGTCGCGCGAGACCGCCTGGGACTTCTTCCACATCAACAGCGTGGACAAGGATCAGACAGGCAACTACCTGATCTCGAGCCGGTACACGAGCAGCCTGACCTACATCTCCGGAGTCACAGGCGCCGTGCTATGGCGCCTAGGCGGACGCCGCAACGACTTCACGGACCTCTCGCCCGACGGCGGCCGGGCCGCCACAAACTTCACCTGGCAGCACCACGCGCGCTTCCGCGACAACGACACAGCCATCACGCTGTTCGACAACGGGTCGCGCGGCGCCGGCGCCCCCTCCCTCCCGAGCCGTGGGCTATACCTGGACCTGAACCAAGCGAACCGCACCGTCCGCCTCCGCCACGTCTACACCACCCCCGACGAGAATCTAAGCAGCCAGTCGCAGGGCTCACTGCAGGTGACAGCCAGCGGCACCGTCCTGGTAGGGTATGGCTGGAATCCAGCCTGGACGGAGTTCTCGGTAAACGGCGTCCCGCTCTGCACCGTCCACTTCGGTCCCCTGCGTGAATTCGGTACAGGTAATATCCTCTCCTACCGCGTCTTCAAGCACCCCTGGCGCGGCCATCCCACCACCCGCCCCGCCTTCGAGGTCTACAGCTACCGCGCCGCCGCTAGCTGGAACGGCGCCACGGACGTCGTCTCCTGGTTACTCGAGGGCACCGATGATCCCTCCTCCGGGGATCAGACAGCGTTAGCCCTCATCCCCAAATCCGGCTTCGAGACCCCCATCCCCGTCCCCCAGGGCGCCCGCGCCCGCTATCTCCGCGTCGTGGCTCTAAATGCCACCGGCCATGTGCTCGGGACGTCCAAGCTGGCGCGCTGGGATCCGCTTGCTGAGGAAGCGGTGGTGGTTTCTGGGGATGAGGAGGAGGATGGAGACGGTCTGGGGACTCTAGTGCTGGAGTCGTCCTTTTCGATGGTGCTTGGGTTTGGGTTGTGTGTGGTTGTGCTGGTGGCGGGTTACTTGTTCTTCTGGCGGGTGAGGGGGCGAGGTGCTCTGCGGAGAGGTGGAGATTGGGAACACGGGGAGTTTCTGCTTCTGCGGCTTTTGGATGGGGTGGAGGGTGAGGATGGTGATGATGCTCATGCTGATGCTGATGGGGAGGCTGGGTTGGAGGATGTGACTTTGTTGGGGAGGCGCGGATCAGGGGCTCGTTTGGGACTCGGAAGGGTAAGTGGTTATCGAGGTGGGAGAGGGTGACTGGCGGAGAGGTGGTAACCATAGGGTTGGTTGTAGATAAGCTTGCGTGTGTTGCCAATTCCAACAGGTTTGGTATTGGTTTCTGTATATATGATGGTCTTGGGTTTATATGATAAATTTACCCTTATCAGATTCCATTTTATTTCGATGGACGTGCCATGTCTACGACTGTAGAATCTCACGCTACGCAGTTATGTGGAAAGGGTAAAGGCAGATGATAAGTATTCAGTCACTTATAGAAACGAGTGCATGGCTAACGTGTCCCTTCCGAATCCGCGAGCCTCATCAACCCAACCTGAATCGTTGTCCAAGCTGTAACCCTTAAGCAAGCAGCTCAGGCAGAGGCCACCTGCAACCGCCGGAATCCGCCCTGGTCAGCCACCTCCTTCTGCAGCTCGGCCATGCGCTTCTGGTCGCCCAGCGGATCAGTGGAGTCGGCATCCAGCTCCCAGGACAGGAACTCGTTGGTGTAGTTCGCCTGGAAGTCCGCGTCCAAGATGCCCAGCCGCTTACCGTAGTTGGTGACCTTGTTCCAGTCGCGGTGGACGTTCTTGAGGTCGCGGCTGAAGTACGCGAACGACCGCTCAAAGATCTGCCGGTTGACGGCGGTGCCCATGATGGGCTTCATCGCGACGTACTCCTCGAACGCCTGGCGCGGCTCCGCGAGGACGTACTCGGTTGCACGCTTGACGGCCTTCATGAACTTGCGGACGCGGTCGCCGTTGGCGGCCAGGAACGCGTCGTTGGCGATGTACAGGATCGAGCAGAAGCAGCAGCAGCCGAGCTCCGCGAGCTGGTCGATCCGCAGCATCTGCACGTCGGTGCGCGGCCGGTTCTGGCCCGCCAGCCAGTCGGCGAGCTCGACCATCTGCACATTCTCGAGACCGATCCCGGCGTCGATCGTGCCCTCGATGATCGCTTTGGTCACGTTCATGCCGCAGCGGACGGCGGTGTAGTCGTCCGCCGTCATGCCGTAGTATTTGGTCAGCTCGTCGATTTGGATCTACGGTTGCGGTCAGCGCGGGCTAGATCAGACATGGTGTAGTGTGCTTACCTTGCCGAATTCACCGACATAGCCGATGCGCTTGCCCTTCAGGGAGCGGAAATCCTCGGTGATGCCGCTGCCCTTGAGGTAGATGACTCCAGTGAAGGGCTCGTCAAGAAGGGAGCCGATGGAGGTCACAGGGAAGTTGCGAGCTTTGGCCTAACCCTCATCATTAGTGATCCGTCTTGAACGTTGTCGATCAGGGGAGCACGTACAGCCAGAGTGTGGATCATGGCCTTGAAACCCATGTCGACCTTGCCGCTGCCGATGATCTCGGTGACATCGGAGGGGTCATTGGGCTCGAGCAGGGCAACTTTGAGGCCCTCCTCCTTGAAGAAGCCTTTGCTCTGCGCGAGGTAAAGGGGGGCGTGGTACGGGGTCGCGTGCCTTGAAACACAAAATTCAGCACAGCTCTATGAGAAGCGAGATTTCTTGTCAGAAGTATCACTGCATACCAGTTGGTCAGGAAGGTGATCTTGTCAGTCGACATCTTGGCACAGAGTTCAAGTCAAGATCAAAGTACTGGACGTTGTCAGCAACGGGGAGACAGAGCTCCCCTTTCCATTATACGATCCCAGGGGTATGGAATAATCAGTGCCACGCATGTCCTTTCGCTAGTATTATCTAGATCAAGTTATGACAGTATTATCTCAGAACGACCGAGCTCCTGCCCTCACCACTGGGGAAGCGTTGAGGACCGAAGCTCGAGTCGAACACCTGTCATGCGCGAGCAGTGACTGCCATCATACTAGTACGATACCTTGATCCATCTGAACCCCTAGCGAGAAGACCCGGGTGGTCATCCTGATTGCGTGGCCTCATCGTGAGTCGTACCGGACGAGAGTGTGCGGTGTGATTGAACGAGTTGGTAGTGAAGAGCAATTGGTAGTCAGAAGGTTGAAAGGAAGAAGAGGAAGAAGTGGAAGTAGAAGAGGGGAAGAGGGGAAGAGGGGAAGAAGGGCACGGAAGTTATAGGTAACAAACAGAGGGCGGGGAAAGGTAGGAAACCTGCCAGGTGCCACGGAGAGACGCGGAACCCCCACCACGACTTCGACTTCCTAGGTAAGTTCCTAATTTCCTACCCTCTCACCGAAATGCGCGATTATTCGTTTCCAGGATGCTTCTCAAAGTCTAATTGGGCTGAGTGTCAAGAATCCTTGATCGTGTTAATCCTCTCGCAGCTCCCCGCTCCGAAGACCCGCTCTCGCAGTCCTACTAAATGACCCAAACATCTTAGCGTGATGTCGAGTACAATCACTGCTGTGGCCTCCGGTCTCGGACCACCCTGCTCCTGCTTTCTATCTCTACCCCAGAAAAAAGGTTCTGTTATGGACAGAGTGGTTCATTGCATTCGAGTATCTGACCTCCAATCGGCTAAGTGACTGCGGAGTAGAGAGGATGTACAAACGAGGCATGCGGAAGAAGATGGAGCATACAAATATTAAAGCAGGGAGTGAAGAACCAAGCTGAAAATGGCCAGACCGCAGAGGCAGTCCAGCCTATAATGCCACACTGCGGACGGAACGATGCGCTTTATTCAGGACATACAAGAGGGAAGGGTCGACAATAGTCAAAAACTGCAAGCATGCATGGACAAGAGGACGGGCAGGAAATGCAGCAACTACATATTGAGATGTTTCACATGAAAGAATAGTGATATCTGGGGCGGCGGCGGAGGTGGACAGCTACTCATGAATCACCGTTCAGCGACAGCCGGTCGAGCGGGGAAGCAGGCCGATCGGTGGATTTCTTCGTGCGGAGAGTGAGAGGGAAGTAATGGTCATCCGGCTCTTCTTCTTCGCTGGTTCTGTGCGTTCAGGATCGATCAGCAACTGCATCCTCCTCAATTGGTATCAGGCCTATACTTACGGGAGTCGCCAGGCGACATAGTCCTCCGTGCTGAGGCCCTCCTTGACTTCCTGGATGGAAGCAAAGTCTCCCGGAGTCATCATGCCCGAACGGTCTCGGGGAGAGCCAGGAACCGAGAGAGGGCGCGAGATCTTTTGTTCTGTGCCGCCAATGATATCGTAGACATCGTCACCGGTTCCAAATGACGAGGGGTAGGCTGTGTATCCTGATCAGCATCTGGTATCTAAGCATCAGGGAGCAGAATATCCATACCTCTCCGCAAAGCAAGCTGTCGGGCCTTGACATATTCCAGACCCATGCGCTTCCAATCCAACAGATCGCTCAGTCTCTCAGTCCGGTTTCTCTGGTTGATGCGTTGCCGCCGGCTCTTCTGCGTAAAGTTGAACATAAAGTCCGTGAGCTGGTTCACCGAGTCATCCACCCCCTTCATTCGGCGGTCCACAATATAGATACCGTAGTCAGACGAGTTTTCGATCAATTCCTCCATGTAGCAACCGAAACCAGAAAGGTTCGTGGTAATGCTGGGCACACCCATCACCGTACATTCGGCGGGAGTGTATCCCCAGGGCTCATAGTAGGAGGGGAAGACTCCGAGATGGGTCCCGCGCACGAAGTCATCATAGTCAAGCGGGAGCACCGGGTTGGAGGAGTTCAGGAACTCGGGATGGAAGACGACTTTGACCCGGTCCGACGAGTGGTTGAACATTTGCACCCGACGGATCTGGTTCAGAATCGGATCTTCATGGTCGTTGACCATGTTGTGGGTAACAATCGGGGGAAGTCCGTGGCGTTTCATGGCGAACAGCCGCCGGCGCAGGAGAACGCGATCTTGACTCGTAATCAAGTCCTTCTCGTCCGGCATGTTGTCGCCCTCCTTCCATGCCAGGGAGCGCTCATACATCCGCTTCCCGATGCCCTGTTCGATGTTGTGAATTGTCTCCCGAAGCGACTTCACGACGGCTTGGCCTTTCAGCGACTCCACGGTGAGTGAGGAGGTCTGGGCAGGCATGATGATAAATGCGACGACCGTTGTCTTCGACCCGCTGGCCTTGAGACGGTGGTTGAGTCGTGCGAGACCCTCGATGAACATGTCCACACCTTTGTTGCGGAATTCATAGCGACCGGCGGTGAATACATACAGCGTGTTGTCGAGGTCGAAGTCGTTGTGGCCGTAGAAATGTCCACGAACAAAGTCGTTGATCTTCTCCTTGGATTGCGAGTGCAGGTTCTGGAACTCGTGGACCGCGGAGAACTTCTTCACATTCAGTCCGTTCGGTAGCACACCATCGGGCTTCCGCTTCAATAAGTGCTCACTCTCAAAGGCGGTGATGTGGGAGACGGTCGTGAAGACATCGGCCGTATGTGCAGCAGCTCGCTCGATACAGTATCGGTGGTAGATGCCGCGCTTACCAGCCTCTGCATCGACGTCAAAGTGCTGCAGGTTGTTGTAGAAGTCGACCGACCCCGCACATAGGTAGCGACCGAGCAATGTGGCGTGGGTGGTGAAGATCGTGGTTAAATCCATATGGCGCCGCTTGGTCAAGGGGAGGGCAACTCCAGCGAGCCATTCATGGAAATGCGCCACGACTGCTTTGCGACGCTCGTGCGCAATGAACTAAGCCGCCTGGTTAGCACTCTGATCCGATACGTCTTGCGGTTGCTCTCACGTACTTCACCCAGGAACCATGCCACCAAGTAGCCGAAGACAATGGTCTCATTTGTCTCGGTGTCTCCCGCGGGAGAAGGAATACCGGCGGTATTCCACAGGTCGCCTTTCCACTCGTCCAAGTACTTGTATCCGGTCGATGTGTCAATCAGCAGCACACGGGGAGCGCCTTCAATCAGCCAGCGACCATAGACAATCTCGATGCCACGTTCCTTCATGGACTGGATCGTTTCGACCAGTCGAGGGTTGGAGGGCGTCAGCTCCTCGACTTCGACCGCTGCGGACGCGCGGTTGAGCGGGCCGATCAGTGTGTATCGTTCACCATACTCGGCCGTGGTCACTGGAGCTTTGGACTTGAGGACGGAGTAGATACCTCCCACGCGGTTGGCGACTTCTGTTGCAATCTCAAAAAGCAAGTGGTTGCGAACATCTCGCTTGGGAGGATCTTGACCATTCTCTTCGCTTGCCATTGTGTGCTGCGACAGCTGTGTGGTGCAGTCGAACGGGTGCGGAAGAAGCTCCAAAGATAAGTAGTGGAGAGAGTGTGGAGCTACCGACAAAGAGAAGTGGACGATGAGCTACTTCTACTCACGTCAACACTCTTTTTTAGGTATGGAGGAATAGGGAAATTTGGAGGAGGAAAAAAAGGGGAAGAAAGATAAAGACGTCAGGAAGCAAAGAAAGAAGAGAGAAAAGAAAGAAAGGAAATCCCCAACGTGGTGGTGGTGGTGGTGGTGACGGTGACGTGCGGGGACGAAATTCAAGGTGGGTGGCGGGGAAACAGAAGAGAAGGGAGAGAGAAACAGGCTGGAGGAGGATACTTGTTACTAGGCTAGTCAAGTAAGTAGTACCCGTAGGAAGGAGGCATAGTAAAGGTACATCCAGACAGGGACGGAGTTCAAGGTCGAATACGGAGTTCGCAACCGCCAACTTGAACTCCTCATTTCCCTTGATTCCACCTCTTCTTCTTCCTTCTTCCTCTCCTCCTCTCCCTTCGCGTCTTTGCGTTACTAGGGACAATTTAAAACACTCCAGCGCACGTCCGCAGGGAGGGGAAATTTTTAGCTTGGTTTTCTTCGATTCCCTTGCCCTTTTTGCCCTTTCTCGAGAGGCATTGTCTCTGTCTTGCTCACCGGGGCAGGCTGGGGCTAGCGACTGGCGTTGCACGGACTCATCCCCGGTTCTGGTCTCGGCCTTGGAAGAGGATTCTCCCCCGGTTGGTCCCGTCAATTGCAGAATCATCCGACCAGATGATGATCCGTGAGAAGCGTTGGAACCAAACCACTCCACTGAATGCTCTCACTTACGTTACTCAAAGGTGGTGCCGCCATCTGCGAGGTTTACGTTTTGTTGCCTCCCTTCCCGACAGGGATCCCCGTCCACCACACAGAAACACACAAGCACACAAGCACACAAGCACACAAGCATACAAGGGGGAGATGAGGGAGGGTGCACAGGGGAGTTGTCATTAGAGTGACGCAGAGGGCAACGATTTCCGCCATGAGAGAGGGGTTGTGAGATCCTCCATCAATGAGTTTTGCCCCTTAGCAATTGTAACGGTGGTGTCGTTCCCTTTTTTTGATTTTTTTTTTCTTAAATTATGATTCGTTTCCCCTCTTCTTCCATAGCAAAGAGTAACTAGTCTACTGGGACGAGTAGAAAAATGAATGGACCAAACTTTGTCTCCGCTTGGCTCCGTCGCCCGGATTAGGAAAAAACCTGGGCAAATCTGGGCAAATCTGGGGAAAGCTGCCTGGACTCTGACGTCATCGGTCATAACTGCTCGTTCCTCGCTTGCCAATCGTGCCGCTGGATGGTTTTTTATCTGATGCAGAACAGCCACCCTCGTGCTGCAAATCCTGACGGCACCCATGCGTCTACTGTATACTCCCTTCTTCCGACGAAGCGGAACAATGGCTTTCGTGGTCGCCAGTTTGCTCAATTGACCACAGTTGACCACAATTGACCACAATTGAGTTCACTATGATCCAGTTCCAACTCACCCCCTCCGAAACTCGCTCTTACCGCTCCCTCGAGGATCTACGGTAACAGGACTCTTAACGATGGCATTGCTCCTCAGCAGGATGTGCTGGAAATGTCCTGCACGGTATCTCTCATCCATTGTCAAGTGGTTTGCGTGGTAGGCGCTGTCTCATGGGTGATTTGGATCCCCCAACGTTCCCACGGCGGTCGCCTCGTTCTCCGCCTTCGACCTCACCTGACCTGAATGGTGTACTAGTGGCTTGAGTGTTCCCTCTGCCTTTCAATTCAAACGCAACCTTTCTCGAGAGAGAGAGACTGTCAACCCCACTGTGGATCGCCATAAACTGCGCACTACCGTTGTTCGAGCCAACCTCCGACTACACAATCTACTATCAGTCAGAGCCACCATGGTTTTGGAGCAAGCCCAGAGACAGGTTCGGGGGCTGATATCGAAGTCGAACTGTCGAACGCCCTGGAGGCTACTGCAAGGGCTCTGGAAGTCCCTCCAGAAGTCTAGCGACCTCCCCGATACCCACCCAGAAGTCAAGCAAACACTCCCTTGTGCCTCGCCAGATGCCCAAGCTATCAACTACAACGGGATTTCGGGCCTTGTCGCTGGCGACTACATGCACGCACCGCCGCAGAAACTCTTCGTCGTCAATCCGGACCCTGAGTCCGAGCCCACGGACAGTATCCGCGCGCTACGACCGTTCCTCTCGTCGGCGATGCGGTCAACCTCGTATACCCACTCGCATACGTCCGCACGAAGCATCCGTGCCGAGAGTCGTCTGCCGAGTGTCGATCCCCGAACTTCATCGTCTGCGTCGCGAGAGAGTACACTATCGTTCGAGTTAGCCAGCGAGGAAGTCGAGCTCTTTTACCATATAATTTTCAACGGGTTACGGGCCCAAGTTAGCCGCAGACGTGTACCTCAGGCGCTAGGCTCTCTGAATGACAGGTGTGGATAGGTTAGGGCGGATTGGCGCATTATGAATCGAAGTTGGGCCGGTGTGTTTTTTGTGGGTGGGTTGCATTAGTTTGGCTTTGGTTCTTGTCACGTTGTCAGATACCCTTGCATACTTGAGTTTTAAGCTCCACTTTCCAATGGATGCATTTACCAGATTCGTGTTCAAGTAAAGTCTCGGCCAGCTCCAGACCATGGCCGTGGAAAGGCCACAGACCATCTCCGCGGCGGTATTATCCTGATGCGCCTCCGCACTCATCGATCTGAAGTGCTTGGTCACAAACACGCTCCAACCCTTTCATCTCGACCTCGTTACCCACCTCATTCGAAGACATTGTAAGCTGATCTCGCACGTCGCCCGCATGTCTCGCCAACTTGACCTTTAGGGAAATCGGCTTAACGGATTTACTTACCTTACTCCAAAGCCACCAGTTACCCAAGAACTCAGACCCCTCTCCGCACGCCCGTAAACAAAGCAATCAAAGTAAACGTCCCCGCCAACTTCAACACCATGGCCAAAGAGACATCTCTCCCTCATCGCCTCGTCGTTATTTGTTTGCTGCTCGTCTATCTACTAATTTGTCGTTCTGGCCAACGCCGCGATCGGCCCCGCATGAGCCATCTCCGCAATGGCTCCATCCGTTATCGCTCCAGACCTTACTCTACTTACTGCACACTTACTAGACTAGTATACACCAAGACCATACCTCATCTACTCGATCCATCAAGTTAGGTAAGTGAGTGACACGAAGCCCAAGCCTTGGCCTTGGCTTTTCCCCTCGCTCCTCCATCGCAAGAAACCAACCCGACCGAGACCGGGGTGGTACCCGACCCGTTCGTTCGTTACGCTTGTCCGCCCGCAAGCCGTTTGCGGCTAGCTGTACCGTTTACCTACCTACCTAGTGAAACGAAGTTCATTTGTTACTTAGGTCTAATCGCCGATAAATCCCGGCTTGCGACGGTCAGGCGAAGTGTACTGGTCGGGGTCGGAGCCGGGGCGCTTCTGCTCAGCAGGCTTTGATGCCGAGGGGATGCGGGAAGTGGAGCCCGGGGGTTGGTCGCGTGAATTGCTCCGGGGGGGATGACTTGGGGCCGAATGGGTTTCGAAGCGATTGAGGGGGTTGGAGGGGGTTTGAAGGGATGGGGTGATGGGCTCGAGGGGAAGTTGTTGAGGAGATCGGGTTGGCTTGGGTTGGGTTGTTGGAGATATTTCTTGTTGGAGGGAGAGATAGGACTGGTCTGTGAGGTGGGGGAATATGAGGAATGGTATTTGAATGCGTTCTTAGGTTTTCCTCGTAATGATAGGATCTTCCGCGATGGTTGGATTTGATGATATATTGAATATGGGAAGGAGAGAGAAGGGTAGAGCTAGAGATGGTGTTGTTAAACTATGCCAGGTGGTGAAGACTGGTGGGATGCTTTTGTGGTAAACTGGCTCACCAACTGGTCAAAGCTGGCTGGAGTCTAACAGAGTCTGGACCCGAGAAACAGTTTGTCTGGTTTGTCAGTCTGTGCACTAATTCGACAAACTTGCGCTCTTTCAATTGTTTGCTCTACATTGTAGATGCATCACAGCCATTGAGCCGATGCAACACTTCTATCTACCGTCCAATTGATTACCAGTGCTACTCAGGTCCAAATCCATATCTCACCCAGATCAATGACTGCTCCAATTGAAGGAATCAATGTAACCCGGCCGAGTTCTCGCATCCACGGGAAACCCGATGGACGGACTCCCGCTCTAAATCCGTAACCCGCACGCACACTTCCACCTCGTCAACCCGCACGCGACGACAGCAAGCAGCAAATCTCTACCTCAATTGCATCGCAAGTAGAGTCACGTTTCACGATCCCTCCTACCCCTCGCCGATCACTACCGCGTCCGATGCGCAGCGAAGAGAATGGAAGGAGGGCAGACGAGTGTACCTGATCTGAGCCAAGCTCATGAAGTCATTGGTGGGGACGGATGACTTCATGATGCTGTCAGCACTTTCCAGTCTGTCTCTCAGATCGATGAACACATCACCACCACGCAACACATATAAGAACCGTTCTTTCTCCGATTCTATAGCTTCTCAGACTATCACAAGACCATCAAAGCACAAGACAACTACATCAACCTCAAACTACAGTAAGTCAGCCACGACTAAATTTCTAGATTTGAAGCACCAACTAACCAACAATCCCAGCACCTTTCACCTTCTACCACTTACAAACCACACCAAAATGCCTCGCGGAGCTGAATACGACGACGGTGTCCCCCACAGCGACAACGCTGTTGAGGCCGGCCAGACCAAGGTTCACGGCACCAACCCCGACGTAAGTGGCCAACCGTCGCGCTCCCTTTACCACCACCGGTATAGATTCTAACCATGACCCCCAGAATGACACCCTCAACCGCGCCCAGCGCACTGCGCCCCTCCCCGACGCCTCCCACGGCAGCGGCCTGCACAGCGCCCAGGGCTCCGCCGGTCCCACCCAGTCCGGCAGCGGCAAGGGCGACCATGACCCCAAGACCCTCGGCGAGCAGAAGGGTACCGGTGCTCTGCCCGGCCAGTAAACCGCCACGATGTCACGTTTTCTCTGTTTAATGCATCTATTCTTCCCCACGGAAGCCTTTCACTCAGTGGGTTATCCGAGATGGTTTGGATTGGAGTTCCGGGGATGCCGTATGGTTGGTGGGCTTATGATTGACGCGGTTGTGATATGATGTTGATGCTGTATTTTTATTACCCCTTTTTTCTTATATACGGGTGAAGATCGTCTGGTTACGACTGCTTCCTGGTTAGGGGCTATAGATTAATGGACGTTGTTCATTGGGTTATCCTTTTTTCTTCGGATTGCTGTAGGTCTTTGGTAGGTCTATGCTAGGAGTTGTGGTTGTTATTGTTGTTGTAGAAGCCTATGAATTGTGTAGGGCGTGTGTGGTGGAATGGTATATTATGTAGACGAATATGTGAGTTGATGAATTAAGTATCTATATGAAAGAATTGCCTCTCGAAGCAAGGATTTCCTTGACTGGGCACATGCACATGGTTATGTAGTCAGCTTCACAGCCGAGCAAGACAGGGAATCTAGACTATATATGACTGCGACACGACAGGCGTATATACTAACCAGCCAGCTATCGCTGGCTCCTGCCTGTATCGGTGGTCTCGGACGACCCCTTCGGCGAATTCCCACCGGCCGGACTAGAGTCTCGTGTCTCCGCAGCAAGGCTCTTCTGTTGCACCAGCTCGAGGAGACGCTGTCCCAGGTCGCCGAAGCCGTCGATCTTGCTCAGTTTGGTCTGGAAGTGCTCCGCGTCACGTTGCAGCCTAGAAGGTTAGCGGCGTCGAGAAATCGTCGGAGAAAGCGAAACTTACCGTTGTTTGGCCGCCTCCGAAGTCACCTTGACCTCGTCAAAAGCCTTCGTCCACTGCTCGCGGTAACTCTTGAACACAGGGTCCATGATCATCATTACGGTCATGTCGGGAAGGTGCTTGCTCAGAACCCGATGTAGCGTGCCGGTCTCCTTGGCCAGGGTCTCCATGTAGGGGCTCACCGCGTGGGATCCGGCCGGCGCCTCCCAGTCGATCTTCTTCATGGCGTTTACATGCGTGGCGGACCGAGAGCCCATGATGTCCACCAGTTTCTCGTGGATGCCGTTCTGGTGCTCCTGATACAGGCGCTTGACTTTGTCGAATTCGCCCATCAGCGGACTCGACGGTGCATGTCGCCGGACGAATTCGCGAACATAGGGCACCAGAGCAATAATGAAGCTGAGCGCCTGTGAGGACAGAGCAAGGTGTTTGGTTGTGATGTTCTTGAGGCCCGCGCTTCTTGTGGCGCCAGCACCCAGGATCAACTGCGAAGACCGAGAATTGAACAGCTTCAGCGACTCCAGAAGCCCGGGTGCAATGTCCTGCATCATACTGGGTATATTCGCCATGAGGAACTGGAACTCTTCAATGCTCTTCATCATGGCGACGCCAGACTCGGTGAGGATATACTTTTGCTCGTCGATCACCGCGCTGCGCAACTTTTCCTTGCCTGTACCGTTCGCTGCGGGTGGGTCTGCAGGTTTCTGTTCCTGGCGTCCGTTCGGAGACAGCCAGATCTTCGATGCATCCGTCCAGAGCTCAATCTCCCGCGTGCTTGCGGCAAGTATTCGGTCGAGGATGGCGTTTTCGGCTTCTCCAAAGTCGCGTGCGTCCCATTTGTCGGAGTCCATGACTTCAACGATGCGGCGCCGTTGACTGTCACCGAACCGATTGATGTAATCTCGAATTTGATTGCCCACGACCGTCTTCAACGCGGTGCCGCCTCGCCCAGAAATCGCCTCGCACTCGTCCGCAAAGAGCCGGTTCAGTGTAAAATACTTGAGAAAATCCTCCATCGGCAATTGCGATGTCTGTTCGGAACGAACTTTTAAGACCTTGACCACCTGAGACTGGGCGATATCGACCGCCTGACCGAGGAGACTAGACATGTCCAGAACCTGCAGGATCTCATCCTGCGCCATGATAGCTGCCGTCCTCTGTGCATCGAGCCCAGGAGTAGTAGGGCCTTGCGGGTTTGGGCTTGGGGGACCGGAGCGGACACCCAGCGGCATAGGATTTCCCAATCCACTGGCTATATCGAGTAGGACTTTAACTTGGACGCTAAGCCTCCGCAGAGACTCACTTATGCCGGTGTACACTTTAGCGAGCATATCATAGGAGTCTTGGGCATCCAATGCGCGAAGGTTGCGAGCAAGTATAGACGACTTTTCTTGTTGGCTCAGCTGCTGAGATTTGTGCGTGGACACCGACACCACCGATTCACTGTCGTCATCACTGGAACTGGGCATATGTTTGCGGATGAGACTCTTCATCTCGCGCAGTACCGCTGTCTTGAAGGAGGTTGCCGCCGGTGTCGTGTGGCGTACGCGAGCAAGACCGGTGAGGTGCGTGCGAAGTTTGGACCGCAGCTGTTCATCGAAGTTCATATAGGCAGGGGATTGCGCAGCGCCAGAGCGTGCGCCACGTTGCCGCTGAAAAGAAAATCCCCATCTCTGTAGCGTAGTATCTAGCGGTACCTCCTCAACATGTTGCCTCAGGTCACCGAGAAGGTCACTTAGGAACCGGCTCTCGTAACCGCTGCCAATGCGCGATCTCAATTGATCCAAGTCCTCGGAAGCACCCTCTAACGCTTGCAGTCGGCGAAGGTCGACCGTTCTTCTCGGCTGTTGTGGTTCTTCGTTTGTCGTAGCTGGACTTGCAGCATTTTCCCCCGCCATCAATCTTTCCACTTCCTCAAGACCATCAGCAGCCTCTTCGATGTCCCCATTCTCGACGAGTGCTTCACACCGGGAGACTGACTCGACCACATCGCGAAGCTGTGCCACAGCATCAGCCAACATGCGAACATTTTCTCTCCTTCGTCTCAGGTTCACGATCTTAAGGCCTCCTAAAGCCATTTCCTTGTCAATTTTCTGCAAATCCTTCCGCAGAACCTGGATTCGTTTCACCGAGTCAGCGGCCTCTGCATGGAGTTCACGCAACGACCCAAGTGCGGTGAAGAAAGATCTGGAAGCGGTCGAAATTGACGAAATCAGGTGGATTTCGACAGTGTCCATGTACCACGAAAGCTTTTCTTGCAAGATGGCATTTGTGGCGAGAGCCTTCCTCCCTGACTCTATGGGAGCTCCGTTCTCTGATTTGTCCTTTGGTGTAATAATTCCGGACTTCTCCGATACCACGTCAAAGGTTCGCGGGTTCTCGAGATGGAAATCATCCTCAAAGTATACAGTTGGTATCGTGGATAAGGGGGTGACAGCATGGCCCCGACCGCGGCCAGCATATGACCGCCTTCTGCCCCGAGTATCGTATGGGGAGGTCGCTCGAGAATTGTTCGACAATGTCGACGGTCGGCGCTCGCGCGACCTGGGCACCAGAGACTCCGACTCTTCCGGCTTGGGCGAAGCCTTACCCCCTCCCCGCAGTAGCTGCGAGTCCTGATCCGTGTTGCTCTCTTTGGCTTGCTGAAAGGCATCATACAACGACCCAACTTGAGACAGGTATGATTCGAACACTTTGAAGTCCACATGTGGGATGTTGGTCAAAGTGACAGGGGGGATATCACGAGTCGTCGGGGGTTTGTATCCGGCGGTGGCTACAGCGGTATGGGGCACAAGACCGGTGCGGACAATGGGAGGCTGAAGGAGAGTAGAGATTGCTATCCTCAACAAGTTAGGTTGAGATTAATGCTCTGGACAAGGTCACAAGGGTCGTACCATTTTGTCCAGACTCGGCGATAGATCCATGTCGGCTGGAGGGATCGAGAATTCCTCCAATGCTTGCGATCGAGCTTGCGGTCGACCCCCTCCTTAAGGGGTATCTTTGCGATGAGATCCGAGGAGATTCAATCTGTGTGAATGAGAACTGAGAGAGAGAAGGCGTTGAGGCCCCTGAGGCCAAGCTGTCAATCGACTTCCGGGGACTGGCAGAGGACATGTTGATGCCAATTTGGCGACTCCCGAGTCCCGCGGTCTCCGTACTGTTGGAAAGAACGCTATCTAAACATGACAAAGTGGACAACTGCGGTCTAGCACGAAAGGCAAGGCCAGTAGCACGGAATCAGGCCAAATAACTGCTGTAAAACAGGAAACAAGATTGAGGGTTAAGAGAGGAGAGGTCTTGGGCAAATCTTGAAGCAAAGCAATTGAGTCTTGCTGCAACGTCACCCAGCTTCATCTGATACGGGGGGTTCATGATAGCTCGAGCCCGATCGGGTAAGGCGCCAGGCCCCCCGGGATGAGGATGACAAAGACCCCATTGAAGACCTCGGAGTCCGGGGCTAATTTGTTCCATTCTATAATAAGTTTTGGCCTGAGGCGAAAACCACTTAACGCGTGAAACCGACGCGACGCGTTACATTCGTGTGCCGTTGCTCAGGAAGATATTTGCAGTCTCTCCTCGCAACGGGATAGACCGAAAACCTACACACCTCATCACAACTTGCCCCCCCCCCCACCTTCTATCACTGCCGTCATCACCATGGATAGACGCACTCCCTACACCTTGAGCGTCCTCGCTCCCAGTGTTGATGGTGTTGAAGACTCTCGCAGTCAAATTCGAATGAAATTAAGGGAGTTTGTGTTGGAGTTTCAGTTGGATAATGCTTTTATCTATCGGTATGTTGGCTTCCGCCTGATATGCCGAATCTCGATACTGACTTACCTTCGTAGGGATCAATTGAGACAAAATGTCCTGGTCAAGCAATATTACTGCGATATCGATATCGCGCACATGATCTCATACAACGAGGAGCTGGCCCACAAGCTTACCACCGGACCTGCAGATATTATCCCCCTCGTAAGCCCTCCGACTCCTTCCTACGTCGCAGCCGGTGCTAACAAACTTCACTACTCGCCAGTTCGAGGCAGCCCTTCAAGAATGTACCCAGCGCATTGTATATCCTTCACAACGAGACATCGAGCTCCCACCTCATCAGCTCCTGCTCCATTCGTCCGCGACGCATATCTCGATCCGAGACCTCAATGCCACCAATATCTCGCATCTCGTGCGGATCCCGGGTATCGTCATCGGTGCCTCTACGATATCATCCAAAGCTACCTTGATGCACCTCCGATGCAAAGCCTGTGGCTATACCGAGAATCTCCCGGTTGAAGGTGGATTTGCTGGTATGCAGCTTCCCAGGAAATGTGGTCGTCCGCAACAACCCGGCGATCCCACCTCGGAACCGTGCCCGCTTGATCCGTATGTCGTCTCGCACGAGAAATGCCACTTCGTTGATCAGCAAGTCCTGAAGCTGCAGGAGGCACCCGACCAGGTCCCTGTGGGTGAGCTTCCTCGCCATGTTCTCATTTCAGCCGATCGCTACCTCGCCAACCGAGTCGTGCCTGGTTCTCGCTGCACGGTCATGGGCATTTTCTCCATTTACCAATCCTCCAAGGGCGGAAAGAAGGACGGAGCAGTCGCCATCCGCAACCCGTATCTGCGGGCAGTCGGTATCAGCACGGATCTCGATCACACCGCCAAAGGCAGTGCCATCTTTTCTGAGGAAGAGGAGCAAGAATTTCTGGAACTCAGCCGTCGTCCCGACTTGTACGATGCCCTGGCACGGAGTATTGCACCATCGATCTATGGAAACCTGGATATTAAGAAGTCGATTGTCTGTCTGCTCATGGGTGGCTCGAAGAAGATCCTCCCCGATGGCATGAAACTCCGTGGTGATATCAACGTCCTCATGCTCGGTGACCCCGGTACTGCCAAATCTCAACTACTCAAGTTCACAGAAAAGGTGGCGCCGATCGCAATCTATACGTCTGGTAAGGGATCGTCCGCGGCGGGTTTGACTGCTTCCGTACAACGTGACCACGTTACGCGCGAGTTCTACTTGGAAGGAGGTGCCATGGTGCTCGCCGATGGTGGTGTCGTCTGTATCGATGAGTTCGACAAGATGAGGGACGAAGATCGTGTTGCTATCCACGAAGCCATGGAACAACAGACCATCTCCATCGCCAAGGCCGGTATCACCACCATCCTCAACTCCCGGACATCTGTCCTGGCCGCAGCCAACCCCATCTTTGGTCGTTATGACGATCTGAAGACCCCGGGCGAGAACATCGATTTCCAGACCACCATCCTGTCGCGTTTCGATATGATCTTCATTGTACGGGACGATCACGAGCGCAGCCGCGATGAAAACATCGCCAGACACGTTATGGGTGTTCACATGGGAGGACGTGGCATTGAGGAGCAAGTTGAGGCGGAGATCCCCTTGGAGAAGATGAAGCGTTATATCAGCTACTGCCGCACGTATGTAACCACCTTCATCCCCAAATGTTTTTCGAACAAAGTGCTAACTCCTTTCAGCCGTTGCGCACCCCGCCTGTCTGATGAAGCGGCTGAAAAGCTGTCGTCCCACTTCGTCACAATCCGAAAGCAGGTCCACCGTCATGAAGTCGACGCTGGCGCCCGGTCATCTATCCCCATCACAGTCCGTCAGCTCGAGGCCATTGTTCGTATCACCGAATCACTGGCCAAGTTGAGCCTGTCGCCCATCGCGACGGAAGCCCACGTCGACGAGGCCATTCGCCTCTTCTTGGCGTCGACCATGGATGCCGTCAACCAGGGCGAGGGCCAAGGAAGCAAGGAGATGATGGAAGAAGCCAGCAAGATCGAAGACGAACTGAAGCGCCGTCTTCCCATCGGCTGGAGCACGAGTCTGGCGACGTTAAAGCGCGAGTTTGTCGACGGAAGAGGATACACCGAACAAGCCCTCAACCGCGCTCTGGTGGTCATGCAACGCCGCGACACCGTCCAGATCCGCTCCGGTGGGGCGCAGGTGTATCGACACGGTGTGTAAGGATTTCCTGCTTTCTTGGTCTTTGTTTCGGGACAATGTCAAATGAACGGTCATGACGGTTTCTTTCTGATTACACGTTTTCTTTTGGCGGGGATATCGTTTCCATACCAAATTGGGCTCGGGCACAGCGCGGATGAACGGTGTATATGGCGCATGAGTTGTTTCTCTGGGGTCTACGAACCCTTCTATCTCTCTATTAGAACAATCAATATAACGCACATAATATCTAAGGCACGCACATCGCATGGGATTGTCTGTAAGCCAGCATGGTTACCCATCGAACCGGCGAGGTACATTACTTTCTTGACCACTGCAGTCAACGACTAGCACCCTGCTAGGACGGAGCTTGGCTGTCTTGCAAAGGTGGAGCATCCTCCCCTCACCTCCATCTCTCAGACCAGCCCAATGACCTCTGCAGCCTGCGCACACCGAACTGGACAAGCGCCTAGGAGGTCGGACTCGGGACTACGATAGCACACTGTACTTTTGCACGATGCAAGGTTGCGAATCAGCCCGGATTCCGGACAAGCACTACCCTCGTTGACAGGAACCCCTAACAGTGATGTAGGAAGCATGGGCTGCTGGCTGTATACAGCTCTCCGTGCTATGTCTGCGTCTGCACAGATACTGGCAGTATCCAGCTCCTTACTATTAAGAACTTCATAGGAGGAAATCGGTGCACGCAACCCTTACCACTCGGGGTCGAAGACCGTACCGCGCAGACACGCGCTACGCGGTTGGAACCACATTTGATAGGCTACTGGTTCTCTGACGGGCTTGGAGTCTATCGCCCTGCCGCAAAAGGAGAGAGATCATGCTGCAGAATGGCGACGGTGTCCTTTGCGGTCAGTACCGACAAGCGATGGGGCTGGCCCAGTGACTGAGGAATCACCGAGCAAAAGATATGTATGCATGTCATGAACAATCCGTAGTTACTTGCTGTCGCGAGGAATGGAATGTGAAGTGCCACACTGCCCACTGCAGAAGAAGGAGCACATGCGCCGGCCGGCCGGCGGGGCGACCAAAAAAGAAAAGCTGAGGAATGCTTCACGATCATCGCCCCGGCGCGTCGCAAATTACATGGCGCCTTGAGCCTGGGCCTGGATTGATTAGGATTACAAGTGCAGATAATTATAGAAAGCTAGGTGGAGGCGATGTGCAGCGAGTAAGGATGTCTGGCGGTTCACTGGCTTTTAGGGGGGTCTCCGTGTTTCAGCGGAGGTTGGATTGAGACCTTGGGGAGGTTGAAACGGGTGCTATCTAGGTGAGGGGAGAATCTTGCTTGAGGTTAGAGCGCGAATGGTCTGCATTGAGTTCGGTTGGTGGTATAGGTTGTGGCTCTGAAGACTGAAGAGTGTGGGAGTCATAGGATGACGATGGTAGCCGCCGGCAATAGCGCCGCATTCAAGGGATGCAGCGGGTGAAACATGGGATGGAGCCGATGTCGACGTGGTCCACTATTGACGGACACGCGACTGAGTTGCCAAGCCAGCGAGCGCTATGGAGCTAAGCAGACTAGCTGGAGGACTGGTGAAGGCGCGACGACGAAAGAAGGGTCGTGATGGCAACGCGTTGCAGGGATGGATGATGGATGGAGGGCAGAAGATCAGTGGGGAGGGAGGCCACCGTTGTGCAACGCCCGAGTAACTGACTTCATCGTGCTTTAGAGTTTCTGTAGCCAAAGGTTTCCCAAGCCACTAGATTAATATTGTTGGATAGTGGGAGGTTGTATTCAACTCACTCAGAGCTTGGGAGGGGTCGTCGCCAACTTAATTGAAAGCTGAACGCGACGCGCCTCGAGGCGGACGTGTAGAGACGGGACTAACTACAGTAGCTGACTAGACTAGGAGAGAATCCATAAAAACCGGGCAAATGGGCAATGGGCAATGGAGAAGAGGAGAATGGAATTGTCTCAACAACCAATAATCCGTCAATAATGAGGATGGTAGCCTTGCATCGCGGTGATTAATGCCTGGAAGTAACAAATTCAAGTAAGCTCAAGCTAACTTACAGTGAAAGTAACTTGGAAATCACCCAATGAATAAAACACGAACCTGACGCGACTCCCGCATTCTCGACGCCGAAATCCCCACGCCTGCCTACTTATACATAACTACGGATTACTCCTCCTCCCCTTACCACTTACCACCACCCAACTCTGCATGTTTCGTTTCTCCTCCCACCCTCCTCCTCCCCCCTTCCTTGTACTTTTCCACTCCCCTACCGTTCCAGTCAATGTGCAGACAGGAATGACCTGCTGAATCTACGTGAGAGGCGTCAACTTAACTCAGGCCTACCTTAAATACTCTACCATTACAGACAATTCCAGAGTTCCTGCCCCCCCAATCAATCCCACCCTTGCCTGGATCAAACTCTTTATAACTCCCTCCCTCCGGCTCGCTCGTTTCCTTCCTCTGTCACATCCCGCTCTAGTGACTTGGCTGGCTCCGGTAACGAGATCGTGGACAAGCTCGTATTAACTTTATTGAATCATTCATCGACTGTTTACTGTTGTTTACTGTCGATTCTCTTAACTAATCCTGTCGATCACCCTCGCTCGACCGCCAATCATCTTCCACCCTCCCCCACTCCACGTTCAACCAAAACAGACTCGTCGTCTTTCTGTGTCCACGTCCATTGCTCGATTCCTTGCCCGGTCCCTGGCTGTCACCCGTACCTATTTTTACATCCCGAACGCTTCCCAACTTCGACATCTCTTCAATTGAAATTGGAATCGGTAGCCATTGAAGATGGCCGCTCTTGCAATGACCCCGACCGCTGTCCGCCAGCCTTTCGCCAGCCTGGATGCACCTCGCATGCGTTCCTTGCTCCGGACCAAGCTGAACTTGAAAAACAAACAAGATGGTATATTCCGACCCACCATTTCCACACTATTCACCGACTGATCAGGATGCTGACTTGCATACGATTAGGAGCCCTCTTGTCCAAGAAGACCCAGCCAACAATGGACGCCGACTCGGAGAATATCGACCCAGTCACTCTTAAGCTCTCGACCAAGCGAAAGCGCACTATGGACGACGACGACTCCGAACCATCAACCAAGATTCCTTCCAAGCCATACAAAAACTCTCGCGTGGTTCTGAAGACTGTGGGACCCAGTGTTACTCCCCGTATGCCTGCAACTCCCACCAAACCCATCCTGACCACCCCCAAGTCGGCGCCTGTCCTCAAGCCTGCCGGACGGTCGCCTCAACCGAAGTCGTGCAAGTCCTCTTCCCGTCGTTCGACCATTGCAAAGAGCCGGCCCGAATCGACGAGCCGGAAATCCGTTCACCGTCCCTTCTCTCTTGCTGCAGCCTTGTCTGGTGCCAAGGCGAAGAGCCAGCCCAGTCCCAAAGCACCGGCCTCGTGGGCGTTCGATATCTACGTTGATAACGAGCAGGAAGAGATGACGAACCTGATGCAACATTCCACCTGTGTCCTGGACATTAATGACCAGGAAGGAAAAGTGGAGACCTCGGTTCGAGGCAAGGAGAACATCCCTCCCGCGGAACTGGCCTTGGATCTTCCGCGCTCTCGCCAGCAGGAGTCTCCGGCCGCTGCAGCCCGCAAGTCGGTCATGATGGAGGAGTCTCGTGCTCCTCTTGGAGACCTGAACGCCGCCGACTATTACGGCGATGACTGTCATGCGTTCTCATATGTCGTCGTCTACGATGACGAGGAGACAGCTGGCGCCGAGAAGAAGGCGCCCGCCCACCTTTTGCCACGCACTAGCCCTCGGTCCGTCCCCAGTAAACTGTCGAGTGTCTCTTCCATCTCCGCCTTGCTTGAGGCCACCCTGCCTGCCGAGCCCAGCACCAACGCCAAGTTGGAGCCAACAGAAGCTGAAATCGAGATCTGGGAGAGCGGCAGTGCTGCGGAAGAAGCAGCCGAGGCCGCCGCTGAGTCGTTAAATCGCGCTTGATGTGCACTTCATCGCAAAAACCAAAACCGGTGTCATTCGTTCTGTTGTTGAATTGTTCTTTGTTTTGTCATTTTGGCGTCTGGAAATCGGAGACTCTGCGCTGCATCATATGGATACCCTACTGGCTACTGTCATTTTGATTTTCTTTTTCTATGTTGGATCTCTACCTGCTCGACCTATATTCACCACGACTCGACAACCGTCCCCTATCATGTTTACCGTGCCCGCAATGACACGCAATGTCGCGGGCCCACCTTAACTCGTCCACCTTGATCATACGACCTACACCGCCCGATCCACTGTTGCTCGTCTGAGGCTGGAACACTCACAATTATTATATCAATCTTTCCTTCGATCATCATTTGATGAACTCCTGTGTCTGCATGCATCAACTAATGACCAGAGAATGTGTCACGTCGTCTAATGTCTTATACGAACTCCGCACCTTGACGATCTAGTTAGCCTACAGTAAGATTAGATAGCTACAATACAATATATACAATCTCAAATTCACTTGCACATTCGTGATATCTAGGCTACCTGTAATGCTTGCTTCAATTTTGTAATTCCAACCCTTCGGCATCATCTAAAGGCGTCGTCGTCCTGTTCACTTTCGCTCCCGTCTTCATCCTCGTCCTCATCGTCTTCATCTTCTTCGGCCGCAGCCGACACTGCGGCCGCCGCCTCCGCCGCTTGAGCTTCCAGCAACTCCTCCTGTTCAAAGGCCTCTTCCTCGCCTTCACTCAACTCCTCGCCTACCTCCATTTCTTGTTCCTCCTCCTCGTCGTCCCCACCAACCACATCCTCCCGAAACTGCACCCGCCGCCCCGCCGTCCCTTTGGCCCCGGGCGTCTCCGCCGCTCCCCTCCGACCTGTCTTCCTCGCCGCCTTCTTCTCGGCCGCGGCCCGCTCCCGGAACTCCGGGGCGCTCTTGATGATGGAGCGCACCTCGGTGGCCATCATGGTACTCTTCTGCGTGGCAGTGGCAGGGTCGAGCCAGAACTCAGTGTTGATGGTATCGGGCGTAGCGACGTCCGGCAGCGTGAGGATCTGGTCGAAGTCTGCGTCGTCGGTAGCGCGATCCTCCAACAGCGCCAGCACCTTATGGCGCATGATAGTCTTGAACTTCGCGAGCGTGCCATTGCGATACCAGCCATCGTGGAGGATATCGCACTGCTCTCTAAGAAACCCTTCGGGCTGGGGGTCCGACGGGAACAGGATCGCACGCAACGTCGGGTCCTGGATATCGCAGTACATCCACATGCGGCCGTCGCGGGGTAGGGGCGGCTGGCCGGTGAACAGGTGCGTGTCCGTGGGGAGCAGGCCCGGCTGATGCTGCGCCTGATCCTGCGATGACCCCGTCGGGTCGAACTGCGGGACCTCGTTCGGCCGAAAGTACGTGTGTCGCCGCCCCCCGCCGCTCGGTACGATCGGGTTTCCCAGCTGGTTGTTGCCGCTGCCACCGCCGAGGTAGCCGTCGCGCGCGACGTCGGCGTCCCGCGGCAGGATCCGGAACATCAGCGTCTGGTACTTGTGGTTTTCGGGCGAGGTGCGTGGGTCGTGCGCGAATCGCACTATTGCGTCGCGCCACGGCCCCGATCGGAAAATGTAGCCGACGTAGGGGATCGCGTGCCGCAGCGCGTACCGCTTCTCGACGCTGGGGAGCGCGTTGCGCAGTCCTCGCCGTGTCCAGGCGGGACGTGTGGCGAAGAGGCTGTGTAGCTGGGTGATTGTTTCTTGGAGGGTTGGGTCTAGTGTCTCGATGGGGGGGCAGTTGTCGCGGGGTTGTGAGGGGACGGTTGGGATGTCGTAGGGTACCAGGTGGGTGAGTACCTTCACTGTGCGCTGCGTGTTGATCGTGGTTATTTTGCCGGAGTTGTCGATGGATTTTTGCATGGTTGGGTTTTGACGGTAGCTATCGGGGTTGGTGGTGGTGGTGGTTAGTTGGTTGGTGAGGTTGGGGGTCTGGGTGCCGGGCTTACATGTAGTTGAAGGGCATGTCGCCGTGGCTGAATGATGGTGGCGGGATGATGTCCACGTTGGACGTGATGCCTTTGGTCATGTCGATGTCGAAGCGCTTCATTTTCTCGTCTGCATGGGTGGTTAGAGTGTTAATATTGGTGTTAAGCGGCAGGCTCGACTTACAGTCGAACGGCAAGATATGCTCGCGGAACTTGTTGGCTAACGCGCTCGACGTCGTCGAGAAGACAAAGTCCGGCATTCCTGACTTTGTTAGTTCGCGTTTCTGTTCAGATAGCAAGCATACGCACCGCGAAACACATGAGTCCGCTCGATCATGCCTACCGGCTCGACTTGATACCTCCCGACATTGTCCCGGAGGCTCTGCAGCACTTTCCGCGCGCTGCGTCGCTGGGCTTCCACGTTTCCAGTGGAGATGGCGACTCCGGTGAAGGGCTCGTCGGAGCCCTTCTTGCGTTTGCGACCCGTGCGCTTGGGCACCGTAACCTTGACCAGGACGTTGTTGGCCGCCGAGCTGATCGACTTCATCGGCCGCGACATCGCATCCTCCGGCCGGAGGAAGAGGCTGGCCGGGGTGTCGGCCTTGGGAGGGTTGAGAATCTAGTCCGCACTGTCAGATCATTGTGTCTTGTATGTTGATTGCAGTGGCGTCGGCTTACTCTGGTGATACCTGCATCGCCGCTGAGCGTGTCCAGGGCTTTGTCGACATTTTTGATAATCGCGGGATGTTCCACGCTGACCATGCGACGAGGCGGGATGGAGTAGAACGGAGCCGTTCTGGACCCTGTATGGTCTGTCATGGCAGCTGGATCTTGGGTTGGTCTGGTATGACGTTTGATGGTGCGGTTATAGATCCGATGGTCGACCGCGTGCCTCGATATATTTTCGGTGGAGCACAACCCAGAGTATGGAACGGAGATGCGCCGCACTCAAAGTGACGTCAAGAGACAAAATTTGCGATTATTGTCTCCCACAAAGAGCATATTCTATCTGGTTAATTGGACCAATACTGCAAATATTACGATGCGGTCCAGTATACTCATACTGGGATAAATCGTCTCCTCCATTGCGGTGAAATGTGAAAGTGGTGGGAACTGTCCGTCCATCACGTGATCGGCATCACAATCCAGGGGAGAAAAACTCCTCCCGAACAAGCATCGCAAAACCACAGCTGCGTGAGTCTGAAACAGACTAGATTCTCGGCAATCTCGCTCGGTACTCCGATCGCATTGCCTGGAAAGTCCACGCTGGAAACCATCCGATGATGAATGATGATGATGATGATGGAAGATAAATATCATGCCTGGTATACTGTAGTTTTGTAGAAGCAGTGCAGTACCTCTCACATTGCCTGTTCCTCTGGAACCAACCTGCAATTGTGCTGCACGGCACCAACCACCACCAACCACCACCAACCACTACACGCTGTCCGAGCGCTTCTTCTCTTCTCAGCCACAGCACACTGGCAAATAATGACCTTAACAACCTGAGCCTCTCTCTCCTCTCCCTTCTCCCCCCTTCCGGACCTCAAACTTTCATACTCCTCTCCCATCCATTTGACAGCTACGCTACTCTCCCCTACCCGCCTCGTGTCTTATCTGGTCTGTCAAACCCGTTGGAGATCATTTAATCTCATTTCATCATCATCATCATTATCTGGTTCATTGCCCCCTCCCCCCTCGTGGAATTGTGACCGTGCCAACGCGCCTTAAACAGTTAACCTTCCCCCGGGGCTCTTATTGCACCCCGCTTCCTAAGCCTACCCGCTAAGCGACCACGGCAAAGGCGATCGATTCCACTTCCCCCCCAAACCCAAGCAAAGCAATCCTGACCGACTGACTGGCTGCTGCTCCTCCCTATACCGCTTCCATTCGCGCCAGTGCCAGACAGACAGACAGACGGACGGACGGACAGACAGACAGACACAGGCAGCGAGAGTCCGACTTCAGTGTGCCCAGTGTGAGAGATCCTCCTCTTTCCACTTTCCCACCCACACCCACCCCCTCAGTCTTCTCAGCTCCAACTTCTTTTCTAAGGTAAGTCCTGCAGCTTATAGTTTCGTGTTCCTTTCCTGCGTCCCGATCCGCTCCCTGATTGTTTTCAATCTCTCTTCGCCCCCCACGGTGCCTCTATCTCTTCTTCCGCCTGTTCTCTCGAATTGCCCGCTTCCTACCCGGTGCTGCGTTTGCGTCCCAAGGATTCGATCATTCCCCTCACCATCCTCATTCTACTACGCACCTCCTCCATCAGTCTCCCTCCCCAAAACTTGACTCAAATTATCCTTTGAAATTATCGCCTGTCTCAGCGACAAAAACAAGCGCTATGCTACCGTTGTGTTGTGGCTGCAAATGCTCATGTGGTCATTCCTAGGCCGACATAAACAAATCCCGACGTGGCTCTCCTGAATCGCCTCCGCGCTGCCCGACTCCATCCCTCCTGCTAGGGTGCGGCTTCTTGCTGCACTGGCACCGAGATTCCAAACCGAGTACATGTGGCTGTTCGTTTAGTCGTCAAAATGAAGGGCTTCAGACAGAGAGTGGTGAGTTCGCCCTCATCGCCTTCCGCCCCCTTAGCTGTTCCCCGCCTCCGCCTTCTCCCTCGATGAGCCAGACGCCCACCTCCCACCCCGGCAAATTTCCCCACCGGATTGGGCTGATTTCCATAGCACGAGCAGTTGTCGAGGGCGAAAGATGCGAACAAATCCTCCAAGAAGAAAGATTCCTCCCACTCGTCCCAGAACAACGCCGCCCTCGGGGCTCACCATGGCCAACAATCTTCGTCCCCCAACCAGGGCACCCCGACCTCGTCCACAACATCTGTGAATGATACTAGAGGAAAGTCGCCGGAGAGCTCTGCGCAGGCTGGAATTTACCCTCCTGGTGAGTATTCCCATCCGCAGCCCGGAGGCATCGATGGCCAACCGCTGTTAACCGTGATTCAGGTACTCCTACCAAGCAGGGACAGCCGATGGCTCCTAGTGTAATCATAAGCCCAAGTGGTCCTGTAAGTCACCCCGCGCGTGGTACAGTCATCTTGCGCATCATATCTTCACGTCGCTCAGGGTGCCGTTCTGATCATGGCTTTTGCGCAGCATCATGTTCCCCCTCCCGGTGCGGCCGAGACGATGCCAGGCGATCTGGCCCCCCCGAGGAAGTCCCATGTCTTCGATCGCCTGCAGACAACGCCCAAGGACATCTCCGAAGGTATCAGAACCCCCAAGCGCCAGCATTCGTCGCGATTCGATATTTCCGACCAGCGCCAGCGCGAGCTCGAGAAACTCCCCGGCTTCCACGAGGTCCCGCCCAATAGACGTCAGGATCTGTTCATGCAGAAAATCGACCAGTGCAACATCATCTTCGACTTCAATGATCCGACGGCTGATATGAAATCTAAGGAGATCAAGAGACTGGCGCTCCACGAACTCCTAGATTACATCGCCAACAACCGCTCCGTCATCACAGAACCGATGTACCCTCGAGTCGTCGAGATGTTCGCTAAGAACCTCTTCCGACCCATCCCACCTCCCGTGACCCCCCAGGGCGAGGCCTTCGACCCCGAAGAGGACGAACCGGTGTTGGAAGTGGCGTGGCCGCACATCCAGGTAGTTTATGAATTCTTCCTGCGATTCATCGAAAGCCAAGATTTCAACACCAACATCGCCAAGGCGTACATCGACCACCATTTTGTTCTTCAGGTAGGCCGCCCGTTTACTTGATTATGTCAGATGAGTGCTCAGGTGTCTAACCCTCCTCAAGTTGCTCGAGCTGTTTGACTCGGAAGATCCCCGCGAACGCGATTTCCTCAAGACTACCCTGCACCGGATCTACGGAAAGTTCCTCAATCTGCGCTCGTACATCCGCCGATCCATCAACAACGTTTTCTTCCAGTTCACCTACGAGACGGAGCGGTTCAATGGTATCGCCGAACTGCTGGAAATTCTGGGCTCGATCATCAACGGATTCGCACTCCCCTTGAAGGAGGAGCACAAGCTGTTCCTGACCAGGGTCTTGCTCCCTCTGCACAAAGTCAAGAGTTTGAGCATGTACCACCCGCAACTGGCCTACTGTATCGTTCAGTTCCTTGAAAAGGACTCGACCCTGACGGAAGATGTGAGTAATGCCATCGTATTCCCTTATTGCCTAGTTCAGACAGATGCTAATCCGGAAACAGGTCGTTCTTGGACTCTTGCGTTACTGGCCTAAGACCAACAGTACCAAAGAAGTCATGTATCTCAACGAAGTCGAGGACATCTTCGAGGTGATGGATCCCGCCGAATTCGCCAAGGTCCAGGTGCCCTTGTTCCAGCAACTCGCCAAGTCTGTGGCCAGCCCACACTTCCAGGTATGAGACAGACTCGTTAGATCGTGATGAGTTAGCAATACTAATCGCTGATAAGGTTGCCGAACGCGCATTGTACTTCTGGAACAACGAATACTTCTGCAACCTTGTCAGTGACAATGTGGAAATTATCCTACCCATCATGTTTCCACCACTATACGAGAACTCTAAAGGTCACTGGAATAGGTACAGTTCTTCACTTCCACGCCCTCCCATCTTGCATCAATACTGATCGCGGTTGTGTACAGAACAATTCATAGCATGGTATATAATGCCATGAAAATGTTCATGGAAATCAACCCCCAGCTGTTCGATGAATGCTCTCATGAATACAATGAGCGACAGAACAGTGCCGAGCAACGGGAACAGAGCCGGCAGACCAGATGGGATAAGGTGTTGGAACAAGCCAACGAAAGGAAGAATGGGGTCGCGCCTCCGCCGCAATGTCAGATCGCTGAGATTCCCGTGCAGCTGGATGATATCGACTCGGTCACTCATGACAGCCAAAAGCGCCTTCATGCCCTGAAACTGGACGATTCAGGAGCGTCGACGGAGCGGAGGTCTCGGGAGAATACGGCGACCTCGGTGAGTGATGGACTTCCTTGATTGCTCGTGTGGTTCTGCTTCATCCGTGACGTTATCGCATCACGCCAGGTGCCTTCCATCACCCTGATTTGTCGTTGTACTTGCTAAGATTTCCTCGGTTTCCCTGTACAGCAAGCGTGATTCTAATGTTGAAACGTCCGTTTGCTCCAGAGACGGCGCCGCGGCTCCCTTGATGACTCTCGGAGGCGAAGAAGTGGTAGCGCAAGTGAAGTCCGACCCCGTGTAGATCGACGACGGTCGGCTGGCTCTGGCGCTGCGTTCTCGGTCTTGTCACGGAGCAACTCTGTGAAGTGACAGTCGACTTAATGGTATTTTCCTGCTAGAATTTTCCTGCAACGATGGCATAGCGACTACGAGCGGTGACGAAGTGTATTCGATCTTCTCTGATTCTACGTTCGATCCACTTTCCCCCTTTGTCCGCGCTCTTCTTCGATGCCTTTCCATCTTCGTTCTTCTCCCCCCCTTTTCTTCTTCTTTCAATTCTCATCTTTGTGTACATGGCCTTCAATATTCTTGTGTCCGAGCGCGCACGTGGGTTGCCACGCCCGGGTGCAATTCAGCGGACGTTGTTGTCAGTTGGACTACTAGAACTGTGTTCGGGTCTGGAAAACGGGTGCGAATGGCGTTTCCCATCGGTCGACGTTGATGTCGACGACCTCTTTTGAGTTTTAAAACATGAAGTATTTATGGCATAGCCTTCAACCAGATTCAATTAATTTCTAGAGTCCGAAGTGCCCTCCTGATCCATCTTCATCTCTAGACTGTATGTGCTGTGATATATAGTACGTGAATTGGTGCCTGTAACACGTGCCCCAGGTGTCATAGGTGCCTTAAAACGACTTCCTCGCGCGTCATCTCTACTACCATTTGCTGATCAATCGAGGGGTAGCTTCCAAGTCACGGGTTCAGACGCGCGCTTGTCGGATTTGGAGAAACGAAGACCCGTCATTGCCTGTTTGGGCCTAGTGTCCCGTTCGGGGTCTCTGCGATACCCGCGTTTCTGCTCTGCTGCTTTCTGTTCCTGTCCTGTCGGTTTGCAGGCCGTCAATTTGCGCTCAACCATCATTCTCTTGATCTTCCTCCCCCTCGCCTCCCTTCCCTTCCTTACCTGCCGCGCCGATATCTCGTGTCTTCGCTTCACTCCCTCTCGACACTCGACGCTTTCCCCGTCAACAGCGAGCGCAATTAATGACTTAACGATCGTATTCCTCTCTCTCACACAAGGCGCTTTCCGTCGCTGGGCGTGTAGAGATAGCTCCACCCTCACGAATTCGCATATGAATACAATATACCACGCGGATCGTGCTGGCTCTCACCCCAAGGCCGGCCTTGTGGCCTGGCAATTTACCTAATCTCGCATCACTCCTTGACTGCTCGTGAGGAGCTCTAATCAACCATGGAGCGGAACATCGACATCTATGCCGCCAAACTCGGCGACGAGAAGCTCGGTATGCTTGATTCCCCAAACACCCCCCACGGGTGCCTATGAGTTTGTAATGGCTTCGGCTTAGCCCCGCAGTCAAATGCTGACCTGCATGTTCTATAGACATAAAAATACGAGCCAACGTCGCCGTCGAATTACGGGATAGCATAGAACCGCTATGCTCTGGTGCAAGCTATCCGATCTTCCTGTCCAAGCTATGGCCCGTGTTCAAGAATATCTTGAAGGGCGAACCTGTCTTCACGAACTTGTCCTTTGAGCAGGTGAGTTAGGGATCATGGACCGTTGCGCAGTCCCCCATGACCCTAGAGCTTACGCAACTCGCCTGGAATTAGAAATTACGCAATTATATCCTCGAGACGCTGCACAGACTCCCTATGGCTTCTCCGGATGTTGAACCGTACGCCGCGGATATGGTCGACTTGTTGATGGATCTCGTTCGGATTGAAAACGAAGAGAATGCGGTGCTCTGCATGAAGACGATAATGGACCTGGAGAGAAATCAAGCCAAGGCAACTTCAGCACGAGTACAACCATTCCTAGCCCTGATCCAGGAGATGTTCCAGATGATGGAGCAGGTGGTTCGCGACACGTTTGACACGCCCAACCAAGCCACTCCCTCCGGCATGCCTTCGACGCCAAGTGCTACAGCCCAGAACTTCCAGTCGCCCAGACCAAGCTCGCCAGCCACCTCCGTCTCAGACCTTGGGCCGGATCAACAGCCCAATAATATTCTCCTGCGGGGTATGCAATCGTTCAAGGTCCTCGCCGAATGTCCGATCATTGTCGTTTCGATCTTTCAGACTCACCGGGCCTCGGTCGCGGCAAATGTGAAGCTCTTTGTGCCATTGATCAAGAGCATCCTTCTGCTTCAGGCCAAGCCGCAGGAGCGGGCGCATGCAGAGGCCGCTGCTCAGGGAACGATATTCACTGGTGTTTGCAAGGAGATCAAGAACCGAGCCGCGTTCGGTGAATTCATTACAGCACAGGTCAAGACGATGAGCTTTCTGGCGTACCTTCTCCGCATGTATGCGCAGCAGCTTCAAGACTTTCTTCCGACTCTACCATCGGTTGTGGTCCGCCTCCTGCAGGACTGTCCGCGGGAGAAGTCAAGCGCTAGGAAGGAGCTACTCGTTGCCATCCGTCACATCATCAACTTCAACTACCGCAAGATCTTTCTGGAGAAGATCGACGAGCTTCTTGATGAGCGGACCCTTATCGGCGATGGCTTGACTGTTTATGAGACCATGAGACCTCTGGCTTACAGCATGCTCGCCGATTTGATTCACCATGTGCGAGACCACCTCACGCGGGACCAGATCCGTCGGACGGTCGAGGTTTACACCAAGAACATGCATGATGATTTCCCCGGGACCAGCTTTCAAACTATGAGCGCCAAGTTGCTTCTGAACATGGCTGAGCGTATCGCCAAGCTCGAAGACAAGCGAGAAGCGCGGTATTTCTTGATTATGATCTTGGACGCGATTGGCGATAAGTTCGCTTCCATGAACTACCAGTTCAACAACGCCGTCAAAGTGTCTAAGATCTACAAGGAGTCTAAGAAGGATTTTGAACCGTCCCCTGAGAAGTATCTCGCGGAGAAAGAGTTTCCCCCCGACTGGGATGAGATCGATATCTTCTCGGCTTCGCCCATCAAGACATCCAATCCTCGGGACCGTGGCGGCGACCCAGTGTCAGACAATATCTTCCTCTTTAAGAATCTCATCAATGGCTTGAAGACCATATTCCATCAGCTGAAGAATTGCAACCCGGAGCATATTCAGATCGACCCGAACAGTGTTCCGATCAATTGGTCCGAAGTCTCTTATGGATACAATGCCGAGGAAGTGCGGGTTATCAAGAAGTTGTTCCACGAAGGAGCACGGGTGTTCAGATACTACGGAGTCGACCAGTCGCCACCGGAGGTCAATTACTCGTCCCCTTTCGACTTTCTTGCCAGTCAATACACGGCCCCAATGTCGCGGGAAGAGAAGGAGCTCCTGGAGAGCTTCGGCACCGTCTTCCATTGCATTGACACCGCTACCTTCCACGAAGTCTTCCATTCCGAGATTCCGTACCTGCATGAGCTCATGTTCGAACACGGTGCTTTGCTTCACCTGCCTCAGTTCTTCCTGGCTAGCGAAGCCACCTCTCCTGCCTTCTCCGGAATGGTTTTACAGTATCTCATGGATCGCATACACGAAGTGGGCACTTCGGACATGACCAAAGCAAAGATCCTGCTTAGAATGTTCAAGCTTTCGTTCATGGCGGTAACATTGTTCTCGGTTCAGAATGAGCAGGTCTTGCATCCACACGTTACCAAGATCGTCACCCAGTGCATAGAGCTTTCGGTCACTGCCGAGGAACCTATGAATTACTTCCTGCTGCTAAGATCGCTCTTCCGTAGCATCGGAGGTGGGCGCTTTGAGCTTCTATACAAGGAGATTCTGCCTTTGCTGGAAATGCTTTTGGAAACGTTCAACAATCTTCTAGTGGCTGCCCGCAAACCGCAAGAGCGTGATCTATACGTTGAGCTCACACTTACCGTTCCAGCTCGTTTGAGCCATCTCTTGCCGCATCTCAGCTACCTCATGCGTCCTATTGTCGTGGCATTACGGGCAGATTCGGATCTTGTCGGTCAGGGGCTTAGAACACTCGAGTTATGCGTGGACAATTTGACTGCCGATTACTTGGACCCTATCATGGCTCCTATTATGGACGACCTGATGACAGCGTTGTGGGATCACCTTCGCCCGCATCCATACAACCATTTTCATGCTCATACGACCATGCGAATCTTAGGCAAGCTTGGTGGTCGCAATCGGAAGTTCCTTAATCATCCTCCGGATCTCACGTTCGAACAATTTGCCGATGATGCACCTAGCTTTGATATCAAGCTTATTGGGCCTAGCGAGAAGCGGCCGTTCCCAATTGACATTGGTCTGGACCTGGCAATTGCGAAGTTGATGGAAGTTCCCAAGATTGGATCAGGGCAAACCTCTGACACTTACTATAAACAGCAGGCATTCCGCATGGTTTCGTCGCAGCTGAAGCTCTACATCGGGAATGAGAATCTTCCCGAGGACCTGGCTTCACTCATTCGTCTGCACGCCAACGATCTGTTCGAAAGCAAGACCACCTCCATGCCCGATGTATTAGAGAAGTCAGAACGATCAAGCTCCATTCCGAAGAAGTTAGGCCAGGAAGGCTCCATGAAGAAACTTCTCAAGGCATGCATCTACGCCACTACTATCCCAGAGTTGGAGCAGTCTGCAACGACTTTCGTCGCGGATGTTTGCAAGCACTTTGCTGTCGTGGAGGTTGGTCGTGCCCTTGCTCAGGCCCGGCACACTCGCAAGCCGTTTGACGTCAATAGTGGTGAGGGTCCTGTGTATCTCGACTCACGCGTCTTGGCCGAAGCCGTCGTGGAGTCGCTTTCGTCCGACAACGCACAGGTTCGCGAGGGAGCCGAGGCGGCCATGCAAGTCATGAAAGACGCTGCTGCCATTATCTTTGGCGCGCCGGAGCGAGTGGCGAAGCTGCCGTTCTTCCAACACCTTGGCCGTGTGTTTTGTCACAGCTGCCATAGCGAGGAGTGGTTCACTAAAGCTGGAGGAAGCTTTGGTATTCATTTGTTTGCCACAAAGCTAGACTTAGGTGATGCATGGCTTCTTGACAAACAAGTAGACTTTGTCAGGGCGCTTATGTATGTCATCAAGGACACTCCCTCTGACCTACCAGCCAGTACGCGGGTGAGGGCTCAAGAAACGCTGGATTTGATCCTGCGGAGGTGCTGCAAGAGCTTGTCCCTTGAGGATCTCAAGACTGAAAAGAGTCGCTTGTATTCTTTGTGCGGACACTTTGTTTACGAATTGTCTCACATGAACAAACAAGTTCGCGACGCTTCCCGGCGCAGTTTTTCCACTGTTGCTGAAGTCTTAGGATGCCAAATTCACGAACTCATTTTACCGGTGAAGGAACGTCTCTTGCAGTCAATCTTCAACAAGCCTCTACGAGCATTGCCTTTCCCTACCCAGATTGGCTTCATCGACGCTATAACCTATTGTCTTAGTCTTCACAACAACATTGTGATGTTCAACGATCCTCTCAACAGGCTCATGTTGGAATCACTTGCTCTGGCAGATGCCGAAGACGAGTCCCTAGCGTCCAAGCCGAACGAGTTCAAGAATGCAGAAATGATTGTGAACTTGCGTGTCGCCTGTCTCCGCCTTTTGTCCATGGCAATGAGCTTCCAAGAATTTGGCAACGCCCCGCAGAATACCAGCCGTGCTCGCATCATTTCTGTCTTCTTCAAATCGCTCTACTCTCGATCACCCGAGGTCATTGAAGCTGCAAACGCAGGACTTCGAGATGTTCTGACGCAGACAAACAAACTGCCGAAAGACCTGCTTCAGAATGGCCTTCGCCCTATCCTGATGAATCTGCAGGATCCCAAACGACTGAGTGTCGCAGGCCTTGATGGACTTGCACGGCTGCTCACCCTCCTGACAAACTACTTCAAGGTCGAAATCGGCGCACGTCTTCTGGACCATATGAAGGTCATTGCGGACGAGACAACCTTGCAGAAGGTGTCGTTTAGTCTCGTTGAACAAAGTCCTCCGATGAAGATTGTGGCCGCCATTTTCAATATCTTCCACCTGCTCCCCCCAGCAGCTACATCTTTCATGGAACACCTGGTGAACAAGGTCTTGGATCTCGAGGAGAAGCTTCGTAGGACGTCCAACAGTCCTTTCAGAAAACCCCTTGTGAAGTATATCAACCGCTATCCCAAGGAGAGTTTGACCTTCTTCCAGACTCGCATCAAGGATGAAAGGTTTGGACGATTTTTCGGTCAGGTTTTGGCCGACCCAGAAAGCGAGGCACTTCGTTCTGCGGTGGTTACAGACACCGAAGGTTTTCTGGCTGCAGCCTTCGGACAAGAGGGCCCTGATGGCAAGAACACAGCTGTGATCAATGGTATCTATGTCGCCCACTCAATCTGTACATTCGAATCAACCAAGCGCTGGTTGGTATCTCATGCAGACTTGAGAGGGAAGCTTCTGAGCTCGGGACGTGACCTTGCCAAGAAGCTTCGCAATGATAAGCTTCCCATCAATGAGCGGTTAAGGGTGGAGCAGGCCGAGGACCAACTGATGGATATCTTCACCAACTACCTATCGGAGTCGGTGCAAGACCTGGACTTCTTGTTCGAAGTCATCGATGGTCTTTCTGCCGAGGAACTCAAGCGGACGCTGGCTCTTCCCAGATTCATCTATCGCCATATCATCACGAATGAGTCCATCGACTACCGCCGCTCTGTTATCATGCGTTGTCTTGATTTGTACAGCCAACGCTCATGCTCTCAGAAAATGAAGACCTACGCTTTCCGTCACCTGGTCAACCCCATCTTTGCGATGGACGTTCAAACGACATGGAACAGCCCACCAAATAGTCCCAAGCTAATGGACAAGAGCATGACCGAGTTCATTCAGAGTCGTTTGTGGAAGCCTCAATTGGCGGATCTTAGCGAGGAATCAAATCAGGCTGGTGTCGACCACTCTCGTATGGAGCTTCTCCAGTTGTCAGCTTTGTTAATCAAGTACCATCATCAGACGGTGCAGGACTCCCGCAAGGATATCATCAAGTTTGCTTGGAACTATATTCGCCTCGAAGATATCATCAACAAGTACGGCGCATACGTTCTCATCAGCTACTTCATCGCTCATTACGAGACTCCGTTCAAGATTGTCGTTCAGGTCTATGTGGCTTTGCTCCGAGCCCATCAAAATGAGGGCAAGGCACTTGTTACGCAGGCTTTGGATGTTCTAGCCCCAGTTTTACCAACTAGGATTCTATCCGCAAGCAACAATCAAGGCTCGGACTTCCGCTATCCTCTGTGGGCGAAATGGCCTCGGCGCATCTTGGCCGAAGAGACTGCGAACTTGCAGCAAGTGATGAGCATCTTTCAGTTTCTCGTCCGCCATCCGGATCTCTTTTACGAGTCCAGAGAGCACTTCGTTCCGCTCATAGTACCCTCTCTTTCTAAGATAGCGGCCCCTGCCAGTCCGTCTAATGAGGGCAAAAAGCTTGCCCTGAATCTCATAAGTCTCATCTGGCACTGGGAAGAAAAGCGTGCAAAGGCAAGTCAAAGTACGTTATCCAATGGCGTTCTAGAGTCGCCCAACGCAAAGAAGCGCAAGCTGGAAGATGGCCAGAGCACTTCGTCCCCATCACCCGCTCTTGTACCTCCGGCTTCTCGTGATCGGTCGGATTATGCGGTCTCGGCCGACTTCAGGGCGTCCTTGACCAAATATCTTATCACCTTCATCACGACGATTCCCGAGAGGTTCCCCGTCCCTGCTGCCCGAATACGTGAGTTGCCATCGTCCAAGGCGCCACCCGTCCCGACAGGCGAGATGGTCAAGAAGGCAGTCTATTTGCTTCGAAATCTCTTGTCTCCAGAATACTGGGGCGACTTGGATGTTGAGCTATATCAGAAGGTGACAGAACCTATTCTCGCTGGCGAGAAGTCGGATAAACCTGACGAGAAGCTCGTCACGAGTATGGTGAATGCCCTCCAGGTTATACGGATTCTCTTGGCATCCAAACCAGATGACTGGATCGTTGCGCGTGTGCCAAGTATTCAGAAGCTCTTCGAGAAGCCTTTACGGTCTGACAATCCAGAGATTCAAGATTGTCTTCATGGCGTCGAAGATGAAATAGACATCTCTCCCAAGCTTGTACCTCCAGTCAGGCGTGTTCTGAACGCTCTCCCTGATGATCAACCAGAGGAAGAGGATGCGATGGATGTTGAAAACTCACCTTCCGAGTTCGTCTCGTATCTTTCAGCCATTGCGACCGAAATGCTTTCGGCAAACAACTACGTTTCGAGCCTTAACATTTTGTGGACCCTCTCAAAGAACAAGCCGGCCGAGATGGATGCTCATATACCCCAGGTCATGAAAGCCTTCTCTACGAAACTGGCCAAAGAACATGTCGCAGCCTCGACTGCAAACCAAGGTCAATACCCGCCTGGGTCCAAGCCTCCAGAAGGAGTACCAGAGCAGCAGGATTATGAAATCGGCGTTGACTTGATCTTCAAGACCATTGAATTGGTTTCTGTGCGCATGTCCCACCTCGGAGAGCAGAGGCGACCTTTTCTGAGTGTCCTGGCGCAATTGGTCGAGCGGTCACAGAACATCAAGCTTTGCAGCAAGGTCCTTGGCATGGTCGAGACCTGGATCTTCCACTCAACGGAGTCGTGGCCTACGCTTAAGGAGAAGACGGCTGTCTTGCACAAGATGCTGCTCTTTGAATCACGCCCTGACCAGACGATGCTGAAGAAGTTCCTCGATCTTGTCATTAGAATATACGAGGACTCCAAGATAACTCGGACTGAATTGACAGTGAGACTGGAGCACGCCTTCCTCATTGGTACCAGAGCTCAAGATGTTGAGATGCGTAATCGCTTCATGACCATCTTTGACCGCAGCCTGACCCGTCTGGCCAGCTCCCGACTCAGTTATGTGTTGACTTGCCAGAATTGGGACACCCTCGCTGATTCTTTCTGGCTGGCGCAAGCATCGCACCTGGTCTTAGGCTGTGTGGATATGGCTTCGTCGGCTAGGTTGCATCCAGACGACTTCACCGTGTATCCTGTGTCTTTCCTCTTTGGCAATGCGGACAGAGACCCTCGGAAAGCTGACGTTATGGTCGACGTTCAACTGGAAACCTTTGTCACTGACCGTAAGCGATTCATTGCAGAAATTGGTGACGTAAAGGTTCGCGATCTGATGGAGCCTCTGTGCCAGCTCCAGCACACAGATCCCAATGTGTCCTACAAGCTTTGGACCACCCTGTTCCCCATCTTTTGGTCTACATTGTCGAGAGAAGATCGCATCGATCTGGAGAAGGGAGTGGTGACGCTCATCACTCGGGAGTACCACCAAAGACAGCTGGACAAGCGACCCAACGTTGTGCAAGCCTTGCTTGAGGGTGTCGTTCGAGCACGCCCCCGATTCAAGATTCCTCCGCATGTCATGAAGTATCTCAGCCGGACCTACGATGCCTGGTATACCGCCGCAACATACTTGGAGGAATCGGCTATCAGTCCCATTATTGACACTCCTACTGTTCGTGAGAGTAACCTGGATGCCTTGGTTGAGGTGTACGCTGGGTTGCAGGAAGACGACTTTTTCTACGGCACTTGGAGGCGTCGTTGCAAGTTTGTCGAGACGAATGCTGCTCTTTCGTACGAGCAACAAGGCATGTGGGACAAGGCTCAGCAATTGTATGAGAATGCCCAGATCAAAGCTCGCTCTGGAGCGATGCCCTTCTCGCAGGGGGAGTACTATCTGTGGGAGGACCATTGGTTGATCTGCGCACAGAAGTTGCAGCAATGGGAGGTGCTCAGTGATTTTGCCAAGCATGAGAACTTGAACGACCTTCTCCTGGAGTCCGCTTGGAGAAACATCGAGAACTGGCAGAGCGAGGGCAGCAGAGAGCAGCTTGAATCTCTGATCAAATCTGTGTCTGATGCGCCTACTCCGCGACGCACATTCTTCCAATCCTTCATGGCTCTTCTGCAATTCCACATCAAGAAGGAGAACATCCAAGACTTCAATGGTGTTTGCGATGAATCTATCCAACTGTCTATCCGGAAATGGCTTCAGCTACCAAAGAGGATTACCAATGCCCACATCCCAATCCTGCAACATTTCCAGCTTCTGGTTGAACTTCACGATGCCAGCCACATTTGCAACAGTCTGTCGCAAACCAATGAGCGCAATCTGGACACGAAGTCTGCTGAGCTGAAGCTGCTATTGGCAACATGGAGAGACCGTCTGCCTAATCTGTGGGATGATATCAATGCTTGGCAAGACCTCGTCACCTGGCGACAGCACATCTTCCAGCTTATCAACGCGACATATCTCAGCTTGCTGCCGCCGCAGACAAATAATGTGGCCAGCAATTCGTATGCCTACCGTGGCTACCATGAGACAGCATGGATCATTAACCGTTTTGCTCATGTCGCTCGTAAGCATCAGATGCCCGAGGTGTGCATCAATCAGCTCAGTCGCATCTACACCCTCCCGAACATCGAGATTCAAGAGGCATTCTTGAAGCTTCGCGAGCAGGCCAAGTGTCACTATCAGAACCCGAAGGAACTCAATAGTGGCTTGGATGTAATCAACAATACCAATCTCAATTACTTCGGCGCGCAACAGAAGGCAGAGTTCTACACGCTTAAGGGTATGTTCCTTGCGAAGCTCAACCATGTCAACGAAGCAAATGAAGCATTTGGTGTCGCCTTGTACTACGAATTGAGACTCGCGAAAGCGTGGTCTGAGTGGGGTCAGTATAGCGACCAACGGTTCAAGGCTGACCCCTCGGACTATGAGCTTGCGAGCAATGCTGTGAGCTGCTACTTGGAAGCTGCTGGTCTCTACAAGAATTCCAAGTCTCGGAAGCTGCTGAGTCGCATCCTTTGGCTCCTAAGCCTGGACAATGAAGAAGGTCAAATCGCTCGTGCTTTCGAGAACTTCAAGGGCGATACACCAGTTTGGTACTGGATCACGTTCATCCCGCAACTTCTTACCAGCCTTTCGCACCGTGAAGCGCGGTTGTGCAAGGCTGTTCTGGTGAAGATCGCGAAGCTGTTCCCCCAGGCTCTCTTCTTCTTGCTCCGTACGAATAGGGAAGACATGCTCAATATCAAGAAACAGCATGATCAGAAGCAAGAGAAGATCAATCGTGCCCGGATGCAACAGCAGCAACAGTCTTCACCTTTGGCAAAGGCTTCAACGGCAAGCGCAGATGCCTCGCCCGCGCAAAATACCCAGCCGAGCACCACTGTCTCGAATCCAGCACAGCCTAATGGTCAGCAAGGTACCTCTCAGCAAGTACCAAATCAAGCCCAGCCGAATCCTCAAGGGGTCAATCAAGGCCAGCCTGCAAATCCGGCACAGATTAAGAACCCAAACCTTCCACAGCAGACACCCACCCAGGGTCAGATGCAGCAACCTCAAAGCCAGGGTCAGACTCCCGTCCCAATGCAAAACCAAGCATCCAATCCAGGACAGCCGCCAATGCAGCAGCAGCCACAAGGTCAGCAACAAGGACACCTTCAGGTTCCCGGCCAGAACGGTGTTCCCCAGCCCAATGGAAAGCCCGCTGGCACCGAGATCGAAAAGGAACCTCTCAAGAAACCGTGGGAGTACTCCGATGAGATCATGTCCGGCCTCAAGACAGCATTCCCTTTGCTTGCTCTGTCTATGGAAACTATGGTCGATCAGATCCACAAGAACTTCAAGTGTCCTCCTGACGAGGATGCGTACCGTCTCATTGTCGCTCTCTTGAATGACGGGCTGGCGTACGTTGGTCGGATGCCTGGCTCATATGCACAAGACTTCAAATTGCCGGCTGCCACCGAGGCGAACATTACGCGGTTTGCAGAGACCATCCTTCCAGCACATATTCGCAAGTCCTTCGAAGCCGACTTTGTTGTCAAGAAACCAACCATGTATGAATACATCCACAAGCTTCGTCGTTGGCGCGATAAGTTTGAAGAGAAGCTGGACCGGCGACCCCAGACTCAATTCTTGGAGACCTATTCCCCACACCTCAGCGAGTTCCGTTTCCTCAAATTCGATGAGGTTGAGGTGCCAGGCCAGTATCTGCTGCACAAAGACAAGAACCAGGACTTTGTTCGCATCGATCGGTTCTTGCCAGATATCGACCTGGTACGCGGCATCGGTGTCTGCCACCGCCGGTTGAAGATTCGAGGTCACGATGGAAGCGTCCACGCCTTTGCCGTTCAACATCCAGCTGCACGACACTGTAGGCGAGAGGAGCGCATTCTGCAGTTGTTCCGGATCTTCAACGGCATCCTGGGCAAGCGTAAGGAGAGCCGCCGTCGGAATTTGTACTTCCATCTTCCACTCATGGTTCCTTTGGCTCCTCACATTCGCTTGGTTCGCGACGATCCATCTTACATCTCGATGCAAGGAATTTACGAGGACTACTGTCGCCGGGTTGGTATCAACAAGGACGAGCCTGTGCTCTTCACAATGGAGAAGATGCGATCACTAGCGGAAACAAAACAAAATGTGAGTAGACCTCATCAACTCAGATTTCTGATTATGACTGACATGTTTCAGCGTACACCCGACCAGCAGCAGGTGCTTCGAACCGAGATGCTCACGGCCATCCAGGAGAAGTGGGTCCCCAGCAATATTGTGCTCGACTACTTCCAGAGGATCTACCCGAACTTCTCGGACTTCTGGCTTTTCCGACGGCAATTCGCCTATCAATACGCGGCAATCGCATTTATGACCTACGTGATGCACATGGGCAACCGGTACCCGAACAAGATCATGATCTCGAGACAGACCGGCGACATCTGGGGCTCGGAGCTTATTCCCACCATCAATCCGGCCAAGGCCTTTTTCTACAACCCCGAGCAGGTGCCATTCCGGTTCACGCCTAACATCCAGACGTTGCTGGGCCCGATCGCAACCGAGGGTCTCTTTGCTTGCGCACTGATGGCAATTGCTCGGTGCTTGACGGAGCCACGCCACGAGCTGGAGCAGCAGCTGAGTCTTTTCGTTCGGGATGAAATGATGTTCTGGGCCACAGCACAGCATCGTGGGGTTCTGCATCCCCCGCAGCTTCGTGACTTGGTCTACAATAATAGCGATATCATCGTCAACCGGGCTGTCAGTCTGGCGAGTCCTCCGGAGGGCAACCTGCCTGCCAACCAAACCACCATCGATCTCATCTCCAAGGCTGTCAACCCCCAACACCTTGCTTCGTGCGATGCTTTGTGGATGGCATATCTCTGATTTGTTTTTCTCGCGTGGCGTTCAGACTTTTATTCATGGTTTGCGGATGAGGGTTCACGGGTTTGCTAAGTCAAATGGGATTCTCCATTCTAGCGTGGCGCTATGGGGCAAAGTCTATGGGATATGGCTATGATATTTGATTGCTTTTGTTTGTTGTATTGTACTTTTTCATGTCTCATAATTTAATAAAGGCGGAATATGAATTTCGAGCCCTTTGATGAGCTGTATCTTACTAAAGCGAAGTCTGAAGGCTGGTAGATATTTATGCATGAGATGAATTAGATTTGGACGGCACAGGTTCAAGACCTTGAATAACCTATATGCGAGTGATCATAAAGTTCGTAGTGAAAAAGCCCCATGCTTCACGATGTAACCGAACGCCATTTTGAAAGAGCCAAGCAAGAAGAGCCTTGAGATGAGGGTGGTTTACACCAAGGACGGCTTGGCCTTCTTCTTGATGCCCAAGCTATTGGCCAAGGGCTTCTTGGCTTTCTTGACGCGGGCGAACGAAGGCGGCGGAGCGGCCATGGCAGAGGGTGTGGCCTCATCGAAGGGGGTATTCTTAACCGGAGGAGCGCTTGTGCTGCTGCTACTGCGGCCTCCAGTATCACCAAGATCATCGTCCTCATAATCCACCACCAAGCGCTTAACCCGCTCCCCATCCTCCGTCATGAACGCGCGCCGCGCCGCCTCCTCAATCTCCCTCTCCGCGCGCAGCGCCTCCTCATCCTTCACCTCCCTCGCGCGATCCAACGCCGTCAAAGCGCTCTCCTCCCCAAGCGCCTCCGTCCGCTCCATCCGCGCATTCCGAGTCCGTATCTCATCCAACGCATCCGCAATCGCCATCTCCCGCTTACTGTCCAGCATCTTCTCCTCCAACTCCGCCATCTTATCGCGCTCCTCCTGCTCCGCCTCCTCGTTCTCCTCCCGCTCCAACCGATCCAGCGTCTCCTGCTCCGTCTCGTCGTGGTTCGGCAGTTGAGAGGTATCGCGCCACGGCTCGAAGTTCCGCTTCGCCCCTCGCTCCGCCCGGTAATCCATGTTCTTGGGGTCCGTCACGAACGTGATCTCCCCGCTGCAGCGCGTGCATCGGATGTAGAATCTGTAGATGGGGATTGAGAAGTATTTTTCGGCCGTCGTTTCTTTTCGCGCGTTGAATTTTCGGCCTTTGTAGATGAATTCGCCTGTTCACATTTCTGGGTATTAGTATCTTTGGGTTGGTTTGTTTGGTGGGGGGGGGTGGTTATGGGTGTGGATGTGGATGTGGACTGGACTGGGCTGGGCTGCGCTGAGGGTAGAGGAAGAACAACGCACCGCACTTCTCGCACTTCATTGAGAACGGCGCCATCAGTCGCACCGTGATCACCTTCGGCCCTGTCTTCCGGAGGTGTTTCGGTACCCGCGTGATCGCGCTGGGATCGAAGTCCGGGGGGTAGTATTTCGTTAGGACCTATTTCGATTAGTTGTTGATTTGAAAGAAAAGGGATGGAGGTGCATACCTTTCGCTCAGACATGGTTGCGGTTCTGGAAGGATGTTGATGAGAGGTAGGTTTGGTGTTGGTGTTGTCGCTGGATGGTTGTCGCTGATGGCGATTTACGCCGCTATCGTTGTTGATGATAGCGGATCAGGTGAGCGGTCACGTGGTCTTATCGACACTGATACGGTGTCTACGTCATGTGACCATGCGTCTTGCACTGCGCTGCGTCAAGCAGACTGGCAGTGGGCTATCGGCCCTCATTCGGATATCTATACCTACTTGTTTGAAGAACATGCATGCAATAAATAATGTCTGCTATGGTTCCAACGTCAAGGACCAACTACAACGATACCCGGGTATAATTCATCCAACCGAACGCCCAGTTGTCTATGCTCCAATGTCATGGTCATCTCACTGCTGCCTCGCGTTGCTGCGCACCGTCCTCGTCCCGCGACTCCGACTGCCCACCGGCCCGGGCGTCTCGTCAGTATCCAGCTCCGCCGGTCGTCGACTTCGTCCACCTCGCACGCGACTGATGGCCTGCCGCAACATGCCGTCCGCTTCGTCGTCCAGCTCCATTTCCACTTTCTCCTCGAGCGTTTCCGGCTGGAGGGCCGCGCCCGGTGCGTCGACCTGCACCACCTCGTCCGTCCATTCTTCTGCATATGAACTCTCGGGCACGGCGCGTCGTCGGGAGACGCTCTTCCCCTTGCCCTTGGACGATCGCGTGGAGCTCCGACTGGTGGTCGTTCTTGTTTCTTCGAACACGAGTTGCTCGGATTCTTGACCTTCCAGTGCCCAGATCTCCAATGCGCGAGAGAGCAAGGTGCCCGCGATGCCAGCACCCCCCGCTGCGTCGCCGCCTCCGCTGGCCCCGAGCACGCGGACCGCTTCGTGAAGAGCCGTTACCGCTTCCATTGTGCGACCTAACTCCAGTAATACAAGGCCGCGCGCAGTGTGCAAGGAACCGACAAGCCCGCGGTCTTCGTAGCCTCCCACACCCGACGTGGCAACGCCAGATGCGCTCCCGCCGCTGCCCCCCAAGAACGGGCTGTACCCGAAGCTTGCCCCCGCCGCGCCAATACGAAGACATTCGTCGAACTCCGTCAGCGACTCCGAGAATCGTCCTATGCGACGCAATGCATGTCCCAGGTTTGCCCGCGTCGCCACCCAAGCCCCGGGCTCACATTGGAGCGATGTAGCCAGGCCAAGAGATCGGCGGAATAATTCTACGGCTGCCTCTAGGTGGTTTTGGTGATAGAAGACGACACCAAGCTCGTTGAGGACCAAGGGATCGCCGCCAAGCGAGGTCAGCTCGGAAGATGGGTTGGCACGGAGGACGGGCGCAGACCCCGTCGCGTCGCCGGTGGACATCGAATATGCCGCCGAAAGGTATTCTTGTGCCAGGGACATGTTGTTAAGTGCGAGATGCTGCATGCCCAGAAACAGCTGAGGCAGATGGCTGCCCTGGAAGAGCCGCGCCGCTGTGCTATACGCGGCAATCGCCTGGTCGTGTTCTCCTTCTGCAGCGAAGGTGTGGGCAAAGCCAATCCATGCTGGCGCCGAATGGGGATCCAGCAAGGACGCTTTGGAGAAGAACCGCCGTGCCTCGGCGATCTTGGACACTGACAAGTAGTAAACGCCGATGGCGAGGTAGGTATACGACTCCTCCGGAGCGTGGTCGGCGAGCGTATGCGACAGTAGAAAGAGCGCGTTCGTTGCCCCAGTTTCGTAGAGACAAGCCAGATGCAAGGGGTACACTGCAGGCGGGTGTCCGAGGTGGCTTTGAGCCGACACATGCATTACCGCTGTCGTTGGTGTCGACGATGCACCTGATTGAGACGTGGATAGGATAGATGAGGTGAGTTCAAGTGCCTGTGCGAACCGGCATTGAGTATACAGGGCCTCTGCACGCGAGAGCAGAATGTCGGGATTCTCCGATAGATTATAATGCGTCGAGAGAGTTTCGGTCGCGTCTGATAGGATTGTAGGGGAGGAGTACTTGGACAGTCGGGTGGTGTATAGCATTTTGGTGAAATGGGCCGCCTCTTGCGCCACAGCCGGTTCGGGACTGGCGACGGAATCAAAATCAAGAGATTCGAGGAACTCCAGCTCCTCGGCCGGCGACATGAGCGAGTTCTTCATGAGCTGGTCAAAGGCCTCGAAGCACTGCACATCGATCCGGACGGCGTCCTTGTAACAATCCCGCGCACGGTCGAACGCATTCTGTTTGGCAAAACAGAGCCCCCTCAGATAGCACATGGCTGCCTCGAATCGTACGTTATTTGCATCCTCCTTCTCCCGCTCCTCGCTGCGATCGATCCGCGATGCCGTCGTCTTTCCATTCCGCAAGGTGACATGGCTTTGGCCGTTGAGGTGCTGCAGCTTGCGACGGCTGTTGTTGCTGCGGATCAGATGGGTTGGGTTGTGGTCACCAAGAACAGAGAGCGCCTGCTCGAACTGGTTCTGTTTAATGTAGCAGTGTGCGGCGAGGTAGCGACAAGCCGTGCTCCGGGAGATGAGGTCTTTGCGGGAGAGGAGGGCCAAGGCGCGGGCATAGTTGTTGTTCGAGAAATGAACCTGAGCTAGCCAGAAGGCGTCCGAGTCACTGTCTAGACGGGCAAGCAGTGGATTAGTTCCGGTAGACATGCAGCGAAAAACCCGACCGCTCATCCTCTGGGCACTCACTGGTCAGAGCCAGCACTTTGTCGCCGATGTAGATGGCAGCATCATGCTGGCCTCGGTTCAACGCATCCTGGCGCCAGGAGCGCAAGAATCTTTCCATGACCGAGACACGCACGTGGGAGACAAGACAGGGATTGTTGGGGATTTATGGACGAGGGCGGGCACAACGGTCGCATCGATCCATCGACCGAGAGGCATGCGGCGGGTTGGAGGGGCGACGATGTTTTTGGCGGCGGATAAACAACAGAACTGACTGGACAGAGAGAGAGAGAATGGCGGTCAAGCAGTCATCAACGGGCTCCTGCGCGGGCTCTGTGGTCCTATGGAGAATTGGGGAAGGAAGGAGGTCAGACGGTCAGGAAGAATATGAGGGATAAACCCGAAGCTGGAGTTGGACCTTTGAAGTTGAATATTGAACATTAAACAACATCGTTGAACTTTCCGCGTTGACCTGGCGTGCAGTGAGGAGGGGTGGTCCGTGCGCCTTGCCTATTTTGGGGTCTCTCTTGCAGTCACGGGCCATACTAATTAGGTAGCTAGTATACTAACTATGATCCTGATTAACTTGCTCTTCTGGACAACTTAGTGGACGGCCTCCAGTGGGAGGCTGAATATGTTTCAAATCTTAGCAATTTAGATTGAATTCATGATTGTAGGCAGTAAGCAATCTAATGCTCTCATCTCAATATGGAGGACTTAGGCAGAAGCCATCACTGGTCCAGGTCTGCTCTGATCTCGTGTCTCAGATTTAGATTCAAAATATCTGATATATCTACTCCGTAGCCTCTCCAGAAACATTAGAGCCAAGCCCGCGAGCCTCGATCGTTCCTCGCCAGCCTCACTCCGATAAGTTCTAGTGCCCTCATTCAACAGGGCCAAGGACAGGGGCAGGGGCAGGGGCATAGCAAGAACGGAATATGTCTATGATCTTGACGCGTCAATTTAAGTTACAACACCAACCAAACAACGTTCTCACACCAATTCTCCATTCTGATTGTCAACCCATGTTTTACTCACTCGCTGCAGGCAACCGTTGCCGATCCATTGGGCGGGACGGGACAGTGGTGGATCGCATCCATGCCCCAGGGGATGGGATCGGTTTCACTATCTGAGCCATCTCAATCACTTCTTTCCAGGGACAACAGGGCAGTACCTTGATCTAGTCCCCCATCTTGAAAGAGTAAAGCGAAGACCGGATGTGCTGTCTCTTGTATGATGGACGCAGTCTACAGGGACACAAATCTAATGTTTCAACGCACATAACAATCTACCAGGTAGGGTAACACAGCAACCACCAGACGGGAGTGTCAAACGTACTGCAAGTCTCCTGCTCCACTGGCTGTCAGTTGCTGCCTATATTCGGATCGTCGGGATCTCCATCATGGGAAACGTTGTTCAAACGTGTACCGTGGAGTTTCAGAATACCCTTATTGGGTTTGTTAGTAGCACTACTCACCCAAGGAAGGATCGACCTCCTAGGCTTCAACGGTCTGAGACAATCGCGGTGCCGCAGCGATCACTGCGTAAGATGTGGACGGCTTTCAGTGTCGATGCTTTTCACTCGAAGGGTCCATGGCACAGCCCCTTTGTCAAGCGGGAGCCATGATGTGTACAGTGCTAGAGTGAATGACATCTTAAAGCTTCCTCTACCGCCCTCACCACTCTAGACTCCCATTCATAACACCGCCACTCCAGCAGGATGAGGGTGACAACTCACTGGACCATACCCTTCCACCTGCGTGTTGGCCATGGCACTTTCTCGAAATTCTCGATGGCGCCTACGACAGACCCATCTCCTTCATACCCTATACCTCCTGGTACTGCTCAGTCTCGCGGGAATCGTCCTCATCTGGTACGGCGTCAATACGGACCGCGAACATCTCTATCCTTTGCTCACTCAGTTGATCCCTGCGGGTCACTGCGCGTGTCTCACCTCGACCACGTTCCAATGTGCGAGCTGCTTGACCTGCGCGCAGATGGATCTTCTCCCTCAGACAGCACTTCCTCCCGCGAGGCCATGGGAGTTTGAGCATGAGCGGGATGGTGGAAATGGAGGGTTGAATCGAGCTCAGTGCACAGCTGCTTTCCCGGGACTGTTTGAAGAGATCTCGCGTGCAGGGACATTCTGGAAATCGAATGGAGGCCTTGAAGTGGAGGAATTGAACCAAATCCCACTGAAGCATGGCATGGCGCGAGTGTTCATACGGCGTGGGGAGCTCTATGTGGTAAAAGCGCTATCAAGAGGGGAAGACCATCGTCGAAAGATCTTATCCGTCCTGAGCGCCATTCACCGCGCATTGATCACCGATCCCGACCGAGTCTTACAACATGATGTTGAGTTTGTCTTCTCTGTGGAGGATAAAGTCACGGATGTCACTACCACCGATCAGCCTATTTGGACATTTGCTCGGTCTGCCAATGAGCAAGCAGTTTGGCTCATGCCTGACTTTGGGTACTGGGCCTGGGAGAACGTGCACAATTCCATCGGACCGTATGACCAAGTGGTTGACCACATCAAGCGCACGGATATCCCCTGGTCTCAGAAAAAGAGGCAGCTCGTCTGGCGAGGGAAACCCAGTTTTGCTCCCAAGCTGCGGCGCGCACTGATGGATGCGGCTCGAGGCCAGCCGTGGGGTGATGTGAAACATGTGGACTGGAACCAGCGAACGAACGTGATGAGCCTGGAGAGCCATTGCCAGTATATGTTCATCGCGCATGTCGAAGGTAAGCTTCCGCCATTTTCAGGCACTCGTGGCATGTGTATAGAGATGAATGCTGAACATGGAGTCTAGGAAGATCGTATTCGGCGTCCCTGAAATATCGGCAGGCGTGCAACTCGGTCGTTGTGGCGCATAAGTTGCAGTACATCCAGCACCATCACTATCTTCTTGTGTCAGAAGGACCGAACCAGAATTATGTGGAAGTCGAACGGGATTTCAGCGACCTCGCGGCCAAGGTCGAGTCGTTGTTGGATGATCCGACACGGGCCGAGCGCATTGCCAACAACAGCGTCCAAACCTTTCGTGACCGATATCTCACCAAGGCTGCGGAGGCGTGCTACTGGCGTATGCTCTTCGAAGGGTACAGTGACGTCTGGAATGGCAGTGTTCCGACCGAGTCACAGTCTCAGCAACCACAGGGCCGGGGTCTCCGTTACGAGTCGTTTGTCCTCCTGGAAAGCCGCCTAATGGTTGAGTTTGACGCGACGAGCACGATAGGTTTGATGGACCATACATAGAACAATTGAGGCCAAGGTGCATAGTATTGCCAATGATGCAATGTGGTTGGAACTTGGTGACTGACTTGTCAGAAACCATGTGATGGGTATCATGCATGAGACTGCATCCGGGCTGTCATTTGGGCAAACAAAAGAATTTGGTAGCATTGCATACTACGTCAGAGTAGAAAGTTTAGTGGTAAAATTTTTGCAACTTCTGATAATAGTTTCAGGATGATCGATTCATCATTCAAATCATATCTCGGTTCAGTTAAGTTAGATTAGTGCGATCAGTCAGTCATGTGAGGAAGGGAAAAATAGGGAGGAAGGGCAATAGGTGAGAGATGGATGGAAGCTAAGCTGAGGGATCATCGATCTTCATTGTCCAACCAACCAACCACCCGACTTTGGCTCCAAGCTTCATGAACCGGGCTGTCCACTAACAGCTGGGATTTTATCAGACAGGGTCTGTTAACTTTGTTTACGTCTTTTTACGAATACTTGAGTTCTGCATCACCCCTCAGCCTAAAGAAACACCAGCTCATGATGGTCAATTTGTCTCACCTCAAACCATCTCCATATCCAGTTCCTCTCCCCTTACCTATTGTGCAGATTAGTCCACCCTTGATCCCATAGGACAAGATGGCAGTGGGAAATTGGAATGTCTAAAGCACGTCCAAAGTGGGGATACGATGGGTCGCTTGGCCCTGCAGCTGTGCGGAGTGCGCTTCTCCAGCAAAATAAATCCCTTCTTTCATCATCGTCGTCCTTGATCGACCTCCCACCGCAGTGTACTCCGTAGTGCCACTGGAATACAAGTTCGCCTCTTGAGTTCTACTCAATAGAGCATGCATCCGACACAGGATTGCCAGCATTCCTTCGCTTTGCTGACAATCGGTCGATTCCGACTGGCATACCCTCCCGTGCGCGTCACGCCAGCTAGCTAGCCTCTGAATCTACTCTCCAGACGAACCATGATCTGTGCGGAGATCGGCTTTGGCGGTCGACCACTGGCATGACGCTAGTGGAGCCTCGTCAAGGGCGCGAACAACCGACTATCGAAGGGATCATCGCGCGAATCGGCGCGATTTCAGCTCAGCTGAGATCTGCAGCCACAACAATCCCTCACAACCATTCACAATGCGTACCGTCCCTACGGAGGTCGCACGGGGGGAGAAGACATGCCGCATACACACCAAAACTGTGGAGGCTGGCTGACTGGCTTATAACTCGAAGCCTGTCTCCTCATGTTGACTTGGATCTATCTTTTCTTCTGCTCCATTTGCCTTCGTCAGCAACTAAATCATGCCGTCGCCGATTCCCAAGCCCCCGGGGGTGTTCCTCCTCGGTAATCTGTTCGACGTGAGCTCTGGCAATCCGTGGATGTCCTTTAACAAGCTCTCGAGCAAATATCGTGCGGCCCCAACTAATTCCCAGCCTCGATGCTATTGCCTGGCTCTAATAGTTCTTTCGCTTCGCAGGCCCCATTTGTAAAGTCACTATTCTCGGCCACGATATCGTTCTGGTCACCGGCGCTGCCCTTCTTGAAGAGATTTGCGATGAAAAGCGTTTCCGGAAATGCGTCACTGGGCCTATTGTCGAAATCCGACAGGCTGTCCACTCGAGCTTATTTACAGCCTTCCATAGCGAAATGGAGTCCTGGGGCGTCGCCCATCGAATCATGGCGCCTCTGGTCACCCCGGAGGCTGTGGCACAGGTCTTCACGGACATGCGGGAGGTATCAAGTGACTTGATCAAGAAATGGACAGCTGGACCGCGCCAGCGTGTCAACGTCACCGACGACCTGGATCGTCTGAACCATGCCGCCAACATGCTGTGTTTCTTCGATCAGCGACTGCATTGCCTAGAAGGCCCAGAGCCGACCCTGATCAAAGCCATGGAGGGCGCTACCACCGAAGCGGTCCGTCGCCCAAGCCGTCCCAAGTTTCTCACCTGGCTCTTCTACCAGCGCAAGTTCGACGACTTCAACAAGGCTTTGCGCGATTACTCGGCCGACTGCATCGCACATCGGCGCGCCAATCCATCCACCAAGAAAGACATGCTGCACGCTCTCATAGAGGGCAAGGACCCAGAAACTGGACAAGGACTAGACGAGACTCAACAGATCGACGAAATCATTAATGTCTTCATTGGAAGCGCCACAGCACCAAATCTGGTTGCGTTCGCTCTCTACTACCTTATGAAGAACCCCAAAGAGATTTCGCGCGCACGGGAGGAACTGGATGCCGTCGTTGGCGGACCCGGTGCCCCAATCGAGCACGAGCATCTTGCCAACCTGCCATATTGCACTGCTATTCTACGCGAGGCCTGGCGTCTTGCCCCTCCCGCCCCTGGTTTCAACATCGAACCCATTCCCAACAACGACGGCCCCGTCTACCTCGCTGGAGGCGAGTACGAAGTTCCCCGGGATCAACCCCTCATTGCAATCCTATATGGTGTGAACCGTGATCCGGCTGTCTTCGAGGACCCCGATGCTTTCAAGCCAGAGCGTATGGTGGGCGAGAAATACGATCGTTTGCCAGCGGGCGTCAAGAAAGGATTTGGTAATGGCAAACGCCACTGCATTGGAAAACAGTACGCGTGGGAATGGTCGTTCTTCACACTGGTTAGCATCCTCAAGGATGTGGAATTTGAATTGGCGGATAAGAATTATGTGACCAACCCGGCAACCGAAAACTACAATGGTGCCTTCACCGTGAAGCCACTGGGACTTTTCGCTGTCACTGGTCCCCGACCCAGAGCCGGATGAGAAACCGGTCCCTAGATTCTCTTTCTTGTGTCTTGTCTCATGATATCCAGATTGCGGTTGCAATGTATGCTACGCGTGCGCATGTTCTAAGTTAATGCTTTAGCTTGTTTGAGAGTGTTGTCAATTCCACGATCTTATGTTTTGCCTGGATTTCTGTCCTAAGTAGCATTTTGGGGTCCTTCGTCAATGCGAAGGTCGGGGAGCATGTGACAGGGGCTATAAGTACCCAGAAGAACATTGTATCAACTTTTTCCAGTACCTAAGGTGGCTCCCATCTCCCCCTTTAGGGTCGCTGCACGGCTACGTCAATTCCTGGTCCCAAATATCTATTTGCGGTTCTGACCCACTTGAGGCGTGGTCATGTCTACACTCGAATGTATGATATGGGTATTATGTCTGCCACCTACGCGATGATGATGATGATCATAATCGCGAACGGACAGAGACTAGTGCCAACTTGATACAGCTTCGAGGGTCTGGAACGGGTCGATGGTGGCCCCAAGGCAGCTGCTGTGGCAGAGGTCGCCGGCCCGCGAGTAACCCAAGGGTTGTATGAGTTGCGTGTCATGCTTGAACTATATGCCTCTGTCCCTCGAGAATGCATGAAGGCCCCATAATTGACTAATACTTGAGCTATCTAGCACTAGGAAGCCGGGAAAGTAAGCTTCCAAACACATCTCCCCCGACACATCTCTACAGTCCGCAGCCAAGTTCCACATGAGTGAGATTGGCTTCACCTCAAGCCGCGGGTACCATGCTACCTCGCATGACTTCTTATACCAAGGTACAATGGCCTAAACGACGATCAGCCGAGTTCAAGCCACCCCGCAGTGCAACCGATCATTGCAGACAGCCCTCCTCCCACGGTGGTCGAACAGGCCGTCTGAATGGAAATCCGATTCGCCCTCCTGTGTAATCCCTGGACTCATACCATTGGCGTTTCAGTCACTTCGCTCGGATACCCTGTCCAACTGGTGAACGTCGACAGGCCCATTCACCCCTCCTTATGACATGTGATCAAACGCATTGGGTCCAGGTCTGTTCGCCTCGAGCCCGAGGGAACTGGCCCCGGCCCTGATTGCAACACCTCTCGCAAGCGCCGTTGCCGTGGTGTGGGGGTTGGAAGTGCGAATTCGATGATTCGATTCTGGTTCCTCGGATGGCAATACGGGTGGGGTGTGAGTGTCCCTCGCCGGGGTAGTGTTGTTTGTTCTTGACCTGCTTGGTCGTCTCTGGCTCAGGGAGTGGTTCCTCAATTGGTACTAGCAAGACGTCTGGAACTGGTTGTCCACAGGAGTCTCGGCAAGATCACTGCGGTTCAATTGGCCTAAGGCATCGAGATCAAGAAGAGGATCATGCCAATCTCTCCCTAGAAGTTATGAGAGCTGGGAGGAAAGCAGATCAAAGACTGGAAGTCGGGGTACCTTGTCAATAATAGCAACCAACGCCTAGGCTCGCGATAGGGAATGCAAGGAGGTTACGGCCGAAGCACCGTGGGCAGCAGCACTGTGGGTAGCTTGGACCACGTCCAGATTCTTTGGCGGTTGAAGCCGACGCGGTGAAGTAACCGGTTTCTCCATCAATACGTCTCGAAGGAGGACGTTTATTGGAGCAAAGATACAGTGGGAGACATAATGGATTGAGATGGAAATGTGTCACAACAGGGAATAATGAGGGTTTTAGCCCACCTCATGCTTGCTTTTGGGCTTGCCCACCTGCTGTCAATTTCTGGTCAGGTACTTGTCTCCAATCTGATGCACCGGCAATTTGCTGTTGGTCAGGCTAGAGGGTGGTGAGAGTACGGAAAGAGAGATGGTTGTGTTTCAGGCAAGGAAGGTCTCAGTTCATTGTCACGGGACTGCCATCTATCCATCCATCCATGTCCCAGCTTCTTCTTCTTCCTTTCTTCATTTCGATTTCCCGACTTCCTTCTTCCCTCTGTCTCATCAAACCAAAACCTCCCAGTTACCCGAGATCGGTACTACCACACCATCATCCTCCACAGGACGGCTCAAAGTTGCTCCAGATTCATCGAGGTTGCACAGAGCTGGATCCTTTGGCCGTACCCCCTCTAGCCGACTCGCATCCAAAACACGCCAGTCCGAATACGAATCCCCGGGTCTACCTTTCCAGTAAGCTGGGATCCATTGCTCTCAATCTGACACGCTGTCTCATCAGCTTGCCCGTATTGGCTCTCCAACTTCACTTGTCAGGAAATAGTCTGATTGGCCTTCCGGCCCACATACATCAGGGCTCTTTTGATGCTGACGACAGATCAGCTGTGAAGCTGAGCTCAGGCATGCAAGACCACCAATTCAATCCTGCCACTCAAGACTCCCTTCAGACCAATCGCCGTTCTCGGAACTGCCCACAGTAAAAGAGCCTTGTTTCTCCGAGAGGTTTTCGACTTGAAGCCTGCAAAATGTTTCCATCTCTCCTGCTATCCTGTGACCCCATACTTTCAATTCGCATTCGACCTACATGCAACAAAATCGAGCAATAATCAAGTATCATCGGGCATGCAGCTGGTACATAATCCCAATGGCTACCGTGGCGGTACGCCAGTCATACTGGACGGAGGCTACTATGCTGAGCCAATCTGGATCCCAATCCCCCAGTGTTCAACCCGACGGATGTATCGTTCGCATTGCTGTTGGCCACGATTTCTAGAGTCAGCTCGATCTAAATCTGTAGCAGCTACGCCCAGTGGCTCGTGGGACTCTAATTGGTGCGCCGTGATCGAGGCTGCGCACTAGCGGGTACCATACACATGGTCATACTACTCGGAGCTCATGGGTACATGCGAGCAAGGAGTAGCCGTGTATGCCGAAGCACTGGAGCGACTTTTCCGTGACGGTGTCTGAGGGCCTGCCTCGGACTGGGTTTTTCTCATCCATCCTCGGCTGCCGCATAACTCGCTTATTTTATTATGTTTCTCGCGCTGGATGGCTCGACTGCACTCGTATATCCGTGCGCATGGCTTGCTATACCAGTGTGTGGAATCGGGCAAGTGGCTCTAGCTCTGAATCACTGGATGCACGCAATCAGTTGAGGGCCATTGGGCGAGCGGATCTGGCTCGATCTTCGTGGCCCGGCCCTCTCCATATTCATGCAAAGCCTACTATTGATCAGGGTTGGACATACTCTTGATGATCAGCAGCGCCAAGTGAGCCTTGCCCGCGCCTTAGAGCTATGGGTGGTGATTTTCTGGGCATCTCTACAGCCAAGGACTGGCGTACGACATGGACCAGGGTGCAGCGGACTGGCGATAGAGCATCTTGCGCGTGGCTTGAAAAGTCACGAGTCAAGTACCAGCGCAGCGGGAAAGCAAGGAGCCATGGGTGACTGGCTGGCTGAGGGGCCTGAGAAAGACATATAGAATGGTTCGAGTAACCACGCACGGCGGATATTCAATACTGCTTTGTGAGCACGAGCCACGACCTTTCCTTGGTTATACACTCGGCCTGATGTTGCACCCATTGCGCAACCTCGTAAAAATTTCCATCAGAGCCAATCAGATCAAGCAGGAGGTACCTGGGAATCTCCGGGATCTGGCTCCCTTCATTCCTCGGATACGGTGAGCTGAGTGCATAACATTCCTTATAAGGAAGGCAGGCTGAATTGCAGCAAGATCGACCTACTGACGGTTTGACAGCAAGACCCGCAGTAGCAGGTGGAGGCTCTGTCAGTCCCAACACGCATCACTACCCCGCAAGGAGCCAACTATATGACCCCGGCCTCCAGCCTGTTGTCTGGCTATCTTCAAGCTACTTGTGCATACTGCTCTCGGCTACGGACGATACCTGTTATCGACAGATACCTCGATTTTCACACTTCACCCTGCTTTCTGATGTCTACGAAAATGCGAACACAACCTACGAAAGAAGAACGATGCTCCAGCGACAGTTCAGGGCAGAAGCAGGATCCAATCGAGCGTAGGAGGCTGCAAAATCGGTTATCACAAAGAAATCATCGTGAGTCGGACCGACGTGCAGTAGTGATTGAATCAGTCACTCACAGACAACCTAGGTCGAAAGATACGCGACCGTATTGCGAAGCTTCAGGAGCGTGTGATCGCCAGTGAGCTACGAGCAGCTGCAAGCCTTCATGGCTGGGACCATCCCAACTCGATCGCTGGATCGCCAGCGATGGACCGCATACCGTCTGTCTTCGACCCCAACGGAACTTCAACAGCGTCAATGGTCGATGCGTCCTCCGGTTTTGCATCAGCATATATGTCTCAGTCAAGGTTTCTCTGCTCATCATGCAACGCAGCGTTGGCACCCTTGCCGTTATACTCGACACAAACGACTATTGCATCGCCTCTGTACGACATCACCGAGATAGACGCTTCGAATACCGCTCCATCTGGCCTCCGAAATCACTCCTATTTTCCACGGTCTGGCTCCGGCGGTTTAGACATGCTGCAAGGCATGTCCAGTGCGTATTCCTCAACCGAAGCAAACGCACCACCTCTCTGCGAGCCATGGAATGGTCAGACTCAATATTCCGGGTCGTCGTTATACTGCATCACAACAGGTAAGATGGATCCGGCCTTGGACCGACCTGGAGCTGATCGTCTGGCCGCAGAGGCGGCGTTGCCACAAATCATGCAAAACCTCAGCACGGGACCAACACGACCCAAAGCAATCATCGTTCTTTCATCAAGTGCGCAGCATGCATCGATCCCCACCAGTCTGCCAGCATCACAATCACCACCGACTGCGAGCAGCACCATCGAACTTTCAGGATCGTCAAGTCCTGTAGAGTTGCATGAATCCTTGTGCCAGTGCCAAAGTCAGGGATCAATGATTGGGTCCCCTGGCATGATGGCAGCTGGTGAGTGGGTTAATGCAGGTACTTCAACGTCGGTTTGTCCATTACATTCGATGCCAGCCGATGAGAGTATGCAACTGATGATGATGTGAATGGATTTACATATATATATACCAAGGTTGGGATTTTGGGAGGTAGTAAATAGACTGAGAACGCAAATCCCAAGTCGCCGTTATCTGAAACTTCCTTCCAAGCTATAGTAAACGCAACAATGGAATCGGTTGCTCGTGGCCATTTCTGAGAGTGGTGAATGAGGTGCTCGAAGAAGCGGTGAGCCACAGAAGATACTTGGAGTGGCAACAAGGCAGCAAGCAAACAAACATGGCTGTGCTTATTTGTAAAGCAAGACTTCATCATCACCACTCCAAGGTATCTGGCAGAGTATAACTTGCGTTATTGTTTGCCTTGCGAGTGTCGTCTCCCCTTGCTCGCCGTGCAGTAGTCTGCAGCATCAGCGCTGTCCCATGAAGTTTGTATAATCCACACACCACGATAACATCGTAAGACACCATCCTGATGACAGCAGTTTAAACTAGGATCCTTATCCTTAGGTATATAAATACAGTTATCAATACAGGGTAAGAAAATAAGAATAACTTTAGATTACTTAGTAATTTTGTATATCTTAACACAGCCTAATAAGGATTTTGATACTCAAACAGGTTCTTGGCGGGTAACCTGCGGGTTGGCGGGTTCGGGTTTTGGGTCCAGTGTTCAGACCCGACCCGTGGGTACGGGTCCTGATGTTGGACCCTAACCAGACCCGTGGCGAGGCCTAAGCTAGCCTTAGTGAGATTTCTGCCTAGATAGCATGTCCAGTTGCCCCTAGGGAGGCCGCGGATCACGTGAGACTCGTGACCCGCCGAGTGACACTAAATAATCATCAATCAATTAATCAATCAGTCCCCTAAGAACTTCTCTTCTTCAAGCTTCTTGTAAACAGTTTGTGGCCTAATTAGATTAAAATTAAGTCTTGCTTCAGCCCTTCACAATTTATGCCTAGTTCCTGCCCTGTTTTTTTGACTAGTGTGAGGTCATAACCCTATCACTGCTTATTCCGGACCACCTGTGTATGTTATGTTTGTTTCATGGGCCCTGAGGCATAAAAACACCCCAATTGTTCATGTTCAATGGGGATTATTCAGAGATGAACAGTCACTTCTATTTGAAATTCCTGTGCTTTCTCTTCTGATTATCTTTTGATTATTTTCATCTTTGATATTTGTTATGGAGACTGAATCAACCAATTATATTCATTCATTAGGCCCACAACCCCCGTCACTTAGTCTATGTCTCGGACCCTTGACAGGGTTTCTAGATCTGCTGCCAACAGACTGATCCTCAATCATGAATAAGGCACTGAATCCTCCTCACCCAAGCGCACTGCCCGTGTTGTCGCTTCATCCAGCTCCTCCATAGGCAACCCGAGCGCCTCATTATCCAACCCGCGCGTCGACTCATAATCGCCGCCACCATCCTTGAAGAACATACGACTATACAGCATCTTTGTGTAGACATTCAGATCCAGCTTCACCTGCAAATCCTTCTGGGCCTGCTCATAGCGCTCCACCGCCGACTCCTCCGTCACCGTCCAATCTTGATCCTGCGTCTTGGTGACCCGCTTGACACTCTCAAACATCTCCCTCTGGGTCAGCCGGAAACTGGACACATAGACTGCGCCATCCCGGAATTTGCTCAAGGTCGGCGCCGGATCCGACTCGTCCTGGGGCAATTCCTTCAAGCTGAGCAAGCGGGCCAGGGCGCGCCCGACCTGCGGCCAGGTGGTGGTGTTGATGGGCTCGAGGCCACCGTCGAAGAAGGTCACGGTCCGCCGCGGGAAGTCGAAGCCGAACCGGTTCGGCCCGCCGCCCAGACTCCACTCGTACCAGAAGTTGCACACCAGCAGGAGGTAGTGACTGACCCCCAGGGATTGGATTTCGGAGAGCACTGTGTCGCGCCGGGTAGAGAGGTTGCTGTCGCGGCAGATGGATTCGTGGGCGGGATCGTGGCCCCACCAGTTCGGTTGGACGTAAGGCACCCCGGCTTGCGCGGCGGCGCGGATCAGGTGGAGGATGGTGGTGGGCGGGGCTTGGTGGCTCATGGTGATGATTAGGGCTTGTTGAGTCCGGAGGGTATCAATGAGAGCACTGATCTTCGTCGGATCCGTGTAGTCGACCCGGGCGATGTGGACCCCTTCGGGAAGGGGGGAGCGGCTGTTGGGTCGCGATATGGCGGTTACCGTGTGTTGCCCATGCAGAAGGAGTTGTTCGGTAATGTGTTTGCCCACGGATCCACCAGCCTTTGAAATCTGTCAGTATATTCGGGGGAGATTGTGGAGTGGAGGCGAGAATGGGGAAGGGAGACATACCCCGACAATGGCCACCCGTTCAATCCGGTTTGTGAACCCCGGAGGCTGGTCTCTCGCGTACCCAGTGGCCATTGTACGTGAGAATCGAGGAGGAAAATATTTGGGGGTCCTACGACAAGCAATAGACCAAAGCATGAGGGAGTTGGTCGTCACGCAACACGGAAACCGCGCTCAATAGAGTCGATATTTATAACTGTGTCAGAGAGGTCTGATGATCTGCAATCTACATCTGACACCACCGTACATCACCTTATGTGGAGTTAAGCGGAAGGAGTTTAGGGTTATCTCCGAAGCTAATGGGATTCAAGAGAAGATCGCTGTTTCCAGGTTTGCTCATGATATCCTACTGTTGATCACTCTTCTCCAACTCGCCTCAGAACCTGCTCTACCAACGACGCAATCTTAGTTGACACCCCTGTCGTCCGGGGAATATCATGGCCCCCACCGTGGTCATACTCCACTCGATCCGGACAGAACTCGGCTAACTGGATCCCCGCCGGCCAACGGGGATCCTTCGACCCGTAGATATGCACGGTCGGAATCCGGATGGTGGCCCAAGCGGGGAACTGCGTAAAGTCGAGGCCGAAGACGTCCTGGCGATCGGGCCGGCGGGCGGGATCGCGGACCAGGAGGTCTGGGCTCTCGACGAGATGATCCCAGAGACCCACACCGCGCTGGATCTGCTTGGGGTCCGCGGCGAATGTGGACAGTCGCCCGGCAGTGGCTTGCAGGAGGGCGCCGGTCGACCGGTTGATCTCGTGTGCGCGAGGGGAGACCGGAAGCCCCAAGTCGGCCAGCGCGGGGAGCGGGACCCCTCCGCAGATGAAGATGGCAGCGCGGAAGGGGAGTGGCTCAATGGGAGGGCTATTGTGGGCGTGGTAGAGGGCTAGAGTGCTGGCGAGTGCGCAGCCTTGCGAGAAGCAGCACACTGCCTCGTATGGTCCATGCTCGCGCGTGTATGTGATTACCCAGTCATGGGCGGCGCATATGGCCTCTGGAGTTGGGTGGGTGTACCAGGTGTAAGTGGTGGAGTTACGAAATATCGCCTCGATCCCAGGTGCGCCTGGGCTGGGGTGGGGGGCGTTGACAAAGTCGAAGCTGTAGTCGGGTCCAAGTTTGGCACGGAATGATGCTGTGGTAGGGTGTTTAGTCAGGGTTTGGCAGTGAAAGGGGATGGCCACTGATTAAATGTCTTACCAGTCTGTGCCTGGAAGATGTCGGCACTCGTTCCATGCCCGTGTAGACACAAAATCCTGCGCATGATTGAGGTGGAGGGAAGGGGGAAATGCAATGCTTTCACAGTGAAAGAGCAGACAGGGAGAAGAATAGGGCTGCATTACTATACAGTGAAAGTATGAAGCCGGTGCTGTACGGATGAATGCGGGTTTCCCTGCAACAAACCCGATCGGCCCCCGATGAGAGAGGGATTACCCGAATTAAGCAGATTCCCGGCCTACTTTAAACCCATTTTATAGACTCGCACACAGCTTGGACTGAAACTGAGAGCGAAATCGAAGAAAGGAGCCCGTATCATTGATATCATTTAACTTTTCCACAATGACTCCCAAACCAACCGCCCAAACGATTGTGTTGACTCCCGAAACCACTCCTGGCCATGTCCATGCCCCGAATCTGACATCCGAGTCTGCCACTCTCACTTCCCAGCTCCTCACACTCAACCACAAGTTGTACCATACACGATGGCAGGATACATTCCACAGTATGCCCTTGAGGAGGGTGGTATCCAAATTATCATATTGAGGCTAATGCGCATGAAGACCATCTCACTCACCATCTCCTCGCCCTTTGGTCCTTAGGAGCCACTCCCGCCGAGATCCAAGACATGTGGGAGTACAACAAGGGCTACCAGGGTCCCATTGAGAAACAGCCCTCGACCGATGCTGGGTCGGGACTGAATCTGAAAGACCCCGCCGTCTTCGCCCAGTGCCTTGGCGACGATGATCGGTACCTCGACTTTCTACGGTTCTTCGAGGAGGAAATCCACACCAAAGGCATGGAAACTGTCGTGATAGAATATCTCTTCCAAGGGGATGAGCGGGCCGACGATATCCTCGGGCGCATGTTCACCGGTTCGAGAACTCTTTAATCATGTTTACTGATCACCACTTTCCTGTTTCTGACCACAACACCACAGACCTCGTCCACCCCATCATTCACCTGGGCTGTGGGATTGAATTCCAGCAACCCGCCCTGGTCGCCGAAGCGCTCGCAGGGGCCTGCGTCCACGTCAACTGGCCGAAAACCTTCCTCCTCGCCACCGAAGCCCACGTCCAAGAGTCCGCCGCCAACTCCAGGCCCATTCCCTCGCGCTCCCTTCTCGAGGTCCTCGAAACCCTCCGCAACGACCCCATCATCGGAAATGGGGTGAAGGCCAACGATCCCTTCAACAAGATCCCCGACGGGTTCCTCCAGCGCGTCTCCGCCGCGCAGCTCGCCCCCCACCTGGGACAGTTCCAGGTCCCGCGCGACGACGCGGCGGAGCTTCACCGCAAAGCCGCGCAGATGATGTACACGACGGCGTACATGCTCGGGGCAGCGCAGCAGCCCGGCAAGCACGAGGCCCTGGACTTTGTGACGTTGCACTGCGTCACGCTGGCCGTCTTCTTCCCCGCCTTCCTGGCGCAGGACTGGTTGGCGAACGCCCACAAGGCCCGACTCCTCGAAGCGACCGCCCGGGTCGCCGCCGTCATGTACGCTGGCTGCGCGTGTCCGCCGCTGTATCCCGAGCGTATCCGGACGTATGTTCCCCGGCACCCGGCGGATGGCTGGCCGGAACTGTTTCATCGAGCAGTCGTGTATCGCGACGAAGGTCATGCGGCAAAGCTCATCCGGGCGCTGTACAGCCTAGAAGCGTTGGAGCACCCGCCCCCGGCGGACTTCCCGGTAACTCGAGAGGATTTTCGGCGGGTGGCGCATCTGGCGATGGACTCGATCGAGCGGGCCATGGATGAGAAGGAGGGGAATCGGTTGCCTGAGCAGGTGGCGCGCGGCGTGGTGCAACGAATGGGTCCCGCCGGCGAGATGGTCGTAGGGAATATGACGCGCTGGTTGTTCTACGGCGGATTGCCCGGGGCGTGGGATAAGGTGCCCGCGAGTAGAAAGGGGATGGATCTGGCTCAGGTTTAGTATTAAGGAGAGAAAGAATATGATTGATTGTTATGTCTTGAGTTTGACCCTTCACCGGGTTTCTCTCTGTGTTGGGGTGGTGGTCGTGTTGATTGCGGGTATCGCTCTAGAATATATTTTCGGTACAACTAGATGCCCTCTTTGAAGGGCTTAACACGAATTACTCGATGCTTTAGATAGTTGACTACTTTGAAGTGTTTTCTCAGTCCAGCGATCAGATACATACTCACTTATATCAGATAGCAAGAGAAATACTCAACATAATCAACTACCGTTACTTCTTAAGTAATTCTTCCTTAAATTTAGTTAATCTATAACTATTAATATTTATTTCTAATTTTGCAGCATAGCCTTGAAGCTGAGAATATAAGTTAGATTTAAAAGACCTCAGCAGCTGAATTTTTTCTCGATTTTCTGATCTATATATACCGAAATAGCTATTTGAATATATGCATCTTTGGAAGGAGGCATTTCCTCATAAAATTAATAATTAACATGTTAATGAAGGTTGCTTAGAATATTTCAGTGGTGGGGCGGGAAAAATTCGCAACTTGTGGTTGATTAGAGGTTGTCGGCCATGACAATCGTTTGTACTGTACAGTACAATAACCTTCTTGAAAAGCGGTCTGCCCAGCGGTCGGGATTTTGCAGCTTCAATTTCCCAGCCCTAATCCATTGATTACTTCTCGATGTCTGATCGTGCAGCGCCAGGGAAAGTCCTAAATAAGACAAATGGCAGAAGAAACAAAACAAAAGAGGTGATGAGAAGCTTTGCTTGCCAAAATCCACTCGAATTTCAAGCCTGATTGTCGCGAGAAATCCATCAGGGGGCCCGAGTGTCCAGCCAAGAAGGCTTTCAGCCTTGTGAAAGCTACTTGATCTCCCCACCACAAGGCAAGAAAGCTTGATGATAATGAAGCGTGTGCCAAGCTCGATCAACAAAATTTACTGTACAGGACAGGAGAAATAAATACTGTGATAGACAAGCGTCTGCGTATCGGGATTCTAAAACCCAATTTGATTGGCGGAAGGTTGCATGTTGTATTGTTTCTCCCCGACACCCACGGAGTTCCCGACACGCTAACAATGCGAAAAGATGGCTTTGAACAGTGTGATCCCTGAGAACGAAAGCCACTGCTGCCAGCTGGTGTGATGTGCGAGCTCGTCTGCCCGATTAACCCCTAACTCCGGAGACGCCAGACCGATCAATGCTGTACTAAAGGTCGAGAAATCCAGGCTATTGGGATGTTGGCTTCCTGCGCGACTCTCTCTACTACCCCTTTTGCCATAGTACACACATCAACGCCTCCCATGACGGCCGACATCGAAAAGGCAACTGGGACGGGCGTCACCCACACCAGCGTGGACAAGACCGACTCGAGCAGTAGTGGACAGAGTGCGACGGAACCGGAGATGGAGAAAGAGCAGGAGAAGCAGAAGCAGACTGCTGCTGCTGCTGCTATTGCTGCTACAGCTGCTGGAGACGCCGGTCCGGTTAGAGTGCTGCGGGGTCAGCGGCGAGGGCTGTTCGGGCGCTTCGCCCTAATCCCTGAAGTCACCGATCCACGCAGTTACGGCAACAGTACCAAATGGTTAATGACGGTCATTGTTAGTTTCGCTGCCATCACCTCGTCGACTGGTTCCTCAATTTTCTACCGTAAGGTTCTTTTTTGTTTCGTTGTGCTGCTAAAAATGTCACCTGCTTGTGATACTAACCGGAATGCCCTCCCAATTTAGCCGCCCTGGCGGAAGTGGCGGTGGATCTCCACACCACCGCGACTGTTGCAAACTTGTCTCTGGCTTTCTACATGCTAGCCATGGCGTTCACGCCAATGTGGTGGTATGATTCCTTCATTTTTCCCGGACTGTTGTTCTGGATACTGACTGGACAAAACGCTACAGGTCAGCCCTCTCCGAGAAACACGGGCGACGGACCATCTACATCCTGTCCTTCACCCTCTTCCTGGTCTTCTCATGCATCAGCGCGGTCAGCGTTAACATCGTTATGTTGATCGTCTTCCGGATCCTCAGCGGCGGGGCGGCTGCCTCCGTGCAATCAGTTGGGGCGGGAACGGTGGCAGACATCTGGGATCCCAAAGTGCGCGGCAAAGCCATGGGCATTTTCTACTTGGGGCCCCTATGTGGACCGGGGTTGGCCCCGGTGATCGGAGGCGCATTAACGCAGGGCTTCCACTGGCGCAGCACACTCTGGTTCCTGACCATCTTCGGCGGGGTCATGTGGATTCTCATCTTTCTGTGCTTACCGGAAACCGTCGCGCGACGCCCAGCTCGCCCCGACAATTCCCCCGAGGGCAGCAGCCCCAACCCGCTCATCCTACTCGTCAAACGCATCTTCGGTCCTCTCCGTATCCTCGCCCTCCTCCGCCACCCCCCGATCATCGTGGCGGTGTGGTCCGGCTCCATCGCCTTCTGCACGATGTTTGTGCTGAATGTCGCCATCCAAGCCACCTTTGACAAGGCCCCCTACAACTTCAGCATCGTGGAGGTCGGCCTCGTCTACCTGGCGCCGACCATCGGCTACGGATTCTCCTCCATCCTGGGAGGGCGCTGGATCGACCGGATCATGGCGCGGGAAGCACGCAAAGCCAACCGAGTCGACGCGGATGGGAAACTGACGTATCTGCCGGAGGACCGGATGAAGGAGAACATCTGGCTGGCAAGCACCATCTACCCGGCGGCATTCATCTGGTTCGGGTGGTCGCTGGACAAAGGGCTGCATTGGGCGGTGGTCTGCGTGGCGTGTATCGTGTTTGGACTGGCGATGATGCTGGTCATGGGGACGGTGACCACTGTGCTCACCGAATTCACCCCGCAGCGGTCGAGTAGCGGAGTGGCGTTGGGCAACTTCGTGCGCAACGTGCTTTCATGTACTGGAGCGGTGGTCACGCAGCCCATGATCAATGCCCTGGGGGTCGGGTGGTCCTGTACTCTCATCGGGTTGGTGGCGTTCGTGACGGGGAACGCGGCCATCTTCGCGCTGAAGACCTGGGGTCCCCGGTGGAGGGTGCTCATGGATCAGAAGTTGAATCAGAAGACTTAAATGTTTTGGATGGCTGGATCGGGGGAGGAATTGAGTAGGCGTGTCAAGAGAGGGGCTGTGGGACATGGGGGGTAGGATAAAAATTGTATATCGAAGTGAAGGGTCTTTGAGTCAACGAGCTGACCACGAGCTGACCACGACGGTAACCTCGGCCCACGATGGAGAGCGTGTCGATAGCCAAGCTCTTTACTCCTAGCTCTGCCATCTACATGCGGAACGTCTTATCGTTATTTGCTGAAATAGCTTCGTGGCTTACCGAGAGAAGGAATTGATCAAGGTGTGGACTGACTGGGAATTACCTCGGTAGAAAGGCATAGCCTATCGAGATATCAACCATCAGTGATTGGCTCGGGGCCTATAGCTTCAGATCGAGGTAACTTGATGGTAGGTGCAATAAAGGTACACGTGGGTCTTGCAATAATGACTACAGCTGGGAGAGTCGAGGAACGCGCGGCACGGGAATAGGGGCAAAATTACCGCCCTTTGTATTGCAACCGATCAGCGGGCGGAACTTGAAACATGTCCGGTCAGCGATAAAGCCTCATGGCTATTGGTTACACCGTAGATCGGATAAGCAAAAGACATTTTGTCTGCGGCCGAGTGGAAGTTCTTCCCAGATGTTCTACAATACATAGGCGAAAACACATAACCGATGTTATTAGAGGCATCGCGTTCATTAGAGCATTCATCCGAAGAAATAATGCTATTCCAAGTGCGATTACGGCGCCGTTTTCGGCAAAAAGCACGCCGTTCTTTAGCATTCTGTTTTCTCAAGGGTATCCTCTTTCCAGCTTTCTATTTTCGTAGTTTATAAGAGCGTAGATTCCGTCCAATTGTACTCTGCGAGACCTCAGTACCTGTACGGGCACCTGTTGCAGAAATACGAGCTTTCCAAACTCATTTTGACGATTGGCGAACCATTAAATAGATATATCGTCTGACAGATCGACTCAGCTTTGGAGGTCTTCCATTTCGAGGCAGAGATTTAACTTGGTGGTGGAGTTGAAAGCGTTCCTTTGTACGATAAATTGTTGAATGCGAGACACCAAATAGGCGAGCCAGTTGAGTTGACGAGTGCTTCAGCTCAAGCCCATAAAGATTAGCTGAGCGAGCTTCTGGTGATAGGTCTTCTTTAAAGGCGCGATTTACACTAATTTCGGCGCCGAAAGACCTCGTATTAATGGTGTGATGGGTGTTGGAAGATCGTGAGTCCTTTTTGACGCGTCGGGTTAAATTAGATTGTATCTATGATCGATTTCGGATTGAGATTTGTGAGATCGCATAACGATGCTTGAGCGAAACAAGAAAAGAGGGGAAGCTCGGCGGATTGTTGGTGCTAGTGCAGTAGTGTTAACTTATTTTGACTGAGACACGGTGGGAGTCCCTGATCTTATCACATAGTCGCCGCTGTTGCTATCGCTGTCACTGTCACAACATAATAGAATTTAATTAGATGGGCACTCGTCAGCTCTTCTACCAGACGATAACCAAGCCTAAAGCGAGGGTCTTAGGGCGGATGCCCTGATGCCGAGAAGGCTTTGTCTGACCGCAATTGACTCTGTAAAAGTGCAAACAATGCCGAGCCTGACTCCATTCGCACCTCTGGGGGATCCCCTCCATCCTGCCGCCCCTCCCAAGCTCTGGACAACTCCTTTAGGGATAGTCTCGGATGTAGGGGGGGAAGAATAGAATCCTGATGTTGATGCCCTGTGTCCTCAGGGAGAATCCTTCGTGTCAGCACAATGAAAGGAATCCAAAGCCTTCCGTATGGGGGCGTATATAAAGCACAGACCCTCCCGTTGTATACCGCAGAATGTCATCTTCCGCGACATCTCCAAACAGTGCAATTCAGAATCAGAGCAGACGGAAAATGAGTCAAGTACCCCGCCAGTCGAAACTACGATCCAGTTGTGACCAATGCGGGACAGCCAAGGTCAAGTGTGATCGGGCCCAACCCGAATGCAGTCGCTGCATCTCCCATGGCATGCAGTGCGTCTATGGGGTGTCCCGCAAGATGGGAAAACCCCCACGTCGGGCAAACCTCTTCCCCTCCACCACCGGGGCAACACCTCAGATGGGGGATAGTGGCAGTAACTGTGATGCGGGGCGCACTCTGCTGGACGTCGAGATCTTCGCCGACCCGGCCTGTGACGCTCTGAACACTGCCTTGGACAATGCACTGGACGATCGCCAACCCCTCAACCATTCCAACCACCCCACTTCAGAGAACCTATTTGATCACCAGGGGTCGATCGAGAGCTTCTATCAAGACCTTCCTGGCGCATTCCTCTCTTCCATTCCATCCCTCGACATGGAGGGTTGGTTAGCTGCAGCGGATGCTCCCTTCAGCAGTGAGTCGCCGTGGGATGAGCTCCCGGAAGTGACACCATCGCTGCCAATCGACCGCGGCCACAACTGCTCTCGCGAAGCCCATAGCATTTTCCATAGTCTTTCCAGCCTAGGAACCAAGGAGGCCACGTCCCCAATGCCAGACACTCCGGGGGGTGGGGGACAAGTGCCGTTGGACCTGGTCTTGCGTCTCAGCCGTGAAGCCGCGGCGCGTCTTGTTCCATTTCTCTCCTGTGCGTGTGCCCGTTCGCCACACCTGGCCCTCCTCTACGCGGCCATCATCGCGCGCATCTTGGCCTGGTATCAGCGCGCAGCTGGCTATTCCCCACGCGCCTCCCCCCCCGCCTCAAGCAGTGCCAGCTCTCGAAGAAGCCCCTTAACTCCGTTCTCGAATGTGACCATGGCTCCCGCGCGCATCGCCATCGGCACATTCAGCGTAGATGACTCGCAGCTGGAGACCGCGGTGAAGATGCAACTACTGTCGGGCGAGCTAAAGCGACTGGGGGCGCTGATTGATCAGTTCACACTCCAGGATCCAGGCCGGCAGTGTCAGAATGAAGAGGATCCCTTTGGCGATGCGGACAGCCTCTACCGCTGTTTGCAAATGTGGTTGAAACAGGACTATGCTCGAGTCAAGAGTCTACTGCGATATGAATTACAAGAGCTGAATACATGATGAATACATGGACACACACAGACACGTACGTACGGGATTATTGGCAGACCAAAGCATGTTTCTCCTGGTTTTGATCCCCTATGGAGTTCCACGTGGTCCGAACACTATCGAACTTGGCTGGTACCCATTGCTCGATTGCACATGCACACACACCGTCAAGACATCGGTCCCTACCCATCCAACAACAGAAAGACGGCTCACAATACTACCCCATTCACGTCAACCGCCATGCCGCGCAGCTCGTACCCCTTCTCCTGTGCCACCGCCCACTGCTCCTTGATAATGGCCAGCGTCTTCTCTGTTCGCGGCACAAACCGCGCAGCGAAGGGCTTGGGGATGGTAAAGCCCCCATCCGGATAGGCTTTATCACTCAAATCCATCGCCTCCTCCTTCCCATTCACCAACGGCGGTCGGATCTCAAACGCCCACAGCATTGCCGCCAGTGCAATCATCAGCGAGTTTTCCGCCAGCCTGGCGCCGGGACACGTCCGTCGACCCGTGCTGAAGGTGAAATGATCGCGTTTGTACGGGTCGCCCAGCACGGCATATTCAGAACTATACAGCGGATGGTCCAGGTACCGCTCCGGGCGAAACTCAAACGGCCGGTCGAAGCGCTCGGGATCGTAGTGCAAAAACGCGGTGTTGGCCACCAGCACGGTCCCCTTGGGAATCACATGTCCTTTGTAGACGACATCCTGGTCAGCGTAATGGCGGATCCCTGGCGCCAGGATCGGGTTCATGCGCAGGATCTCCTTCACGCAGGCGCGGATATAGGGCAGCTGCACGTGATCCGCAAAGACGGGGGCTCGTGTATCGCCGGCCACACGCTGCAGCTCTGCATATGCCCGCTCTTGCACCTCGGGGTGCGCCGCCAGCTGCAGGACAAGACTGTTGAGAGTGGCGGCGGTCGTCTCAAACCCAGCCTCGACGACTGCACCCGCCACCCACGCCAGATCCTCCTCTGTCAGCCCTTGAGCAAACCACGCCTCCTTCTGCTCTAAGACTGTCCGCGCGAAGCAATGGGGGGCCGCTCCCGCCGCGTGCTGCTTCTCGATCCGCCGCCACAGGCCCATCTTGATCTCTCGGACCTCCGCTGCGGCAGCCAGTGCCCGGTTCCGGCCGGGTTGGAGCCAGGTGGGCAACCAGGCTAACGGCGGGATCTCGTCGACGAGAAATGCCCCGGGGCGCGACGTCGCGCGAAGGATCGCCTGGCTACGGATGGCGTTGCGTGCGTCCGGGTGATCCCAGCCTTGGACGCGCGTGCCAAAGGCGTTGGTCATGATGATGCTGAAGGCGTAGCGACGCAGATGCTGGTAGAAGCTGCGCTGGTCGGTGTTGTGGATAGCCAGATCATGGAGGAGTTGCTTCGCTTCGAATTCCTGAGTCGGTATGAAGGTCGTCGTCATGGGGACGGTGGTCAGTTGGCGGACCACGCTCCGTTGCGCGCGCCAGTGGGGTCCGTACGGCATCGTGGGCATTCTCCGGCCGGCGGTTACAATGTCATGGCCCATAGGGGAGGGGGCTTTGGAGGAGGTGTGCACGGCCTGTTTCTCCAGCACCTCGCGCACCGCCTCCGGTGTGTTCAGGACCACCCAATTGTACCAGCCCACCCGGAGGCGGAAGACTTCACCATACTGCTGCGCCCATTGACGAAAGAGAGCAGGAGAGCCAGGTGGGAGTTTGTAGCCCAGGCCGATGAGGGGGTAGCCCGGGGGTCCGCTTATGGTGTGGAGACGTCTGTCGCGGTAGAGGTAGTGGAAAAGGAGGGTTGTGAAACTGACGAGGGTGAGAAGGAAGGGGATGCGGTGGGCGTGATAGAAGGCGATGAGGGCGTCCATTTTGGGGCAAAGAGAGTTGGTCTTGCCGGGGGGGAGGGGAGGGGTCGGTACTCAATCGGGGTGTGATTTTATATCCTGCTGGTGGATCTCTATCACAAATCCTGTAGACCCGAATCGGTAACCTTCGGGGTGTTCACGGGTTACAATCGGGTTTCATAAGCCCGGGTTTCAATCAGAATCAGTATCAGACCGTCTATCTAATTGTTCTCCCGACAACTCTTGTACTGTAAGGTACTTAATCTCAACCCTGACTCCCTGCCGCTCCCCCTTCCCCCCTCCCCCTCCTCCCCGCTCGTGGCACGTACTTCATACATGCATATTATTCCCTTAATCGTCTTATATCACAGCAACCAGACACAACAACAATCATATCTCAAGCAACATGGGCAGCCTTCCTTCTCCTATTCCCGTCGTCATCATTGGGGGTGGCCCCGTCGGCCTCTGTCTGGCCCTCGATCTCGGTCGGCGTGGCATCCACTCCACGCTGATCGAGCGGCAACCCGGCACGGCCACAGAGCTCCAAGCCAAGGCCAGCGTCATTGACGAGCGAACAATGGAATTCTGTCGCCTCCTGGGTGTTCGCGACGGGATTGCCCACGCGGGCTATCCGGCCGACTTGCCTGGCGACACGGTCTTCTGCACCGCTCTATCCGGGGGCCACTACATCGGCCGCCTCTCCATGGACTCAGCTCAGACCCGCGTCCGTCCTCCCCAGGCTGCGGAAATGCTGCGTCGCTGCCCACAGATCTGGTTCGACCCGGTGTTCGCAGACGCGGTGGCGAAACAGGGCATGACGGAGGTGCGGTACTCGACAGAGCTTGTGGAGTGCATCCAGCATGAAGAGGCCGGGTATGTGCTCTGTCGCGTCCGCAATCTCGCCGACGGGAGCACGGAGGAGCTCCGCGCGCAGTACGTCGTTGCATGCGACGGTGCGGGAAGCGAAGTGCGCCGAAGCCTGGGAATCGCTTTCGAAGGCAAGGATCTCGGATACGCGATTAGTGCGATCGTCCGCGTGGATCTGGCCCGACATCACACTTTCACCCCGGGAGCAGAACGCTTCCTGTTCCTCGGGCCGGAGGGCACGTGGGGGAACTTCACCACAATCGATGGCCGCACCCTCTGGCGGTTTTCCATTGTCGGCGGCAAAGAAAAACGAGATCTGAAGACGTTGGATATGGACTCGTTGTTATGCAAGGCGTTCGGGGAGGATGCGGGCAAGGTGGAGTATGAGATCCTGCAGGTCGTGCAGTGGCGCCGGAGTCAGTGTACCGCGGACCGATATCATGCGGGGAGAATCTTCCTGGCCGGGGATGCGGCCCATACAATGTCGCCCACGGGCGGGCATGGGCTGAATACCGGGATTGGGGACGCGATGACGCTGAGTTGGATGCTGCAGGCGATGTTGGAAGGGTGGGGCGGGGCGGGGTTAGCGGAGGCGTATACGGCGGAGCGGAGACCCGTGGCTCAGCGGAATGGAGCGGGATCCACCCGCAACTTTGCCATTTGGACAGATAAAGCTGGCAGGGATCGAGTGTTGGAGGATGGGGTGGAGGCAGATGAGCAGCGAAAGGTGCTCGGGCAGAGTATGGCGGCCAGTATGCGCCAGGAGTTCCAGTCGCTGGGGTTGGCTTTGGGGTATGATTACGCTCAGTCCCCGCTGGTGGTTGGGGACGGGTCTGCCCCTCCGCCGAATGAACCGGATGTGTATATTCCCTCTGCGCGGCCTGGCCATCGGGCGCCTCACCACTGGCTCGCCGAGGACAAGTCAACCCTGGATCTTTTTGGTGGTGGGTTCGTCTTGCTGCGCTTGGGGTCGGAGGTAGAGAGAGATGAGGAGATCACGGAGGTGGCGGAGAAAATTCACCTGCCGTTGGAAATTGTGACCCTCAGAGATCCGGAGGTAATTAGGATCTATGAAAGGCGCTTGGTCCTGGTGCGGCCAGATGGCATGGTCGCCTGGCGTGGTGATGAGCTCCCTGAGAACCTCAACACTTTGCTGGATTCTGTACGCGGAGCTGCCACAGCTGTCAAGTCTCTCGACTGCCCTTCTACAGAGTAGTATCCAGAGGTGTTTTCCCAATATGATAGATGCCCTGTCTACGTTGCTAGAGTCCACTGTTCTCTCCATATTATCCACACAGCTAAAGTTCTTTCCTAAATACATCGTAGTGAATGACCAAAACTCTAAATGAAGAATGAATATCTCAACCGGTAGCTATTGCACCTCAGGGTTACTCATTGTATAGAACGGGCAGAATAAAATGACTATACATGTTGGACTTGACATTTTCCAGCTTCCTACCTCCAGGGCCAGACAATTCAAGGCTATGTTACTACGCAGTCGACGCCGTCCGAGGTTTCAAGCACGGGGATTCATTCGAGGCAAGATAAGAAGTTACTTGTTTGAAATGCCCATTTGTCCAAGTATTGCGACATTCCCCTCCCCATCATCCGAGTATAAACCCCTCCTCGCAGGATTCCCGATGTAAGTACCCGAAGCATTCAGCGATACTGCTCGGGAAGCGAAGGAGCTGCTTACCCTCACCACTCTATCCGTTCCCTCCACGGGCTCACTCTCAGGTATCTAGACGGACCAAGGAAAATATCAGCATAAGCGTAGAGTGGGTTCTTAAAATGGTTGACATCGTCATGCAACATTTTTCCTTTCTTCTTCAGACACATCCATCTCCAAACTCACAGAGCCTCCAGCCCCGAGACAAAATGACGAACCACGTGCAACTTTACGTCTTCGGCGACCAAACTTTCCAACTCCAGCCCCATCTCAAGCATTTGCTGCGTGGGCGCAGCAATCCTATCCTCGCTGACTTTCTTGACAAAGCCTACCAGGCGGTGCGTGCAGAGCTATACCGTCTCCCAACCACAACCCGTGAGGATCTCCCTCGCTTCAGCAGCTTGGAGGACTTGGTTCTCTGGGATCAGAATGGGCCACGATGCGTCCCACTCGACATGGCCCTGACATGTTTGTACCAGCTGGGGACATTCATCGATCAAACCGCTCCGGAAGACTTCAACGCCAGCACATCCCGCGTGCTTGGGCTCTGCACGGGTGCCCTGGCGGCAGCCGCTGTGAGCTGCAGTCGCAGCACGTCAGAGCTGGTGCCTTTGGCGGTTAAGGCTGTCATTGCAGCTTTCCACACGGGACTAGTGGTTGCTGATGTGACACAGCGGATTGGACCTTCATGCGAGGCAGACCAGAGCTGGTCGATGATTGTGCCTGGCTTACATGCCGCGGAAGGGGTTGAAGAATTTCGTCGCAACTCGGTATGCTTTGCTGCCGGCAGGTCGTGTTATCACAGTGACTGACTTGCCATAGACCCTTCCCTTGACCAGCCAGCCCTACGTGAGTGCCTACGCACCGAATGGCATAACTGTCAGCGGAACACCGTCCGTGCTCGCTCAGCTGCGTGCATCGGAACCGTTTACAGGTCTCCGCTTCAAGGGCATCCCGATCTATGGGCCATACCATGCACCACACCTCTACGCCCCCGCTGACATACACAGCATCATCAATGAGCTACCCTCAGATAGCATGGGGGTGACTGCACAGCTGCCTTCGCTGGGGGGGTCTAGGGATCCCTCCGGGGATGTAACAACTTTTTCAGCTCGTCTGGAAGAGGCCATTGAGCAGATCCTTTTGCACCCCATCCGCTGGGCGAGAATTCTCGACGAGCTGCAGGCCTCTTTGCAGCACAGTGCACCAGATTCATTCCGTGTCGTCTCCATAGGCTCAACGGCGGATCAACTGATCTACACGGCTCTTAAGCAGACGCCACTTCGTTCGCTGGTCCCTTCTACCCAGACACCCAGCAGCACAGCGACACTGGCATTATCACCACCCCCTTCGGCCTCAAGTGGACGGCCCAAGCTTGCTATCATCGCCATGTCCGGGCGCTACCCCAACGCACAAGATAACGAGGCCTTCTGGTCCCTCCTCCACCAAGGACTGGACGTACACAAACCGGTGCCCGAGCTCCACTGGTCAGCTGACACCCACGTCGATCCCAGTGGCAAGCGTAAGAACACCAGCGCCACTCCCTACGGCTGCTGGCTGGACGATCCCGCCGCCTTCGATGCACGCTTCTTCAATATCTCCCCACGTGAGGCACCCCAGATCGATCCAGCCCAGCGTCTGGCCCTAATGACCGCATACGAGGCGATCGAGCAAGCCGGTCTCGTCCCTGACGCGACACCATCCACCCGACGCGACCGTGTCGGTGTTTTCTACGGGGTCACCAGCAACGACTGGATGGAGACCAACAGCGCGCAGAACATCGACACCTATTTCATTCCCGGTGGCAACCGTGCCTTCATTCCTGGCCGCATTAACTATTACTTCAAATTCAGCGGCCCCAGTTACGCAGTTGATACCGCGTGCTCGTCTAGTCTGGCGGGTATCCATCTGGCGTGCAACTCGCTCTGGCGTGGGGACATCGACACTGCTATTGCCGGCGGCACCAATGTGCTGACGAACCCGGACTTCACCGCGGGTTTGGACCGTGGACACTTCTTGTCACGCACGGGCAACTGCAAGACATTCGATGATGAAGCCGACGGATATTGCCGTGGGGAGGGAGTGGGCACGGTGATTATCAAGCGGCTGGAGGATGCACTCGCAGAGAAAGACCCGATCTTGGGGCTCATTCTCGGGGCGGCGACGAATCACTCCGCCGAGTCCGAGTCTATCACTCGCCCACATTCCGGGGCTCAGCGCGCCATCTTCAACAAGATTCTTAACCAGGGCGCTGTGGATCCCTACACCGTGAGCTATGTGGAGATGCATGGAACGTAAGTCACCCCTCTTTTCATTTGATTGTTGGAGCTGCAGTCACTGATGGGATCTACGTGACGATATAGGGGAACCCAAGCCGGTGATGCTGGAGAAATGACCAGTGTTCTCGGTGCCTTTGCGCCCCCGTTAGACGAGGGCAAGGCCGCTCGCGGCAACGACCAACCACTCTACCTGGGTTCAGCCAAGGCCAATATCGGCCACGGCGAGGCTGCGTCGGGGGTAACCGGTCTGATCAAGGTCCTCCTGATGATGCAGCAAGACACCATCGTGCCTCACTGCGGTATCAAGACTCGAGTCAACCGCAAGTTCCCGATGGACTTGGCCCAGCGCAATGTCAACATCGCGATGGTCCCCACGCCGTGGCCCCGGACTGCGACGCCCCGTCGCGCCTTCGTCAACAACTTCAGCGCGGCAGGCGGCAACTCCGCCCTACTGCTGGAAGATGCTCCCGCCGTGTCGAGACCCGATGGCGTCGATCCGCGTAGCCTGCATCTCGTGGCCGTCTCGGCCAAGGCGGGAATCTCATTGCAGGGTAATCTCCGAGCACTGCTGGCAGTGCTGCAGAAGAACCCCTCCCTGCCGCTAAGCCAGCTGTCGTACACCACCACCGCCCGCCGCATCCACCACGCGCATCGGGCGATGTTGGTTGGCGCAAGCACAGCGGACATCTGCACGCAGATTGAAGCGGCGCTCCGCGACAACACCGGGATGACTCGGGCGAAGACTGCCGCGAAGGTGGTTTTCGCGTTCACGGGACAAGGGGCGCAGTACCCCGGGATGGGACGCGAGCTGTGGGAGCATTTCGGACTGTTCCGCAAAGAGCTGGGCCAGCTTGATCGCCTGTCACAGAGTCTGGGCTTTCCCTCGGTCCTCCCAGTCATCCTGTCCCAAGGCGAGGCGAACATCGGGGCATTTGCTCCTACAGAAGTGCAGCTGGCCAATGTCTGTCTACAGATCGCTTTGAGCCGGCTGTGGGCTTCGTGGGGTCTCATGCCCACTGCGGTGGTGGGCCACAGTCTGGGCGAGTACGCTGCGCTGAATGTTGCGGGCGTGCTCTCCGATGCAGACACGATTTATCTCGTGGGTAAACGTGCCCAACTGCTGGAGTCCAAGTGCACGCGGGACACCCACGCTATGCTGGTGGTGAAGGCATCGGTTGCGGAGATTGCCCAGGCGCTGCCGAATGCGAGCTACGAGATCACTTGCATCAACTCGCCCGTCGAGACCGTGTTGGGCGGCTCCGTTGAAGCTGTGGCGGCCCTCAAGGAGCAACTGACAGCCACTGGACTGCCCTCGACCACCCTCAAGGTTCCGTACGCCTTCCATTCGTCGCAAGTCGACCCAATTCTACCCCAGTTCACCCGCGTGGCCCAAGCGGTCACCTTCGCATCTCCTCGCATCCCGGTCATCCGGCCGCTGGACGGCCAGGTCAATTCCGATGGCCCCTTCAGCGCGGAATACCTGACAGCACATGCTCGCGAGCCCGTGAACATGCTCCAAGCCCTCCAAACCGCCTCGCAGGCAGGTGTTCTTAATGACCAAAGCATCGTTCTTGAGATCGGGCCCCATCCTGCCATCTCCGGGATGGTGCGCGCGGTGCTTGGTAGTCAGATGACGACCCTCGCCTCCGTCCAGCGAGCACGCTCAATTTGGCAAACCCTGACCAACTCTTTGAAGACCCTCTACCATGCTGGGGCCGATATCCGCTGGGCCGCATACCAGCAGGACTTCCCCGTCTCACACGTCGTGCTCCCCCTACCGAACTACCGCTGGGACCTCAAGCCGTATTGGCTACAGTACGTGAATGACTGGTCGCTGCGCAAGGGTGATCCTCCGTTGATCGTCAACGGCGGACCACGCCTGGAGAGTACGACGATCCACCGCGTGCTTCACGAGACGGGGGGCGACGCGCAGAAGACGAAGCTTGTTGTGGAAGCAGACATCGCGCGCGAGGACCTCAGTCCTTTAGTGCAGGGCCACGAGGTGGACGGCATCCCGCTTTGCACCCCGTCCGTGTACGCCGATATGGCGCTGAGCCTGGGCCGGTACCTGCTGGCGCGATACCGTCCAACCCAAGATAAGAACCTGGTCGACGTCGCCGAGATGACCATCTCCAAAGCGCTGATCCTACGGCCGGGCGGCGCGCCGCAGCCCCTCCAGGCCCATCTCGAGGTGGATTGGGCGACGCAGTCGGCTGCTCTGAAATTCATGTCGTTTGACGTTAGTACTTCCTTCTCTTCCCATCCCCCCCGGCTAGATCTGACAGCAATGGCTGACGAACGAGACACTGCAGACCAAAGGTAAACTCGAGGAACACTCGCGCTGCATCCTCCGCTTCACCGACCCGCACCAGCAACAAGCCCTCCTCCAAGCGAGCCTCCCCACCATTCGCGCGAAGATGCAACGCCTCCGCGACGGTATCGCCGCCGAGACCACTGCGCGCTTCAACCGGCCGATGGTCTACCGGATGATCCGGCCGCTGGCGCGCTTCCACGCGGATTACCGCGCCATTGACGAGGTGGTGCTCGACAGTCAGACTCTCGAAGCGTCGAGCCAGCTGAGCTTCGGAAGTGTGAAGCGCGGCGGGGATTTCCATACCCATCCGGCCATCATCGATGCCCTGACGCAGTCGTGCGGATTCACGATGAACTGCAACGACGCGACAGATCTCGATACCGAGGTGTTCATGAATCATGGGTGGGGCTCCTTTCAGATCTTTGAGGAGTTGAGCTTTGAGAAGGTGTATACCACGTATACACAGATGAAGGAGGGAGATGATAAGTTGTGGCATGGCGATGTGGTGGTGATGGATGGAGAGAAGGTTGTCGCCTGGTTTGGCCAAATTGCGGTGAGTAATGATCAAGGCTGGTGTGGGATGTGATGCTGACGGCTGGCATAGATTCAAGGCGTCCCCCGACGAGTGCTGAAGGTAATTTTGTCGCTGCAGAGTGGGTCTCGATCTACAGGGCAGCAGCAGCAGCAGTCGCGAGCGTCAGCGCCGGGGCCAATTGCCATGCCCTGCGTGCAGCAGCAGAAGCTACCTGCTGCCCCCCGTGCAAGCAAGTTCACTCAAGCCCTCGCGGTCATCGCTGACGAGAGTGGCATTGCTGTGACGGAACTCACTGACAGCACTGTCTTCGCCGATGTAGGCATCGACTCCCTCCTGGGATTGACTATCTCGGCGCGGTTCAAGGAAGAGCTGGATTTGGACCTGGAATTTAACGCCTTCTTCTTCGAGTACCCCACCGTGGGGGATCTCAAGACCTTCCTCGGTGGTGGAGATGGAATCCTGACGCCTTCATCCAGCCAAACAGCCGACGAGAGCGGGACAGCAACGCCTCTCAGTGACCTAACATCGGGGGCCACTACCCCGCTTAGTGAGTCACTTGTGCTCCAGAAGCCCAAGGTCGACTTCTCGCAGGCGCTCGCCATCATTTCCGAGGAGAGCGGCGTGGATGTGGCCGAGCTGACTGACGACACCAACTTCGCCGATTCAGGTGTCGACTCCCTGCTGTCCCTGGTAATTGTGAGCCGGTTCCGCGACGAGCTGCAGCTGGACATCCAGCACGAGTCGCTGTTCCTGGAGTGTCCGACTGTAGCAGATCTCCGAATGCTGCTGGTGGGCACCAGCGAACAGCCGGACCCCATGCCTACCCGTAAGGCGGAGGCTGAGTTTGAAGCTGAGTCTGAGCTAGTCTTGCCTACTGTTGATCCAGCGAAGCAAGCCGCCGAACTGGCCTTACGAAAACACGCTGTGGATGCCCTCGTCGAGAAATACACCGCTGGCTTCTCCATCCCCAGCCCTTTGGCCACTGCTAGTACCTCTACCGGCACGGTAGTCCTCGTCACCGGTGCCACTGGCGGTCTTGGCGGCCATCTCACGCACATCCTCGCTCAAATCCCCGATGTGCAAACTGTCGTCTGCCTGAACCGCGCCAATAAAGCCGATCCCCTCACACGCCAACAAAGGGCCATGCGGGAGAAAGGCATCCGATTCCCCGTCGACCTCCTCCCGAAGCTCCAGGTCTATCAAACCGACACCGCCGCCCCCAATCTGGGTCTGACCCCAGCCGTCTACGACCAGCTCGCGAGCACTGTCACGCACCTGATCCATAATGCCTGGCCTATGTCCGCAAAACGGCCGCTCGCCGGCTTTGAATCGCAGTTCCAGGTTGCACGCAACCTGGTGGACTTTGCCTGCGCCGCCGTCGCCCGTCGCCCGGCCTCCTTCCGGTTTAATTTTCAGATGATCTCCTCTATCGGAGTGGTCGGATGCTACAGCACTCCGACTCCCAGCCCCACTGGGCAAGGGGCCACGATCCACGTTCCAGAAACCGACATGGAGATCGCTAGCGTCCTTCCCAACGGATACAGCGAAGCCAAATGGGGCTGTGAGCGCCTCCTCCAGCAGACCCTGCGCGCCCACCCGGAGCACTTCCGGCCCATGGTCGTGCGCCTCGGCCAGATTGCCGGCGCCAGCACCAGCGGGTACTGGAACCCGATGGAGCACTTCGGATTCCTCGTGAAATCGTCGCAGACGCTCGGCGCGTTACCGGATGTTGATGGCTCGGTGTTCTGGACGCCCGTCAATGAGATCGCTGCCGCCGCGGCGGAGCTGGTGCTGGCGCCGCACGACCGAGAGGTCTATCCCGTGTATCACATCGAGAACCCCGTCGGTCAGTCGTGGAAGGACATGAATCGGATCCTCGCCTCCACGCTCAGCATCCCCGAGATGATCCCATTTACAGAGTGGGTGGCCCGGGTCCGGGCGGCGCCCCAACGGAACAACCCCGCGGCGACGCTGGTGGATTTCTTGGAACAGACGTATCTGCGGATGTCGTGTGGTGGATTGGTGTTGGATACAAGCCGGGCAATGGAGCATTCCGAGAAGTTAAGAGGAGTCGGACCGGTCAGTGAGGAGGTGGTGCGGAAGTATGTCCATGTTTGGAGGGAGATTGGGTTCTTGAATTGATCGTTTGGTAAGATGTCATATAGAAGTACTTAAGACTGGAATGTATACACCTGCCCTTGGGTCTTTTGCGGTGGTATAGAGATGTATGCTGTAGTATGCATAGAGCTTTCGTCCAACAGACAGACTGATGACTGGTACACTTAGAATTCCTGTCCACTCCACACTTAGTAGGGTGAAAGTTCCCTTGTCGACCACCTTGCTTCTGACAGGGAAGTAGGTGGTTTTCAACACGGGGAAAGAAGAGAAAAGGAAAGACACTTGGGGTTATGTGCGGGCCGATCAGTGAATCAAAAAGAAATCATAAGGGAAGGAAAGAAAGAGAGGAAAGGTACGAGTCACACTGTACGGAAGATAAACAACCAGGAACAGCCAAATATCAAACAAGGCAAACTAATCAAACAAACAAGTCAAACACAATCAAGATAGGTGATGCCGTCACAGCAGGGCCTGTCACATGAGTGGTTACTGATTACATTACCTCTACCCCGCACCAAACGATGGATATGCTTGAATAGACTTATATAAACAACCATCTTTTCCTCTACCTAGTAGTGTTACCTGATATGTCTATTTGAGCTGGAGAGATTATGCAAAATTGCCTATGTGAGGATGAACTTCCCGCTGCGTATCACGAGGTACAGTTTATCCCCTCGGAGCATACCGCCGAACTTCACGAATACTGATGTTTTAAGAATCCTAGCATGAACGATTTTACTTCGAAAGTTCAAAACTCTAAGAGACCTGTTCTTCTATTCTGCCTTTCCAATTTCCACGAAGATTTCCTTCCCGAAGTCAAAGAATTCGCGGAGACTCATTCGCACCTTGAGATATATGGTATCAACTCCTTTATAGTCGGTGAGCTTGCGAGGAGATTCAAAGCACCCACCACGGCGGAATTTATGCTCTGGAATGGTGGAAAAATGATTGTTCAATTCTCCGGTACACAGTTCTCTGGTCTCATGGCTGTTTTGCAGGCTATTGGGACATAAGTGGTTGATCCCGGCTCATCAAAACAAACTTCATGAATGCTTCTCAGATGTATTGGGTACTCCGTTGATCGATATGTTCCGTTTATCGGTAATTAAGCGTCTTTGGTATCGTTTGCATCGAATTTATGTACATTCCTATGCCAATTCAGGCGATATGCAGGGTACCATTAAGTCTGATCTCTAGATCATCCATTCCCTCCTATCTATTGCTTTCCTTAGCAAGTTTATTCCTTATAACCCCTTCAAGGCCAATGTCCGGGGTTGTTTTCTGTAATTCTTGTGGCGCACGGCTTCGAATTCGCTGAGGCGCCTCCGCTAGACCTGGGACTGCACTAATAACTTTCTTATCCTATGAAGGCCGAGCATCTTACATTCCTTACATTTTTGATAATCCACTAACTTAAAGGATATATGACTCATAGCAGCAGCAGTATTCCTCTACATTTCTTGGGAAAACAGTTAATAAATAGGTCACGGCTCAGTAGTCTTATATTCCCATCAATTATTGTCTTGCCGAATAGATAGTTCGTAGTGCAAGGCGAGCCTCGAGTGAATTTTAGGAGTTATAATAAAAGATATATACGATTCGTTGAAAGTAAGCCATAGATTTTTCGAACGTAGATCAATGGTACCCCAGTCTCTTGTCAACCTGGCGGAGGTGCTTGTCTGTCTTGAAGTCTCCCATTCTTACCAGATAAATCAATGTTCATCCATCTCAGTCGGCGCGACCTTCGATCTCTTCATTGCCGGACACTGAAGCTGCTCCAAACACTATCCAGGATGAGTTCAAGATTACATTCCTAAACCTCTTAAAGGAGCAGTGGAAGATAATATTGATTGGTATCTCTCGCCGGTGGGTACAGAACATTACAAAGAATACAAAAGAGAGGTGCGTGATATAGCGTTAGAGAACTGTTATGATATTGCTCAGATCCGTGGGGAAAGCCCGGACTTTTCGTTGAACATGGGGTGGCAATCGTTGCGGCTCGCGGGTTCGTTGGTCATACTGTACAAACTACGCACACACCACGTGAAGCGGCTCGTTGACCTTGTAAAGAAAGGGCTCTTCGAGCTTGAGACTTACGACGACATTCCAGTTGAGATCCGAGAGAGTTTTAAAGCAGCAGTGGCTTGAGAGACAGCGAGAGAATCCTAATAAACCTGCAGTCGAATCAGTGCGTCGATCGATTAATATCCACTTCTTACAAACGCCGTTCCCTCAGGCTCCACAGCTATTTACAATGAGCTCACCTGCTGGTTCCCCACCCCTATTGCCCTTGCATGTCCCCAGCGTCGTCGATGGCATTATGATTCCAGATCTTCCGCTAGATAAAGCAGTGATGGACTATGCCGACTGGCCGCTGTCGCGGGTGGACACGCAGATATACAAAGACAAGATAACGAAGGCATGCGATCTCGCCTTGGCAAATCGCCTGGATCTCAAGCAAATACATAAAGATCAAGAAGCGCACTCCTTCCTGCAGCGTAACTGTGATGAGCACTGGTAACAGCACATATTATCAAGCAAATTAACGGTAACCACGACCCGCATATGGTTGGGCATCAATGCATCAGTGACCACACTGTATCTGCGAGGCTGTCATCACCAATGCCAATCAAAGGCTGCCGCATGTATCTCACTTATAAAAACACAGGAAAATCAGCAGCATCTTCTTCAAATCTATCTTGCTTCAAACCCCACTTCAATGCCTCCAATACGTACCATTCAAGATAGTTTCCAGTGTTGAGATCTCGCAACGAACAACCATCATGGACCAAGCAATTCACATAATCGACCCAGACGGCGAAGTTATAATAGTTCTACAGAATCCAAATGCCCCGTTTGCAGAACTAACTGACGGTCGGACCCGCGACAGTCTTGCGTATACCCCTTCCGGGCCAAGCGATGAAATCCAGAACTCGGAGGAAAGTATAAAAGCTTCGAGAAAAGAGCCGATCGGAACCCTCAAGAAGAAGAAGAAGAAGAAGAAGGTAAAGGAGATAGGGCTTAAACCTAAATGTCGTATTGTTCCCAATACATCCGAATCTTTTCACTTGTCATTTGAAGAGCCTGCTCCTGGATGGCCCGCGGCCGAAGCACCCGTCGCAGAGCAGGCTGAACAACCCGCTGAACCACTGCCACCCGCTGACGAACCCGCTGAACCACCCGCTGAACCACCCGTTGACGAACCCGCTGAACCGTTACCCGCTGAACCGTTACCCGCTGAACCGTTACCCGCTGAACCGTTACCCGCTGAACCACCCGCTGAACCACCCGTTGACGTGCCCGTTGATGAACCCGTTGACGAACCCGCCGAACGACCTGCCGGAATCAGGGTCTCTGAAAAGTTGGAGCAAACCTGCTTTCGCGTCCAAGTCTCCGCGAAACATTTGATCCTCGCCTCCTCAGTCTTCGAGAAAATACTCACTGGTGGGTGGAAAGAAAGCATTACCTATCTACGAAAAGGCTCAGTCGAAATTACTGCGGATAGCTGGGATGCCGACGCGCTCTTAATTATGCTTCGCATTATACATTGTCAATCCCACCAAGTACCGCGCAAATTGACCCTTGAGATGCTCGCGAAAGTTGCTGTTTTGGCCGACTACTACGACTGCAGGGAGGCTCTACTCTTCTTCACAGATACATGGATCACCGCTCTGGATGAAATCATTCCCGCAACATACTCTAGGGATTTGATTCTCTGGTTATGGGTTACCTGGTATTTCCGCCTCCCCGCCAAGTTCAAAGAAGTCACCTCAAAAGCCATGTCTTTAAGTAACGGCTGGATTGATAATCTCGGGCTCCCAATTCCCGTGGCAATCTTGCGTAAGAGCGCTTCGATCCTCAGATGCACTTGACTACTAATTGAAAGCAGGATCGATGAATGATAAAAGACAGGGAGCGATCGCTGGCCTAATTGCTCGACTTGACGAAACGCGCGATGGACTTCAAGACGGCAGTAAAGGGTGCGGCTTCGAATGCAGCTCAATCATGTATGGGGCACTGACAAAGGAAATGTATCTGAACAATCTGCTCTCGCTGAGGCCTGTAGCTCCTTTCCCGGATTTGAGCTATAGATCCCTCGTGCAAAAGGTGTCATCTTTCAGATCGCCGGCCTGGTACAGTCACAAATCATATAATCCCAGTTACCGACACGATTGTGTTGATTCCACATTCGAACTGCTTATTGGCGTGTTGGAAGATACTATTGAGGGCCTTGACCTGAAAGATTCTGTCACTGTATAGTTAAGGAACTGCCGACCTTTATCTTGTCGTTGATAGTTTGTCGCCTACGGAAACAAAAGTCTTCCTGTCCAGCCAGTCGCTGCTCGATATAGTAGAGATATTTGCAAATGCAATAATAGAGACGAAAGCGACAGATACTCATCCCACTTGATAATCTTACGGAGCCCTTATTTCTGGTCTTCTTACTAGATAACAGAAGTTAATTTCCTTCAGATGACAAGAGCCAGAGCTGAACAAACCAAAGATTCCCTTAATTCCAGCAATATACGTATCTTCAGTTTCACTCAACCGCTGTACAACTACATCCAGCAGCAGCGAAGGGTGACGAAGCTATTGTGAAACTCCTTCTCAGAGACCGACGAGTGAATGTGAATGCGAAATATCATAGTGGGCACATAAAAGATATGCAGCTGCTGGCTGGGAAGTTATTCGAGCGGCTTGTCAGCGGGATCTGTGACACAAGTCAATAAGCACTTCGCGGGCGCGAGAGTGCTCCGGCAATCTTTGCATCTAGACATTGACAATGACATTTGAACCAGAGTTACACACCTACTGGCTCCTATTGCCGCGAGATGCGCTTGTGGGAGACCAAAAGAGTCAGTTATTGTGGACAAAGGCTTACTGCTTGCAGAAGACAATTTATTGTAACGCATTCATGGTTCTTGACCCCGCCGTTCTATGTAAGGACTTGATGCGACCATTTCGGAGTGGACAAATAAGATGATCTCTCCAGTCAACTTTCATATGAAGCTTAAGTCTGAGAAAACATGCATGGCTCAGAAGTGTTCTAGCGACAAACTGATAGTACAGTGATGATGACGATGACGATGACGATGTTTCATACGCTGGCCCCTCGCAAAGCGATAAATGAATCTGTGCGAGGAAGTCGACTGGCACTCCCTTGCTTCTTGAGTCAGTGCTATAACTACTGTTGCACTGCCCCTCATTCTAACCTGAAAACTAACCTAACCCTACTGCAGTCTTCATGTTGTAACGTGTTGTGAGCACTAATCTTCCGTTCACATCCAAGGCTTTAAATGAGATACTAAATCGACCGGCCCTCTGCTGCTCTATCCTTCATAGTACAAACCTTGAGAGGTATTTGATCTCTCTTCTATAATCATGGAATACCTAAGTGGTGCAACAGCCTCCGTTATTTCCATGGGCCGGCATATCGCCCAAGAACATACAACCGCTCTTGCTGTCGGTGGTACGGGGCTTGCCCTTGCTACAGCGCCTATCATCGGGCCTGCAGTACTCGGTGCTGTCGGTTTCAGTGTCTCGGGGCCTGTTGCGGCCTCTTTTGCTGCAGTATGGCAATCTTCACTCGGGGCGGTTCAGGCTGGGAGTCTGTTTGCCACCCTACAAGGTGCTGCGATGGGAGGTGCTGCTGCAGGGATATTCACAGCAGCCTCAAATATCGGGATTGGGATGACGGGTTTCGCAGTAATCGAAACACAGTGGACTCATATAAGAAATGGGCTATGGTTGAAGCGTGATGGTGATCAGTCTGATAAAACCGGATATTCTTGTAAGAGATCATTGCCCGCCTACTTGTTGCTCTAGGCTAACATGGATGAAGATGAAGATTCTCCCATCGACACCACCAAATGCATGACAAACAACCCACACATGCTTGATGGAAACGATCTCTTAGCCACCGAATTTACGAAATTACGGAAAATAGACATGTCCTAGTCGGAGAGGGCTTGGGAGGAATTGCTCTTTGTTTGCGTGTGTGTGTGTGTGTGTGTGTGTGTCCGGGTAATGTTCTCCGAGTGAGTGTTTCGGGGTGGCGAGTGAAACTGATGCTGAGACTGTTTTGTTGTTGTTGTTGATTGAGTGTGTATCCGTAGACAGGGGGTAAGCGCCATCCTTGTCGCGTTTTAGGCAGCAATGCTAACTGCAGCAACACATGGATCTGTATTCCACTTCTCGTTGAATCATCTATCCATCTATCTCATCGCTCACCCTCTACCACGGACTTTCGCCCCCATCATACCGATTCCACCCTTTGTCCCACCCAGGAATATGGATATTGAAAAACCGCCCGTTGCCCTCCTTCCCCTTGTTGAGAATGATATCCAGCGTCGCGCGGACGCCCACATCGACGGGCAGATCGGCTCTGGCGCCGCCCAGCTCGGTTTGCAGCCACTAAATGCGGGGCCAAGTCAGTCGTCGCTCTGCTTTCTTGTCTCTAATAAACCCTCGCTGATGAAGCAACGGCTCGGCTCCAACTCACCCCAGGACTAACGCAGAAAACAGCGAACCCCTCCTTCTCCAGCTCCTGCGAATACAGCACAGTGAGCATATTCAACGCCGCCTTGGTGATCTTATACGATTGGCTCTTCGCCTCGCGGTAGAGGGACTGCAAGCCGAAGGACCCGACGGTCGTGGATCTGCATTCGCTCACATCAATCAGTATACTTTGAGATCCTCAGGGAGTATTTAGCTGAAGGGGACCATCCCACATATTAACGATCTTCTTCGCCTGCCCCCTTCGCAGCAGCGGCAGGAACTCCCGCGTCACGAGGTGCGGGCCGTTCACATTCACCTCGAAGGACTCGGTCAGGTCGTTCCTGATGCATATTAGCTGGAATGCATACACACACGGACGGTCGGGATAGAAGAGAAGAAGATGGACATACATCTCCTCCAACGATCCCCGCCCCATCACCCCTGCGTTGTTAATCAAGACGTCCAGTCCCCTCCCCTGCAAGGCCTCTGAGACGGACTGCGCGGCGCGTCGCACGCCGTTCTCGTCTGTTACGTCGAGCTGCACCGGAGTGATCCGCGAGGCGTGCTCGCGGAGGAGTGTTTGGAAGTCCGGGGGGAAGTGGCTGGGCGATGACCGCGCGCCGGCGAAGATTTGGTACACTTCTGTCGCGGGTTTCGCCGCGAGTTGGCGCGTTAGTTCTAGGCCGATGCCGCGGGTTGCGCCTGTTATGAGGTAGGTGGTCATTTTTTGGGCTGGAGATGGGGGTTAGGTGGTTCTGGGGATAGGAGGGGTGTAGTGAGAGGTAGTGTTGCTGAGGTTTCGGTTGGTTTTCGTTTTGTGGTGCTATTCTTATACGGTTGGTCTGGTATCATGCACGGAGATAAGTTCTCGGTTTCCGGTTCTGGTCTGTCAAGTATGGTTTGTAGTTTTGAATTTGCGAGAGATGAGATTGAACCACTTCGTGCTGCCTCTGTCCGAGTGGCGGGGTTCCTATGGGCTGAAGTAAAAAAGTAGTGTCAGGAGTCAGTGAGGTCAAATTGCATAATATGTTAGATTGCAGTACTCCATCAATCGCCGGTCGCAAACTACGAGTAAATCCATCAGGAGCTAAGTAGATCTCGATAAAACAGGATGAAGAGCCGATGAGGTCATTGTCTCGGCGATAACGGAGATTGAGCCCAACTATCAAATTAGAAGACTACGATATATGATCATTACAAACATCTCGTTACCATACACATGGTTAAATTAGACTGAAAAGGGAGTATCTAACGAAACAAGCGGGAAAGAATTTTCAAACTCCACAAACATGCGCCAGCAGTGATCATGATCGCCGGTCCCAGCTAACCCACCACCTAGATAAATGCTAAAAAAGCCAAACAAAACGCCGGAATGATATCGACAGAATTTCCGCCACAAGCTCTCTCAGCTCCACAGGGGTGGATGGATGTACTCGGCCGCCCGATCCAAGATATTGGGTATGGACCACTCGCCGCTGGTGGAACTTTCCGGAGTCGGCGGCGGAAGAGATCCAAGGCTCGGGGTCATACTGGCTGGTACACCGGCGACACCCATGCTGGACCCAGCGTGCGGGTTGAGGTACGCGGGGGAGCCGGCTTGACCGGCGGCGCGACTGGCTTGTGATGTGAAGGCGGCCTCGAGTTTCTCCAGTGCGCGGAGGGTCTTGGTCAGCGGTTTGGCCCACTGGGTCTGCGTGTCGACGCCGACACCGACAGACCCCGGTGATGCGGAGTTCAGGCCTGCCGGACTTGGGGCAGCAGTGCTGAGTGCTCGTGGAATAGTGCTGAGGGTAGGGGGCGCGGCACCATCCGTTGGAGGAACAGCGGCTTCAGTGGAACGGAAATCAAGCTCGGCGTTTGCCCGTTCGGAGATGATCATCTTCAGCTGCTGCAACAAGCTCCAGAATCGGGGGTTGGTCTTGGATTCTTCCGTGACAGCCAACAGGAAGATTGAGCTGATGGCTCGCTGCAGGGCAATCCACGATCGAGAAGCGTGCGAACTAACTGTATGCATCTCAACATACGCCTCTACCGTCGTCATCAGATTGTTGACACAGTCGGCGCGCATACTGGCCGCAGCCGGGTCAGTCGTTTCTCCCGCCAGCTTGAGCGCTGGGCGATAGAGCTCGGAGGAGAAGTATGAGGTGTGCAGCTTGAGGACGACTCGTTCGAGGTGCTCAGTCGCAGAGAGGCAGTACTTGCGGTCCCGGAGGTGAGGTTTGGCCTCGATCATGATCTGCTGGATCCGTTCCTTATAGCCCTGGATAGTCTTGTAGCTCAACTGCGAATGCGGACTCAGCATACGGCTGCGAACGACTTCCAGTGCCAGACCAATCACTCGACACAGTGTTTCAAAGTACGAGATTTCGCCAGGGTTCGGGTCATCCTTGTATGCAATTTCCGGCTGGCTCACGGCGGTTGTGGAAGGTCTATCATAGGAGAGCGAGAAGTGGCTGTCCTGCCATGCCATAGACCACCTGCTAATGGTTAGACTCTGATCGCACGGCACATCACACAGCGGGGGACAAGGGACATACCAAACATGGCGGCGGCGATAGCGCTCGGCGGCCGAGAATCTGCTGGATTCCACATGCAGACCAAGTGCCAAACCCATACGAAGCGTCATACCAAGAAGAACGTACGAAATTCCGGGGTTCATGTTGTACGAGAGGACGTTGCCGATAACAAGCAGTGTCTGCATTGCATCGATCGTTGGCTGCGATAGGAAGTTGGTCATCCGAAGACATTGGTACGAGCAGCATACTACATTGGTCAGTGATGTTGGGAAAATAACAATGAAGAGAAACCAACCATAGACTTGAGATGTCAGCTCTCTCTCCTTGCCTGGCAGATCCGACGATTGGCAACCGGAAGCAAGCACAGCAAACAATAATCCCATGTAAGCAATAGTCACGCCAAAAGGCTTCTGGGCTTGGTCGGCATCGGCTCGGTATACACCACCCATCGATGCCCTGTTGCCGAGCATGAGGTGGAGATTCATTTCGAATCCTGGGACATCCTCGAGGACAGGATAGATGGCGCCTGCGATGTCTCGGTAATAGTAGAAGAAACTGTAAGGAGTGAATTAGCATCTCTTTCTTCAACAGCAAGGCTGGATTGAACACTGACTCCTTGCACTGCTGATCGGACGGAAGTGCACTGCAGACGGCACTGATATCGAAAGTTGACATGTCAGATGACCAGAGATCCACGAACGGATACGTTGCGGATTCGTTGTCCAGGCCCAGTTTCGGCAAAATGCCACCTTCAAGAAGCGCCTGAAGCTGGTCGGATCCAGATTTATTATTGAGTATATAGGCCAGTACAGACCGCGACCCAAGGTGCACCGTGCCTTCACCGAAGGTGTTGGGCGCATGGATACCCTCCCGTTCTGGCGACGCAGCCTTAGACCGACTACTGGCATCACCACTCTGTATGCTTCCTGTCTCTAGCGAAGACCCATGTCCATCCTCAGCCCTCTCAAGCCCAACTCGCAGAGTGTTGATCGTCTGCTCCATCTCTCGTAGCCGGGTGCGAACGTTGTCCCATTCCTCCCGCGCGATGGAAACCCGCCCGGGCCCTACCTGCCCCGCCAAGCTCGGTCGACTGACCGCCGCTTCTGGTTTCGGGCGCGGGGGCTCGGGAGGAATCACGATGGGCTCTGAAGGGGCGGATGGCGGTCCACCCACCGGACTATGGTACTGATGAATTGTGCCGGTCATGATGCGCTTCTTGGAGGGGCGTTCGTAGGAGCAGAGGTCAGCATGGTCGCGCTTGACGCAGCCATCGCAGGGCAAATTGCGGTCACATTTCACTTTCCGAGCGTGGCAGGGATAGCAGGCCTTGGGTTCGCGCGCCTTGCGTTTTGTGCGGATGATCGCGTCGACTTGGGATTGTGGGAGGTCGGAGATGGCGCGGGACGTACCCGCCGTCATGTCGGGACCAGCGACAGACGGCGAGTACGAGATGGATGATTGGTAAGGAGATGTCATTGTGGATGGTGAAGTGAGCGAAGAGAGGAGGACGTGAAATCCGAGGGATCTCGCTCAAGGCTGAAGGATGGTCGGTTGGGATGATGTTTGTGGCTTCCTATCGTGAAGCTAAAACATGCGAACAAAACAGCGGAGATGACGGGACCAAGCGGGATAACGAATGCGGCGCGGCACTGATCAATGAGCATCCGGTGTTCACATTGAATATGTCGAATAGGAAAAAAAGAGAATCAGTCCATGAATGAACGAGTAAGGTGAAGGGCGGAAGTCGAGTGGCCCAACATGGCTCAGCCAAAATGTGGTCCCGAGGAGGTGTTGAGTAGCGACAGGGCGCAAGATTGGAATCCGTCGCCAAGCTCAAGTTTTGGGGGAAATCAACTGGGCAGAAGTCCCGGATGAGTCAGCATCGGCACTGGTCCACGTGATATGAGGGGGTCGATCATGGTTTGCCAAGCCCTAAGCCCTATCACAGATAAGATGACGTAATGATCATCTCAGTTCTACTGCAGTGAACATCAACAACTTAGACCCAGCAATGCTAGAAACGAAGACACTGATTGCTTGAGACTTCAGCTCTACAACTGTGTCCTGTCTGATTCTTCATTATTGTGCCTCCCTCTGGCACACTCTTCCACTGTAATTCGACCGACATATATACTACCCCTTGCTCCAGTGTAACACGAACACCTCCACCGATCATGCATAACCACCTGCCAGACTTGCCGATCATCTACCGATCTTATAATCATTCCTTTTATCTCTTGCTGCAGCGCAGCTCACACTACTCACCTCACTCAGTCGCCGAGCTGACAGAGTAGGTTGCAGCCACCGGCTCTCCGACCGCCGCCACAATAGGAGCCAAGCTGAAATTGAACCGTGCATCCGCCGTTTGATCATAGTAGACACCCTCAACCGCAGCTTCGGACGGGACACAGCCTTTTGGCTGCTTGAATAGATACATTGTATAGCTGTGTTCGGTACTATCTCTGGGTCGCGGGGCTGTATAGGGTGCCAACGCGGCGCTGGAGTTGACAAAGGTCCGACCCTCGAGCGTGAAATTGCCTCCCCACCAGTGCAGGCGAGTAGTGTTGTTGGCTGCGAGGCCAGGCACAAGGGTACCGTACTTGTCCACCGTGGTGACATCGGAGTCCGGGATGTTGAGGTCGAGCATGAGAACCATGTAAGTTGCAGGGTATGAATGCTTCACACTTCCAGGGTTGATGGTGGGCGCAGTGGCATATCATTCCCAGCAGTTTGAGCACCTCGGCAACAGAGACTGAATATCATGCCGTCAGAATTAACCCATAGATCAGGGGTAATCGTCACAATCACGAAAGAATCACCCAGATTGACTTTTGCTGCAGGCCAACTTTTGGCTGGGGTCTGTGCCAGCCATGCCGCTGCAAAATTATAAATGCTAGAATTGTGGCGTGCATGGTGCTCACGTAGCCGGTTCAAGGCTTTCAAATCGACTACTTGAGGTGCAAGAGGGCTCATGCCTGTTCTAAGGAAAAAGATATAGTGCCGGTCGTGAACTTGAAACAGCCATAGTGACTAGCCTATGCTGTTCGCCGAGTATACGTAGCCGATAGGGAAAGAGGTCGATGTGCTGAATGCCAAGTGGAGAGGACTCGTCATCACCGCGATTCTTCGCAAACACCGATGAAAGCTGAAGGCGGAGGTCAATGTCGGAGGAAATACCTAAAAGCGGGAACAACATAGAATCCCTACGTGGTGCCGTCTCGGAGATCGAACGATAATCTCGGGTGGCTTGTCCTCATCAGGTCAAGAGGTTCTCAGATCGAGCAGTCTAACAGATTGGGAACAATTGCCAAGTAAATCGACATGGTCATGTTAACCGGGAAGAACTGGACCAGTCTCCAGCTTGTGTATTGTATTAATATCTATTCACATGTTTAAATGTGGTTGGTATCAGTAAGGGAAACAAAGAACACTTGCAACGCCTCATTAAACTATAAATCAAGGCCAATCATATCTTAATCATCCTGGAGACTCGGTCGGGATCGCTAACCAGCATGTGGTCCATATGCTTGTAGTTAGAGTTTCTCTCCCCGCTCTTCATCTTCACTGAAAGCAAACTTTGAGAACCGACGGATAGACGCTCCCTTGAAGTAGAAGATATACGGGATTGCACAGCAGGCAAGGGCAATGAAAGCCAGCAGGGAGCTGGCCCACTGGTAGCCCAGTCTGGCATACATCTGTTCAGTGAATAAGACAGTGGATGCTCCCCATATAGAGCGAAGGAACGTCTTTGCGGCAAGCGCAGATGCTGCCTGATGCTGGTAGGTGTCGACTATAGCAAAAATCAGTTGCCGATCTCTGATGACAGTGCCGGGTGTGACTTACCAAGATAATTGTTTGCTGAATTGTACAAGAAAATAAAACCGAACCCAACTGGCCAGCCGCCAATTGCAGGACCAATCCAATGCAGAGAGGGATAGGAGGTCCAGGCGAAGATGAACAATCCGATAGGAACAAGCCAGCAGGAGAACATCATTGGGATTAGACGGGCTTCAGCGGGAGGCTTTCCACCATATTGCTTGTACAGCGACAGATAGTGTTTGTTCACGAACGGTGCGCATGCAGCGCTCATGAGGACGCCGATGGCGAGCGGAATGAACATAAGACCGGTGGAGCCGGCACTCCAGCCTTTACCACCCTGGTAGACAACTGGATATCTATAAGACGAAGCATTAGAATATAGCTGCCAAGATTGGAATTTGCCAAAGCACTTACGCGATGAAAAACATGTATAGCAGACCGTAAAGGACCGACATGTAAAGAGCGATGAACAGGACGATGGGCTCCAGGCACAGAAGTTGGAAAGGCCGGAAGAGAATAAGTCGCATTCTCTCCGCCATCGGTCTAGCATCAAGTTCCATCTCAGTAACGTACTGGGAGTCGTTCCTTTCCTTCCTCAGCTTCTTCGCTCTTCGCTTTAGAATAGTTGGCGCATAGGTCTCGCGAACGGTAAACGTGATCAGCAGCCAAGCCACAAAGGCAAGAATTAGCTGCAACCAGTAGAGCCATTTCCAGTTTGTTGCATCGGCAAGATAGCCACCGGCCAAAGGTCCGATTGCAGGACCAAGAAACGGGCTGGCCGAGAAAGCTGCCATAGGGACACCTCGTTCTTCATTTTTCCACATATCCGCGAGTGTGCCACCTACCAGCGTCATTGGTGCGCTGAAGGCGATACCGTCAATGGCTCTGCAAACAATGAGTGTTGCAATGTTGGGAGCAACAGCACAGGGGATGATGAATATCACGGCCAATAGCAGGGTTCCTGCATAGACCAATCGGCGTCCTACCATCTCAGATAGCGGCGCGAATACCATCGGTCCTGCAGCCAGTCAGTCTCAGCTGAATGCAATGTTATGGACTGTCGGAATGTAACTTACCCACGCCAAATCCAATGACAAAGACGGTCACCACAACCAGACTGACCTCTCTTGAAACGCCAAAAGTCTCTGATGGTCCTTCTATATCGGCGGTAATGACACTGCTTGCAAACGCGACCACGAAGCATGTAAATGAAACAACCATAGTACAGTACCATTTGTACGCCTTTGACCAGTTCTTTGGGTTCTCCGGATCATCAATATTGAAGGTGACCAGCTTCCATTCTTCATCCTTCCCGGTAAGCGTAGATCGAACTGGTTTGATGATCTCTCCTGTTGTTGTTTCCGTGGTGTATTCTTCCATGTTGGCAGTTTCGGTCACTTCGCGGTATGGTAGGGTCAAGGGATCGGAGCCTTGACCTGATGCCTCCGAATGAGTTCGGTGGGCATGGCCATGAGTTTTGGTTCGTTCCAAAGACTCCATGTTCGGTATGTGCAGATAGAGGATATCAAATGTCAGTGAGGCTGATGCAGAGGGGGAAGATACAGTTCCTTTGGGCGGAATGCATGCTTGCATTTATAGACAGCCATTGCTCGAGAGATACTGGAATAGGCCAAGAAGCAAATCTGGAACTCCTGTAGGAATGGCACTGATATGGAAGAACCAGAAGCGAGAAAACGTTGTAGATGCCAGAAACGGCAAGCTGTCGGCCCGGATCCACAGCCGCAAGGGCCATGTTCCCCGATCGAGATAGCCGGAGCTAGCCTTCTAGGGTAATATGCCTCGAGAAGCTCTTATCTGGAATGATCTATCCATGGAGCAATTGCACTCACAGTCTCGGCCTTGGACGTAGAGACAATCCGAGAGATTCGAGACCGCATCGAACAGCGCCCGGATCAGTCAGAACGGCATTGGGCTACAACATGAGGACTAACAGCTTGGTCGCAGGCATTCATATACCTAGAGCAATGACCTCACGGCTTGGAGCCGTCTTATTGAGCGCAATTGGTCGATGGAATGGCCAAAAGCCACCATAGCCATAGAGAGGAGAAGAGGTGTTGTAAGTCAAGGCACGAGTTGAGGGGCTTATTCGGATCTTCGGCGGCAGGAGAGAGCCAGCCGCACCTATCTTGTTAACAGAATACGGACATGACTCCGAGTATGGCCTGACTCTGGCTCACCTGTAGATGGTGACGATAAACGTCGAAGCCAATCTCTAGTCAGAGCCAGCCGAGCTCATACCATGCCAAGCTGGTGAGCTTTGGACGTGGCTGAAAAAGCGTCGGTCGAAACTCGCAGTTCACGGCAGGGCGGCACTCGGAGCGTCTTGCCCAAAACGGCAAGCCCCCCCCAATGGAATGAAGATGTAATGAAAATTGAAATCTTCCCCGGGGACCCAATAAATCCCCAAGATATCCCATTTCATTATGCTACAGTTTAAAGCTGCAGTGGGGACTGATCGTGAGACACAAGATTATGGTGGTATATCTGGGGCCTTAGCTCCATGCTCCAGATTGTGGCAGCACCTGGCGAAAATAAGACCAGCAACATGGGCGCAACTCCTCAGCATTAGAGACCCAATGAGATCCTACTATATATGTCACAAATTCTCTTGCCATTTAGCGTGTAGCGTGACCATGAAACGTCGAGATGAGATGAGCTGATGGCCACTTTATGGTCTTCCTCATTTCACGCGAACCAGACTTATGTCGGTATGCAAACTCTCAGTTGCATGCAGTTCATTCAAAGGAGGCAAGAGGCAGCATTCACCTGGTTGCGAGCCTGAAATGCCTGACGGACGCTGCTCCTGCCTCAGTCCGTTCAAGTTTGCCGCCGTTTTCCGGGGAAAAGTGCATACCACGTGACTGATAAGATGTCACGATAAGCCGGAAGGAGTCTAGCGCGGGGTGGTTTTTCCCACCCTCCGTCAACGGAGCAGAAAGATTCATTTTTGACCCAAGTCGAGCAGCTCAAACGCCTCCTTCAGTCTGTTGAACTCACTCATTAGAGGTGTGTCTGTGACACCTCTTTCATAGAGGACACTCTCCTGTTCTCTCACCAATTTAGTCAACTCCACCCTATCCTTTCCCTTCCTCCCGCCACCCCGCCTCTCTCTACTTCCCTCTCCCGCCGACCGAGTGAGTCACTCTGCACCACCTCAAAATGGCCTCCAACTCAACCTACCTGGCCATTCCTGGCTCTGTCGCCTTCTCCCACTCTCGCGGACGTGCAGTGGCTGCTAGTATCGGAGCTCATGATGTCCGTGCTCAATGGATCCATTATGTCCACCTTTCCCAGCCATTGGACGAACCCCAGCGGGCGGTATTGGAGCAGCTCCTCCGCTATGGTGATATTACCGACATTCCTCCTACATTCACCGCTGAAGACGGCTCGTTCGATGTATTCCACGTCTTCCCCCGTACGGGTACAATCTCTCCCTGGAGTTCCCAGGCCACCGGTATCTCTCACGTCTGCGGCTTACGCCAGTACGTGAAGCGCATTGAGCGGGGTATGAAGTTCTCCTGCCTGCGCACCGAAAACAGCGAATACAAGGATGGCTTCCAGGATGTTCTCCATGACCGCATGACTCAGATCATGAGCGAGAATGAACCGGATCTTCACCTGATGTTTTCCGAGCATAGCCCTCGGCCCCTCGAGACTATCCCTCTTCACGGCAGCAGCAAGTCCCCCAAGGAGGTCCTTCAGGAGGCAAACAAGAGACTGGGACTGGCATTGGAAGAGTCGGAAATCGAGTATCTGGCCGATGCTTACGGTCCTAATGGCCCTCTTGCTCGCGACCCTACCGACGTTGAGCTGTTCATGTTTGCCCAGGTCAACTCTGAACACTGCCGTCACAAGCAATTCAACGCGTCCTGGGTCATTGACGGAAAGCAAATGCCCAACAGTCTCTTCTCCATGATCCGCAACACACACAAGAAGAACCCGGAATACACCGTAAGCGCCTACAGCGATAACGCCGCCGTCCTCGAGGGAGATCACTCCGCTTTCTGGGCTCCCAACACGGCCACCGGGGAATGGGGCCACACGAAGGAACAGGTCCACTTCCTGGCCAAGGTCGAAACTCACAACCACCCTACCGCCGTCTCACCCTACCCCGGTGCGGCGACCGGGTCCGGTGGAGAAATCCGTGACGAGGGTGCCGTCGGCCGGGGGTCCAAGCCCAAGGCTGGTCTCGCTGGTTACTGTGTCTCTGACCTCAACATCCCTGGCTTGAAACAGCCCTGGGAGCTGGATGTTGGCAAGCCCAACCACATTGCCAGCAGTCTGGACATTATGTTGGAAGCCCCTATTGGAAGCGCAGCTTTCAACAATGAATTCGGACGTCCTTGCATTTCGGGATACTTCCGTACTCTGCTGACTGAAATCGATGTTGGCAATGGCCAAACTGAGGTTCGCGGTTACCACAAGCCTATCATGATTGCTGGTGGTGTCGGAACTGTCAGACCCCAGCATGCCATCAAGAAGCCCGAGGTTGTCAAGCCTGGTGCCTACCTGGTTGTTCTGGGTGGACCTGCTATGCTCATCGGCTTGGGTGGAGGCGCTGCCTCTAGTATCACTTCCGGTGAAGGATCGGCAGATCTTGACTTCGCTAGTGTCCAGCGTGGTAACGCTGAAGTTCAGCGGAGAGCGCAAGAGGTGATCAACGCCTGTACTTCTATGGGCGATGCCAACCCCATCAAGTTCATCCACGACGTTGGAGCCGGTGGACTTTCCAATGCCCTTCCTGAGCTCATCCACGACTCCGGTTTGGGTGCCACTTTCGAGCTTCGTGAGATTGACAGTGCCGATAAGAGTATGAGCCCCATGCAGATTTGGTGCTGTGAAGCCCAGGAGAGATACGTTCTGGCTGTTGGCGAGGAGAGCATGAACAAGTTCACTGCCATTGCGAACCGTGAGCGCTGCGGTTTCTCCGTTGTCGGACGTGGTGGTGGCACATCTGAGGAGGAAAAGAGGCTCATTCTTCTGGACCGTGAGTCCACTGAGTACCCCAAGCCTATCGATCTGCCGTTGTCTGTCCTTTTCGGCAAGCCTCCTAAGATGACTCGGGTTGTTGACTCCCGCAAGTTGACCCTACCCGCGGTGGATGCTAGCCTTGCCACATACTTGCCGTCCCTCGCAACCAACCCTCTTGAGCTCCTTGGAGAGGCCGCCAAGAGAGTTCTCTCCCTTCCTGCTGTCGGTTCCAAGTCTTTCCTCATCACCATTGGTGACCGGACAGTCGGTGGTCTCACTGCTCGGGATCAGATGGTCGGCAAGTGGCAGACTCCTGTGGCTGACGTCGCTGTCACTGCCACCGCCCTGGTCCAGGGTGTCAAGTCCGGTGAGGCCATGGCCATGGGCGAGAAGCCCGCACTGGCCCTCATCTCTCCGGCTGCTTCAGCCCGCATGGCTGTTGCGGAGTCCCTCATGAACATTGCTGCTGCCGACCTTGTTGATCGGCTGAGCCGCGTCAAGCTTTCCGCCAACTGGATGTCTGCCAGCAGCCATCCTGGCGAAGGCGCTGCCATCTACGAGGCCGTGGAGGCTATTGGTATGGAACTTTGCCCCAAGCTTGGCATCAGTATCCCAGTTGGCAAGGACTCTATGTCCATGAAGATGAAGTGGAAGGATGAGGCTTCCCAAGAAGCCAAAGAAGTCACTGCCCCCATGTCTCTTGTCATCTCTGCTTTCGCGCCCGTTGGCAACTTCCGCAAGACCTGGACCCCGGCCCTGCGTCGTCTCGAGGATGTTGGTGAGACTGTCCTGATGTTTGTCGACCTGTCCTTTGGTCGCAAGGCTCTGGGTGGTTCCGCTCTCGCCCAGGTCTTCAACCAGATCGGAGATGAATGCCCCGACATTCGTGACATCGAGATTTTCAGAGACTTCTTCGATGCCACTCAGCAGCTGCAGGAGGCGGGCATCGTTCTCGCCTACCACGACCGCTCCGATGGTGGTCTGTTCACCACCCTGGCCGAGATGATGTTCGCTGGCCGCTGCGGTGTTGAGATTATGCTTGACAACATCTGCGCTAGTTCCAGCACCAAGGACGTTGTGGAGACCCTGTTCAACGAGGAACTGGGTGCTGTCTTCCAAGTCCGCAAGGAGCATGAGATCCAATTCCGTTCTTGCTTCGCCACCTGCGGGCCCCCTGCTGGCTTAATTCACAAGATTGGTCGCGTTTCTGAGAAGTCCAAGCAGAACCTCACTATCTACCACAAGCACACCTTGGTCCACCGTAACAGCCGTGCCAACCTCCAGCAGACCTGGACCGCCACCTCCTACCACATGCAGAAGATGCGTGACAATGCTGCTTGCGCTGATCAAGAGTATGCCAACATCCTTGATGATGCCGATCCTGGTCTGTCTTGGAAGCCGACTTTCGACCCCAAGGACAAGGCTATGCCTCTCTTGACCAGCCTGACCCAAATGTCGCCCTTCAGCAACAAGCCTCGCGTCGCCATTCTTCGTGAGCAGGGTGTCAACAGTCAGGCTGAGATGGCGTTCGCCTTCAACATGGCTGGTTTCTCTGCCGTTGATGTTCACATGACGGACGTCATCTCCGGCCGCGTCTCCCTGTCCAGCTTTGTTGGTCTTGCCGCCTGCGGTGGTTTCTCCTACGGTGACGTTCTTGGTGCCGGTCAAGGTTGGGCCAAGTCTGTCCTGCTGCACGACAACACCCGCAACGAGTTCCAGTCCTTCTTCCAGCGCCCTGACACTTTTGCTCTGGGTGTCTGCAATGGTTGCCAGTTCCTTTCCCGTCTCAAGGAGTTGATTCCTGGCGCCCAGAACTGGCCCAGCTTCGAGCGCAATGCCAGCGAACAGTACGAGGGACGTGTGGCCTTGGTCCGCATCTCCGACTCCGACCCATCCCGGCCCAGCGTCTTCCTCCACGGCATGGATGGCTCTTCCCTTCCCATCGCCGTTGCTCACGGAGAGGGTCGCGCCTCGTTCGCTCCTGCTTCCGGCACCACCGCTCAGTCCTTTGTCAGCGAGGGTCTGGCTCCCGTCCGCTACGTGGACAACGCCACCCTCAAGCCTACGATGAAGTACCCTGCCAACCCCAACGGCAGTCCCGAGGGTATCGCCGGTGTTCGCAGTGCTGACGGTCGTGTGCTGGCCATCATGCCTCACCCCGAACGTACGGTGCTGGGCGGCATTGCCAGCTACTTGCCTCCTAACGCTGAAGAGTGGGGCGACATCGGCCCATGGGGTCGTGTCTTCCTCAGCGCCAGAAGATGGGTTGGTTAAACATTGGACGAAAAACTTTCTGTCTTGTTTATTTGACCGAGTCTGGTTACAACAAGATGAGCAGTTTTGGAAGATGAGAAAAACAAATAAAATGTTACGGCGCATGTCTCGAGTCCTTTATAATGAATGATATAAATACAACATCAAGGCCTATCTTTTTTATTTCTACCTTTGGGTCTGATACTTCATGATGAGATGTGTAAAAAAAATATGAGTGGTTGATAGTTTACCTGGCTGGATTGATCTAGGACTGTGCACAGCAAGAACACAGAATGTGAATACAATTGGATGATTTACTTATTCCTCCTGACGCCGGTAACTTAAGCTGGATACGTAAAGTTCCTTCCACCATCATGACAACGGAGTAGAAGTATTTCCGCAGGTCAGCCTCAAGGGCTCAGACAACCCTTAAGCGAAGGGGCGGTGCCAGCAGCCGACAGCCACAATCAGCGAAGTCTACCCAGGAAGCGCGTCATATTCTCCGGACTCATCGCGCCCAAGAACTATTCGAAGCGGACAAAAGATAGCTCGCCTAACCACAAGTCTGACGAGATTCTCCAAACCAGGCACGCGCTGCCACGGTCAATGCTTAGCCGGGCTGCTGATGCAGATCAGCGGCTTAGCCCGCACAAGTGGGCATTGAGTCGCCTCGCAGCGGTCACGCGGTTCGCTGTCTCGGTCTGCAGGATTCTAGGGCGCTGATAGATAGATACCCCATTTGCCTTTTTGGGTATGCGGAGTCAAGCTTTCTGCTTGCGTCTTGGAATGTTCTGGTTCTGGTGAATGGGCTAGCATGGGTCTTGTGCTGTTAGCTTAAGAGAAAGCGTTCAGTGGTAGGTCGTCGGCTGAGGTTATCTTAAGCTGAATATTCTTCTCGAAGCTGATGTTTGTTCTGGGAGATAATCGTCACTTTGATCTCCGTTGTTCGAGTGGTGCATGCTTTTCAGGACACGGATGAACCACCACGTGCAATCACGGGTAACGTTAGGACTAACTCCTGCCAGAGAATGACATTCCTAGGATGGGGCTGTCAGGTTTGCGGTCACTTGGGGCGCGAATATTCTGGCGATAGAAGGGGCTGAGATTATTTAGGTGGAGGGCCGGGTGATGGGGGCCGATTGCCTCTTGGGGAAACTGGGGTTTCGGACCCCATGCGCCCTACACGGGCTGGGTTTCAGGCTGCTGGAAGGGGGATGAGCGATCGTTCGTGTGAATGTTGACTTCAAATTGAAGAAGAAATGTGATTTGAAGATGCTTTCGATGGGAGGATGATCTATAGAGCGATGTTTTGTGATACGCTTGAGAAGTGGTATCTATATCAGAGGATTTAGGGATAAGCGAGATATCAGTCGCTCCATCTGCGTCGAATATGCCCGACGAGGTTATATCAACGATGAATTACACGGTCGAAGGATTTCGTGCCTGCAGGTTAGCTGATCATTGTATACTGAAACCGCCAGTCTCTGATCATGGTTCAGCCATGCAGCCGTGACAATTTGGTCTACAGGAGACAGTCGGGGAGATAAACGTATAAAGAGGTCCGATTCTCTGCTGCAATAAGATCATTCAGTTATTCGCTATCATAGCACCAGCAAGAGCATCTGCACTTACTTCTCTTCGCTTAATCAAATATCATTATCATGGCGTCCAAGCTCTTCAAAGGAATGGCTCTCGCAGGCCTCGCCTCCGCTGTCGCGGCCTGCTCAACTGAGTCGGACGTGACGGTGACTTTCTACGGATTTCCCGACAATGATCCGCCCAGTGCAGACATCGCCTATGACTGTGGCCGTGGAAACTCGGCGGGTGGTAAGCACTCTTCCGCGTTGTGGGCATGCCCCAACGAATTAACAACATGCAGGAACTGGAACCTACAGCGACCCACTGACCTTCGCCTCCGCGTCCGGCGAATTCAAGCAGTGCGAGATTATCTACCTCCCCTACCTGCGCAAGTACTTGCGCTACGAGGACGAGTGTGCCCAATGCAGTATGCAACCTGCCATCAAGAACATATTGAATGCAAGCGTTGACGATCAAAGCCACTGATTACAAGTCCGGCAAACTGCACATCGACATCTGGACCGGCGCCAACTCCAACGGCGGCAACGCCCAGATCAACTGCGAGGATAACTTGACTCCCGACTCCCAGACGGTCGTCCGCAGCCCGGCAAGCTCGTACACCGTTAACTGTGAGTTCTCTGTCCCGTAGCACCCGTGGTCACTATCGGGAGGCGAGCCGGCTGATTCTGGGTCTCTAGCGGATGCGCTGTTCGCCAAGGGCAAGTGCTACACCTCCAACACCTACAGTGGCGCTGAAGCATCGAGCTACTGCTCCTCTTCTGGGTCTGACAGCAGCTCCGGGTCCAACTCCAGCTCCAGCTCAGGGGCAAAGTCGAGCTCCGGCTCGTCGTTCTCTTCGTGCTCGTGGGCGGGCCATTGTGCCGGTGAGTGATTTCCGTGTATACTGGTATAATAATGCTCGGCGTGTCTGTGATACTAAGCTTGAACTTGGACATAGGTGCCACCTGCTCCACTGAGGATGATTGCTCGGATGACCTTACTTGCCAGAGCGGCAAGTGCGCGTAACTTGGGCTTTTTTTGAAGTCGTATCACTGTAACACCATTGGGTCGTGCAACGGATGGATGTGAGATAACCAGAGGAGCTTTGTTGCCGGTCAACGCGGAAGCGTGGAGCATGTATTTATAGATGGAGGAAGCTGATATGTCAGTTGCATCCGAATATCGATTTGAAAAAGTGTCACCCGCGGGCACGGACGATCGTGCTTGCTCGCTTGGCAAGACATTGCGGGAATCATTCTCATTGAGCTGTTACTATGTCTCTCACCAATCGAAGCCGTTCAGAGCAGCTGTTCACTTATGATGGAGCTGTTTCACGTTTCGGGTTACAGCGGAAAGCATATATAGATTGAATCGCAATTGTGTCCGTTCCACCCGAGCACATTCGTGTGACGACAATTCCATCCGCAACCAAGGGGGTAAAGATATTCATATGAAAGTAGTAGGAGGGAGAGTGGCGAGAACTTTGGGGCATATAACCAGCAGAAGATGCAAAGGAAGCTGAGCAGTGGGAGAACACCTGCAACGAAAGACAATCTACCGTCATGATCATCAAAATGGCGACGTCGTTGAACGTCCTCCTAGCACTTCTGTTGGGGTCCAATTGGCTCAGTGGGCTGGCTCTCGCCGAGGAGTCTGTGCAGTCAAAGAACGAGACCGTTATCCGACGTGGCTTCTGTATCGTCGGCGGGGGTGCAGCGGGGACGTACGCTGCAATTCGTCTCCGCGAGCTGGGGCAGGATGTTGTGGTGGTAGAAAAGACCGGCCGTCTTGGAGGTCAGACGCGAACCTATTTCAATTGCCTCACGAGCACCGCCATCGATTACGGGGTGAGGAGATTTGACGACTCCCCCGAAACCCGCAAGTTCTTTAAGCATTTCAATATCCCGGTGGAAATTGACACTACCGCGAACGACTTCGAGACTGCGCGATACGACTTCCGCACGGGAGTGCCCGTCTCGCCGTACCCAGGCAATGCGACGGAGGCAATCGGGCGCTACACCGAGGAGCTCGAGCGATACTCATACCTGTCTCAGGGATGGAATCTTTCCGAGCAGGTGCCCGAGCCTCTTCTCGAACCCTTCCGTGACTTTGTCAAGCAACACGATCTGGGACCTGCCCTGGAGACCATGACTTTGCTCAGCCAGGGAATGCGCTATCTGCTCGACTATGCCACCGTTTACCTGTTGAAGATCGTCTCGTTGAGTCAGCTTAGAGGCCAGCATCTGGTCCCCTCACGTCGCAACAATTCTGAGATTTATTACGCGGCACAGCAGGAGCTGGGGGAGGACGTGATACTCCACAGCACAGTGGTGCATGCGCTGCGGTCCGATAATAAGCTTCATCGGTTGACAGTCGAATCGGACACTGGCGAGAGAGTTATTATCGAAGCTGATGCGACCGTCATGGCTCTACCCCCTAAGAATGACGAGATGGATGGCTTCGACCTTGACAGCCTTGAGTCGTTCTTTGTTCGGCAATTCCAGTGGGGGTACGTCTATACCGGCCTGATCAGCGACAGCGGCCTGCCAGAAGACACCCAGATCTTGAACCGTGGCGTTGATACGCCGTATAGACTTCCCCGGTATCCGTCCACGTACTCGATTGTGTCTACAGGCGTTGCTGGCATCCATCTAGTGACTTATGGAAGTGCGGAAGAGATGAGCGAGGAGGATGTTCGTGATGCGATCGTCGATGATATCCTGGGACTTCAGGATGGGGGTCTGAACACGACGCAGCCGACATTCCTGGCTTTTGCGACCCACAGCCCATTCGATATGTCCGTCAGCCGGGAGGCGATCAAAGCAGGGTTCTACCAGGACGTGGGAGACTTGCAAGGGCATCGCAACACTTATTGGGTGGGGTCCGCCTGGGAGCATCCTGATTCATCTGCCATCTGGAGATCTGTTGATCGCCTGCTCCCAGCGATTATCAGTGATTAGATGCTGGGTGTCACGAGCGCTCGAGGCAAGGGAGGGGCTCCGATGGCACTTCCACGTCGTAGCGATAACTATCGATGTAAGCCACTTGTGACATTTGCCAGGTCAAATCTTGCCATGAACATTGAATCCTATCTTTTCCTGTCCGTCGTTATGGCGTAGATTGGTACTCCGTATGCTGCCAGGCCGATAAAGCAGTCGGTTAAAGTGATTAGCTTCCGATAAGCTGGCAAATCCCCCGCTTTCCTTCCCGTGGGCTTATCTTATCGCCTGGTCAGTGCATGTGCAAGGGATGGGGGGATTCGACGCATCTTGCCAGGTTGGATTGGACAAGACAAGTGATAAGTAGCCGAGGGGCAGCATCTTCTCCTGTCTGATTCTTACTTTAGATCTCCTTCAATAGACCTCGTAGTCATGAATATGCCTTCAGATTCCGCTGTTCCTTCCGAGCGCCACGATGCCGATGACACAACCGCCCTTGGATCGCGCGTGTTACGCAAGGTGGATAGACGGCTGATTCCCCTGCTCTTCGTCACCTACCTGCTCAATTACATGGACAAGGCCATTCTTTCCAGCGCTTCTGTGTTCGGGTTGACAGAAGACACGGTCAGATAATTCGACCTCTTGCCACCTGTGAAGCTTGCTGACAGTATTTGGCACAGCATCTGGTCGGACAGCAATACAGCTGGGTTTCGAGTATCTTCTACTTCGGGTATTTCTTCTGGGAATGGGTATGACTGATGCTTGACAATAATGACAACGGCTGATATCTCTAGCCCACCAACCTGTTAATTCCACGAGTGCCGGTGGCCAAGTACCTGGGACTCAACACGCTCTTTTGGGGCGCGGTGGTTGCGCTCACAGCCGCTTGTGTGAATTATGGCGGTCTCTTGGCTGTTCGGTTCCTGCTCGGGGTTGCAGAAGCCACCATCACACCCGCTTTCATGTTCATCACCTCGACTTGGTACACCCGGGATGAGATTCCGTTCCGGACGGGGATCTGGTTCTCGGGGAACTCGGTCGGTGGTCTCATCGCTAGCCTACTGGCTTATGGCATCGGACACATTGAGCACCCACTCCGACCGTGGATGTGGATGTTTATCATCCTAGGTATTGCTACCTTTCTGTGGGGGTTTGTTCTTCTGGCATTCTTGCCGGACAGTATCTCCAGCGCCCGTTTCCTGAGCTCCGAGGAGCGGGAATATATGAGCAATCGTGCTGTGATTGCTGGTACAGGACGTACGGAGCATACCACATGGAAATGGGAGCAGGCCGTGGAATGTGTTCAGGACCCGAAAACTTGGCATCTTTTTGCCATCGCTCTGTTGACCCAGATACCAAACGGAGGCACCCAGAATTTCGGGAACCTGGTGATCAAGTCCTTTGGATTTACGTCCTTACAATCGACCCTGATCAACATCCCTGCGAGTGTGATTAGTGCGGCCACCATTGCCATGACCGGGTGGCTGGCGGGTCGATCCAACAAGCTTAACTGTATCTTGATAGTGTGCGTGATCATCTTTCCCATCATTGGCAGCGCAATCATCTACGCTCGTGCGCATTATGTGCCCCTGGGAGCGCAACTCTTCGGGTACTTTCTTCTTTCGACAGGGCCGGGGGCGTTGCCACTGGTGATGTCTCTGCTACAGAGCAACTATCGGGGCGTCACGAAGAAGATGACGATGACCGCCATGATGTTCGTCGCGTATTGTGCGGGCAACATCGCCGGACCACAGCTGTTCCGAACCAGTGAGGCACCGACGTACCCGACATCGTTCCGGGCCATTTTGATCTGTTATATCATTGTTGTTGGGCTGGTCATCTCTTTGCGCTGCTACCTGCAATGGCTTAACGCGAAACGAGACCGTGACGAGGGGATACAGGGCAGTGCCAGTTTAGCGGGCGCTGTAGGAGGGAAGGTGGTCAACGAGCAACGCGATGGGACTGATGTCTCAGTGCTCGTGAGGTCTGTGGAACTGGACCAAGCAGACTATGAAGACGTGACAGACTGGAACACGGTCGGATTTCGCTATCGCCTGTGAGTCGTCGCTTCAAAGAAAGTGTCAACCTAATAAGCCTGAAACTCTTATCGTTATCTTGTTTCTATGGGGTGTCAGAACCCACCTCAGGGCTGAGAGACGTAGTCTTAGTTGCAGTCTGAGATAGAAGTTGCGCCGGAATAATTAAGGGAAATGGAGTTGGAAGAAGGAAGTTGACATGAAGGAGGAAAGGTAAAAGAGGGGAAAGAGCTGTTTGTTGGGTTTGTTTATCACCAATCAAACAACTTCCCACTTCATACCATTTTTTATCCTAACTACCTGCATTCAGGGTTGATATTACCACTTATGGATCTCAAGACTGTTCAAAACTGCAAGAATTCGTTCCTGGTTTCCTCAGTGCCTCCCCTTATGACGACCACTATCGCCACGATCTTTGGGCTGCGTCCTACGTCCACCGCAGCAATGCAGGTTGCGACACGCCATCCCAGTCGCTCGCCATAGCAGTATGAAGTCTTAAGTGGCCGAGAAAGGGATCCAGAGTCTCGTAGATAGCCCATCGGCCACGCCAAGAGTATACTGATAGTCGAAGAGGTGCCAATCATGGCAGACTGCCATAGACCTATCGATCGGACTCCGACGGGGCCCCGGGAGGAGATCGGCAGGGGTTACTGAAGCCGAGCACCGAACAATATGATAGCCACTTTGTTTCTCCTCTCGATCTGCCAACAGGCTTGACTTGCAAGGCACCCCTCACAGAGCGACGCATCATGCAAGTTTTGCACGGGGCATTCACCTCATTTGAGTGGTCGATGCTTGTCTCCCGCGGAAAGACTGCGGATGTAACATTCATCTAACGGTCTACGACATTGCCGCAAACGGACTTGATCGCCGCTCATTCAAGCTTGATATTGATATTATACAGCCAGGGCTTGCCGCCAGTTGCAAGAATAGATTATCATGCACTGTTTCAAGCTCTCTCAGAGCAGCAGATACCGCAACAGGGGCCTTTCCCCGCTCAACCGCTGCACTATTTATTCCATGGTTGTCCATTATGTCGCACAGGTACTTCCTTCATGATTCAACAACTTTCAACTGTTCTCATCCCCGGCTGCAATGAAGTTTAGCACTATAGCGTGGCTGCTGCCCTCTTTGGTGGTGGGTGTGGCCCAGGCCGTGCCCCATGCGCAAAGAGATACGGTATCCAAGGTGGTCAAGAGGGGCATCGAGTACACTGTCTATCATCATGCAGCTACTAGAGCCAACTTGGAGATAGTGAAGAACTCGGGAATCTGTGAGACCACACCTGGGGTCAATCAATACTCGGGCTATCTCTCTGTTGGGGAGGATATGAACATGTTCTTCTGGTATGCAACGCGGCCCACGTTTAGTTTCTAGCCAAGCTCACGGGCCACCTCAGGTTCTTTGAAGCTCGACACAACCCACAAACAGCACCTTTGACGGCTTGGTTTAATGGTGGTCCCGGTTGTTCGTCCATGATTGGTTTGTTCCAGGAGCATGGACCGTGTCGATTTGTCAACAACGAAACGACACCGTCCTTAAACCCCTACAGCTGGAACACCTACTCAAACATGATCTACATCGACCAGCCCATCGGAGTTGGATTTTCGTACGGTAACAATGCTGTCAATAGCACGGTCACAGCTGCTCCGTATGTATGGAAGCTGTTGCAAGCCTTCTTCGCTCATTTCCCTGAGTACGAGAACCGCGAATTCAATCTATTTACCGAGGTACGCAGAAGCACGACTGGTTCCGTCTATCGCATCATATACTTACCAACCCGCAGTCATACGGGGGTCACTATGGCCCTGAATTCGCTCACTACATCCAGCAACAGAATAGCGGGATCCAAGCGGGCGCTGTGACGGGGAAGACTATTCAGATCGGGTCTCTTGGCATCAACAACGGCTGGTTTGATTCCACGATCCAAGAGAAAGCCTACATCACCTACGCGTTGCAAAACCCCTACCGTCCTCTAATCAATGCCTCTGCTGGAGCCAAGTATTACAAGGACTATCAGCAGTACTGCGTTCCCGCCATTGAGCAATGCACTACCTTTGGAACAGACGCTGCGTGCCGCATGGCCGGCAACGTCTGTGGCGACGTGATCGATAGTCCGATCACGGAGTCCGGCAATTGGGATGTATATGACGTGCGCGAGCGCTCAAATGACCCTTACCCGCCCTCGACTTACCATAACTACCTGAACAAGGAGAGCGTGAAGCGCGCGATTGGGGCCCGCCAGAACTATTCCGAATGTTCTAACGCGCCATCCTATAAATTCTCTACGACAGGTGATGGTAAGTAATGGGGCAGGTTGTCTGTGCTTGCCGTTACTGATGTGGGTTTTGTAGACACCCGCTCTTTCCTCTCCACGCTTTCCGACGTGGTGCAGACCGGAATCAACGTGCTACTCTGGGCCGGTGACGCGGACTGGATCTGTAACTGGATCGGCGGGTTCGACGTAGCCAACGCGGTCGAGTTCGCGGGACAGACGGTTTTCCAGAACAAGACTCTCCAGCCTTATAGGGTGAACGGGACGGAGAAAGGTACCTTCAAGACGGTCGGAAACTTTACTTTCCTCCGAGTGTATGAGGCTGGGCACGAGGTTCCCTACTACCGTAAGTTGCCAATGTTTCTGCTTTTTTTTTTTGTTTTCTCGATGGCGAATCATGAATCGCTGACTTTATTTTTGTGTGTAGAGCCGGAGACTGCTCTTCAGGTGTTCTCACAAGTTATCCGGAAAGTGCCTATCTTCTCAACCTAGGTGCTCTCTGAGGTGGGATCATTTGTGCGGCGATCATGGGTGATGGGGATGCTCTCGGAGCAGGAAGGAGTATAGAAGCTAAGCTAATGTACAGGGAGTGACGATGAGAAGTACCTGCCTTGGATGCACCGAAAAGGCTCTCGGTGGGGAATAATCAAGCGGCGGGCCAAGCACTCAGCCGTAACCGGCGGATATTGCGCAATGTCCACAATGTATTTTGTGCATTGGTCTTGGTAATATAACCCAGTGACTGTGAGCTTTCGCACGATTGGCGATTCTTCCATGTTTTCGGGGATTGCCCAGGTGCATAATCGGGGATGAAGATGCTGCAGCGAGGCACTGAGCGGCAGCCGCGGGATTCTGCGCGTGGACTGCGGTCAGATGAGCGTTCTAGCCCGGCAAAAGCACGGACTGCGGTTGGAGTCGGATCTAGCTTTGTATCGGACTTTTGATATAATGCTGTCTGTTATGAGTGAGTCAACGACTGAAGAGTGAGTCAAGATATGATCATACCGATTGAGAGAATGGCAGTATCTTTCCAGTCTTATCACTGTATCCGGCTGTCAGCCTATGGATATGATCGTAAATCGAGCTGAGCTGAGACCATAGACTATCTTCTGAATTGGAATAGTAGCCTCCATTTCCAACCAGGATTCGCTCAACAGTGGATCTTCAGCTTAAGTAATACGACCATCGCCCCCACGCATTTATGTACAGTGAGTGTAAAGAGAGTGTAAAGAGGGCGTAAGATGAGTGTATTGAGTGTAAGAACGAACGAGGATGACTCAAGGCTTGCCTTTGCCTTTATTTGCCTCTCACCGCCAGCCTCGATTTGTGCGGATCTCACTCTTTCCCCACGTCCCCAACCGTCGCAAATCCGTGGATATCTGGGGTGATCGTCCATGAATCGATAAATTCTTATTCCACCTGAAGTATAGATTGGAGAAAATAGCTTCGTCGATGCAAAACAACATGGAAAAACCCTTGCCCGCCGGCTATCGCTGGCGCTCGTCACGGACCTTCATCGTCTTCACTGTCACCGTCGCTCTGTTTGCAGAAACCTTTCTCTATGGCTTCGTCGTCCCCATCCTGAGCCATATGATCGAGGTGCGGCTGGGCATCGACCCGTCCGAAACGCAACGCTATACCACCGCGCTGTTGTCCCTCCATGGCTTTCTTGGCGTCATCGCTGCCCCCATCATCGCCCATTTCGCTGACAAGACCCCCAACCGCAAACTCCCACTGCTCCTGGCCCTGGGCGGCTGCTTCGTGGGCACCACGCTGGTTGCCCTCACATTGAATGGTACGGATGGCCTTTCCTTCCGCGCGCGAAGTCGGCGAAACTAACGCGTAGAGATAGTGACTACGTTGTTTGCGGGCCGCATGATGCAGTCCATCGCCGGGTGTGCAGCTTGGGTCGTCGGGTTCGCCATGCTGACCGATTACATCGACGCCGATAACATGGGGGCGACGATGGGACTGGCCATGACGTTTGTGACGGCGGGCATCATCTCCGGCCCGACGGTGGCGGGAGTCATGCTGGAACTCTTTGGATACTGGTCGGCCTGGTCGGTTCCTTTGGTGGTGCTAGCGGTGGACATCGTCGCGCGGTTGATTATGGTCGAGCCCATGGATCAAGCCAAGGCTCCCACCTCGCAGGATGAGACCACTGGTCTGCTGTCGGACAGCCCAGAGGACCAGCTGGCCGCAGATGACTCGGCCCGTCCCGACGCTTCATCTCCTGGCCATTTCTACAAGATCATGCTTAGCGATGCCCGGGTGCTGGTCGGTCTCGCGAATACCCTGGGGATGTGCTCCATCCTATCGGGGCTCGAGGCCACGCTCCCTCTGCACCTCCGTGATGCCTTCAACTGGGGCAGCTTGCCGACCGGCTTGATGTTCTTCTGTCTCCAGATTCCCTCGTTCTTTCTCGCTGCGGCGGCGGGATGGATGCGCGACCGACAGGGACTCCGCAACCCGACGGCGCTGGGTTGGTTCTTGCTGGCGCCCCTGCTGTGGCTCCTGGGCGTGCCCGGCGACGCTAAGTTCCCGTGGGCCAGTGCCGACGCCCACGGCAAGCCCATGTTTATCGCGACCATGCTCAGTTTTGGTCTCTTCTCCATGCTGGTCCGTGGCGCCGGTAGTCTGCAGGTGACTTGTGAGTGTGATTATCTCGTAGTGTGGGTGCCAATCGCTGACATGGTATGGCAGTCGTCGTCAAGGAGAAACAGGCCAAGGACCCGCTCATCTTCGGACCCCATGGAGGGAGCTCGCGCAGCTTCTCGATGGTGGAGATGGCCTTTGGCGTCGGATCGATGGTCGGCCCTCTGCTTGCCGGCTCGTTGTCCGAGAGTTACGGTTATTATTACTCGACCATGGTGCTTGGTGAGTTGCCATTCCGCTTCAACAATCCCGGCTGCATGGATCTGGCTAACGTTTCTCAGCAATTCTCTGCCTCGTGCTCTCCGTCGCGTCGTACAAATACTTTGACACCCGGTCGACCCGATCAGATGGTCCCAACGCTTAGACGAGTTAGACTGATGGACTGTGACGACTTGTCGATGAGATAGATGATAAATGTTGGTAGCTAAAAGTTTTCTTTCTCTTTTTGGTTACTCATTTTGGAAAATCAATGGATTGGAGTTTTCGTCGCGCATTGTGGTGCAACAGCCAAGCAAGCAACCCGCGTAGCATTAAAGGGGGAGTAGAAACGCGACAATCGAGAACGGAACAACCGAGAACGGAACAACCGTGGACTATTTAGATAATTGCATTTTCGACGGGCAATTGGCGGTCACGGCAAAGGAAAATAAGCAATAGTGGCCCGGGCGGAGGGCGGTCCAGAGCAGAGCACTGCTTGACATTTCTGTCCTCGCATCGCGACCGTGTTGAAGGGCGCAGCGGAAATTCCGCACGGGAGTCGCGGTGGGGGTGAAACCGCCCTGTCCATATCGAGGGTCACTAGTGAATGAGACTCGTCGCATTTGAGACAGTGTCGGACTGCGACCGAGTAGAGGAGCGAACAGGGGAGAGAGAGAGAGAGAGAAAGAGAGAGAGAATGTATGCAGTGCAGTGTGTGCACTATTTAGACTACGGAGTACTATTTACAGACTCCAGTCATGGTTCATTGCGATGTGCAACACCCCAGGTTTAGAGACAGTCTAAGGGGCAACTGCAAAGTCTTTAGCCCTAAAGGGGGGAGGAGGAGGGGTAAGTGGTACCTGGACGGGATTATATTAATAGAAATTCAAATTAAAATTGATTAGAGTCGAGTCTGAGTGTCAGACTAATTTAGTTTAGTCTAATTTAGTTTCAGGACTAATAGCAGTCTCTCTACGCTTAGCCAAGAAGAAACAAAAAAAAGGGGTCAGTGGAGACGTCTGAAACCTCACCCTTCGGTTTCACTTCCTCTCCTGTGAATCCTCCTTTTTTCCCTTTTTTTACCTTTGCCCACACTCTTTTAGTTCTAGAATTTCGATCTGCCCCTTCTCTTTCCCTCCTGATCCTTTCCGCGCATTTCTCTGCTACTTTCCCCTCAAATCATTAGGGATTCTTTCTTTCTCTCCTCCCCGTACCACCACCATCACCACCATCACACTCACGCTCTCTCTCTCTCTCTGTGCAGCTCTAATCCAATGGAGTCGTACCACCTCCTGCCCCGGGCCTCGAAAAGAGCTGCTGCAGCCATGGCTTCTTCGCTGCATCTCTGGACCCGCGACTGCGATTCGAGCAACGAGTCGTGCGAAAAGCCCGTCAGCAATTTCCTGAAGAGCGGTGTCCCGGGCATTGTCACTGGCGTGTAGGTGATCACTATATTGACCTTTCAGGGAAACCATCCCGATTGATGTTTCTAGGATCGTATTGGGTGCCATTTGTGTTTTCATCTACCTGCATATTCGCAACAGGAAACGCGATGCACGCGAAGATCAAGAGATTCGCAAGTGGAACGAAGTTAACGTATGACCTCCCTGGTCTGCGGTGTCCTTCTCCGCGGTGATTTTCTGTGGAGGTGAATGCACACCGATTGGCGCTGCAGCGTCTCTCCCCACGCGCACGCCCTGTCTCTCTCTCTCTCTCTCTTACTTTCGCATACTCTCGCATACCCCCTTATCGTCGCTTTATGATTAATTCTGCTTTCGTCGTGTTCTTTGAGCTCTGTCGCATTCGCTGTTTGGTCACCTTGAGCTACTGCATGACCGTCGCGCGTCTCAGCAACGTGTTAGTTGAATGGTTTGGCAGATTCTTTTGGTCTACTGGGTGCTTTTGGTTCTTCGGAGTTCGGGTTCTCGGGGCTTGGGTCTGCCCTCATGGTCTTGCTCTCGGGTTTACTTTTTTTCTTGCTTCTGTTCAGCATCCATTCTACGTCGACTGGCTGCTATGAAAGCGTCTCACTGGCGACTCTGTACCATATCGAGATGGGTCCGTGCGGTGACTGTTTGCGGATTCATGTCCCCCCACTGTGTACATACGAAGTTGTATATTCTATCCCATGAATTGACTACTGATCAACGAGCATTTATTATTCCTCCGAGCTGGCTGGAATGTGCGACTTCCAAATCCGGACACCACCACGTCGCACCGGAATAGAAACCAATCTGTAATTCAGCAGAGACTGTGCAATGCTCAGCTCCTTCATTCACTGCCCCATACATTCCTCCGGGGGTAAATGTGGGGTTGGTATGCGACCCTGTCGCTCAAATCACCCACACGTGATATGATCGCATCGGCTTCAAAGATTGACCACTCCAGTTGGATCTCGATATTAGATCTTCGAGTACATTACGCTACAGGCGCAGTGGGTAGTTATGTAACAGACAGGTTGACGTCTCGGGAAAATCCGCGGGTAAATTGGGCCCCTCTTGCACGAACCAGGGCGCAATATCTACGGCAGCTGCAGATCAATCTGCCTGAGGACTCTGATTTGTGGGATGAACGGTCTCCGATGCATGAGCCTAGTCTGAGAGCTGCAGAAACAAGTGCTCTCTTCCAGCTCATGCAATATCCAGTCTTGCCACTTTCTCATGGTTCCTCCCCGATTTAATTAATGGGGCCATCGGCCATCCCCCCTCATGAGCCTGTTTGGCTGATTTCACAACTCTCACCATGCGACTACGGACCTGTCTTTCTATCCTCACAGCATGTGTGCTGCCTGGTCACGCGCGATTCGATGCGTCGACGGTGGCATGGTACACCTCGCCGGCCACCAATTTCACCACCACGCTACCGATCGGAAATGGCCGGCTGGGCGCCGCAATCTGGGGCACTGCCATTGAGAATGTCACCCTGAATGAGGATTCCATCTGGAATGGTTCGTTCGTCAACCGAGTTAACCCCAAGTCTTACGGCGCATTGGCTCCGGTCCGCTCGATGTTGGCCAGCGGCAACATCACCACCGCCGGCGAGGTCACGCTGGAAGACATGGCAGGCATACCTGCGCTGCCGCAGTCGTATAGTCCCTTGGGCGCGCTACGGTTGGATTTCGGACATGCCAGGTCGGCTATCCGCAATTATACCCGGTCGCTCGATCTGCGCACTGGCAATGCGGTGGTGGATTATGACTACCAGGGTGTTACCTTCAGGTGAGGCACCCAAGCGACACGGTTTGGCCCCTGCTGATGTGAGCCAGACGAGAATACGTCGCGAGCTACCCGGACGATGTAATCGCTATTCGTCTCTCGACCAGCAAGGCTGGTAGCCTGAACGTGGTTTGTTCGCTGGAACGCGCCCTATTCGTGGTTGAGAAGACTGCGTCGGCCACTGAGGGCGTTGGAACCTTGGTCCTCAAGGCTAATTCAATTGCCGATCAAGACGGCCCTATTCGCTTCTCTTCCCAGGCGCGGATTATGTCCAATGGAGGTGAGAGTCTTGCCGATATTTCCACGGAGCAGGCTGATTGTTGTAGGGCGGATTGGAACCAATGGAACTTCCATCGTCGTGCGTGGCGCTTCCACTGTGGACATCGTCTTTGATGCCGAAACCTCCTACAGATACGAGTCTGAGCGCAATCGCGACGCTGAGCTCGAACAGAAGCTGCAGTCTGCAGTCAAGTCAGGATTTGCAGTCGTCAAGAAGAATGCCGTTTCCGACTATGCTGCACTATCGGAGCGAGTTGATTTGGATCTGGGATCCTCCGGCATGACTGGGAGATTACCAACGGACACTCGTCTGCTAAACTACCAGCATAGTCCGGACAGTGACCCCGAGCTGGCGACGCTGATGTTTCACTTCGGTCGGCATTGCTTGATCACCTCGTCCCGCGCAAAATCATCCCCAGGTCTGCCGGCCAATCTGCAAGGTCTCTGGAATCAGGACTATGATCCGGCGTGGGGCGGCCGCTTCACCCTCGACATTAATCTAGAGATGAATTACTGGCCAGCTCAAGTAACTAATTTGGCGGAGACGTTCACGCCGTTCATCGACTTGATGGACATCATCAAGCCCCGTGGTCAAGACGTGGCGCGAAGCATGTACCACTGCGACAATGAAGGGTACGTGCTACACCACAACACCGATCTCTGGGGCGATGCAGCACCCGTTGATAATGGGACAACCTGGACTATGTGGCCCATGGGCGGAGCATGGCTATCGGCGAATCTGATGGAGCACTACCGATTCACTCAGGACGAGACCGTCCTCCGAGAACGCATCTGGCCGTTACTGCAAAGTGCAGCCCAATTCTACTACTGCTATCTCTTTCCGTTCGAGGGTTATTACAGTACTGGCCCCTCGATCTCCCCGGAGGCGGCTTTTATTGTCCCGGATACCATGTTCAAAGCCGGGAGTGCGGAGGGCATCGATATCGCACCCACCATGGACAATTCTCTCCTTCATGAGCTCTTCCAGTCGGTGATTGAGACTTGCAACACGCTTGGAATTACTGGGTCAGATCTGCACACAGCCAAGAAATACCTTGCCAAGATCAAGCCTCCTCAGATCGGGTCAGCCGGTCGGATCTTGGAATGGAGACTAGACTATCAGGAACAGGATCCCGGCCACCGCCACATGAGTCCAATCGTAGGGCTATATCCGGGCTCCCAGCTGGCGCCTCTCGTCAACCAGACTCTCGCGAAAGCGGCCAAGGCGTTCCTGGACTACCGGATCGATAGTGGAAGCGGCAGCACCGGCTGGTCGCGCACCTGGACGATGAATCTGTATGCACGACTGTTCGATGGCGATGCTGTTTGGAACCACACCCAGATCTACCTCAAGAAGTTCCCAAGCCCCAATCTCTGGAACACGGACTCGGGCCCGGATACTGTGTTTCAGATTGATGGGAACTTTGCGTTCACATCCGGCATTGCGGAGATGCTCCTCCAGAGTCATGAGGTCGTGCATCTCTTACCGGCTTTGCCTTCTGCCGTTCCAGCGGGCTCTGTATCGGGCTTGGTCGCTCGGGGAAACTTTATGGTGGATATGCAATGGTCGGGTGGGGTGCTGCAGCAGGCGACTATCACTTCTCGGAGTGGTAAACCGTTAGCCATTCGTGTGCAGGATGGAAGGCAGTTTCTCGTGGATGGTGGGGCGTATTTGGGGCCGATTCATACACGGAAGGGAGAGAAGTATACTATCACTCTATCAAACTCTCGGAGATGAACTCTGTATCTATTAGTCTCTGCCATATGTGTATATATGGGGAAAGAAGGATGGACTCAGTCGGGTAGAGGCCACCAACCTTCAACTTTCGCTCTATACGTAACTTAATTGCTTCTACTGGAACAGAATGGAGACACACTGGGTTTCCACCAACAGGAGAGCGATCCGAGAACCCCACGAACTCCACTTGAAAATTCCCCCATTCTGGATAGAATGAGGCATCAACACATCCATGATTGAATTTTGTTTTCTATAACCCTCGCGACTGCAACACATTTCCAACCAATATAACTTTCTTAGCAGCAAACCATCTGTCTCTGACTATCTAACTACGCTCATCATGGCCGACTCAAACCCCCGACTGCGTTATGCAGACGTAAGCCCCGTCCCTGCCGTCGCCTACTTTATGCCATGAACCACCCACTGACCCCGAACCAGGTAGCCGTAACCTACACGGCGGATCAATTCCAAGGCATCTACCGGGGCAAGCAATACCACGCGCCGGACTTCGACCAAGTGCTGAAGCGCGCGCAAGCCCACAACTGCGAGAAGATCATGCTGACGACTATGAATTTGGCGGGGGCGCACGCCAACCTGGAAGTGGTGCAAGCACACCCGGCAATGTGCACGATGACGCTGGGCGTACACCCCTACCACGCCGACGAGCTCTTCACCACCGCCACAACCGAGCAACCCCTAACCCCCAACCAAGACTACCTAACCACCCTAACGACCCTCGCACAAACCCTCCTCGCGCAAACACCCAGCCCACTAGTCGCCTTCGGCGAAATCGGACTAGACTACAGCTACCTCGACCGCGCCAACAAAGCCACCCAACAAGCAGCCTTCAGTCTACAGCTGGAGCTCGCCGCGACACAGTTCCCACAACTGCCGTTTTTCCTGCACGTACGTGAGTCTTGCGACGACGTCATCCGACTAATTGAACCGTATCTGCCCCGGCTGCCTAAGGGTGGACTCGTGCATTCGTTCACCGGTACGCGGGATGAGATGCAGCGGCTGGTGGATCTCGGGCTCGGGATCAGTGTCAACGGGGTTAGTTTCCGCACGGACGAGGGATTGGAGATGGTTAGGGCGATTCCGTTGGATCGGTTGCAGTTGGAGACGGATGCGCCGTGGTGTGAGGTGCTTGAGGGGGATGAGCGCGTTAAAAAGTATTTGGTGGGTGCCACGGAGTTGCCTGCTTCGCGGAAGCATGGGCGGTTTGTGGCTGGGTTGATGGTTAAGGGGAGGAATGAGAGTTGTGCTATTGAGAGGGTTGCCAGGGTTGTTGCTGGGGTTAAGGGTCTGGGTCTTGAGGTTGTTGCTCGGGCGGCGTGGAGGAATAGTGTTGCCATGTTTGGGTTGGGGGTTGAGGAGGGCGGTGTGGAGGGGGAGTAGGATTGTTTGGATTTGAGTATTTTACTATAGAGATGTGAAATAGAGGAGTCGGTTAGAATACGGCGCGCTTTTGCATTGGGGCCTGCAGTCACCGCTATAGCTTCCATATAGAAAATCACAACCGGCTCAATCTCTGCCCGGCTGCGAAGGCGGTGCAGGCCATGCCTGACATGCCCCCTCCGCAGACCAACACGTCTACCTTGAGTGATTTCATCCTGATTGGGTGGTAGTCAAATGTAGTTGGATATTGAAGAAATATTCTGGGTTTTTATGAAATGTTGTGAGGTGTGAAAAGAGAATATACTAGTAAATCTATTCACTGTGTATACATATACCACCCTCCGGTCTCTAAAATAAAAGGCCGGGTCCCGTGCCCGCCCGGCCGTGACTTCCCCCCGTAATTTCTCTCTCCTCTTCCCCACACTTCTCCCCTCATTGTCAACTTGCCAACAAACTTCATTCCTTAATTCAGACTAACTAACACCAATAGTCTGATTCAAATCATGCGCATCGGTCCTAGCCAACCGGCCTCTGACCATGGCGACGCGCACAAGCGAAGAACCAGCACCGCCGCAATCCACCCGGCCAGTTGCGCCAGCCGCCTGCGAAGCATGCAGAAAGCTCAAGGTGCGCTGATACCACAGACACGCCAAACAACCAGGCTAACCCTCGGAAGTAGATGCGATGCACACGAAAGGAGAGCTCGACTAACTCTCCGTGCGATCGCTGCGTGCGCAACCAACGCGCGTGCGTGATTCCTCCAGCACGGCCTCTGGGCCGCAAACCGGGGGCAGTCGGCCGCTTCTCAGGCATCGAAAAAGCTTACCGCCAGATTCAGGCAGAACTCCGCAAGGGCCCCGGTTCGACCTCGTTGCCTAAGGCCACCATCTCCCCCGTCCCCCAGCCATCGGTATCTACATCGCATGAGGCCCTCTCGCAACATTCCCTTCAGCCCGTGAGCAATCCGCTTGCACTACTAGCCGATGCCTCTGAACCTCTTCATACGAGTGAATCACAGCCATCAAAGGAACTTACCGAGCCCGGCAGAGGGAGGGACCTGCTATCTCGGCCAGGCTATGTCTCCTTGGGTCTGCACCTCAGTCGAGAAACCCTCGAGACGGGCCTGGATACTCTTTTTGCGTCTACTTCCAAGACTGGGAGAAACGTGGACTATTTCAAGCAACCAAGTCCGACCGCATTTCGTGATGTCGGGCCCGATCTCGATCCAGTGGATTTGGGCCTGGTCACAATGGAAGAAGCCCACGCGTTGTTTCCGATGTCAGTCTAACGAGCACAGTTCAAACAAACTAATGCTAAGATCTATACAGTTATTTTGCTCGTCTTCACCCCGTCAACGGCATTCTAGATCCCTTGCTACACACCCCGGAGTTTGTCCGGTCGCAGTCCGCTCTCCTCTTCACCTGGATCTTGGCGCTTACTGCGCAATTCGACCGGACGCATTCCTCGTTGGCAAGGCGTCTGCAGCTCCATGGAGAGAAGCTATCCCGGCATGTTCATACCTGTGGGTTGAAGTCGGTTGAGATTGTGCAAGGGTATTACATCTCTCTACTTTCTGCCACCCCAGCAAAATCACTAGCCGAAGAGAGGACCTGGCTCTACACAATGTACGCTTTTGGGACTGCAGCAGAGCTTGGGCTAGATCAACACTCGAGGCCATTCGGGCAGCTCATGGTATCATTCGATGAAGAACAAGCTCCACCTGATGCCATGACTCCACTGTCCCCTCAAGTCGCAAACCAACGAGGCGCTCAACTTTCATCCACCCACCACAACGAGGACTCCACCGAGAGCACTTATCGTCAACGGCTCATCAGAAACAAAGAGCGCACATGGTTTCGAATACTACTCTGGGAGCGAGCGAACAGCGCTGCGCGTGGACGCATCAACCCCTTTCCCGATACCGAGCTGATCGCAAACATCGAGGCCTGGTGGAAGCATCCGCTAGCAGACGCAACCGACAAGCATACGTGTGCCTTCATCCTACTGCGTCGTCACCTGGCCTCTATCCATGCTGACTTGCGGACCCAGAGAAAAGCAACACCGGATGATCCGCACTGGGTGAAAAGACTTGTCGACGACGCGCTGGAAATGTGGTGTATCGAGTGGCTTCCGGTACCGTACAGTGCGGCAGAGCCTTCTGAACAACTTGCGACAATATTCCTCTACTACGTATACCTTCACAACCGATTATGGATCCTGTCATTTGCTCTTCAAGCAAGTCAAAGCGGCAATCGGCATATTGAGACCATCCGACAAGATTGCCTGCAAGCTGCAATTCATACCTGCGAAGTTGCAGTGCGCGATTTACGGATGGTAGGCGAGCCACTCTACTGCATGCTTGCACCAACATGGGCTATGATCTCCTACGCCGCGGTTCTGGCCTTGAAGCTGTTTCCCTTGGTGTACGGGATTCTACCAGGAAGGGATACTGAATTACTTGCCCTCCTTTCGCAGGTTGCATTACAGCTCGAGCGCGCAGGGACTACACCATCACATCGCTTTGGTATTGCCGCCTTGCTGGGGGAACATCTCCTGGGTATTGTGCGTTCGAGAGCTGATTTGGCAAGAAGGATTCAGCATGAGCCAGTGAAGGGTCTCCACCCCAGGCATACCTCGGGCTATCCTACCCCATCACCAGTTGTCAGCAACACGCCGGCAAACAATCTTCAGGACCCAGTTTATGACTCCTTGCTCACGGATACCACAATAGCTATGGGCTCTGACTTGACTGGTGACAGCTTCAGTGATCTCTTTAGGGAAATCTTCGGACCGGGTTTCGCAGACTTCTTTTGATTCCTTATTCTGGCGACATTACTGCTCAAGCAGCAAGTCCGGTCTGAAGCGGTCCCCCGGATGAATATAACGCAACAGAATCGGCTCAATTTATCTATTCTAGAAATACGGGATAATAGCTCCCATAGCGGAATGAAGGAATGTCTATCAGTCTTTGGATACAGCAGCTACGCCACTCAACCCTCTTTGGCCAGCTCCAGGAGCGCGGTGGAACTTTTTACTTCGTTGTGAGAGAAGCAGATTCCCATAAACTTGACCATTTCCGCGGCTAGTATCTTCATAAGCAAAAGCTTTCACACAACGAATGGCTATTGAGGTCATACCTGACATTCTCTTGGCTGTGGTATCATTGTCGTCCACGCCATTCTTGCGAGTATAATCCAATACAAGCTCAATACGTGACCGACGGGCTTTCTCGTACAATTCCAGGCGGGCGGGGATGTCACCGACTCGAGTACCCGTGGGTAGCAGCACTGCTAAGGACACCGCATCCTCGATCGCCATCGCGCCACCCTGGCCCATATCTATGGAGCTGTTAGCACACTGCAACTTCAATAGGAAAGTCACTTTTCGCGTACAGGGTTGGAAGGGATGTGCAGCATCTCCTAGCAAGGCTGACCGGCCTCTGACCCACGTTGGGAGAGCTTCCATATCGAAGAGCTCCCATACTTTGAGGCTATCATCCGCCACGTCCACCAGTTCTTTGACCGCGGGCCCGAAATTCGCGAATCCAGATACGAGGGCATCCTTGCTTCCGACGGCTTGCCAGCCTGTTGAACGAGTTAGAGATTCAATCTCACAAAAAGGGTATCATTTTACCTTCGCCAAGTCCTCCGGCCTCCGCTGTCGGGAGGAAAGCGCAGAGGTTAATTACATTGTTGTTAGAGCATGGATATGCTACCAGCCGTCGATCGTCACCTGCCCATTCGATGAAGACTCCGGGCTCCTGGACTAGGTATTTCGTCGCAGGCAGCTGACACAATTCATCTGTGGCTAGAAGCCACCGGAAACAGGACTTTCCAGCTGGAAAGGGAGAAGGCGGTTGCTGCCCTATCTCGTTGCGTACGATGGACTGTTGCGATGGTCAGATCTGCTGTCGAGTGTCTTGTTGCAAGACCGTAGTAGCCTACGTGGAGCCCATCTGCACCCAGCAACAAGTCCCCCTCGAACCTTTCCCCATTCTCGAGAGTGACTGACGGACGCTCACTGGTTACGTCAATGCTGACGATTTTGCAGCCCATATGCAGGGTTGCCGTCTGCAGGGCCCGCTGCTTGAGATAGTTGTGCAGGTCAACTCGATGCACGAGATACCATTCCTACCAAGTTATGAGCCCTATCCTCGAGTCGTGAGAGTATGCGACTTACTGCTTGCCACATGTGTCGAATGCCATCGAACTCCTTCTTGTACTTCAGGTTGCCCAGGGTATCGTACCGGTGAATCTAGTCGCGGCTTAGCATTTATACAGCAATGCTACACATATAGAACTGAACAGTTAAACCTGCTCTAGGAGAGTGCCTCCAAAGTCCTTTGGGTCGATATCGAGCCAGTTCAGTAACGCGGTACAATTGGGTGGCACATGGATGGCGGCCCCGGCTTCGCGAGAGAACTTGGACTTTTCTAGGATCTAGCACAATCAGTACAGTACATAGAACGGCTAGCTTTTCGGAGAGCATGGGTCGGCCATACGAAAACATTATGCCCTTGTTTCCCCAGCGCAATCGCAGCAGTCAAGCCTGCAATGCCTGCGCCTATGATCAGGACCTGCAACGGTCGGGGCTCTTCATTGGAGACGGTCATTTCGATCTGTTGCACGATAAGTTTCTGACGCTGATATAAGCCAAGTCTTCCGCTTTCATCTTTTCAAGACCTGCAAGGGCATTTTATCCATGCATTGATGCAGCGAGCATCCCTGTTTCGGAGACTCGGACTCGGGGAATTGCCTCGGAGATAACGACGGCATCCGACGGATCAAAGTGGGCTCATTCCAGTATCAGGTGTAAAGTCTAGGGCACTCTGTTTGGATCTATTCGTAAGGACCTATACAGATCGTCGATCTTTTCCTGAGAGATTTAAGGCAGGTCGCGACGGTCAATGAGAGTTGTGCATGATTTGTTAGTGGAGATGATGCGTACGTGGATGGTGAAGCATTTGTTGTCCGCGAAGGAAACTCTGCTCCTCAACTGTCCGAGTGGTACGATCAGTACGGAGTACATACTATGGTTAACCTTTTAGCTACTAGATATCAACCTGGTCGACAGGATAATTGTTGGGCTCACTTCCGGGCCGATCCGCCTAAGGATTCAAGTCTGCATGACTTGTCCCTCCGTTCCCCTGTTCTCACTTGACCCTCAACTACACCTAAATCTTGGAAGCACCAATGAGGGAGAACATACAGTTTAGGAAACAGGAGCTTTCGATTGCTATCTCTTTTCGGACACAACAAGACATTGCATAGCAACTCGCTCATCCTACGACCCGGCAACTCTAGCTTCTCCAATACGTGGCCCACTTGCTCTGTCCCTTGACCAATTTAACAAACTCTCGCGCGATGATGCGGTCCGTTTGCTCGGACGGGTGAAGGTCGTTCCACCACATGTAGCTGTCACGTACTGCGTTTGACTTGCAGGCGTTGCCGCATCGGTATATCGAGCTGGTGACATTTAACGGCGCAGTCCCGTTCAGGTAGTTGGACGGGTTCTTCCAGATATCAGTCATCTGTGTGAACATGTCAGCTTTACATTCTCTCCCTCTGCACCGTTAAAGCAGAAAGAAACCGTCCTTACCAAGGAGTGCACATCATAAATGGCAAAGCTGCTATGCGGATACCGCTTGGCGATTTGGACGTCATACGGCGTCTGATACTCGAACACGGCGTTCACCATCGTCGCGTACTGGCGCATCTTCTCGCTCGACTGCGTGATATTGGCATTATACGTGGACTTGTCCGTCCAGTACTCGCCGGCAGGCAGGCCCCCGTTTTGCGGCAGGGCGTACTCCGGGGCCAGGTCGAGGGGCGCCAGGTTCATCAGCACGAAGTTCCGCGCGCCGATGGCGTGGAGCCGATCGAGCTGGGTGTACACGCACTCGGTGAAGTAGGTCAGCGGCATGCCCGCGGGCTGGACCTCGGTGAGGAATCCGCCGTAGCCCAGGTCATTGGTGCCGATCCAGATCGCATAGACCGTCTCCTCGGGCCGGTTGATGAGCGCGGTCTGGCCGGTTGTCTTGTTGATGTATTGGCGGTCGGCCAGAAAGGCGGGCAGCTGGTCCTGTTTCACCGCGTTGCGCTGGCTGTTGGCCACCATCACATCGCATACCGCCCCGGCGACGGCATAGTCGTACAGATTGATGCCGGAGTACTGCTGGACATAGCTCGGCCAGGCCCGGCCGCCGTCCCATTCGTTGGTGGACTAATTGATGATTGTTAGTGATTGCTCGGGAGCTTGAGCGGTCGTAGAGATTCTCTTCCTACCTGCTCTGCCACTGGTGGGGTGTATGAGTAGACGCCGTCATCGGTGTAGCTGTCGCCGAAGACTACCAGAGAAGAGAACTTCTTCAGCAATGCTTGCGATCGTTTCGACGGCGCGCAAACTGCAGTGCCCGATGCTAGGGCAAGGACGAGCGCCGCCAGCGCAGATTTCATGGTGGTGGGAAGGTGTCAGGAAGTGATTCGGACGTGCTTTAGTGTGAGGAAGGCATGCCTTGCGGTGCACAGTGCGTGCCTCGACGGTATTTCAACTAGAACAGCCTGCAAGGCTCCTTTCCTCGGTCATTCCAGGGGAGACCCTCATTGCTGATGGCGTCCATGGTTGGTGGAGATTCTTCCGAGGTAATCAGAGGATCATGCAGGGGAGTTACCATGCAGGATCGAATAGCCTGAGTTGGAGGTGGACTGGTATGATGTCTTCGTTACTTTGCTCTACAAGTACAGTGCAGATTGCGGGGTAAATATGGAGTTGACGAATTTAACCGGGATTTACGGCCCCATCTATCAATGCAATCCACCATTGGTGGGATTTCACTAGGGATACTTATTGCTCAATCCACTGATGCGGTCAACCTGCAGCAGGCTTTCGCTTCCATGATCAAGAAAGGAGACCCCCATCTCGGTGAGGCCACTGTTATTGCAATGCTTGCGATACTCGGGTCAAGGTAACCTCACCATGCTCAGGACTGTCTTTCTCTATATCGCCCTCCACATCATCCAAACGGCGGCCTGGCAAGTGCCCGCAGACTATGCCATCACTCCGTCCCCCGACGGCCGGTTCCTGCAGCAATCGAATGGAGCGCCATTCTTCTGGCAGGCAGACACGGCGTGGCTGTTGTTCCATCGCCTCAACTACAGTGAGGCCGAGACATATCTGTCGGATCGAGCGCGCAAGGGATTCACCGTGGTCCTCGCCGTGGGCTTCACGCAGGAAGGGATTGCCAGTCCCAACTGCAATGGGGATCTGACTTTCATCGACGAAGATGTGACACGGCCGAACGAGGCCTACTGGGCGTATATCGACTCCATCGTGTCCCTGGCATGGAGCAAAGGCATTCGTATCTGTATGGTGCCCGCCTGGGGCAAGTTTGTGCACGGCAGCGGTGCGTTCATAGTTCTCCATCCTCCTGTGAGCATTGGGTGTAAGCATTGGGTGCTAATCGGGACCAGACAACTCGGCTAGCGTTCTCAACGCTACGACCGCGCCGACCTTCGGGAAGTTCATCGGCCAGCGGTATCCCTACCTCCCCAAAACCCTCGTCGCCGACACCAACCCGTACTGGCAGAATAAGACTGCCGTCAAGGCCGACTATTCCCGCGGGGGTGTCCCACCGACCTACGAGGTGATCGACTGGTCGCCCGTCTACGATGCGCTGGCCGAAGGGATCGTAGCCGGCGAGCGACAAGCACTCTCTGCCTCATCGTCGCCATCGGCGGACGACTGGTGGCCCCTGATGACCATCCACCCGACCAACCAGTGGTTCACGGGAGGACCGATCGCGCTGGCGCACGCGTTCTTGGGGAACCGCAGCTGGCTCACGCTGGACAGCAGTCAGTCGGGCCATGCGGACTATGCGCCCAACCCTCCGATCCCGTGGTGGAATTGCCGTCGCGGCTGGGAGCCTGTGGAGCTCATGTATGCGGCGGGCTCACAAGCCGGCGGTCGCCCGCGGCCGGTGATTGACAACGAGGCGCACTACGAGCATCGGTACAATAATGGCAACCACAACGCTTCCTACTGGAATGCCAGCGACGTGCGCATCGGCAGCTGGCAGGCGGTGCGTCGATCCTGTCTCCTGGAGCGGCTCCATAAATGATTTATCGCTGACAGCAGGGCCATCAGGTGTTCTCCGGCGCAGCGGGCCTCACGTACGGGGCCAACGCGGTGCAGCAGATGGCCATCCCCGGATTATTTCAGTCGGATGGGAGTGGCCCCGGGGACAACTGGGCGACGGACCTCGTGCTCCCCGGGTCGAGTCAGATGCAGTGGATCCAGAAGGTGGTGATGGACCGCGGAGCGTCGAGCTATTTCCGGCGCGTGCCTGCGCAGGATCTCCTGGTGGGCGATGTGGGCGCGGATGACGCTCGGGTCACGGCCACGCGCGATCGGGACGGCGGCTGGATTCTGGTGTATACCCCCACGGGGAAGTCATTCCAGGTCGACACGCGGAGCTTGAAGTCCTGCGCGGTGCAGGCGAGCTGGTATGATCCGCTGCGGGGGGTGTATAGTCGGTTTGATTACACCCAGTGTGAACAGAGCTTGGTTCGAAGCTTCATGCCCCCGACTGCTGGGGATCATGTGGATTGGGTGTTGGTGCTGGAGGTATTGGATTGACCGGGGTGTATGTAGCTTATATATTCTGATCGATAGTAGATCGCTCTACTACGCCGCGGCCAGTGTTCTGCCGTTTTCCATGACGGTTTACTGCTAGGTTATTGTGCATGTATACCATCTGTATCTCTCGAGAGGAGTCAGACATGATGATGAGTAGTACACAGGAACCTGAAGTGTTTTTTTGGCAATTGGTAACCCCAGTATATATATTTTTTTATAGTAATCATGTGGTGTGCCCGACGGAAGCCCCTCGGCCTTCGCACCTCGATTAATCAGCCATCGTCCCCCATGAGCACTGATCTCCATCATCCCCCGCTGAGAAATTTCCCACGTGGCCGAGATCGGAGAGCCAAAGTTGGGATACCTGCCACTTCATTGCCTCGTCCGTAAATTGGTGTTCCTCGGATTGTGTTGGAGCCAATCGCGGGTTGCAGAGGAAAAGCGGGTGCTGAGTCATTCTGCCGGCTGCTTCATCACACCGCCCTGCCCCACCACTTCCCCGTGCGGTGTCGTCCGATTGGCTGGGGAAGTGGCGTGTGTGGCGGGTTTTCTCCATTTGGTTTCTCCAGTTGGTCAGGGGAGATTCCGGGAACGAAAGAAAGAGAGATGAGAGCCTGGAGACTATGAATAGATCGCTCGCTAAGACATGTCTCTGAGTCTGAAAGGGTCATCCACTCTCCAGGGTGAAGCATAGATGTGCGTGCAACTTTGGTCCGGTTGATGCATGGATACATGAGAGCATCAGAAGATGTCAGTTGCATGCTCAACACCCCTTCATCTGACATTTGTTCTACCGAGCCATGTCAAAGGATAGTGCTTCAAGTCAGGATCTCATCTCTCCACCCAGAGACGGGTTCTACAGAATCCTTGAGAACAACCTCACAACACGTGACACAACCCGGGCCCTTGCCCGGCTCTCTCCCCTGATCTAGTGCCAATAGTGCCCGACCATTGCCCTTTTAATACAGCCTCATTAAGATAGATGGTGGTCTAGAAGAGTGGTGTTGAATCCAGCCTCAAGCCGTGGCCTGGATTTAGAATGGACAGGAAAATAAATCACCAGAGAACCAAGTGTCAATCACCTCGGATCTCGTCAACACGAGAGGGCAGATGCACGACGCAACAGTCATCTACCGACCGTTGACGTCAGGCCACTGCTGACTTGGTGTACTGTACAGTACACGTCGGTCAGGGGAAATGATCGATCAGCAGTCAAGGAAACGATCGCCGGGAGACCAAGCCACCGTGCGTGAGGAGCGTCCCGAATTAGATCCTGAGGAAATAAGACGGTAGTTTCGGTACCTGCAGGAGGGGTTGCTGGATTGCTGACAGTCAGGGGCAGACAGGAGAGTGAATGGGTTGTGCGACCGAGAGAAAGAGAAAGAGTCGAGAAACAGTCTGCTCTGTGAAGAACCCCTGGAGACTTGGGCCAGATCCCACTACATCTATAAGGCAAATGAATTAATTAATTCTCGATCAGGGGCAGGGGAAGCAGCAAAAGGACCGTCGTCATCTCCGGACCACTTCTTCCACTTCTCCCACTTCTTCCAGTCCCTCTCTCCCCACTGGCAGATCCACTCAGAAAGCCACTGGAGCCACTGACAGTGAAGGTTCCAGGGCCAACAGGTACAATTAATGCCTCATTGGGGGGGGGGGAAATCGACGTGTGCTATTCTCAGCCGTGGAGCGGAAACTAGGGCTGTGGGCCGTTGGTTATCATTCAGTCTTACTTACAGTCTTACTCAGTCTAGGCCCAGCTTTTCCTTCTTTGCTGATTGCCTCTCCCGCTTTCTGCTTGCTTTCTTTTATTTGCCCGTCTTTCTCTCTCTCTCTCTCTCTCTCTTTCTTCCCCTCTTCTTTTTCTTTGCTTTCTCCCCATCCCCCATCCTCCTCTCTCTCTCTCTCCCTCTCGTGTGAACGCGGACTTGTCATTCTTTTCCAACTCCCGTTCCTTGCATTCACTCAATCTTCTACGACACTCACTTTCACTCTCACCAGCGTCAATCTCTATTATCCACCATGCACTACACTTCCACCTTGGCCGCCCTGGCCCTCGCGGCTGCCACTGCCCAGGCTGCCCACCAGGGTTTCAACTACGGCAACAAGAAGCCCGATGAGAGCTCCAAGTTCCAGGCCGACTTCGAGGCCGAGTTCAAGACCGCTAAGAACCTGGTTGGCACTTCGGGCTTCACCAGTGCTCGTCTCTACACCATGATCGTAAGTCTCCTATGCGATGCCACTCACTGCATACGTTCTCCCCGCTGACCTCCCCCCCCCAGCAAGCCTACAGCACCAACGATGTCATCTCCGCCATCCCCGCCGCCATCGCGCAAGATACTTCCCTCCTGCTCGGTTTGTGGGCCTCTGGAGGTGGCATGGCCAACGAGATCGCCGCCCTCAAGTCCGCCATCTCCCAGTACGGCGACGACTTCGCCAAGCTCGTGGTCGGTATCTCCGTCGGCAGTGAGGATCTGTACCGCAACTCTGTCGAGGGTGTCCAGGCCTCGGCCGGTGTCGGTGTCAACCCCGATGAGCTCGTCGAGTACATCAAGCAGGTGCGCGAGGTCATCGCCGGCACTAGCTTGGCCAAGGCTCCCATCGGCCACGTCGACACCTGGGATTCGTGGACCAACAGCTCCAACTCCGCCGTGATCGATGCTGTCGACTGGCTCGGTTTCGACGGCTACCCCTTCTGGCAGAAGACCTTCAAGAACGACATCAGCAACGCCAAGGAGCTCTTCCTGGACTCTGTCGACAAGACCAAGGCCGTGGCTGGCGGCAAGGAGGTCTGGATCACCGAGACTGGATGGCCCGTCAGCGGTGACTCGCAGGGTGATGCTGTCGCCAACACGGCCAACGCCAAGATCTTCTGGGATGAGGTTGGCTGCCCTCTGTTTGGCAACACCAACACCTGGTGGTACATTCTCCAGGACACCAGCGCCACCAGCACCCCCAACCCTAGCTTCGGTATCGTTGGCAGCACCCTGAGCACCACCCCTCTGTTCGACCTGTCTTGCAAGAACACCACCTCTTCTTCGTCTTCCTCCTCTTCCACCTCTGGTGCTGGCAAGTCTGGCTCTGGCTCTTCTTCTGGCTCTAAGTCCGGCTCCGGCTCTGGCTCTGGCTCCTCTGGCTCTGGCTCCGGTTCCTCCGGCTCTGGTTCCGGCTCCGGTTCCGGCTCCGGCTCTGGCTCCTCCGGCTCTGGCTCTGGCTCCTCCGGCTCTGGCTCCGCCTCCGGCAGCTGGGGTGGCCGCAACAGCACCTGGGCCGGCCACGGCAACGGCACCTACCCCGGCTTCAAGCCCTCCGCCAGCTTGGGTCTGATCCCCTCCGCCAGTGCTGGTGCCGGTAGCTCCGGTTCTTCCAGCTCCGGCTCTTCTTCCTCCGGCACCGGCACCTCCGCTGCCGCCGCCTCTTCCTCCGGCCTCTTCACCGGTGGTTCCGGCCGTGTCCTCCCTGGCTCCCTGCTCGGTGCCGTCGTCGGTATCATCGCCCTGGCCGTCTTGTAAATGAGAGGCTACGAGTGAGATGAGGCGGTAGCATTAGACATATTTTTCTCTTCGTGTACACTTTTAGGACGATCGTTTAATTCAATGATGCCGGGTTGTCTTCCGACTGTCTGTAAAGTACAGCACTAGAATACACGAATTGATGTTATCACACATGTTGACTGATGTTGTAAGCACGTAGGAGTAGGGTTGTGAATTCTAACATATCTAGATTGAGTGACTTGGACCCGTCATATCTTTCTAATCTAAGAAATCCCTGGCTACAACTTATATACGAACCTGAACACTCCGACCAAGCCACGATGGAGGTGTCGTCCAATCACTCAGTCTTGACCTTCAAACTCTGCTGCAAACACTCCACGACATCCTCGACCGTCTGTCCCCGCAACCTCTCGTCAGGCTTCTCGCGTCCGAGAACCGGATCCTCCGCCACAGCCTGATAAACATCAGCGATGCCATTGAACCTGTTCGATTTCATCAGCCCTGTCCCCACTTCCCCTTCATCCTGCTCCCACGGGACGAAGGAAAGGAAAGGAAAGGAGACTTACACGTCAGCATTAAACCCCCCCTCAGCCATCGTGCGCCCGATCTCGCGCATCTCATGCACCCACCGATACGCCCTAGACGGCATGCCCACGACCCCGCGCTCCGCCATCCCCAGCGCCGCAGGGTTATACTCGTGCAGCAGGGCGCGCAGGTCCGGGAGGACGCCGAATCCGTCGGCCGTGGTGTAGGATTCGATGGCCAGCGCCGTGAAGCCCTTGGTTAGCGCGGCGAAGCACATCTTCAGGGCGGCGGCCCTGCCGATTTCCTGGGACACGTGGCGGAGGTTGAGCACGGTGGCTAGTTGGGCGTCGGGTAGGGGTTCGGGGCCGGAGACGACCAGTGCTGGGCGGTGCCATCTTTCGTTCCCTTTCTTTCCTTCCTGGTCTTCTTGTTGGTTTTCTTGTTGTTGCTGGTTCTGCTCCTGCTCCTGATCAGGCAAGGAGAGGAGCCGCGGCGGCGCCCCAATGATGCCCCCCGAGAGGATGCGGAGGTGCGGGCCCGCGTTGGTGTACAGGCGCGCCAGCTCGTGTGCGGTCGTCGGTGATACGGCGTTCAGGTCCACGATGTGCAGCGGTGCGTCGCGCACGAAGTGGCGCGCTGTTGCGGCGGCGATGATGCGCTCGGCTGTCGGGAGGGCCTCGACTGGCGGCACGATCGAGAGCAGCACGTCGCTGTTGTCGATTAGGTCTTGGAGCGAGTGCCGCAGTTCGATGCCTGCGGTCCAGGCGCGGCGTTGCGTCGATTCGCTGTTGCGTTGGTGGTTAGAGTCGTAGGATCCGGGGGGCAGGGGTGCTTACCTTCGGTCTGAGGCGTAGGTTAGCACGCGGTATTGGTGGGCGCGGAGGAGCTGGGCGATGCCGAAGCCCATCTCGCCGATGGAGAGGATGCCGATGGCTTCGGAGTCCATGGTTTTGTGATGATAGTGGTGGTGGTGTTGGTGGTGGTGGTGATAGTGATGATATTGAGGGTGAGATTGGAGTAAATCAGGTGAGATGCTAGGCGGAGATGGCGGGGCAATTGCTGGACTAGCAGTGAATGTGATAAGAAGGGAGGATTATAGGATTAAAAACAAGGATCCGAACTAGGATCAGAGGTGCTAAACTAGGGTCAATGTAAATGTCGGTAAGTTGAAGCCACTACTGCAGCACCTCATCTAGATGGTGACTGCTATTTGTATTCCTGTCTCGCCCTGACCTGCTCCGCCATCGCTGCTGGGTACATGTGCACGCTCAGCATCAGCTGACGCCTGCCATTCCTCGTCATCTTAGAGAGATCGATGGTGTTACCATCCAGGAGTTCGTGGGCTGACGCGGTCTCATCTTATCATGCTATGCCGCCCGATTCCGATTGCCCTGTATCGGCATCGGCGCACCACCTTGTCCACGGTCGGATTTGACAGTTGCGTGACCGATCTTCAATTCCAGCCACGGCGATGGCCTGCTGGATCATTCCGACCCGGAACTGGCGTCCGAGAAGGGACAGACTGAGTTGGGATGCCGATGGAGGTCGAATTAGGGCAACCGAGTCGGGCCGACCGGGGATTGAAGCAGCATTCATTCAATTGCCTGCTCCCTGGAGAGGCGATGCTCACACCTATTTAGGTCCCACCACCCCTATGCCTGCTTCGTAGAAAGTCTACCCCTCCGTTCCCAGTCTGCACGAAGGTAAGCTGAGCAAACCAGATCGTCGGTCCCTTTATGAGCAAGATGGCGATCCCAGAGCTGCCTTGTCCTGTCGATCGGGAGATCATTGCACAACTCAGCGCGGGGTTTCAAACCTGGTATGTCTCTCGCAGTTGCCTTAATAATTGACCATTACAGCAGTCAGTAGTCAATGTACTGCAGAACTACATGAGTACGATTCTCAGGCATCCACCGTGGATGCCCAAACAGCCACCACGAGGAGATATCACACCGCGATAAGAGCGCGACCCACGGGCACAGCGGTGGCAACAGCATGTCGACCAAGCTGGCACAGAAAGGAAACCAGTTTCCGAGGATTCAAGACTCAAGAAGGATCCAGTCTGATCCAGGGCCGTGGAGCCAACCGTGGATGAAGGGCTCCACCAGCAAGAGCGACGCGCAAACCACCGCAAGGGATTGATGCTTACTTTGCTGCTCTGGTTTTAGCCCTGCAAAATTCAACCCTTAGCGTCTGTGTCTCTGTGCTTGTCTCCCCACCTCCAGTCATCGTGGCCACCATGAGAGAGCTGTGTGCTTGTGTGTTGAACAATGTTCTACTATCACTGCCTCCGGGCTCTCTTTTCCGAGGCTCTCAAGAGAGATATAAAACCATGACGATGAACTGACACTCCACCGCTAATCTCCTCCACCATGCCACCTCCATATCCCACCCCCGACCACTCGCAACCCCCCAGTCCGTCGAGGAAAAGCCCATCTCGGGCCTGTCCTCAGCTGCCATGTCTCGCCGAACCTCTACCTCGGATCCCCAGCCCGGCATTGGCAGCAGTCGTTTCGCTGCCACACCGGCCACGGGGGCGCAGACCCCGGACCCTCTTCTGGGCCCCAAAGTCGCTGTCCCCGCCGATGTACTCAAGAAATTCCCCCAGGCGATCACTCGCCCTCGCGATGAGAGCAGTGACGATGAGGACGCCATCGCGTTGTCTGCCACCGGTCCGCGGTTCCGCCGTCCCTCTGCGGTGGCATACCCTGGCGACAATGTTCACGCCGACGAAGCAGGCTCTCCACCCCCCGAGGCTTCGAAGGCTGCGCGGCAGGGCGTCCCTTCGGAATTGTCCAGCTTTGCCGCGGAGCTCCTGCTGATTGCCGTCTGCTCCGTCGGTTTGATGCTCTTCTCCTTCCTCCTGGGAGACATGCTCGCGCCGCAAATCCAACTCCGCGCCGCCCTGGGTATCAGCAACACCGAGCTCCCCTGGCTTGTCGGCGCCTTCAACGTGGCCAACGGTCTTTCGGTGGTCGTCTCCGGCTCGTTGACCGATTTAACGCCTCCGCGACCCCTGATGGTGGGCGCCTTCACCTGGCTCACGCTGTGGAACCTCATTGGCGCCTTCTCCCTGTCGCCCTCGCGCCGCATCCTCTTCTTCATTGTGCGCGCCATGCAGGGGCTCGCCATCGGCGTGCTGGTCTCGGGCAGCATGAGCATTCTCGGCCGCGTGTACAAGCCCGGCGTCCGCAAGAATCGGGTCTTCAGCGCCATGGCCGCTTGCGCGCCCTTCGGCTTCTCGCTCGGAGCCATCCAGGGCGGACTCCTGTTCCATCATCTCCCCTGGATCTTTGGTTCGAACGCGATGATCACCGCGCTCTGTGCCGTGGCAGCCTTCTTCGCCATCCCGCCACTGCGCCCGGTGGCGGACGTCGCCGGCACCGAAGCCCCCTCCCTGAAGCAGTTCGACTACCTGGGGGCCGGGTTCGCGGTGGGCGGCTGCGTGTGTCTGCTGTTTGGTCTCACGCAGGGCGGCGTGACCAACTGGTCGCCGTACACGATCGCGTTGACGGTGCTGGGCATTGTGCTGCTGGTGGGTTTGTTCATCACCGAACGGCACGTGGCGCGGCCGTTGATCCCCAACCGGCTCTGGTCGACCAAGGGCTTCACGCCGCTGATGATCGCGTACTTCCTGGGCTTCGGGTCGTTCTTCGGAGGCTGGCAGTTCTACGCGATCCAATTCTGGCTGCGCATCCAGCACGCCACGCCGGTCGCCGTGGCGCTGTACCACATCCCCAACGCCCTCGTCGGGGTGTTCGCCACCTGGGTCGTCAGTCGCACGCTACACCTCGTGCCGGGCCATTATATCTACACCATCTCCATGTTCGCCTTCACCCTCGGTCCCGCCTTCTTCCTCCCCCAGACGGCCAACACCATCTACTGGGCCCTCTCCTTCCCCGGCATCGCCTTGGTGACCTTCGGCCCGGACCTGGCCTTCGCCGCCGCCTCGATCTTCATCACCAGCAACGTCGCCCGCTCGTACCAGGGCAGCGCCGGCAGTTTGCTGGTCACCAACCAGAACCTCAGCTCGGCCATCCTAACCAGTGTGGCCGATGCGATCGGCACGCGCGTCGACAAGACCCCGGAGGGAGACGTGGGTCTGCAGGGTCTGCGCGCCATCTGGTGGTTCGCGTTGGGCTGCCAGCTGGTGGCCGCTCTGATCACCGTGACGTGTGTGCGGATTCCGAAGGAGGAGGAGAAGGAGCATGTTACCTGAGGTCTTGGTTCTTGGATACTAACGTGGCTGCGTCGATAAATGTAGATGGCTTGGTTATAGGGATACAAAAGTATATAGATTGATTTTCTTTTAGGATTGACGAGGATACATAATGATATACGAATTGTTTGCCGTTGATAATCAGCCACGATTTGCTTTTTGTTGTGTGTATCCATGCGAGTCTTGCTACTTCCGCAAACGCCCGTAGATGCCGGATACGCGGATCAACGGATGTGGCTGCATTTGAAGGTGAAGTGCACTTGCGGGGAGTTGAGTGGATGGAGGGCACTGCTGATAGTTGCTGATAGTATATTGAACTGTCGGAACAGTATCCGACTGACAACAATGACCATGGGGTTATTCTGTGTGGAAATGATGTCTTCATCGGGCATCTTATCGCGGATCTTGATCCGGCGGGGTAAGCGGGGAAATCGGGGAAAAGAATGCCATTGCCGCCTGGCTTGTTTATTAATAAATCATTCCCCTCACGTTTGCTGTCATCATTACTTCGTATTTCTCCTTCAGCTACCTTCCACTCCCCCCCTCCCCCCAACATCCCCTCTAATCCTCTATCTCTACACTCTACACCATGTCCGACAAATTCAACATCCTCATCTTCGGTGCCACCGGCAACATCGGCTCGTACATCACGCAGGCCCTCCTGGACGCCCGCCCGCACTTCGGCCGTTTCGCCATCTTCACGAGCCCCAACTCGCTGCAGACCAAGACCGAAGTGCTGGACAAGCTACGACGCCAGGGCGTCGATATCCTGGTGGGCGACATCGCCAACGCCGACGAGGTGCGCAAAGCCTACGCGGGTACGTTTACAGTCCTTTCCCCGAACCCCCAAGCCCAAACCTGTCCTTCCCGTGCACAACAAATGCACTACCACCGCATGCGATCCTCCACCGAACCGAACCGAACTAAACTGGGAACCACAGATTTCGACACGGTCGTCTCAGCGCTCGGCCGCGACGCACTAGCCGCGCAGATCCCACTGATCGAACTGGCCGCCGCATCGGCGAGCGTGCGCCGCTTCCTGCCCTCGGAGTACGGCACCGACATCGAGTACGGCCCCGCCTCCAAGGACGAGAAGCCCCATCAGCAGAAACTCAAGGTGCGCGCGGCGCTGGCCAAGCTACGCGACCAGCTGGAGTACGCCTACGTCGTCACCGGACCGTATGCCGATTACCCCTTCTTCTTGGCGGATGTGCCGGCGGCGCCGCAGGCTGGGTCGTTTGATGTCAAGGCGGCCAAGGCCGTGCTCGTCGGCGATGGTGAGGGGCGGATTAGTTTGAGTGGGTGTTCTGAGTAGGTTCTTCCTTTCTTTTCGTTTCTGTGCTTCGTTGTTGCGTGGTGGTGATGTCCATACTTCCTGGTTCGATGGGGTTCTGTTGGCTTGTCATTGGCTTGGATTTGTTTGCTTACTTCGATTGCGATGCAATCGGGTTGCGGAGGGGGCTAGATTGAGTTGGTGATGCTGATGGTTTCTAGTGTCGGCCGATTCGTGGTCCACGCCCTCACCCACTGGGACCAGGCCAAGTACCGCGCCCTCAAGCTGAACTCGTTCACCACCACTCCCAAGGAGATCCTCCAGGAGTTCGAGTTCCAGTCCGGTCAGAGGTGGAAGGTCGAGTATACCTCGCTGGATGAGCTCCGGAAGTTGGAGCAGGAGGCCTGGGAGAAGGGGACGCCCCTTGCCACGTTGTATACTCTGCGGCGTATCTGGGCCGAGGGCGGCACGCTGTATGAACGGCGGGACAACGAGGATATTGGGGTCGTGGACACACAGTCCTTGCAGGAGTTGGTGCGCGATTCGATCCGTCGACAGTTGGAGAAGTGAGGCTGTCAACTGGGGTGAAGTCTAGCTTGAGTCGTTCAAGGTCAGTCGGGAGAACAGAATGTATAGTACAACTAGTTAAAGCTGAGTTCAACCGCCATTGACATAAGTGACTGCTTATCCAATCTTCCATATTTTTGCATGATGCACTCTCAAACCAGGCAGGCACGAACTGTGCTCAGTATTAACCGTTGTCCGGAACGGCACGTGGTCGTGATATGTTGGACCAAGCCTCCAGCCGGACCCTCTCAGCTTAGACATTACTAAACATCGTCCAACATTGGTGCAGTAGAAACGAAGTCCTTGCTGCATTCATGTGTCTGGTTAAGCGAAGCAGCAGCATAGCAAGGAAGACAGCATTCCCGAACCCCGTTCCAGACCTGGGCTGGCCCGCTCAAGAGTAGTCTTCATCTACATTCCACCCACGCGCTCGTATGCCGTGCCTGCTGTCAAAGATCGGTACTGCCAACTGCCGGGCAGATCTCCACCACTGGCTACTTAGTTCCCGATGTCAGACGGCGAGGAAGCAAGACCGCATGCCATTTCCGAGGTAGGAGCTGCAGCGACCCGAGCCTGACTCGGCTAGCACCACGTGGTCGTTGCCTACCCGATGTTCCGTGGGAGAATACTCTGACGGGTGTGGAGATCTAGAGCTGGGGGTATCGTGAGTGAACAATAGTTGTAGACCTGCGCGTAGCAATGAAATGATACTGTGGTACACTGCCAACTCCTTGTCCGGCCCGTTGTCAACCTCAACCTTACTCTGCCCGTCGGCTAACAGAGCCAATGGGTGTTCCAGACAGTGCCACCGATCCAGTGAGGCAGGCGATGGATCTCCCCGGCCCTCATCTGGAGTCTGGAGCAGACCAGGAGGTGTTGACCCGACTGAGTCAAAGTTCGGGGCCGATATAGGAGCCCGGGCGCGGTACGGCATGAGTCATTTCCGACAGCCCTGCAATCAAGCTCAATGGTGAACCAGACTATAGGATATGCTTGTTTTTAGCCTGCAGCGGATCGTGAGCTGCCGACAGCGCTAATTAATGGCAGAAGGTGAAGGCGAGATGCTATCTGGAGGCGAAAGGAGATGCGAGGCAGGCGAGATCGGCCTGCAGAGAGGCGGAGAGCAGTTGCTCCTGCTCCGAGATCGATGCCGCTAGCTGCTTCTGGACTAGTCCACGACGGCTGAGTCGGAAGCGGCACGGGGCTGACTCAGCCACTTCCTGGGTTTGGACTGGTGGATTGCCACTAACTAGTTGCCACTCTGCCCCGCCTTTGCCCCAATGCGGTAGTTGGACTTTTCCACTGCAGTTTCCACCATGACTGCATTCTTTTGCCTCTCAGCCTGGTAGGGACTTAAGGTATGGTTCCGGAGTGTCCCCGGATAGCTTATTTGCTCTGAGCACTTTAGTAGTTACTTGGTATTGCAGGTAGTATCACCGCCATCATGCAGGTAGACGACACTACCTCCAGTCCTCTGCCCTATCTCCTCCAGACTCACTCAGGACAGACCACAACACAATCCTTTGTGATTCTCACCGAATTCCCGTGGAAAACTCCCCCACTCCACCAGGTTCCTGGCCGAGTGGGCCATCGAGAAGTGAAAACGTCGCACCAGCCCATGCCCCAGTCCCGATATCGGCGCTGAGGCAAACTGGCCCCAGCAAAATCTGTGTCACGCCCGCAGAAATTGCACTTGTCGGGGATCTGATTTGCTGCACTGCCCGAACTATTAACTAACAAAAACCAGCTGCCCAGCCGTCAATGCTTCACTCACTCTGCGTATAATAACTCCCCAGGCCAGTGCTGGCTGTCCATTGCTTTCCTTTAGCCCTTCCTCCCTTTCACTCTTCCTTCCTTCCTCTCTCTTCCTCTCTTTCCCCTTCTTCCTCCTCCCTCTCTCCCCCTCCCCACCCCCAGGAAGTTCGTCATGTCGTCGCCGGAAGTCAAAGATATCGAATATGGCTCGGGGTCCCGAACCGACCCCGAGGCCTGGGACTCCGACCTCAAGGCCCCTGTCGAGGATCAGGATCCTTTTGGAGGCGAACATGTTGGCGAGGTACAATATAAGACCTTGGAGTGGTGGTAAGTGATATCATATTGTGTTTCAATTGGTTGTTCTACAGATCGATCTGATATTAACGTCTTTTTGGGGATTAGGCAATCCGGCTTCTGTATGTGATCTCCGTGATATCATACTATCTATAACCCGACCATGTCTAACTAATCCTGCTAGTGATGATTGCTGAGACGGTGTCCCTGGGTGTCCTCTCACTCCCCTCGACTGTTGCTACTGTCGGCCTCATCCCGTGAGTCTCTTTGTTGTCAGTCAGGCTACTGTCTGTTCGGATTGCTGACTCCCTCCAGGGCTATTATCCTCATTGTCGGCTTGGGCGTGGTCGCCACCTACTCCGGTTATGTCATCGGTCAATTCCGGGCGCGATATCCCTTCATCCACAGCATGGCCGACGCGGGCGAGGTCCTGATGGGTAAACCCGGTCGCATCTTCATCGAAGTCGCCCAGCTGCTCTTCTTCATGTTCGCCTCCGGCAGTCACCTGGTGACCTTCACCGTCATGATGAACACCCTCACCGACCATGGCACCTGCTCCGTGGTCTTCGGCGTCGTCGGCCTGATCCTATCCTTCCTCTGCTCCCTGCCGCGCACCATGAAGAACGTCTCCTGGTTCGCCATCGCCTGCTTCATCAGTATCTTCTCCGCCGTCCTCATCACCATGATCGGCGTCGGCATCGAGCAACCCTCCACCGAACCCATGCAACTCACCCGCAAGACGAGCTTCGTGAACGGCTTCTCCGCCGTGACCAACATCGGATTCGCCTACTGCGGCCACCCCGCCTTCTTCGGGTTTATTGCCGAGATGAAGAACCCTAAGGACTTCCCCAAGTCCCTGTGCATGCTGCAGGGTTTCGAGATCATCCTCTACACCGTCGCTTCCGCCGTCATCTACCGCTACGCCGGCCAGGACGTCAAGTCGCCCGCCCTGGGCTCGGCTGGCCCCGTTGTCCGCAAGGTCGCCTACGGAGTCGCCATCCCCACCATTGTCGTCGCCGGTGTCGTGCTGGGCCACGTCGCTATCAAGAACGTCTACGTGCGTCTGTTCCGCGGCACGGACGTCATGCACAAGCGCAGCGTCTTGGGTGTGGGTGCCTGGATCGGACTCGCCGCGGGCTACTGGATCGTCGCCTGGATCATCGCCGAGGCCATCCCTGTGTTCAGCAACCTGGTCAGCTTGATTGTATGTTCCGCTTTCCGTGGCTCTCTGTATCTGCAACCATATGCTAATTATACTGCAGTGCGCCCTCTTCGCCAGTTGGTTCTCGTTCGGCCTGCCCGGCATCTTCTGGCTCTACATGTACCGGGGCAACTACTTCAACTCGTGGCGCAAGACCCTGCTCACCCTGGCCAATTTGGGTCTGTTTGCCATCGGCGCCACGATCTGCATCTGCGGGCTGTGGGTGTCCGGGTTGGCCATCCACAACGACAGCTCCGGAAGCAGTTTCTCGTGTGCGAATAATGCATAATGCGCTGGCGTATTGATATTTCGGGTTTTTTTCCGCTGTAAATAGACTTTATAGACTGTATCATAGTTTAGACTTTTGTAATATACCCATCTGTCATTTTTCTGGTTGAATGCAGGTTCCGCTTCGACGTCATCGGAATGTGTCTGAGACATACAAAGTCACCTCACGTCATCGCTGGTTGCAGAACTAGAGGATGATTCATTGCTGACAAAACCAGATAGCTAATTCAGATCATTAATGCATGGATAATCTAATCATCACGGCATTATACATTCACTCGCATTAGACCTCCAACCTCAGCACTAACAACCTCAACACCCAGTTAACGCACCCCGTCTCCCTCTCGACTCGTCCCATCCCCTGCTGGATTTCGCCCATCATCGCCCGTAAGGTCTCGCACGTATACTCCATGCTCCCAGTCCGCTGCAGCTGATCCAGCACGCGCTGCTTCAGCGCCACGTCCATCCCGCCTGCTGCTCGGCCCTGCTGCAGCCACGCGCGAAGCGGACTATCCTTGGGCTGCGACCGCAGCGCGTGAATCAGCGGGAAGGAGAATTTGCCCTCGTCCAGGTCTTCGCAGAAGCCTTTCTGTCCGGTATACTGTTTTGTTTAGTTAGGACGCAACGATACACTGCGGGGGAACGGAGAGAGCGTACCTCCTCGGTGAGGTTCTTGTAGTCGTCGCGGATTTGGAAGTATTCGCCCAGGAGGTCGATAAGAGGAGAAAGGGGGATCTCGCTGGGGATGCGTTAGTCTCATTCTGAGTACAGAATAGGGTATGCAGGATTCCGGGTGCTCACCGGTTGCGCTGCGCAGGTGCCTTGGCGATCATCAGTCGCGCGAGGAGTCGGAAGAGTCCGCCTGTTTCTGCGGAGTGTCAGGCCAGACTCTTTGAGATTATTTAATATGGGACAGCAAGCACATACTCTGTCGGATCATCTCCATGTATTCGCCCTCGGTCGGACACTCGCCCTGTCGCGTCCAGTACAGGTCGTAGCTCTGGCCGGTGAACAGATTGCGCAACTCCTCGAAGTAGATGTCCAGACACTGAGTCTCGTCCAGCTGGCGTACCTCATCCATGGCCTGCAGGAGGAGGAAGTTGGCCGAGTTGATGGTCTGTCCGACGCCGAACACCGTGTGCGTCGCGGGCCGGCCGCGACGCAAGGGCGACGAGTCCTCGATGTCGTCCAGCCTGGGCGAGAGTCAGCATACACTTCACCAGAAGATAAGGGGGGACGCACATCAACGAGGCATTGTGGAGTGTCTTGGCGATCGACTTGAGCAGCTTCACCTGCCGGTCGGGCAGCATGAGCCAGACGTTCAGGGCGTCGATGAACGCCTCCCGCACGCCTTTCGAAGGCAGAGACGCGATGTACTCGGCTGGGCCCAGCAGGTGCTGTGCGGATTAGCTGGTGTGTCTGCCAGGCTGCAAAAGACATACCTCGGATCCTAGCTTCACTTCCTCCACGTCCCGCTCATCATCCGCCGCAGACGAAATGGACGAGCGAGGCGAGTTGGCGACCGACCAAACGGACGACTCGCTCGACTCACTTTCCTCCGAAACACTGGCGCGCTTTGCCTGTCCATGCATCGGCGACAAATACCCTTCATCGGCAGCAGTCTGCATGCTCTCCTGGAGCAGTCGACTGGCCTCCTCCACCAGATGCGGATGATACCGCGGGCATCGCAGACTCCAAGCAACGTTGCCGGGGATCTGATATCCCAGCGCGCGCAGATAGATCTGGACTTTGCGGTTGTTTTTTCCCTCGCCAGCGACGTATTCAGCCATGCGCTGCTGGTATTGCCTCTCAAAATCATTCGTGACTTCCCGTACCATCTCCTTGGCCGTGGGAACGTCAACCTCGTGCCATTTCATACACAGCCAGACGGCGTTGGTCATGGTTGTTTCTTCCGACTGTTGGAACTCCTCCCACTCCACATCAAACGAGAAGTAGTCGTTCGCGAGCCCCAGGGCCGCATAACACGGTCGCACCACGGGCTCGATGCTCGCCTGCTCTTCGGAGGTGAGGACGAAGCCCATCCCGAAGCGCATCAGCATGTCGACGAACCTGCTGAGGTTAGATTCCCGCTCGGATGTGCATGGGTGGGCTACTCACGGGGCGCCAGTGTCGATGATGCGGTAATCCACGTATTCCTCCCAATCGCGGAACGCGCGCGTCTTGTCCTTGGTGGCAGTGGTGTCGATCATCGTCTTCCACGAGTCCAGCACGACCTGCGCGCAGATGGGATCGATGGAGAATAGCTCAAGGAGCATCTTCGATTGCACCTGCTTCGTGCCGGTGACGGATCGGACGGTGCGGTATTCGGTCTCATCCAAGGCGATGTCATCCGCATGAGCATTGATCTGGGGGTGGCATTAGTGGTGAAGGGAGTGAATCGAACGGCATACTCACGGTGGACTTCGCCGCCGACTCGACGACATTATCGTACATGAACGCGTCTACACTGTCAGTCCGAGCTCATTCCGTGGCGGCGCGAGACCTACATTCGAAGATATAGTTCACGATCGCCATCCGCTCTGGTTTGCAGCAGGGCAGCACGACGGCCCCGAAGTGGCCCTCCCAGGGATTGCACGAACCCCATCGCTCGATGGGCCCGATGTACTTCTCCCAGTCGGCGCGCAGTTGGAGCGACCCTTCGTTGGCCTTGTGTTCCAGTGTATGCCGCCGCAACGGGTATCCGTGGCAAAAACCGTGGAGGTCAGGGGTCGCGCGCGGCACCAGAACAGAAAACCGGTCTTCTTCGGGGATAGAGGCTATAGGTTGCATGATTTATTGATTCTGTGATATTGATGAGATCCTAGAGACATCCCTCTTCGTCTCCCCCATCTTTCTCCCCGGGCCTTATAGTATGCACGGCTCTGGGCGAGGACATTGACCATCCCGTCATCGAATCCAGCCCTAGTTCGACCCAACGCGACTACAACCCCACAATCTGGGTACAATCTGGGTACCATCTGGTCGGGTCATCTAGATCTGCAAGCAAAACAAGGCCAGGATGAAGGTTAATTATCCCGATAAGCACAGCATTGCCGACGAAGCAACCATGGTTGCGTCGCGGTGATGTGAGGCCCCACGCGGGTTCCACTCGCCATGAACTGGCCTTGATGTCATAAACTTTGGCGATGGTTTCTTCAGCGTCGAAGCACGATGGATGCTTTATCCGCACCAGCCCAGATTCGCGATCTCGGTAGGGAAGGATCGGCGATCTGCAGGCCGCATGAACTCCTTCCAAGTCCTTGGCGCAATCGCTGAGATAATCGTGCAGCATCGGCTATTCAACCCGTCCAAGCATGGTTCTTCCTGGTCGCTGCTCGGTTTCCCTGCCTCCTATTTTACGATTCATCCTCCCGGCTTGCCATTGACCATCTGCTCTGTGTGCCGTGCTTTGTGTGAATTCTCTTCCATCCGTCATGGGCAGTCTCGCTCCGGATACCGCGGCCGCGCTGGCCAGCCTCAAGGCCACCTGTGCAGAACGAGGGCTGCTAGATCGGCCTCAGGGGCTGCAGGAGGGGGATGCCGTCGACGGCCTGACCGATGACTCGACCTTACTGTAAGTGTCGCTTGCGTCTTCTGCGCAGTGAAGTCACGTCAACTCAAATGACCAGCCGCTTCCTCCAGGCTCGCAAGATGGACCCCACGGGGGCTCTGGAGCAGTTCGAGTCGGCCTCGCGCTTCCGGGCGGAAAAGAACATTGTTCCGATCTACGATTCCATATCTATCGATGACTATGAAGATACGCGCAGATTGGTAAGTGCGCTTGCATCTCCTGGCTAATATACCCCACTGAACAAACCCCAGTACCCGCACTGGACAGGCCGTCGCGACCGCCACGGCCTGCCCATCCTCTTCCTGGACATCGCCCATCTCGACCACGCCGCCATGAAACACTGGCGGAGCACGCGGTCTGTCAAGGCGGCTCCAGAGATGTCTCAACGCGCCTGTGCGTATTTCGACAGCTTGACGCGCTTCGTCCTGCCCTTGTGCACAGCGGCGGCGGATCGGTCGGGCGGAGCGATAGCTTCTCCAGTGACGAAGAGCATCTATCTAGTCGACATAGCCAAAATCAGCCTCAAGCAGGCGTGGGATCTGCGGGACTTTGCGCGCGAGATCAGCTGGATCTTGGCGACGTGCTACCCGGAGACGATCGAGTCGATCTATGTGAGTGCTCTGGTTTCCCCGATGCTGCTTTTTACATTCCTGTTGAGCCAATCCAAACGACAAGTCTAACAAGGGAAACAGGTCTGTAATGCCCCTTCGTATTTCGCCACGATCTGGGGTTTCATGAAGAAATTCGTCGACCCGGTCACGGCGGCCAAGCTCGTCATCTTGACGGAGTCGCAGGTCTATCCGACCCTGGAGACGACGATCGACCGCGAAAATATCCCCGTGCAGCTCGGTGGCGCGCTGACGGCTGAGCATGGCATGCTCCCTGATTTGGACCAAGACCTGCGGGCGAGTCTGTCGCGGTCGTCCTCGGGGACGAATGTTGTCCTGCCGTCTGGTCCGCTGAAGTGGACGGAGAATGAACAAGGGCAGCGAGTGCTTGTTGCGACGGGGTGCACGGCGGCAGGACCCCGGCAGGAATCGGTTGCTGTGCTGTAATCATGCTGACGATAACGAATCTATGCAAGTTGAAGTATGATCCTGAAGTGCAGAATACCCGTATTTCGAGCTGTGGTTTATGGTCCAGGATGCTAAGTACGACGCAGCAGATAATGATTAACGAGATTAATTTTCCAGATCTAAAGCATTATAGCAATCTGCTTGAGAGACATGCGAACATAAACGCTGCGAAGCAATACATCTAATCTATTCTAAACATGTTTTCGCCATCGACTTGAGTTTAGACTCCGACAAAAAGAAAAGAAAAAAAAGCTACCAGAGCCTGTGGAAAGACATTTGAACATCTCCTTGAATATAACATCTGAATCCCAGTTCGCATGCGATCTATGGCTTCGCCAAACATGAACTTGAAGCACAAACACTCACCATCCCTTCCTAACCCACAAGACGATCTGACACCCACTGATCACCAACCACAGCGCAACCTGCCCGATGGTCATGGCCGAGCCGACCCAGGTGACCGCGGGCGAGTTCAGCGCCAGGCCCAGATTACAGGTGGAGAGCACGAAGCCGGTCAAGGGGAAGACCATGCTCCACCAGTTGACCTCAAACTGGATGGTGCGGCGGAGCATGGCGTCGGCCATGCTGATGACGGCGAGGGCGAACTGCACAAAAGCGAGCACCCAGAGACTGACGCCGGCGACGATGGCCAGGATATATAACACGTCGGCGGTGTGCACGCTACTGGCCTTGGAGAGGTAGTAATCCGGCATCTTCTCGATGGCGGCCGAGGCCATGCCGTACCAGGCGATGATAGTGAAGCACGGCGGGCCGACAGCGATGAACATCTCCGGGCGGAATTTGCCGATGGGCAGCCCACTGTGCGTCAGTGTGTGCGCCGTCTGCGCCAATATCACGAAGAACATCAGGATGCCCAGCCCCTGCATGGTTGTGCCGCCAACCAGCATCGGCACGGCCAGGTTGGGCGGCTGGTTCGGCGCCAGGATGCCCGCCATCGTGCCGCTGAGCATTGGCGGGAAGAACGGCAGGATCTCCACGATCGGGTAGTGCTGCTCCGGCGTCGTCTTGGTGTGGGGGATCACCCACGTCAGCACGATGCACAGGATCAGCGCCACCCCTGTGTACACCCAGAAGAGCGCGTGCAGCGTCAGGATCAGCCATTGGCCGCAGTGCGGTGTGCCGTAGTAAGAGACGCCGAACACGATGGCGGCGAAGGCCAGTAATGAGATTGGGATGAAGTAGAGGTCCGTCATTTGCTGAATGTGCAGCACGCGCTCGGTGAAGTCGGGCGTGCCCTTGCCGGTCGGGCTCGGGCTGATCGCCTCGAAGATGAAGGCAGCCGTGATAGTCGCGTAGATGACCAGGTTGGCGATGAAGACAATCGTGCCGATGGTATTCAGCCCCGTGAATTGGTGCGGCGTCTGGTGCAGCAGCACGGCGATTCCGCCCCAGCTGAGCGAGATGGCATACCAGCTCCAGCGCACCGCGGAGGTGAATTTACGCAGTGGGGAGAGATGAGGCTGATCACTTTCCATGTTGCGATGATAGGCGGCAGTGGCTGAGGGAGGATGTGCAGTTGAGAGATTATCCGGACGAGGGAGATCAGGCTGAAGTTACCCATCTCGCCATCGCTCTCCAACCGCTATTCCGGAGTGGATTCGATGCCAAGCCTGGCAATCTTGCTGGTCATCAGAAAGAGCGTCATGACATACATGATTATGATGATATAGAGAAGTAAGTAATGAGACATGTGCAGACAGGAGGAAAGGGAAAGGAGAATTCGATAGAGCGATGACGTCAAACACAGTGCAACTGGCTCGAGTGGGTCCCGTGACTTCATTCTTCTGCTGTCAGAAGCCGGTTTTAGAGGTCGTTGGTTCTGAAACCGTTGCATGCCAAAATAGGTGCAAGGCCAGAAATGGGAACGGTCTTTTCCATTATGGATGATTGCTTTACTGCTATTGTGTATGGCGGGATGCGAGTCCCTGAGTTAGGGTTGCCACGTTTTGAATTGCTGCGGGGAAGGTTGCACTCTCTCCTCCATCACCACCACAATGCCATTGCCGTTGTGTTCACTTAGGATGACGATTGATTAGAACATGTCGAACCAGACTTCCACTGTGTCTGTTTCCATTTGCGAATTTATCCACCGAATCATCCTCCTCATGGCTGGGCCAGAACAGTGTTCGGAGGCGACTCAGTAATGCGGCAGTGGACGGACCGAGGCTTCCATCGAATGGAGGTATAACACGATGAAATAATGGCTATAATAGACCCACTAAGTAATGATCTTCAGGATCTGGCATCTGGAGATCCAATCTAAGATGTAATCAGGCTAATCTCACAGGTGAGCGTGGCTCAAAACAAACAAAACCAAGGAATCGCAAATAATCACCACAATGGACAGTACGCGTATCTACAACATTCAACATCGCGTGTATAGACATCAACCGCGACGCAGGATACTCCAACTCATCTCGACGCCTTACTCCTTCTCCATCCCCTCTGCCTTGGCCAGATGCAGCCGACGCTTCCACTTCATCTTGCTCTTGCGCATCGACCGCTGGGTGCGCTCCCATGGGTAGTTGACCGGCGACTCGCCACCCGTAAAAATGAAGAAGTCGTACAGGAAGGCGCCCATCATCGCGCCACCGATGGCGCCCACGAACGGACCGTAGAACCAGTAGGGGTTAAGGAACAGGTCACTGCCGTAGCCCAGGGCCAACAGAGCCAGGCGCGGACCAAAATCGCGACTTGGGTTGAAGGCTGCGCCGGTCTGGTAGGCGAACGCGACACTCATGTTCATAATCATCAATCCCACGATCAGCGAGTTCATACCGGCTCCGGGCGGCGCGTTCTGGTCATCACCCAGCGCGAGCACCACGACGGTGAGGATCATCGTGCCTAGAAACTCGTTGAAGAACGCGGTGGCCCCGCCGATCCAACTATACCGTTGGTTGGTCACGAAGCTGTTGACGATGCCCGAGGTAGCGTTGGTGGCCAGGTACTCGTGGATCGACTCGTAGTAGAGGCCGTAGGCGCAGAGCGCCGCGATGAAAGCCGCCAGGAACTGCGCGGCGAAGTATTCGGGCATCAGTCGCTTCGGGAATCCACGGTAGAACCACAGCATGATGGTGATGGCCGGGTTGAAGTGGGCACCGGAAATACCACCAGAGACGTAGATGGCCATCATCGTCGCGAACCCCCACGCCCAGTCGGTCGTGTTTGGGTTGCCTGCATCAGCGCAGGTGACGGCCAAGTCGGCGCAGAAGCCCACGAACAGCTGCACGAAGACGCCCAGCGCCTCGGCCAGCGCCTCGCGGTGATGCGTCCGAATCACCGACCAGGTGGTGTGGTTGTTGTGGACTTCGTCCTCGACCAGCTCCTGCACCAGGGGGTGGAGATCCTCGGGCAGGGCTGGGTCCTTCAGCGCCTCCAGTTCGTCCAGCCCTTCTTTGAACTCCTCTGCGTCCTCGTCGGGGTCCCCCGCCGTGTCGTCGTCGCCATGCCATTCCGGTTCCTCCGGGACTGGGTGGAGCGGGACATCGCTGGGTCGATGATCGTTGCTCACGCGGTGCGACGGGGCGGATGGCTCCTCGGTCTCGTCGCCGCCGTGCACACTGGGCACTGGGGTCTCCCCCTCGGCCACCGTCGACAGCTGGTCCTCCCATCCGACCGCGGAGGATCGGCGTCGACGCGTCGACGAGGTGCGGGACATGCGCGAGCCCTGGCGCATCGACGCGGTATCGCCCGACAGCAGTTTGTTCATGAAGTTGGCCTCGCGCTGCAGGCGCGCATCCTCGACCTGGGCCGCCATGAGGCGCGGGTCCGTCGTCTTTTCGATCTGACCCTGCTCGAGGTCGTTTGGGTCCACCTCCAGCCCCAGCTTCTGGGAGTTTTCCGCCGGTAATTGGGCAGTTTGGCGTGCTTCAAGCAGTTCCTCCTTGGTCGGCACCATGCCCGAACGCACGACACGCGGCAAAGGTTTCGCCAGACCCCAGACCGGTCTCGCATTCACCGGCTGTTCGTAGGCCGGGTTGAGATCGCCGTAGCCGGGCTGCACGAAGGGCTCATGCGCCAATCGCAGCTGCGGTGTGTCATCGGGGCCAGCGACGGTGAATTTGCCCTGCGTCCGCTGCGCCAGAGTCGTCCGGGGCGCCAGGCTAGGAATGCCACCACTGCGACCGCTACGACGAGAGGCGGCTGAACTGCGCCGACGTACGCCTGCACCGCTCTCTCCGTCGCGACCGGAGACACGACGAGTAGGTGAGATGAAATCCGAGTCCACGGTGCCGCGTCGACCGCGGCCGATGGGCGAGATGGGAGGCGAGGCAGCTCCAGTGGCTTCTTCGCGAACCCGGTCCACGTCCGACTGTTGCAGCATCATAGGACGACCGGTCAGTCTCAATCTCAAGCATAATATCTCGGTCGGGATGCACTCACCCTGGCCCGGGGACGTCCGGAATCGCGGCCGGCGTCGCGGCCGGCGTCTGCGTCACTCATGTTGACCAGAACTCGAGTTTATCGTTATTTTCTAAGTTATTGTCGTGATGTTGTGAGAGGAATCTCCGATTGACATGCAGGGAAGTATTATTCAAATGTATTCTTGGAGGGTTTGGAAGAATTGGGGAAGAATTGGGGAACAATAAAGAGGGTGAGGTAGCGTTGCACAACGACAACACTCCGCTGACAGACGCGCGGTGAGAGAACGGGTTGGCTAACATGATATCCACCGGTGACAGCAAGTTATCCATGACGGCATAATAGTGAATGGAGCAGATGGATCAGATCGGAGCTTGGGATTGGGAGGAGTAACTGCGAGCGATCGTCGTCGCCGGCGTGTGTTTAGGGCCGGGGTTGCGGGCGATGCTGGCGTAATTGTTTGGGTGGGCCGTGGGCCCCTCGGGAAAAAAAGACGGACTGTCGGGAGTTCCTGAAAGCAGTCAATGCTGAATGGACTGTGCCCTGAATTTCGACTCCATTCATGGTCTCCAATGACGTCGGGTTGCTCCAGTCGCCAGCCGATCGCATGGCCATTATTGGACGTGCAGCATCTGCGATCCAGTATCCGTTGGATCCGTATTATTTCTCAAAAGGTGTGCGAATGAGTAAACCGTTGTCTGTCAATCCATGGATGGATACAGTCTCCAATCCCGGGTAAGATAGTCAGGCACACCCATCAGGCGGTCTGTACCTTTCACTGAATTTTCCTGGTGGTACTCAGTCGCTGTTAGAGTCAAGGATGCATCGGGTGAATTATGGAGTGCATTGGGTGAGACACTGAAAGTGGACTGGGTGCGTGGGTGGCGTCGCCACTCAAAATGCTTGGTTTTATCGTCGCCTGGGAATTCATCCACTAGTCGAAGTTAGAAGCACTTCGCTTATGCAGGCAGTCTCTTCCAGCGGGTGTAAATCCAACCTGCAATTAATCGTTCGACTCTTATGCCCACAATTATGCATCTCATCATGCATTTCTGTTAACCCTGGCTAATTCTGAAATCACCGTCTCTCCCACTCTCTGTCCTGCTGTGGTTATACCTTTCGTCAAATGTTCTATCCATAGACAATTTCTCTTAGGTATCGTTCCGGTCAATGCCGCTCTACCCGTCAGCTTGTCTGTCAAGAGTGCTTAGCATGCGGGTCGCCGTTCGTGACTTGATCGTGTCCCACTGCAAATTTCGAGAGTGGGGAGATGGATCAATGGAAACCCCTTAGTGCTCCCACCATCACGGTAATGGGTGAGATTGAGGCCTATATTCTGATGGATCCTGAGACAACTCGCCCGGACTCATCACTTCGCTCCGTAGGTCCATCCCTGCGTTGACTGGTCGGACTTCATGCCGATGGACACTGGTTCCTCCGGTCGGAGATGTTTGGCATCCAGCTGACGAGTCGATGCGAAAGGAAAGGAAAGGAGAAACTGTGGACTAGGACGGGAAACACCTTTCAAGTTGTCGCAGAGTATTAAGACAACGGCAAATAGGGCTTCCCTGCACAGGTGACTGGCATCCGTCTAGTGTAGCTTCTTCTCGCATATCACGAATCCGCCATGATCGAATCTACTCGACAAGCTAAGATGGGATTGCCAACCGAATTCCCTCTCGAGGGCAGTAGGACACCCTGTTGGCACAGAGATTCAAAGTCCAGGCTAGTTCTCGCTGGCTTGACGCTCAAAGCGAGCACCAGGAGGTACAATTCCATCCTCGGATCCATATTGTTCGTAGCCCGTCTACCACCGCAATCTCACAAAAACTCATCACCCGCACGAGAATTTGTAGCCCGCCTTACCAGGCAAGTAGATGGCATCCCAGACACACGTGAAATTCGGGTTCTGTTGCAATTGACGCGTACCATCTTGAGACAAGAGCCTTGATACGCATCGTTGGTCAGACTTGAAAGGAATGGACGGCCTTAAGGGTTATTATGGCCGCTATTCAATCCTTCACTGGGGTCACCAAAATCAATCTGCAGGGCGCCGAGAGGAAGGAACGTTTGGAGGAAGCCAGGTTGGGAAAGGCACATTTAAGAACCATCAAGCATGGTGCAGAGAGTCTAGAGCTCAAGCAACAGACTCAGATTGACTTCCAAGTATTTCCAATATCGGCCACCTTTATCATATAGGCATTCGAGTCGCTTACCTGACCAGCAAAATCCCACTCTTACGTCACCTCGATGCATTTTGTGGATAGCACTTCTTGCTGAAGATCTACATCGGCACCAAAGAGCAACTATTGAGTCATTCTACAGAGTCGGACTATTGCAACGCCGTAAAGGTGACCCAGGCAAATGTAATCCCGATGGCTTTGACTCCCCATACATTGAAAAAATCGTTGTGATTGGCGCAGAGTACGCTGTGCTCTTTCTTATCCTGGTCTCGACAGTCAAAACTCAATACCTTTGACACGGGGTTTCCGGCATTCAGGTGGCGCATGATCTCTCCTTCCCATGTCAAATACTGAATTACAGATCTACAAAAAGAATGAAGGTGTGGGTGGCATGTAGTCCGACAATCGCTACCCTGGGTACGGTATTCTGTCTGACATTCAGAGACAGTCCAGAACAAATTCGCCAACGAAGCATGCGATATCCCGGCTCATGCACATCAGTATAGTCCGGCGCCTAATCCCTGCTGGTCCACGGTCTATGCCTCAACACTCGAGATACGCGCTTAATCGAACTCGGTGGGGGAACGTCATGACCTGGAGAGGTATATCCATCATCAGCAACGATGCACGTCTGCGACCTGGGATGAGAAGAGATCCCTCTGGGTTGCCACATTCAAACATGAGAAAACACACGAAGAGACAATCGCTAAAGCGGACGTCCTGATATATGCTGGACGACGGTTGGACAATGATCAGATTCCTGACTTTGATGGACAAGGCAGATTACGCGGCAAAGGTCGCTCAGACAGCTAGGTGGCCTGAGGATCTGCAAATTTCTGGGAAACGGATCGCTGTCCTGGGCAATGGCTCCAGCGAAATGCAATGCATCGGTGCCCTGCAGTCTGGTAAGCCCTGCGCCAGAGCGGACTTCGATATGGACTGACTGAAAGAATGGCGTACAAGCCGCGGAGCTCTTGAAATTTTGTCGAGACCCGACGTGGGCTGGTCCCGGACTCTTGACTACAACAAGAAGTTTATGTTATTCTGCTTGCCGTTGGACATCTATCAAGAGGCCTTCTCCCCTAGAAACTAAGACATACGAGCAAAAACATACAACAGAAGGGATTCGCTGGTGGTCACCCACCCAACTACTAACCTCCCGGCGTGTGGCTTAAGTACGGCTGAGCGGACGGGAAGCCCTGTTTTCCACACCCTGTGGTCGTATGTGCTCAAAGTTGCAAGTATTTGCTTTACAATGGGTTTGAATCTCAACTAGATTGACATAGGAATGATAAACCTGCTGATGCTGGGATGTTGCACTGACCAACTGCGAATCGGAATCTGGAAGAAGGCGTTCTGCGGGTCCATACCACAGATATTCGACAAGCGACTAAGGCTCCTCTCGCGACTAATGCATCATATCACAGAGATTCAACCCCACATGCCGCCTTCCGGAACTAGAATTGAGGTCAACCCTACTTCGGAGTCGCGCTGACACATAAGAAAGCGGTGGATACACCTAACTTGGACTTCCTCAGGGTAGTTATCAATGGGTTCGAATTGAAGCAAGCCTACGTAGTGCTGAACATCATGGATGAGCAACACACTATCTTGAAGAGTCAGTATATGTACGTGGCAGGTATGAGAGGCATACAAGACACCTTGGACTCCGGGCCCGCGGAAATTCTGTCAATGGCTCATCTAAGACAGCCACCAGAGCCTCGCAAGTCATCTGCGCAAAACATCAGTCTGGAAGTTGGGCTTCTTATTCTCCAGGAGTTGAAACTGTCACTTGACGTCCTGAAGGGCCATGAAGTCTTTTCTTAATCGAGAGGTGCCTAATCACTGACCGGGTCATAAGCGAGATCCGAGAATGAGTTCATGGGGTCTCTTGCTTTAGAGTTGTATCCGAAGGCAGATGATGGAGTGATGGTGTCAAGGTACGGGGTCGAAGGAAGCAGCAGCCATGGTCTAGAGCACTGTTGTTCTAGTTGTTCTAGCTGTCTTGTGGTAATGATGGTGGGATGGTGGTGGTGGTAGTTGTCGTTGGCTGCCTTCCCCGCAGCCTGGTGGAAAGGTTATCAGGGCGGAGTTGTTGTGGCTACGAGTTATCTGTTGACAGATGTACTCAGTGAACACAGTCTTCGAACTTTGGTCGGGGCTTTAATTATTCACAAGTTAGTCCTTGATGGTTGTCGGAGTTAATATCGGAGGTAAATACTCTGGGCGTGGAGGGAGGGGCGGCGAATTAGGCGGTCAGAGAAATCCCGGCAGAATAGAACATCCCGTCTTATCACCAAGGGAAACAACAACTACTACACTTATCGACACTGCCACTTAGATGGACCACACCACAACAATAACCAACCACTATGCAATCTACACAAGATGGAAGCCCCCAGAATGCAGGCCACTACCCCTGAGCCACCGCCACCATTCACGCTCATCCCTCAACACACAAAACTCCTGGTCCATCCCCTTTTCTGGACTTCTAGCCATCTAAATCTAGTTCGGTGTCAGTTCAAAGACCTGGGCGTCGCGCCCGCGCCGCCTCCCCCGGACGAGGACGCTCAACCACTGACGCGGGATGCTATCAATCCATCCGATATTATCAATAATGTCAGGTGTACTCCGAGAGACTCCACCCCAGGACAAATGATGGCGATGAAAGCCGTGCTGCAGTCCGGCGGAGGGCCGTTCCAAAAGCACGAGTGCAAAGTCCCTGCTTTTTTCTCCGCCACCGAGCTTTACATCGACTGTTTTATACCCTATTTCGACGCCATAAGGAAACGCAGGTATTTGTAGGCTTCGAGGACTACCGCAGCATCGTTGGAGATCGCGAGAAGCAGATACCTCGTGTACATCATCCGAAATGGGGGCTGAATCTTGTGGGCGTGCCACTGTGGCACAAGCGACGAGCGCAAGTAACCCCTCGGGATTGGACGTAGGACCCGTATCTAGTCTGCATCTCACTGTCCATGGCACAATTGCAGAGTCGCAGTCTGACCTCGTCGCAACCCAAGATGTATCTGGTACGTCCGTGTTGGTGCAGGGGAAGAGGGTACTTGAGCGAATCTAACCTAGTTTTCATGCAGCCGCGTCTTCTCCTGACAGAATCATGGGACCATGAATTCAATCATATCTGCAAGGCTCGAATCTCCGGTGAGGTTCTAGACATGCTCGACAATTCCAATATGACGACGAGTTTGTCCGAGTAATTAACCATCATGTGGAAAAAAATCCCATTCAAGCCTTATGCGTCCTTCAAGCAGCGGCTGGAAGCGGAATTGTTATGTCCAGACCCGATATGCTCGCAGGAGACTTCCGACAGTACCAAAGACGTTGATACACCTCCCCGCGGGCCGGTCAAAAGAAGACACGAGGAGCAAAGTGGCGAAGCAGGCAACACCCGGCGAAAGCTTTAGGTCGGACTTGCGGGCATCGATAGGGAATAGGATCAGAATCCTGAACTTGATCGCTCTACACACCCACCTGCAACGAGGATCTCGGTTCAGTGTCGAGAGCAACAGCAAAAAAACGACAGCAGTCGGATTTGAACCGACGCCTCCGAAGAGAATAGATTTCTAGTCTATCGCCTTAGACCACTCGGCCATACTGTCTTAGATGGTGTGAGAGGAAGGGGATTGTCTACCTGAGGAGAGAATTAAAAAAAAGGGGTTGTGGGAGACCCACTCGGTGCAGTCTCGGTTGAGTTCTCGGCGATTCCATAAGGAGAAAGAGTGCTCCATTGGAGGTCCCAGGTAGTAAGAATAAACAAAAACAATCATGACCATGAATTTTTACAGAAAACTAAGCGCAGATCTGACGCTCACTCCCCTTTTTTGTAGAGTCCCTTCTTGTGTCTGTAATCACTGGGCAAAAGCAGTATAGACTGCTGAGTCCCGGCCTGGCTTTTCCTGATATGGTTAAGCCCACCTGAGGCAGGAAGCGCAGCACTAAACTGTTCGAGGACTAGCGGGCTTTCTGTACTCCGTACACTTTCTTCAGCGGCGAGAAAGGCTCCGGTTTTATAAAGACCAACCTCGACATAATCTAGGTGAATAGCTCTCTATAACCAGATAACTTGGGTCTCAGTGCTACTCGGAGATTATCGAATGTTGTACGAGCAGGAAAACTCCTCACTGCAAGAAGGCTGCCAGATCATTCGGCATAAGAGGGCTCCTAAAATAGGGAATTGTTATAGGTACAGTAGTACGACGATGTTGAATATAGGTACGATGTTTTACCCAGTTAGGAAAAGTGCCCGAGCCAAGCCACTAACCCAATTGAGAGGATACATTTATATTTATAGATAAAATTAACTATAAAATAGAATATACCCCTAAAGGCGGTGAGAAGCTAATCTTACTTAATCTTAAGATCTTAGTTTACTGAACTGCCTGCCCACCACTAAGGCCCTTAATATAATATTTCCGGTTTACATACTAAATTTACTATATAGCATATAGAAAAAAGAGTTAGAAACAAGTTATTTAGAATATTTATTTCAGTAGTATAATCTAGGCCGGCTGGCTGGCTGACTGCGAAGACTGTGAGGACTGCGGATAAAATAGTAGTTAACCAGACTCAGGACAGAGATATAGAGTAGGATTAATTCAGTCGGTTTTATAATCTTCAGTTACACCTATATTTGTATATGAACTTATATAGAAAAAGTGTTTCTGAACTAGAAAACAGCCTGCCCTACACCGCTTTCCCTTAACAGGACTGACGTTGTGTGGTTGTTCAGCTATCATCGTACCTACAAAAATTCTCCCAAAATATATCATTACTTGTACGGCGCCCAAAGCAGGGACTCAGTAGTATAAGATGACAGTCTTCACCCCGAAGCCATCCTGTGAAAGATCATTCCAAGCTTTCATGACAGCACTTTTCATTACGAGTCATAATCATCTGGATCATCACTGCCCAACTTCATGGCTATAGGAAGCATATAGATAAAGTATGAATGGACGCTGACCGGAGCGGAAGTAGTATTCTCCCGTCAGCTTATCTTATCTCTCTCTCTCTCTCCGTCGGAGTCTCGTTCGCATCCTACACTGGGAACAACACCGCAACACTCATCATGGATTCCTTTCTCGACCTCGTTCGAGATTGTGATAAGTGAGTCTCTGATGAAAGCTTCCTATACATTTACGGTTCTTACCAATTCTTCCAGCTTTCCGTACCCCGGAGGCACTGACACGACCGCCCACGATGACCTTCAAAGCACGCTCTGGGAGTTCTACCTCCCCGAGGATCCTCGACCCCACGGACTCCTGATCGACGCCGTTGTCCACGCCATGCCCTGGACATCCGACTTCGAGATCATCCCCCATCCCCACAAACAAGTCCGTATGCGACGTCCCTCAGGTTCGAACTGGCAGACCAAATGCACGCAGATCATCGATCACCAGATACAAGAAGCCCGCAAGCGCGGCGTCTTCCCTCAGCTCGGTCGGCCTCGCGGAGAGTTGTTCCCCATCGTGGGCGCCCGATTCCCTGTCGCGATTGATCGCAGTGCCTTCTCGATGTGGGGGATCATTGGACAAGGGGTGCACATGACGGTCTATGCGCGCACCGCGGCGGGATGGCAGTTCTGGATTCCCCAGCGAAATCCCAACAAGGCCACGTACCCGGGGCTATTGGACAATGCAGTCGCAGGTGGGATGGCGATGGGGGAGTCCCCGCGGGAGTGTTTGCTGCGCGAGGCTGGCGAGGAAGCAGGACTGTCTGCGAGCAAGATGGAGGAGGCTCGTGCCGCGGGAACTGTGACCTGGATGAATATAAGTGACATACGGGCGGGTGGGCAGGTGGGATTGATCAATCCCGGGGTGTTATTTGTGTATGACTTGGAAATCGACGAGCAGGAGGTTTTGCGACCGGTGGATGGCGATGTGTGTGCGTTTCATCGGATGGGGGTGGAGGAGGTCAAAGAAGCATTGCTGGGAAAGCGGTTTAAGCCAAGTAGTGGTGCGGTCATGCTGGACTTCCTGATCCGCCACGGTTTGATCACCCCTGAGGATGAACGAGACTATACGGAGATTGTGGCGCGACTGCACCGCAAACTGCCATTGCCCAGTAGTTCTGCTGCTTGAGAGCTGTATACAGTGTCAACTGGAGAGATTGACGGTACACGACGAGGTCCCACCCATTTGTCCCCACATTGCAGTGCAATTGTTTGTTGTTTTATCTTTCATATTTTGTCGTTCATCCCCATCATCACTTCATCACCTGGCAGTCAGTCTACAACCTCTGCGCTGTGCAGGTGGCCATGGTTTCGCCATCCGGTTCCAGGGTCAAAGCCGTCCGGCAAGCGAGATCCGGCTTCACTCCCGTCGGAATTGTTCGACCGCATCCTAGATTTGCAAGGTATTTTAGAGAAAGATGCTAGTGTCTTCTCCAAGGTCAGTCGTGCATGGCACGAAGCTGCCAGTCACTTGCTATATCGCGTCTACCTCTACGATCCATCAATCCGCGAGCTGGACAACTTGGCCCGGTTTCTCAATGGCATCTCTCACAATCCCTACCTAGGGGATCTGGTTCAGGAGCTGCAGCTCCATTGCCTTGGAAACTACACATTACGTCGGCCCGCACCGGTGTCGCGCGAACAACATCACAAGAGACTGGCCGATGAGGCTGGTCTGGAAAGCCGTGCGGTCCGCGTGGCCAGAGAGATCCAGGATCGCGACTCCCGACCCTGGTTCCACTGATCCTCACCCGGGCGCGGATTGCCCACAAGGTCTACCTGCAAGTCGACCATAAGTTTCCTCACCTCTTTCAGGTCCTGCACCTGGCGGCAGACCCGCGATGTCGAAGCCCTTTCAAGGCATTCCAGCATCTTCGTCAGCTGCAAATGACCAGCCAACCCCGGCCCTCCATCTTCCGGGTGGAGGATATCTGGCCCATCTTCCACCTTCCCGTGCGGGATGTGTTGGCCTGGGATGGCATCGGAGCGCACGGAGCCGCACGGCTGCTGCAGGAGAAACGGGGCCAATCCCCTATCGAGAAACTGGACCTCACGATAGGTGTCTGGCCTGGCACCACGGTGACGATGCCCGACGTCGAAACAATCCTGCAGCAGCCGAAATTGTTGAGACGCCTGAAGCTGCGGTTCTGTTCCATCCCGGCGTCGTTCGGCGTGTTCATTGAGGGTCACTGGCGCAGTCTGGCTCGGTACCGGGACACGTTGGAGAGTTCGGCTATCGAAACCATCCGTCCAGTCTGGGATGAGTGGGATGGACTTCTCTTCCACCAAAGCGGCCTGTGCTCGGAAGGGGATCAAGTTCCAGCTGCGCTCCTACCATGCCGACGCCCTATTGGAGGTCCATGATCCCAGCTACCGTCTACCCGATGATCAAAAACGGAACTATCTAGAAGAATATATGGGCAGTCCTTTCAACTCCGACCCGCTGGGCAATTGGGTAGCCTTCGGATGATGAGTTTGACGGTTCTGGGTCTAGCGGCGACGAGCTTCCGACAAGAATGAGTTTCTATCAAACTATCTGAGATTTCAAACTCAGTGAAAAGTATAGTAGGGCAAGGTTCAATGCCAATGGAAATGTATATGTCGCTTCATGGCGTGCGTATCTAGGTATGCAACATGAGATCTCTGGGGATCTGGGTATGGGCTTGGCCCACGGCTGTCGAACGTCCGATACGGGACGAGCATGCGCCCGGCGCGATCCCGGCGAGCAGACCGGTTGGATGAAGAGCTCGCAGAGGCAATAATCAAGGTATATAAGTACAGACATACAAATACGAATCAATTGAATGAGATACTAATTGAACGTGAAGAAGATACGCTCAAGTGGGGATGGGTATCCTGTCAAGAGTCCAGGGAAAGGAAAAAGAGGAACGTCGAGTGGCACATGTCATTGCGTGAAGAGAAGAAAAAAGTCCGACGAGACAGAAAAGAGACCGGATGATCTCCCTTTGGGCAGCGATCAACCCAACACGAGCTTGATCACACTATCGGACGAACAGCTCAAAGTGTCGACGTCGTCGGGATTCTGATAGGCCTCGGAACAGTTGGTGTCGCCTGCGGCACACTTGGCCGAAGGGCAGGACTCGATGCTGGGGGTGGCGGAGAAGCCATGGGTGGTGAACCAGGAGTTCTTTTCCATGTTGATGCACGACAGATCCCACCAGACGGTCTCACTCTCGGCGGTGTATTCGAACTGCAGGACCTTGCTCACCTCCTTGGTAGACGAGAGCTTAATGGAGATGCCTCCGCCGTCGGGGTTGGTGCGCCAGGTCTCAGTGAAGGTGCCGCCGGAGGGGACGAGGGTCTGCATCTTGCCCTGAGTGTTGGAGACGGACCAGGCATAGATGGTGTGGTTGAGGTTGTTGACGATCTCGACCCGACCTCCTTTGGCGGAACTGCTGGACGAGGCGACGGCAGAGGCCGAGGCCGAGGCAGTGGGCGAGGCGTGAGTGGTGGTTGAGGTGTGATGCGCAGTGGTGGTGGTGGGCTTGACGGTGGTGGTGGTATGCGAGCCCTGACCGTGGGAACCTGCCACAAGGACTTCGGTCACCACCGTCGTCTCGGTCTCGACCTGCACATCAGTGGCCGTGGGGGGCAAAGCAATGGGAATGGCCGAGGCCATGGCCGCGAAGAGGGCAGCAGCACGGATGTAGTTTGAGAACAACATGTTGATTGGATCAGTAGTAGAGACAGGACGTCAATATCGACTCAGACGATTAGATTGACTGGAAAGGAAGGTGGATCAAAAGTACGAAATGATCGAAGCTGGCCAGTTGGGTTCAAGGAATGACTTCTGACTGATCGATCTCAGCCAGAGAAAAGAAAAAGAATGACGATCCCGAAGGAGGGGAGATGGGAGAAACGAGTAGGACAGCAAAGCTCAGCGAAGGAGAAAGAGAAGGAACGACGGAGCAGAGCAAAGCAGCAGAGCAGTCAGACTTAAAACAGAAGCATGACAGGGCTTGAGGCGCGCGGGCCCAATGCAGCCCCCAAGCATGGTGGCATCCACCATCCACCGGAGAGGAGGGTGGGGCTGAAACGAACATGTTTGGATCGATTCACTGACTGACTGACTCGCTTCTCCTATTGATTATTATTGACTGGTCTGGCCTGGTTGCTTAACCAGATTGGCTCAAGTGGATGGCGTGGCCTGCCAGGTCTAAGTGGGCCTTCAGAAGCAAAGAGGCGTATCGAACGTGGCAATGGTTCAATTTTTCCCCTGACACACTGACACACCGGCCCAAAATCCTCAGCCATAGATTAAAACATGGGGAGAGGAGGGAAGGGAAGTGGAGGGACGGTGAGTGAGTTCAGATCGGTTCCATTGTTAATTTATTCTTTTGGTTCGAGAGAGACATGTCAGTCATAGTTCTCACTTTCTCCGTCAGGTCTAAGGTATTGTTTTGCTCACCACCATGATCAATATTTCATTTTTTGAGTTTTAAATTCTGCCAGTCGGGAGCTTGTCGTCTGCAGCCGCGTAGGCTAAAGCGTCTAAAGCCAACTGCAGTGGGGAGTCCAAACAATAGGCCGCCATTCATTGCCTGCAATGCAGCTTGGCGCCTCGTCGGCCGCGGGACAGCCCTGCCTTCCAGTATGAATTCTAGTATGAATTTCATCTTCCAGTATCTTCCGACCAACTATTGGATTCTGAAGCAAGCACAGCCTCGGCAAATTCCATTGCCGGTTTCTCCAACAGCTCCCAGTTCACCACCCTCTCTTCCCCCCTTCTCAAGCATGGTCAGCATCTTGAAACACCAAGTGATATCATATTGATTAGCTGCAAGGGATCCCAACCAACTGGGGGCCATTGAGTTTGGGATCTGGGCACTGTTGGTGCTGTACCAATGATCCGGTTTCCTACAGAGGTAGTCTACATATACTTGTTTGTTCCAGTCGGTTAGATTGGAAGAAGGAGAGAGAGAGGTTTGTTGGTGCCTGATAAAAGTGGACCATATAATGCCTCAGGCTGACTAGCCTCCATTTGTCATCTGACCCGTTTTGGGCTTGGCCCCTTTTTGCCTTCTTGCATGGCTGCCTTACTATCTGGCTGCCTGGGGCATCCATCTCCATGCCTTATTCGAGTGGCGATGGGAAACAACCCTGAAGACAACCAACCAGCCATCCTATCCCAGTCATCGGATTGAATCACTTCATGTTGATCATCACTCCTCTCAATCTAAATGGAAATCCCTAAAAAACCAAGCAGATTACCATTCAGTCCGCCATACATCTACAAACTTCCGAATGAGCCCAGTCTCGATCAATTCCACTCCTCCCTTGAGCGATGGACTCGCGGCCTCGGTCTTCTCCATCTGAAAGCTCAACCCCGACCGACCCATGCTCTCATTGTCGTACTTGTCCGTGAAAAAGTCCAGCAACTTGATGGCAGGGTTTTTCGTCGGGTCTGGATCAGACGCCCGGAGACGCTGAATCCACTCTCTCTTAGGCAGAATCTCGAAGTTGAGTCCCGCTTGCCGGAGGGCAGGGAGCAGATCCTCCGTCCACCGGAAGGTCTTGGAGTTCTGTACGTGATATACAACGGTGGGGTCTCGAGCAAAGACTGTCGCCTCTGGCGAGGGAGTAATGCCACTGAGCTCTAGCACTGCTTCGGCCACAACGTCTACGGGAAGCCAGGCCGGGGTCTCGTCCAGCGCGGGCAGAGCTTGCAGAGTCTTCGCGGTCTGTAGCATCAGTGGAATGGCTTCGGTGCAATTCCACTTGCCAGTCACGGTGTCACCGACGATCTGACCAACGCGAAGGACTTTGGCAACCATGCCAGTGGTTTCGGCTGCCGCCTGGATGATTCGTTCGGCGACCAGTTTGGATCGAGCGTACCCCATGTTCTGCGCATGCGACAGCTCTGGGATCGGTCCCTCGGCAATAGTGGCGGGCAAAGGAGTTCCTGCCGCTGCGGAGATGGAGGAGCAAAAGTAGAACTCCGCAGGAGACGATCGCGTGCTCGAGAGACACAGGTTGATCAGGTTGTGCACTCCCCGGATGTGTTGCTGCTCGAAGCTTTCGACGCCCAGGGTGAAGTTGACAGCCCAAGCCGCATGAATCACCTTGGTAAGTGACTGACGCAGGTCATCAAGCACCGGAGGCGTCAAGCCTAGATCCTCGCGCCCGAATTGTGACGGCAATGCCACAATTTTGGACACGTTGATCATGGGCAGGGATCTGGTGGCCAGGCTTGAAAGCACGCGGTCGAGCGCATCACTGGGACTTGCCGCCCGGACAAGGCAATAGACCTTCTTCACGGATGGCTTCTGCATGAGACGGGATAGGATGTACACCCCCAATGAGCCCGTGGTACCAGTGAGGAGCTGGTGATTTGGGTCTGGGTCAGTAAACGGCAAATCTGCTTGAAGGTTTCCTGAAACTTACCACCGTCTCTTCCTCAGCTGGTCTGCTGGCGAAAGTCGAGTATATGCTGATCAATCGTGCCATGGCACTCAGCTCGTCCTTGGCACTGCTCTCCTGACCTGTGCGGGCTGCGACCAAACGGGCGGCGAGCTTCCGAATATTTGCGCAGTCGTAGATAACATTATGACTTAACTGAGCTGAGCCGATGTCGACTTGATCTTGAATCATGCCCCGAGCCTTGATAGCCTGAAGACTGTCCACGCCCGCGTCGAAAAAGTCCGTGTTTACATCAATGTCCTGGAAGCCTAACTCAGTTCGGAACAGTGTCAGCAGGAACTGCTCAAGCTCTTGTACACTGTTGAATACGCGACGATGCACTGCTGCGGAACCACTTCCTTGGATATCTCGATACATTCCCTCGATCAGATCACCAAATTCGAGGTAGCAGCGATTGCGGATCATTGTGCCCTTATCCGTGGCGGGATACGAACAGCCAGGATCCAGGACGATCACCATGTTGCGGGATATCTGGCTGAAAGCCTCGGAGTTCTTGTTGGCCGCAGCTATATCAGGCCACACCTTATCCAGGATCTCAGATTTCGTCATTCCTTGACATTCAACGCTTGGCACGACCAGCAGACCTGGAAGCGGGCGACCCACCCCATACACGAGGTTGTCCTGAACGTATCGGCTTTGACGAATACGATGCTCAATGGGCACTGGAAGCACCTTCTCGCCGTTGACTAGTGTGATGCGATCATCCAGTCGGCCTAAATACTTCCAGGCGTTGGGGATGGACGGATGCTTCAGGAAAGTATCGCGCGTATGGAATGAGTTCGGGGGGTCATCGGAGTTCGAGCTGACCTTGGCAGGTAACCCATCCAGCACGACGCATTCATAAGATCCATCCTCTAGCGGGATCATCTTCAGGAAAGGAGCAACCTTATTCAGCGGCCGGACATAGTTCCATGCTTTGTCCTCCGGTGGTCGTTCGGAGGTCATGAGTTGTCCTAATTCGGTTCTTTCTTTGAGGTTAGCACTCGGTCGGGGAAAACATCAAAGCAGGGCGAGCTTACGCGCCGTAATGGCTGATCAGTCGCACGCCTTGATTGACGAGGAGATCCCCAAGATCATCTGGGCAGCTGCTTCCTCCGAAGAGAACCTGTTGGCACTGTGCTAATGCTGCCACACCACCTTCGACCTCACTCAACAGCTTGAGCACATATGGCACTCCATGAAAGCTTTCCGGGCCCGTGGTCTGCATAGTCTCGAGAACGTGGTTGCCCGTTAAGGGCAGGTTGGCATTGTAAATTGCAACTGGCTTTCTCTTGAACAGCGACCGGAAGAACGTTGACAAGCCGTGATTATGATAAAGCGGCAGGGTCAACAAGGCCCGGTAGCCTTTACTGGTGCTGTAGTTGGCGATGCACGCTCCGTGTGTCTGGAAGATGGGCTTCGGCAGCCCGGTGGAACCGGACGAGTGGATAATAAAGGCCCATTTCTGAGCCAGTTGAGAGTTGTCGGTCAACTGCAGAGTTGATTCGAAAGCGCTGCGCGAGTAGGTTGCGTGCTCTGGAATCTGGAAGGTGGCAATCGCCGCGGAGGAATCAAGCTTGTTTACTGCTTTTGCAGTGGACGGAGAATAGAGGAGATGGGTGCATTTGGTGGCCTTAAGCAGATTGACATAGGCTTCCGTACTGAGACGGGTTGAGAGCAACAGAACAGCATAGCCCAATCGGGTCAGTGCAAACAGCGATACGATGTAGTCAAGGCTTGAGGGGCCAAGGATCGCGACGACACGGTTTTCAGTCGAATGAGAGAACTGTGCAGGCTGGTCAGACTGTGAGGGAAGTAATTACTAGGAGGCTTGGATCGTACCTTGGACAGTCCAGCCTTGTTCAATTGCTCAACTGCGCCGTTGGCGAAGCCATCCAGATCGCGAGCAGTGTAGTATGCATAGTCGCTCACTCTATGGGAACTCTTTGGATAACCAACCAGGGGTAGGTCTGGCGCTTCCTGAAGAAGATGCAGCAACACGTCGTTGATGGTTTGAGGGGTGACTTCTTTCTCGTGAGGCGGGGTGGGTGGAAGTTCACCCAACTTTCTGGCCTTTGCCACACTGTCTATGTCTGATGTGAGAAGCATGGCTGCGTTGGACTCAGACATTGAAGCATTATCTTCAGGCTAGTCTGTGGTTACCTGCATATAATGTCCTGTTTATGACTTGCTCCTTGAGGAACTCCGAGGCGGGGTCGGCGCTTACGGTTAGGGCTCGGCTCGGATAAGTGAACCCCCCCTTCGGATAAGCGTCAGCCCAGCTGGGCAAACAACAACCCCTGCCCGGAAATGTAGAACCGAGAAAGGGACCTCTTCCGTGGTCTTCTGTGTTGGCATATTCCGCACTGATCACCTTGGTGGCGATTGGTCTATGCCAAAGCATGGCTCCAACCGAGGATCCCGTGAGTGTGCTTTTGGTATGGGCTGCTTTACGCAGCGGCCCGGAAACCTGCGTCTAGGGCGACGTTGTACAGCTTTCATGGACATGGATAAATGTCGCCAGAAGTAAGCTGAAGCCGCCAAACTGGCTCAAATCTGCTTCTTCGATTCCTGTAATTATAGGATCAAAGCAGTTGTTTATCGTTGAATACAATGGCAGCCAGACACTTCATCAACGACGGTACTACCCTGGTGCAGGATGCGCTCCAGGGTCTAGCACTGACCCAGCCAGCGCTGATCTATGATAGGGAAAACAAAGGTGGGTGACGTACCTTGAGCAACTCCACCTGGGCAGATACTAATTGACTACAGCCATCATTGACTCGCGTCATGACGGCAATGCAAGAGTGACTCTGATACCAGGAGGAGGGACAGGACACGAGCCTTCATTCACTGGCTTGGTGGGCGAGGGCCTGCTGCTGTTTCCGGATCCGTTTTCGCATCGCCAAGTGTCCACCAAATACAGAACACAATTGCCACGGTAGGCGGATCAGCCAGAACAGTGCTGATCATTATGAACTACACCGGGGATGTCCTTCACTTCCATCTTGCCGCGGAAAAGGCTCGTCTAATGGGCCATGAGATGGCCGTCCTGGTCGTTGGTGATAATGTATCAGTTGACCGGCGTAAAAGTGGCAAAGTTGGGCGGAGAGGACTGGCTGGCACTGTTCTTGTGGAGAAAATCCTTGGAGCGGTTGCGCGGAATGAGTCGACCACTTTGAAGCAACTGCATCGGCCGGGTGAGGACATCGTGGCGAATCTGGCGACGGTCGGTGCCGCTTTGGAACATGTGCATCTGGTGGGAAAGCTAACAACAGACTTGGCAGTCCGGACGGACCAGGTCGAGGTTGGCATGGGAATTCACAACGAGCCAGGATGCTACATGCTTGAGCCCCAGCCTCATATCTCCGTTCTGGTCGACCAGATGTTGGATAAATTGGTGAACCAGTCTGACGAAGATGCGGCATATGTGCGCTTCAATGATGCGGCAGATTTGGTACTGATGGTCAATAACCTCGGGGGCGTTTCGAACATTGAACTTTCAGCTATGACCAAAGTTGTCGTCGAACGCTTAGGTAATTGGAGCTTGTCTTTCTCTAATTGAAATCCGCTGAAAGCAAATTCGCAGGCGACCGCAATCTCCACGCGATACGAGTATACGCTGGCGCTTCATGACAAGTTTAGACGGGAAGGGGTTCAGCATTACACTGCTCAAGGCCAACAAGGCTATGATACAAGCTTTGGACGCACCCACGTCGAGCCCAGGCTGGACCGCTCATCAACGCCTTGAGGGTCCCCCGTTGCAAAGAAATCATTGTCCTTTGAGCATAGACCGGCCAAACTATCGGAATCTAGCTCGTCACGATTGAGAGGTCAGTTCCTCCCTCTGTGCTCTATGAAGGGACAAGAACGGCCGAAGCTGATCTTGGCTGTACATTTGACACTAAATCATTTTCGGCGGCCATCACTCGTGCCTGTGATAAGACTGTGACCGCAGAGGAAGAGATTGACCGTTTCGACTCTTTGGTCGGAGATGGTGACTGTGGATCTACTCTGGCCCGGACAGCTAAGGCGATTCTGCAGGGTTTCGAAAAGGGCTGGTGCGTCAATCCTGACGGTGATGCTTTCAGAGCGGTGGAAGCCATAGCTAAAGTCGTGGAGGACAACATGGATGACACCTCAGGGGCGCTTTACGCAGTCTTCCTAAATGCAGTCGCTGCATGATCGCGTGAAACAGGCCTGCAACTGGAGGAAAAGAGAAATTGGTTGGAACAGCGGATTGGAACGTAGCCTGTGTGGCGGAACTTGATGCTCTGCAGCGTGCCACACCCGCACGGGTTGGGGACCGGACTTTGATGACGCACCTGAACCATTCATTAGAGTGTTTGAAAGGGGCGAGGCACCACTTGAAGCTCTAACAGCCGCCCGGACTGGGCGTGATCGCACGTGGGGGATGCGAGCTTCCCTGGGACGCGCTGTATATGTCCCAAAGCAATGATGGAGTGAAGTTCCTGATCCAGGGGCCGCCGGACTCGTTGTGTTACTTGAAGGTCTCTTGTTTTCCTTTTCTCTCCAGACTGTTCTGCACACCCATCGAGTCAAAGCCTTCAAGGCCAGCCTTGAGTTGAATTCTCGGTGAAGGCTCCCTGACGAGGTTATGCACCTTGAAAGCCTTCAAAAGGAAAGAGATAGTCCAGTTCTCCGAGTCCAGCGGCTGCCAGCGAGTCCACAGCGCCCCAATCGGAGACATCCATCATGCCCGTCTCGGCCAATCCATCGCTTACAGGGTTTCCCTGGGAGGGTTGCGGGTGTAATTGCGCAGAGGTCGGGTCCATCCACTGATGCTCCGAAGCTCTCATGCTTACCTGCATAGTCTGTATATCGAACATGCTATGGCTCACTCCTGGCTTTGCGATGTGCCTTGGTTCGGTACTGGCGAGTCCCTGCTGTGATGGAGAGCGGAGACTTGACGGGAGTGGTGCCTCACTTGTCACGACACTTGGCCGAGTCCGGTTGATAGCAGCTCGAGCTTCTTTCCGAAGCTCCTCCAGGACTACCACGTAGCGCTGTGCGAACGAGGAACGCGGCCCACAGAGGGCGAGATCTCGCTGGGCTTGCTCTGCGATCCGAAGATAGCTGCGCAGTTGGTCCGACCGGTTCACTAGCGTAGAGCCCTGGACCACACGGACATATAGAACTACAATCGCCGAAAAGGCGTAGTAGTGCGTAAACTAGCAAATTTTCAGTTGACGTATTCCAAGTCGTGTAGTTAGGCTAAACTCCTTGCTACTTACCCAGAAGGTGGAATACATTCTTCGCCGATTGCATAGCTCGCGGACGATAGCGGCAATTTTCATGGCTGCTTCGAGACACAGCTCAGTGTACTTTCTCGTTGACTCAACAACTGCCCTGTCACTCTGCGAACGCGGGGTGGCGATAGAAAGTCCAAAGTCTTTCAGGATGAACGGTCGGTATAGCAGAATCTGAGCATGATAAAAGGCGAGATTAAGCACCGTATACTGGCGTTGATACGTCAGCATCAGCAGATCGACGCTCGGTAGATCGAGGAAACTTGATAGCTCCTGACGCCAGCGAGACAAGCCAGCCCCGTACTTGGCAGCAGCAGCAACTTCCACTTGCCCACTGGCCCGCCGGGCCCCGTACACATCATGTAGGATACCACCAATGATGACCGACAGTTTAGCATGGTAAACGGGGGCGAGCATTATGCTCTGCGCAGATGTTGCTGCCGGAAGGATCTGGTCGGATTTGATTTGGGCGTCATTTGCGACCGTGGGGAGTTCCTGGTCGATGTCGTCGTCGTGGAAGATGCGCGGCCGGCCCAAAGCGGCGCTCAGGTAATTGTCAAGACTATAAGCACACCAGAAGACGCGTTTCCGACACTCTCCATCCACGTAATCAAAGCTGGAACTCCGGTCTCTCCTACGAGCACGATGAAGGCCGATAGCAATGGCCAGCCGGGCGGTCGTACCGAACAAGCTCCAGCAATGATTGATGCGAGACTGTGACAAGAGGTAGAAGCACTGGGCCAAGCGGGCCTGCACGCTCGTCAGGCGCACTGGACCTGTCTCTGCCGCCAGATGGTGCTCGGCTGCCGCTAAGTAGAGTGTGCCATTGACCGACGCTCCGATGCCTTGATCCGACTCAGCTAAACATTGTTTCGCGTGGGCTAAGACCATCAGGACCAATGCGCGAATTGAGCGCTTGTCGGGCCCAGCAACAGCTGAGTCCTGCAGTGGGCCATAGAACTCGGAAATCCAACACTCGACCTGCGACTGATGGAGAAAACGATGGGTTGGAAAGGCAAAGTCAAAGTAACGAGCAACCAAAACGTCTGCATCGGAGCGAGGCGGGAGAAGAAGAAAAGCCGGGTCCATATTCGACAAGGGGGCATCCCCAAAGCTGAAAATTGGGGCATTGATGGGGAGGGAGATTTGCTCGTGCAGTCTCCTCTGGGCTCGGATCAGGAATGAGACCCCCGACGAAGGGCCGACGTAATGACCCTCCATATCGGTCTGATGGGCCTCAGGCGAGTTGCGGGAGGCTGCACCATTAACGAAGCCATCCTCTCTCAAGGATGAGGCTGGAGACTCGAGGGTGCAGTCGGTGGTGGTCTCGGTTCTTGGAGGAGTGGTGGGCTGTTCACGCGAGGGAATTGGGGGGAGTTTCCCCCGGTTATATTCGGCTGTGTAGTCACACGATCTGCCAGTACGCTGACAGAGAGAACAGGGAAGAGTGCCTGAGCACCGTAACTTCTTCCTATCGAAGTGACTTAGGATCATCTTCACGAAGGAAGGAGAAGATGGATATATGGAGGCCGAGATACCGTTTGCAAGCGTCGCAAGCACGAGTAACACGTACACGCTCTTTACCGCAACGCCTTTTACGAGGCGGGTCGTCGTGGGACTTCATGTTGGTAGTATTATATGGATGTGATGATGAATTAGATGGTGGTGAAGTTGCGAGAGGAGGTGAAGGTTGGAAGAAGTTGAAGAGGATAGAATCAGAAAGCGTGGAGATTGAAGGGGAAGGTGGCTACCCAAACAGCTAACTAGAAAACCCCACGGGCAACAGCACAGACCACCTCGGCATAACTACCTACTCGCTTACTATACAACTATCTATCTAGACACACCAAGGCAGGGACTGACTACAGGGTTTACATTATAAGGTATAAGATCGGTTGTAGACTCTACTACTAATACTACTACTACTACTACTACTACTACTACTACTACTACTACTACTACTTTTTTTTTTTGATGTTAGATATTGGTGACGTATTAGTCTTATCATCCTAAATAATTAGTTACATACATTGACGCATCTGTTCTAATCGGTAATGCGCGAATTTGCATCATTCACATACACCTACCTTATTTACAATTAGTTCAATCTGAGAGATTTAAAAAAGAAGTTTTTGTACTCTAATTTATCTGCGACCCAGCAGTCTACCGTCTTATCTCTGTAGACAATAGTACAAGTCATCCAGAACTAAAAACATGCATGGAAAGAAAAAGTTTACTGGGTGCTTAGGATATTATACGAGAAGGTGGGAATCAACAATCGAGCGGCGCAACGACTTCGACCGCGTGCTTACTCGCGGGCAATCATGTCGTCACGAGCAGGGCCGGTACCGATCCACTTGACCGGAACGCCACCGAGACCGCGCTCGATGTACTCGATGTAGGCACGGGCGTTGGGAGGCAAGTCCTCGTACTTCTTGATACCCATGGTCTTGGTCTTCCAGCCGGGAAGAGTGATATACTCGACCTTGACCTTCTCCAAGACCTCGGGATCGGCAGGCATGGTGTTCTCCGTGCGGGTACCGTCAGGCAGGATGTAAGCGACACCGACCTTGATCTCGTCGAAGTCGTCCAGAACGTCCAGCTTGGTCAGGTTCAGGGCAGTGTAGTGGTTGATGGCTTGGGAGTAGCGGCAGAGGACCATGTCGAACCAACCGCAGCGACGACGACGGCCGGTGGTGACACCGAACTCCTTACCGACACCCTGCAGCTTGTCACCGAACTCGTTCAACTGCTCGGTGGGGAAGGGACCGGAGCCGACACGGGTAGTGTAGGCCTTGACAACACCGATGATGGAGGAGATGCTGGTGGGGTTCAGGGACAGCGCCTGGACGGCACCACCGAGACCGGTCGAAGAAGAGGTCACGAAGGGGTAGGTTCCGTGATCCAGGTCAAGCATAAGAGCATTGGCACCCTCAACCAGAGTGTTAGGAGCATCCTTATACTTCTGCAGGAAGGCCAATTGGTCCACGATGTAAGGGCCCAGGCGTTGACGGTAATCCTGCCAAGGTCATCAGCATCTTGTATACACGCATTGGGTTCCGGAACATTTAAACCCACCTTGAAACGCGCAAGCTCATCCTCAACACTGTACTCCAGCTCGCCAAATCGGGCAGTGTATCCCGCGTGCAGAGAACGCAGCTTGCGCTCGAAAAGAGCCTCATCCAAGATCTCGCCAACGCGAACACCGCGACGAGCAGCCTTGTCACTGTAGCAAGGACCGATACCCTTACCAGTGGTGCCGACCTTGCGACCACCGAGCTTAGCCTCTTCCAGGCCATCCACGACGGAGTGCAAGTCGAAGCAGACGTGAGCGCGATCCGAGATGAAGATACGCTTTCCAGCGGTAGTCAAGCCCTTGGTCTCAATAGCCGCCAACTCCTTGAAGAAACTGGGGATGTGCACCACAGTTCCCGCGCCAATCAGGTTGACACAGGAAGGGGAGACAAGACCGGAAGGAAGGATGTGGAAATCATAAGTCGTAGAGCCATGAACAATAGTGTGGCCCGCGTCTAGGTGTCCCCCAAAGTTAGATCGCGTCATCCACCGTCGCCGGTGAGCATGTTTGTTGCAGGAGACCACAAAAAAAAGTCAAAACTTACTGTGGCCGCCAGCGGCACGGCAGCAAAGCGTAGCTTCCTGCGCAAGCATATCCGTAATCTTTCCCTTTCCTGCATTCAATCAACCTGATGTCAGCATGAATCCATTGCTGAAGAGGTGGATCCGAAAAGGATCTGGATGGCAGCAGCGTGTTTCTCTCACCTTCATCACCCCACTGGCTACCAAGGACAATTGTGACACCCATTGTGATTGTGTTTATGATGTGTGATATGAAGATCTAGTGCAATTGACTTCTTCTATCTGGAGGGACTCTCGAACTTGCGACAAGTAACAGAGAGGGAGGGAGGAACGACTGGAGGCGGGGCACGATAGTGGGTATGGCGGATATGAGTCAACGGATGAATCCGGTGTGGGTTAAACTGGCAGAAAAAGGATTCTGAAGAGGCGATGGCTGTGGTAGAGGGTTAAAGAACACCAAGAGATATCCAAGCTATACCAAAGGTGACTGGAGCAGCGGCGAAGAGTTCGCGACCGTCAAAGACCAAAAAGCCGAAAAAAGAAACGGAGGGGAAGTCTGCGGAGGGGAAGATGATATATACCACTGACTAACTCAACTCACTAACCCACTAACTCCCTGGTTGGGCGGGTCTGCCGGTGACTCCTCGATCGGTGCAGTGCGTGTCATCTTCGTACCGTACCGTACTCTGTCATCCCCTCTTGCAGCCCGTGCCGCCCGCATTCCATGCCCCATTTGCCGGTATTACACATTACCGTCGCCAGGCCCTGCGGCGGGGTCCCGCCGTATGCGGTATTTGCTTGCTCGGAGTGCTCTCATCCTTTCCCTGTTGCTGGTCGGGGAGTTCCGACCGGTATCGGGCTTAGGGCTTGGGGTTTGGGGCTGGGGGCCAGGGCCTCTGCAAGTCACGAATCAAGAAGGAATGATTACCAGGAGGGTACATGCTCATATATCATGAGGTCAAAATGTATATACATGGTGAACAGTATCGAGTCACGACGCTTCTTTGGAAGGGAATCTCCACGACTGTGATAAAATATGATACAGGATATCATCATCCGAATAAGAAAAACACAACGCCAACGCCTGATCTGATGCATGTATGCGACTTTGACTGCGAGCTAGGCAAAATACTGCCCAATGCCTTGTAAGCCAACCCTCGCTCTCTCATACTTCGTTGCGCTCTAAAGAATCTTCCCGTCGGCCATGATCCATTCGCGCAACTCGCCGAGTTTCGAGATGCAGTCGCGGTGCAGTTCCCGGGCCACCTCCCAGTGCTTCTCGACCTCAAGATCCTGGTCCAATGCGAGTTTGTACGCATTGTAGCCACCTTTCGCGCTACCTGCTACCATGGCATCACCGTTTCCCGGGTCTTCTGGGTCCAGCTTGACCTGCGCCGCATCCCCAATCGCACCGATCCAGTTGGGAGACATGCCCGTTTCGATGGCATCCTGGCGGGCACTGAAGTGCTGAATCATGCGGCGATTGAAGGCATTCCATTCAGACATGTATACCGTCATTTCGGCAACATAACGCTCCCATGCTGCCCGAGGCACTCCCAGTTGTCGGGAGCCGGCACTGAGAGGGATCATCTCAGGTACATTGGGCCGTTTTGGTGGCCGAGGCAGGTTCAACCTTCGAGGACGAGCGTCCCGCGTTGTTGTTTTGGGGAAATCGGCGCGAGATTCGAACGGAAGAGTGACGTGAATGTCCTGGAGGTCTTCGATGCCCCCGTTCGTGTTTTGTGTGAGTGGAACCGTCTTGCTCAAATCTTCTAAGTTGAAGTTCTTGGCGTTTTCTTCCTTCTGGGCTTCGTGAGAAGCTGGCTTCGTCGCTGGTACGGTCTCGTCGGTCTTCTTCGTCTCGTCCGGTTTCTCTGTAGTCGTGCGAAGTGGCATATCATCAATATCCATCGCTTCCACGCCGGTATTCCCCGCTTTGGCCGTGTCCGGGATACTAGTTTCCCCATTCAACGTTGTTGGTACCTCGTCGGCTTCTGTCGTAACAGTAGCTGGCTGAGGAACGGGCCGCGTCTTGGTTGCCGCCCTTGGTTTGCGAGGGCTTCTCTGCCGCTGGGTCGAGGCTGTTTGTGTCTGCTGACCCCCTCCATTCTTCGGTTCGAACGACATGTTCTTGAACATCTCGGTCCATTGGTCTGCAGGGAAACCAAACTGAGCGAAGGGGGCTGGCTGAGGTTCAGGTTCGGGATTTGGTTTTTCAGTATTCGAGGCATCCGCAGAGTGTCCTGTCCTGTCGGTCGCCTCTCGAGTCGCCGATCGTCCTCGCTCATCCGTGTTCTGAGAAGTACTATTGAAGAAAGCAGCCCCATCCCAATTCTCGGCAGAGAACGTGCTCCGCATATGCTCATGACTACTGCTCTTGAAGCTCCTGTTCGGAAGGCCGCTACTTTGTCCGGGTCCTTGTTGTCTATTTTCGAGCAGTTGTCAGCTAAGGAGTTTGTTACATCTCCCAAATGCGCAACGTACGAGTTTAATGGGCTTCCAAAGTCGAAGAAAGAAGACGTATCAAAGGCATCCTTTGCTGCTGTAGTATCATTTGCATGAGGCTCTGTTGAGGTGTGTCAGTATCCATTTAGTTTTATAAAACCATTTTGTCGACATGCATAGAATACTCAATGGTATTTCAGTGTGAGGTAAACATACCGGGACCAGCCGCTTGAGTGTGCTCTGTATGGAAAGCAGTGAAGTTCCCGTGAGGGTGCAGTCTGCTTTTAGGGACCGCCTTTGGTTTTCTCGCCAGGAAGTCTTCCTCGTCCTCGAGATCGCTGGAGCTGGTGGATGAATAGTTCCGGTTTTTATCTGCTTTGAATTTGGGACTAGCGCTACGATACCGTCCAGCCTCGTGGGCAGTCGGGCTGGGTGGATTGGTCCGGGAGCGAGGTTTGGGACTTTCAGTTGAATCGCGCATACTTGCGGAGCGCCCGAGGTTGGCGCTGTCAAAAAACGTTCTCTCTCCGCCAGCGCTGGCATACCTGCTCCTCATCCGCTCGAAATCAGGAGTGTCTGTCCGATTTTGAGCAGCTTTCTTCGCCGTTGGCGACGGCGCAGCCCCAAAGTACGCGTTTGGAGTTTGGGAACGTTCATTTCGACTCGTATATGAGGATGTGTGTGTGGCCATAGGCTCATCGCCGCCTGCGGAGTGCGGAGCAAACCCATGCTTTTTCTTCCTCGTTTGAGTCCGCGAGGGTTCTGGGCTCTCCGGCTTGTTGGATGTCCTGAAGTACTCGAAGGCAGACTTCGGCCTTGTTGACGGCCCGTTTGCCTTGGGTCTAGGCGTAGCTTCGGGTTGGCCAGCGCGTCCCGTACGGGGATCAAATGACGACCATCCGCCCGGCATGCCATTGCCCTTCATTTCCTGAAACCCTCTATATGCGTCCGCCCGTGTCTGACCTTCGTCGTGGGTCTTTTCCCATGGCTGTTTCGGAGCCGCGCGTGCATAACTGGCATATCGTTGAGCGCCGCTCGAGGGCCCCGCATGAAAGGACTGTGGGCGTGCCGAAGGGTGTGGTTTCGTAGGCGCAGGTTTCGGAGAATAGGTGGAGGTTTGAGGAGTCGTGGCCGTCTTTCGAGGCGAGCTAGTTTTCGAGGGGCCGTAGAATTTGCCGTACCCAGCGCGCAGTCGATCCGTGTCATACCGCAATCGTTGTTGAGGGTCGATGAGAATCTCATGAGCCGCCTGAATGGCCTGGAACTTGGAGATGAACTCCACCTCTCGGCCGGGGTTTCTGTCGGGATGGTACTTCAAGGCTATCAAGGGTTAATATGGCACTTGTAACAAGGCTGTTTGTTATCAGGTCCCCGCTCTCACCTAATTTTCGAAACTGCCGCTTGATTTCTTCGGTTTCTGCACTTGGTGTAAGCCCCAAGTCTGCATAGTAATCCCTCCGCACGTCTGCCTTAACCATCTTGAGAGGACGGTCGGGCCCGCAGTTATTTGCTTCTCTTCAAAGGAGTGTGTTCTACTAGAATCGCGCCAAGGGTTGATCGTGCTGTACACATGACCTCTCGCAGCAAGCAGAGGGTCTGGAACTTGAAATATCCTCGGAGTCAGGCGAGCGGCAAAGGAACGGCTGGAGATAAATGGAGGGGAGAAGGAGAAAGCGAAGCGGCTGGTGAAGTTTGGCAAACGAGGGATTAAAGTCGAGTCTTGTCGGCTCGGAGGTTGCTGAGGGGGAAAAGGGACAAAAACAAAGCAATCAAATCGTTACTGATTAGCCTTGTTGGAGACCGACTTCTATTGGTGCCATGCAGTATTAGCCCAGCCCTTGCAAATGATGGCCAATGTATGAAGCAATGCAAGAGAAAATTTGCTTACCTCCTGCGTCTTTAGCCCACCGCTGGGGAACTCCTTGTTGGGCGGTTCAATAGTTCGACACGAACTTTTTTTCCCTATCGGACTGCGCGCCGCGATAAAGCGAACGAACATGATCTCCCGGAGCAACAACACACGATCATCCGCCTCTTGCTCCACCCCGACCGAGCATGCGACGTGGTGATTCCGCTGAGCAAAGGAAAAAAACGGGTAGAACGATGGAAGAACAACGGTTTTAGTATCGCAAGAACAGAACCCAAAGTAGAAGTGAAGTGCTAGTCTCCGAAAAGAAAGAAATCCGAGCCAGGCACGCGAGGAGGAGAGGAAAGTTCGGGACTTCGGACAGTCGTATCAATGATTGGGGAAGAACGGTTCGAAACCTCAGTTAGTTCCAGACTTGAGTCACGGCATGGATTCTGGATTATATATCGTGAAATCCAATCCACTTCGTGTAAGAAGTCTTCGAGAAACTAGAAGCCTATCTGTCTTGAGTCAAACTAAACGCTTGGACCAGACGAGCAAGAAAATATGGGGTACACAAGACAGTTTAAGGTTGGCTGCTTTCCGCCGCCAACTCATTATTGAACCGGCTTCCATTATTTGCTGCCCAATTTGGAATCCTGATCTCGGCCTCACCTTTGCTCCACACATGAAACAGTACTGTGAGTCTGTGATCTCAGTTGGACTAGATCCGTTGCCCTGCTCTGGTCATTATTACCAGCTACCCAAGCTGTCATGACTATGGTCTGCCTATCCGGTTTTCTACTTCCTACTGGAACAGACCACACCCCACCATCACCATTTGTTTATCTCGTATCCGACTGCTCTGGCGCTTTCGGGTCCGAGCAAGTCTTGTCCTCTCCCAACTTCGACCAAGCAAGGATATCAGCTTCTTGAATATTCGTGAATGATCGATTACCGTCAACTTAATCAGAAAGGCGGTTGGTGGCACAATGTCTGTTCAATTGTCTATAGCGCTCAATGCAGCATGACCCAATGAGTACGCGTACCAAGACTGCAAGAGCAACTACTCCCACCAAAAACTAACGCTGATACCTCCCTGGAGACTACGCACATAATGCCACCAGCCCACGGGTATATACAAGCACTCCCCCTCCTTGAGCACAGTCTCGACGTACTCTGCCTGCAGGAACCCCGGCCATTCAGCCTCCCATTGCTCGGCCTCGGCCGGTGACATCTCGATTTTAGTTAAATCCACCTGCGAGGTATTCGACATGTCGATGAGCTGGGCCTGCTCATCTGGCTGCGTAGCTATCTCTGGCGATGAATGGCAACTGGCGGCAGCAGCAGCGGCGAGTTCCCTCCGGATTTGAAGATCAGCTTGCCTATCTCCCTCATCGGAGAACTCGTCCGAGGATCCGTTCACAACCTCTTTCCCCTTCGGATAGATCTGCGATGCTGGAGTATGTGGGGAGTAGAGTCGAATGTATTTCGCCCCTACCACTTGGACAAAGATGTTGTGGTAGGGATCGTGGTGCAAGGGCGAGATGGTCCATGACGGACCGATCCAAGTGTTGATGACAGGATCGTTAGAGCTATCATCATCCACGAAGTCATCCGCCGTGGAACCAGACTCGGCTACGCCAGGATCAGCCTCCATCTGGTCTTGCATCTGCGGCGGTTTGACGGCTGCCTTTTGCTCTTCCATTTCCAGCTGGTTTTTCAAATATAACGGCGTACCTGGTTCCGGACCAGGGGGTTTGATATAACAGTAATCAGGGACACCTATATCTTTTCGCAAAGCCGGAATTTGGGTCAACAAATCGTGCTGCGCCAGATAACCGGTCGGGCCACCCTGACCCTCGTCCCGGTCGATGTATTTGTCGATGAACTCTCCGAAGGGAATGATCTTTTGACCCCAATCCTTGTCCGTGTACGCTCGGCCGAGCTCCACGGGAACCAGTCTTCGACCGTCAAACGTGCGATCATTCCAGTAGGAGCGAGAAGACCATGGTCGGGTCGACAAAGCGGGCCAGTGTCCCACAGCATCGGTGATCACCAAGGGAGTTCGAGCGTTATAGATGTGAGACTGGAACCGTTCGAATGAGAGACGAGAGACACGAGGAATAGGGTACTTAATCTCAGGTGCTGGTGCTGAAAGGGTGGAAAAGAGCAAGGTAGGCTCGGGCTGATTGTCTGCTGCGTTTTCCGATCCCAACTTGGTTGCTGTCTGCAAAGAACTGATCAGGAGTTCAATGAAAGCCTCGCGCAGTGGCGCGCCAGTCATGATGATCGCTCGATCAAGCATGTGTATGGCGGGTGTAAGCCACGGGGCGTCTGGGCCAATGCGAATCTCCTCGTCGTCGCCAAGGCTTGTGAGCCCCTGGAGAAGACGGCGAATATAGGACTCCTTCGGCTCATCTCTGAGCATCAGTGTGCCTGGGAAGTTCAGTCCGTCGCAAATATCAAGGCAAGCTTTCAGGATACTGGCGTCCGTGTAGAGTCGAAGCCAACACGCGTCCACATCTTTGTAGGGGAAAACATGGAGCCAGGAGTTTGCTTCCTTGATCGCCTTTGCGGGATCCTCTAGCAATAATCTAGAGACTTCCTCTGGACGACCTTCACAACATCGTACGATAGGGTCTTTCTCGTCGACCTCTAAAATGGATGTAATGGCGTGGTGGATGATCTGTGGGAGTTGAACACTCATGACCCTCAAGTTCGACGTTATAGTAGTGGAGAAATCACTGGTCTGTGGAGATAAAGGATAAGTAAGATAGTTGCGCTGAAGATGAGGGTGCGGATTGATCAGTTGTAAAGTATTTCCTGCGGCGGTCAAACGCGCTGTTGACCGTTTGCCGCGACTTCCTTTTTTTTCCTTTATGGGTTGCCCGACGTCATGCGGGGATACTCAGGCAACACTTTGGACAAGAAACTACGGTCTACAATCGTCATTCGGATGCTCTGCTATGTTTCAACTCAAGCCGTCGCTCAAAGAGATTTTTTGACCGCAAGTATGGGTCGAGGACATTTGACAAAGAGATGTTTTCATTCACAACTGATGCTATATTTACATGGCTTCGGCCGGTTGGCATGCTATACTTTACATCGGCACCAACGTGCACCTAACAATCAACCCAATAATTCCATCACTAATCGGGGAATACGAGCAACGCCTTCACCGTTGATGGCGCTGACAGGGACAGCGCAGATTCTCTCTTTCCACCCTTCCTGCAAGCCTCCCGGATGATCGGCTTCTCCCTTCTCAACAGCTGCGAGATATCTCCGCAACGCTTGAAACTGCTCCTGGGTTTCTGGAAGATCCGCTTTTGTGGCCACGACAAACCAAGGCTTGGTATGGATGGGTGGCATTTTAAGCTCGGGGAGAGGATCAAGCTCTTGCTTCGCGGTAGAGCTAGCAGTGCTAGGAGCCACGTAAGTAGGTTCTGGCGCTTCTTCCTCGGAGAAGAAATCCGGTAGCTCGTCTACTGGTGGAGGCCATGCAAGCATTTCCTGAACTTTCAGCGCATGCTCTGCTTCGCGCATCCGTTGAAATTCACCGAGCTCAAGCCATAGGTTCTTGAGACCTTGAATAGGATCACCAACGCTGAGATCGACGACGAAAGCAAGGATGCCAGCTCGTTCGATATGGCGCAGGAAACCCAGTCCCAAGCCCCGATCAAGGTGAGCGCCCTCGACCAGACCAGGGATATCGGCAATGGTGAAGTTGGTCCGTGGTTTTCTGCCCTCCAACTCGACCAGAGGTCTCCCCTTATGATTATCAATGACAACCGTGCCGATGTTTGGTTCAAGCGTCGTGAATTCCCAATTACCAACCCGTGTGCGACTGTTGGTCAATGAGCGAAGCAAGGTGCTTTTTCCAGCATTAGGCTTCCCAACGAGTCCGACGTCCGCAAGGAGCTTGAGTTCGAATTCAAGCTCCAGGCGCTTGCCACCTTCTCCTCTAGACGCAAATTTCGGTCGGCTCATTGCACGGTGCGCGAAGTGCGGGTTACCCATCCCTCCCACACCACCTGCCGAGAGCAACATCGGCTTATCCATATGGCTTGAGAGGTCAAGGTTGATGGGCGCTTTGGGCTCCAGCGAGGCGATATGCTGTCGCCGCGGCGAACTTTTCGGAAACATCGTAGTCAGGTAATCGGACGGATTGGCTCCGGGGTACAGGACCCAGCGATCGCGGCGAATCGAGGTTATACCGAGGCCCTCCTCCGGTTCTTCGTTCTCCATGGCGCGCTCGTGCCGCTGGCGTATTTCTTCCTCCGTCACTGGGTCGTACCGATCGACTTCACGTACGACCGTACCGACAGGGACCTGAAGGAGTACGTCCTCGCCGCGTTTGCCGCCCTTGCTCTTTCCCTGTCCATTTCTGCCCCGACCCGCCTTGATGACCCCTCGCCGGGCGAGTTTGTGTAAGCTGGTCAGCCCTTCAACGGCCTGGATGTAGATGCTTCCACCGCTACCGCCGTCGCCACCGTTCGGCGGGCCCTCTTCGACATATTTCTCCCGAAGAAATGAGACGCATCCGTCTCCGCCGGAGCCCGACCATATCGTCGAGCGACACTTGTCTTGGAATATGAACCGCGAGTAGTCGTCGGGTAAGGGATTGAGATGGGAGGATTCTGTGGGCTGGTCGGGCAAGGTTGCCTGGCTTGCAGGTCGCTGCGCCTCGGCGTCGGTGCTATTGTGTCGTTGGCAGCACCTGGGCACGTGAGCTAGTGCAAAGGGTGTTCTATGTAACCGGGCCGACCGCTGAAAGCGTAGGAGTGGAAAAGAGCGTAAGAAACATGTTCGTTGAGCGGCCATGATGTGCGTTCGGAAGGTATTATCGAGTATCGTTCATCATCAAAGCAAACGATGCACACTTCTATCTGTGAGTAGTATTCAATCAATCAATACTCATCTTCTCCTTGGCTTTCAAGAAGTAGCACCCGGGTTCTGTGGTGTGCACTCGGGGATGGAAGCCGGTCGCTGTCTATGACTTCAGTATCGCATGCAGGAAAACTGTTGGTCATGTGTCTGTTATCGGCACGTGACGATAAGGTCTGCCGCTTTCCTCCGCCCTCGACGCTCCTTCTTTATGGCAGAATAGCTAGACTGACTCGAGTGTATGGTTGGAACCTTATTTAGACAGAGATCTAGAGTTTATCTATGTCTAATTGGAATTATAACTGAGCTAATAGCACTGCAAGTGCGACTCGTTCACCGGTATGTCATCCTTGGCGCACGAAATCTAGTACTAGGTTCCAGAGATATATTTTTAATGATAGTGAAGGCGAGAATTATGATGACAGCTAACACTACCAAATCCCTGTCTTCTAGACGAAAAGCCCACCCCGCTACTAGACAGAAGCAAGGTGAAGCAAGTCTTCATAGCATGCTACTCAACCGACATCAGTCTGCCTACAAGAGCATCATTACAGCCTTAACATGTTGCGAGTTATGAGGCGGACATGAATCCCAATTGCATAGACATTTCAAAGAATGAACAACCTGGGAACCCCCATTGCTCCCTGTGAGAGTAGTTAGCCATCACGGCCTCAAGAGCGAGACTCACCATTGCTCCCTGGCTTCTCTTCACCGCAGGAATGCAATCATCCCAATCCCGGAAGCGCCACGGTAGGGAAAGCCAGGCCACGAGGACCCCTGTTTGATCACTGGGATAGGGGAGCGTCAGCTCCCTTCGCGCGGCGCCATCGGAGCCGATTGTGCGAGACAGCATAGCATGAATCGGCCGCACCCCGTCTCGAGGAGGGCATTCATGCAGCCACCTGCTTGCTGAAAGAATTCGAGGCGCAATCCGTGGCCGCTGTGGTGTTGGTGGCCATAGGAGGCCTCCCATCGCAATCATCATCCGGGCGACAATGGTATGCATGCCTCCAGCCTAGTTGTTGGGGTGGAGGAGAGCAGCAGAAGTCGAAGATCGCTCATTCGTGACTCGGCAGCAGATAGTCGCAGTCAATTCATCATGAGAAATGACCGACCTTGTAGTTCTCACCTAGGGCATTCATTCTCGATCCAACCCACCACTCGGGACTTCAGAACAACACCTCCTCCCTTCCCGGGCAGTAGAAGTACCGAAATGTCAACACGCGAAGTACATGAATGGAAAAAGCCTGTTGCCATTCAATACGAAAGTTAGCGGCGGGTTCTTCTTCGGAAACTGAAATTAGGTGGTCACATTGAGATTTGATCGCAAACGCACGAAATACACGAAGCAAATGCCCTTGGTTACCGGACCAGCTTCGGATGTTCGACAAGGACAAGCCCTATTTCCGAAACCAGCGGTATTTTTCACCGGCAATACCTCGTAGACAGCCAGCACATCTGAACAAGCAACTACGAGGCGGTCCTGTTGAGTGATACAATCCGTTTCTAAATACATCAGGGAAACGTAGGAATGCGCGCGCGCAACTGGCGCTCCTGGTTAATCCTCTTCAAGAAGATGGATTTCTGTAGAATCGATAGAGCCCTGTGACAGGCCGGCCTTCTGGCACCATAGCAACCAAGCCACATGTATGCTGCAGAGGCAGTAGGGATCTTTGAGAATTCCCACATTCGTTGGGGAGATAAGGTGAGGGTAGTTCATCGTCTTTTCCTGGAATCTGGACCGTTCCCCAGAGTTGAAAACAGCGACAATAACATTGTGGAGCGCGACAAGTGGGCCGCGCTGTTGGACGTATCATATTTTATTGGAGCCAATAGGCAGCCTAGAGCGACGCAACAAAGAAACAACAGCAGATAAGAAGGAAACCCTTGTGCAGAGGGGGAGTCAGGAGGGTATGGGAGAGAAAGTGATAGGGAAGGAAAAGTAGGAGGATCCATCATACGGATTTTAAAAGGGGTGAGAGGGGAAGAAGATGTGTGTATACCGCCAATCCAGCAAGACCTCTCCCCCTTCAAGGACCCAGACCTATCATGAGCCCATACTAAACAATGAGGGTGTCAGGATGTCATCATGACCAGGTTTAAGCCTGCGTTTCACCTTTCAACAAGGAATTTATACATGACATGCGTAGAACTGGAAAAATCAGCCGCCAATGTCTGATTGCAGTATATGCACGAAGACAGTTGACGACCGATCAATCTATGTATCATCATAAGCAGACTCGCGAAACGGGAGAGTATAGTCAAGTCTCTTCTTTCGATGCCAGCCCCCGTTTTCCGGATGAGCTCTTCCTGGCCAGGTATTTGCCTAACCAAAAGGAGAATGGCACTTTTGAAGATGACGGACTTCTGTTCATCTGGCAGCTGGTACTTTTGTCTAGGCTGTTCCCCGAGGGATCGGCTTCTCGTTCTGTCCGATTTGAGCCTAGACTGGCTGTTCGGCTCCAATCTAGATGCAGATGCTCCATTAGTATGCAGCGGCTAGTCAGTGGACTAACTAACACTGACTCAGCGATCAATGATGACAGTCATATATCATTTGACGTGTGTTCGATATGTATCTGATCGACAACCCCCAAGCCAGCATAAGTGGGGATGTCTATTTTAGAACCATCGGACTCAAAAGCCCAGGCTCTCAGATGGTGGAGCAGCCTGTGCAAGTATCGATATAGGGAACGTCAACCTGCCAGGGAAAAGAGTGTTGGGCCGATCGTAAACGAAGGCGGTTGCGTCTGCATCGCGACCGCATGTGTTACGACGACTCGCGAAAACTAGGCTGGTCTCTTTGTCAGGGAAATGTTTGTTGCTCTGCTAAGGCATCAGCACACTTAGGGTCTCAATACACACTTAGGACCGCCTGACCAGGGTCAATTGTCAGATGCATTGGTGCGATGTTGTGTGATAGAAACGGGAATACTCCGGAATCCCCGATTAAACGGTGACGACCTCGCATTGTTCTCTAGAAGGTGTAAAGCATTTTTAAGGCACTCATTTCAACAATTTCCGATGTGGTGTAATGGTCAACATCGCTGTCTCTCACACAGCAGCTCGGGGTTCGATTCCCCGCATCGGAATACATTTTTTCTCTTTTTTGTGACTGTCTTTGAGTCTTCTTGGATCTTGCAGGTGGGGAGGCGATTCAAAAAGCCTGAGACGAAACCGCGGGATGTGGTCTGTGTCTCCACATACCGCCCTGACAGGGCCAATAAAATCACTAGCAGCCGGCTTAGAGCTCGGCAAGCCCTTCTCTAAGGTAGGCGGTGTCAGAAGCTGAGCCCTTAGCCAGCTGGCCGAGCTTCCAAGTTCAGGAACCCTATCATACCTTATTCAGAGGGCTCCAAGCATTTTCATCACTTCAATCCAAGTAGTCTACCGTTGGACGCTCGTTGTAACCTGAAGTGCATACTTGCCTCGGAAGCGCGTAGTTCGATTCCCCTTTGCTTTGTTCTCAGTGTAAGGCAAGGTGTCTGCCACCCAATTGGTATGGGAGACTAATGCCCGAATCCTGTGCTTGTCTGATGACTCGGGCCCGTCAATGGTCCGCGATAGCCTGTTTCTTCATGGGCCTGCTTCATGAATGGACCACGAGTTACCAGGATAGGTAAAAGGTCCAAAGTACGAGTATAGGCAGAAATACCCGGTCAAGCAGCAATAACCTGTCGCACCACTGACATGCGACGCGATAGCAGTCAGGTGGTGTCTGATTAAGGCAGTACTAGAAGTGGGCTCGGCTGTTGAAGTGCCGTATGCAACGGGAATTGTGCAACTCGATGCCCTGAACACCGAAGGCGTCAGACATGGACAGCCAAAGCCTAGCAGATGCTTCAGAAGGGGCCACGGTGGGCCGATACATTAGGCGATGGCCCGACAAACAAGGCGAACAATGAAACTTCCAGTATGGTGTACATACAGATGGATGTACATACACGTCTGCATGTACGCAGTTCTTAGATTAACCCAGTCCCTCGGGCTCATGGCTGGAGGAGGCGCCGGGGGGGGGGGGGGGGGGAAGGGTACTGTCGGCGTACTGCCTGCCCGCCTCGCTTGCGGGACCTGGAGGCAAAGAGCCTAAGGAGCCGAACCGTAGCTGGAGCCTGGAGGTATACGGGTAACAGCAGCCGGGTTGAGGATCGGAATTCATACTCAAAATCAAGGCCGCGGCCCTCCGCAATAAGCGCAGCAATCAAATGTACCGTCGCAATCTTGGAGCAAGTAGCCGATCGACAGCAAATCTAGACGCGACACTGGTCCATCGCCCCTGGACGTGAAGTGTAGAGATGGTGGTTGATGAGTCGGCGTTCACACAGAGCCACTTACATGACAATGCCATTGGTCTATAGTCTGTTAATGATGCTGCAGTAGTACGGCCGTCATGCAATTTAACAGATTGTTTTCTTGGTTCTCCATGGCGCGGGGGTCAAATTGAGGTGGATGGACTGATGGACTGACACAAAGTACGCACTCTGTGTTACGACGCCCAGCAAGGATTTCCGGGGGGTGGGGGGTCTACGAGGACGCTAGAATTTTAGGGACACTCACATCCCTGCCAGGAATCTAACATGCGTTTGATTGATGTGCTTTTCTGATGTATGCTAGGAACTCCCACGTTGAGAGCAGGTGGGTACGTGATCCTCGCGATCACTGCTTGTCCTGATTAGTTTGAGTACTGTTTCCCACCTCATCCCCTTTCCCCTCTTTCTTCTTTCCCCCTCTCCCGATAATTATGATACATCCCATCAATGCCCTCAGTCCATTTGGCCGCCTTCCTTGATTGACAGCCACCGTTCGACCAGGCCTGAGGCTCCGCAGTGGGGGTTCCAGTGTAATTCAAGGGCCTGAGCGAATGGGATCGCGTTCCTGGTACCGCCGGAAGGGGGAGGATTTGCTTCCCCTGCAGCTCACATGATCAAAAGCAGACCCAGCTGGAAATTGTTCTAAAATGGGGCCAAACGCAAAAATTCTCTAGCAAGACTAGTGCGCAAGAAGTAAAGAGAAAATAAAATAAAAAAAGAAAAATAAAAATGGCGGGAAGGCAGACATTTCAAAGACTAAAGTCGATCAATCAACAGTC